TATTATTGCATTCATATGCAAATACGAGGTTCTCACATTTCGGGCAACATTCCTCATCCAATTTCAACATTACGTACATATGAAAAAATATCGGGTTTCTCTCCGTTTTTCGGACCAGTTCTTGACCAAAACAAGCGAATCGTGTGACGGGGAAAGTTGTTGTTTAGTTAGAGAAGTGGTTTAGATTTCCAATATTCGTTGGTGGCTAAGGACAGTGGCCGCGGAAGGGTGGGGACAGGGGGGCAATGTCCTCACGGTTATTCGATGTCCGCATCATCTCCCCATGTTATATAAACCCCTCCCTCTCCCATCCTATAATGCTAATGTCCCCAGATGTCCCCATGATGGCTTCCGCGGCCACTGGCTAAGGGTAACTTGAGGTCGGGTCGAGACCCTCTCCCTGCCTACATTGGAAATAAATCTAAATTGAAACGGACAAGCGAGGATAATCAAGTATTCATTCCCTCTCTGACTAAACTGTAACTATGTAAAACTCTGAATAACATTGGGCTGGAAAGACGAGATGAATGTTTAATTACCAACATACGTCACTCAGAGCTCAGATTTTGGACGGGTGGCTGTGGTGGTTTGGTTGGTAGCTTTCTTTTATTTGGATCAAACCACGCGCAGCCCTTGTTTCACATGGGATTGCTCCCCAGGGAGAAATTCTCATTGTCAGGGAAGCGAAACCAAATGGATGGATGGATCAGGAGAATTCGTAACAAATGCAACACTGCGATATAATAAATCGTATGATAGCTAATGAACATGCCTGATTTGAGAGAAAGGTTAAATAACCCATTACTTAAATAGAAAGGAGAAAGTTTTATTTTATTTAGCAGTGGGTATTATTCTGACGCAAAAAGTGTGCAAAATGAGGCAATAAATGCATCCATTCGGGCGTATTACGTTTCACATTTGAAACTCTGGCGTCTGACACCTCCGTCACTCTGGTGTGCGCAGTGGCCGCGGAACTGTGGGGACAGAACAGAGGGACAATGTCCCCATGGTTGTTCGATGTCCCCATCATCTCCCCATGTTATATAAACCCTTCCCTCCCCCTATCCTACAATGTTAATGTCCCCAGATGTCCCCATACCTTCCGCGGCCACTGCTTGTGAGCTAGGTGAACCATCTTATTTTTCTGATGTGATATTTTCTAATGGAAATTTGACATTGACATAATGTACGTGTCACGAACAGATATATTTATTGAGGGAGGTGAGCATCTGTCTGTGGTTGTGTAAAATATATGTATGATATCAACATCAACCCTCCCCTTATCCTCTACAGATAAGTGTGTCTTACATGCTTGGTTTCACTCACCTTTCACAAAAGTTGACTAGGTACGTACGTAAATACATATTTTTGTCGAATTTTAGAATGGGGGAGACGAAAATAGAGATCAAAAGGACTGAAATTGGGAACCACCAGATTTGAGAAGTTGACTAACAATTCATCGAGATTATTCTGCCCATCTTATGTTTAGAAAAGTAATTTGGTTCCGTCGTCCGTGGGCTTGAAATTGAGTCAACAGAGAGAAAATCAAATGTATAATTACATATACTTTATGAAACTTGAAGTGTATGACGTAAACAGTTTTCAAGTATTTTTAGAATTTGATGGCACATGAATTATTATTCTCTTCTCGACGACTTTCACTGATATTTTTAAGGTTATTTGAAACATAAGTGGATGGATAGATTTATTTATCTCACTGAAGAATATGCATGAACGACCTCATTCTTATTACATCATAGACACCTCTCCGTTTCAAGTTTTAATAAAAAATTCATGCCCCACGATCAAAGAGTAATAAGAAAAGTCTATACAAAATTATGGATAGAATTTCTTTCATGTGGAAATTTCAGGAATTTGAATTGAATTTGAAACTGTAAGAGAAAGCTCTACCTCAATTTTTTTCCATATTCATAAAATAAAATAAAAGTGTAAAGTGAAAGAGCATCGTCATCGTCACCTCCCAATTTTATTCATGTCAGAGACTTTTCAATCCTGCAAAATTCTGAGATTAGGTATACGATTTATTCTGTTTTTGTCGCACACGGAGGATGGATGACATGATATATGACGATGACATGGCAAGTGATACGACATTGACGTGATCGGAATGACGTACGACGAACGACGTACGTTGTGAGTTTTTTTGGCAAATATTTTATTTTCTTAGAGGAAGGATCGCATCTCTTGTTTTATTCACAGGTAGTTCCAAAACATGTAAATTTTCAGAGCTTTTTGTTTTTTTTTCGTCACGAGTGATACTTTACGTTCAGAGAAATACTTCGGATTTTATTTACACGAGGGTAAATAGAATGCATTCAGGGCTTTCTTTGTGATTTATATAGGAGTTGAATGCTAAATAATAGAATATGGAGGGACGACACTGGACGACGACCACCCACCCACGATGGGAATGGACACATCTGCTCGAATCGTCATACGATGTCACAGCACACGACGAAAGATATCCCATGGAGAAAGTATGGAATGGACCATAAAATCAACCATCGTACGCAACACGGGTTGACGTAGACGTAAAAAAAGACGAAATATCAGTCCCAATAAAAAATTTCTCTCACCTCACCCACGGAGGATACAATTTTATTACTACATTTCGATTTAAGTAAGGTGGTGAATTGGGGTGTCTCATTGATTTTTATGGTGCATTTTGAAGGGTGTTAAGATGATTTTGTTGGGGTTTGGTGGCATAAGGCAATTTTTAGTAAAATACAGATTACATTAATACCTTCAGATACGAATTTCCGCATCTAACAAAATGAAGGTTGTAATTATTTATGCTGCTAAAACTTCTCGTTTTCCACTTAATGCATAATTGTGTCCTGTATCATTAAAATTAAAGGTCGTGCAGGGTATATTCCATTTTCATCCGTCCTTCACACGTCTTTCTATTATTCTTGGAAATGTACTTACTTGGTTTGCCCAGATGGGCGTCCATTATTCATTATTGTCACTGTAAGTGGAACGGAGGGAGAGAGATCTCTTATCTCCTAAATATTTTAGCAGTTGTCTCGCCGTTTGATTGAGCAGCAGAATTGACTATCGAGAGAAAGTGGGACCTGTATAAGTAAACCCTAGAGACGAAATTTTGAGAACATATTTTTGCAAAGTTATACAAGTTGCAAAAAAATCGAGTTAATTTTTTTATGATTATAAATTTCTGAGGTTTTCGGGCATTATTACTTGATTTTGCTTCGAAAATTAATAGTTTTCAATGAACCATTGTCATCTTCATTAGGCAAAAAAAACAGATTTTGGATATTCCTACTTTTTTTATTTGATGGAATTATTCCCATAAAAAAACATCCCAATTTAGAGATCGAATCCCTCGCCAAATGACGCAATTGAAACAATGGAAAACTTATGATTAGATAAGAAAACATCAAATTGTTCAAGGTGTTGTTCATTTCTCTGTCGAGAGACCACGACTGAATGAGCAAGAAAGACGTAAGAAGTTCACCACAAAACTTGACAAAGACATCAGCGTTAAATAATTTGTTTTGTTTTCTTCTTTCTTCTCAAGCACCGATGAAAACTTAGCATTTGAATTGTCGTCATTTCATCCTAGACGAGCAAATGTTTGCATCTGTCTCTGCTTAAAAAATACGAGTTCTTGAAGAACATTTTGGAATTAATTATGTTATTGTTTGCATAGTTTTTGGCACTTTGTTTGCCCAGTCAGAGTAACGAACCTACCACTTGAGATAGGCATTTAGCACGGGAAAAGGTCATAGGTTACATGAAACCGTATAATCAAGTTATAATGACCATATTATATTTGTTGCCAAAGTTGAACCAAGGTGATGATGATGGTGGTGGTGATGGTGGTTGTGGTAATAATGACACTTTCATTTCAACAACAATTCTCCGAAATTATTATATTAATTCAGGGCTATGCGTCTGCACGTAATTGGAATCTCTTGAAAGTATTCTATTTAGTGGAAATGTGCCAGAGAGATATTTTGTTAGGGACCACACCTCTTACATAAAAGGCGACCTGATCAATTCCACTCCATCCAACCTTGAAATTGTATGTACGTTCGGTTTTGGGTTGCGGACTGCGGTACGCGGACGTGAAAGACTGTTTGTGGCAGTTTCTCTCTGAGAAATAATGCAAGGCAAGGTTACGGCTTGCACAACTTTCCCCGGAGAGAAATGTATATATACAGAGTTACTGATTATGTATGAAAGGGATGCAGTTGACCTTCTATGGACAGACAATGAGCATCAAATTTCTAACTGAAATGTGGAATGTGATCCAATTCACACGATGATGCGAAAGTTTGGTGTTCTTTGTGGAGTATTTCGTAATCGAGTGAAACTGGAAATGAGGTGAATGTTGTGTTATGAGTGATTAAGGAATTATGCACATTATGTACACAGTTGCAGTGGCCGCGGAAGCCGTGGGGACATCTGGGGACATTAACATTGTGGGATAGGGGAGGGAGTGATTTATATAACATGGAGAGATGATGAGGACATCGAACAACCGTGGGGACATTGTCCCTCTGTCCCTACATTTCCGCGGCCACTGTATTCTGTGCATATAACACTCATTAGAGCAGCAGGTAGGGAGATTGCATGGTAAGCAAAGTAGTCTCAATTTATCTATATCAAGCAGATCGTAAAGTAGATCGGGTTTCGGGAGCAGCAAATTAACCAGAACAAGATGAAATGCATGAATTAACCAAGTAACACAATGAAACCAGAGAGAAATGAAATGTGTAATTAAATGAGAGCACTAGAACTTTCTGTGGTTTAAGTGGGTGTAAACTGAACGACGTATCGCATTAAACTTGATCTGAAATAAAACCGTAATCAAATCGAGTAGAATGTGATGATTTGTTAAACTATTTGTTATTATGCAACCAAAACACGGCACAAAATGAGAGTTCATCGAGTACTCGTAAATAATTTATGGGTGAAAATTTTATGGGTTTCCTTTGTTTTTAAATTTCCACCAGGTAACGAGAACATGTTGGAACGAGCCGTATCAAAAATTAGCCTCTTGCGACAGTTCAGGGATCATCTTTGTCTGGATAAAGTTTGAGGGAAGGTGGAGTATAGAGCTGGTTGGTGAATTTTAAAATTAAATTGGTGAATTAATCGTCAGAATCAACAAATGTAAATTATTTTGCACATAGATCAATGATAGGAGCACTCCAGTTACACATTTTTCGTGGTAAGTACAAGAAATCAAGTTCACATTTGGTACAGGAGAAAATGTCGAAATTATTTTAATGTGGTACTCTGCTAAATTTTTTTGGTAGATATTTTTATTTTGTTTTGAAACACATTTCAAATACGTGACGTTTCGAAGCCAAAGTATTTTTTTTATCAAGTTATGACAAATCATAAATAAGTCAATTAGATGATTTTCCTGAATACCTTAATGTTCTATACAGGTCACATGATGGTCGGATGGCATTAATCTGTTATCAGGTACAGTAAAACTATAAATACTCAATTTCACAATAGAACTTTCTCCTTCGATCTTGCATCTCAAAATTGAATGCAAAATTCTTCTAGGATGGCTTCGTTCTCGTCGGCTCCGTGGCTGGTCAGAGGTGAGTGTTTGCTTAAAAATATGATTTTAATTGTGTCAGTCCATTTTGGGTTGTCTAATTTTGGATTGTAGTTCAAGATATTGGAAAAACTTAATATTTTCCAAACCGTTTGCAAATTTCTTCCTGTAATGAGTTTTCTGTTTAATCTATAGATATTGGTCCACCGGTTTGAATCTTGATGGGACAATCACCTGCGGGATCTGGACACCGGATGACCTTCAGGTACATAAGTTGACCTTTAACTTCCACGAGGAGAAAGCATCCCTCAAAAAATCCCTACTTACTTCCTTAATTCTCCAGGTCTATTTTGGGACGAGCAACGGTCAAATCGTCGTTATGGACGTGCACGGCACAATGCTTTCTCAAGTCCAGCTTCCTTCCGACTCCCCCATCGCCAACATGTCGTGGAGTTGTGAAAAATTCAAGATGGAAGAATCTGAGGAGGGGGAGCCGAATCACTACACCGCGAATGGCGCCAAGCGTCCATTCCTGCTCGCTGTTTGTTTTACCACGGGCGGAATCTATTTGATGAACAATTACGACGACATCGCCCCACTCTATATTTTCACCGGGATGCATGTGAGTCCATAAAACAGAGTCTCTTCTCTTAATACTTTATGCCTCTCTTGTCGTTGTCACCAACCAACCAACCGACGAACCACGCTTTGATGTCTTTGTATAATGTGCGGTGCGACAGAAAGTGGAACGGAATCAATCAAGAACTTTATCTCGCTAGAAAGATCAAACAGTGCAAATGTTACTTCACTCACTTCACACTTGCCATGTAACTCGACAATTGAGGTTGGGTAAACAATTCCCGCTTGGTAGAGAGGATATTCGTAAAATGTAAAGTAGAATTCGAGTGAAGCGTTGAAGGGGGCTTAACATTAGTTACATCAGGAGAAGAGGAAAGAGGTGATGCGATTTATTGTGATCAATTTGTCCGTCCGTTCGGCGGACGGTAACTTTCAAACGGGTCGACTTTTTTATAAATTTTTCCCGGATATTGACCGTGTAGATTCGACACCTAACTTTTATCGATTGAGAGTTCGTTAGCGGACCTTATAGTTCAAAAGGTCACCAAGCCACACTTCGCTTCCGCTACTTGATCATATCTGTTCCCCGAGATTATTATTCACCCAAGTGTTATTCATCCTTTGTCGCTTTGAATGAATTTTAATTCAAATCTGGCTTGAGGCGTTATTCAACTACGTAAATTAAACGAGTTCCCGAGAACAATTACGGTTTAGGGATTTGCGAAATGCAAATATTTTGCTGAATGTGTTCACGAATAAATGAGGAGTAGAAGTACGTACCAGCCAGGTCTTCACGATTCTCTCCATCGTGGCGTGGCCTAAATTGCCACTATTTTCAATTTAGCACGCCTTTAAAGCACCCCCTTTGTTCTTTTGGGAGGATGAAAGCCATTCTTTCCAGGAAGAGAGAAGTACTCCAGCCAGTCAATCATGGATGGTCACATTTCGCAACTTCTTCTTTCCCAGAAATGTCACGACGCGAGGAGTACAAAAGAAAATAATATTCATGGATGGATGCCTTCATGAAATGCGAATTGCAAAAAAAGTGTGCGAGCTGGTAGTGGTGGTAGCGCCATAAGAGATCAGGGGCCGCGGAAGCTGTGGGGACATTTGGGGAAATTATAGGGAGGGAGGCGTTTATATAACATGAGGAGATGACAGGGTCATCAAATAACCCTGGGGACATTGTCCCTCTTTTGTCCCCTCCAGCTTCCGCGGCCACTGTGAGAGATGATTGTAGTAAAGATATAATCTCATCCTATCGCAATATCGAATGGAAGGAAATGGTTCCGCAGGGCATAAAAAGAATGGCGAAATTGGCTACATGGAATTTATTCAGCAAAGTGCTTCACCAGAATTTACGGAGAAAGTTTGCATCTCTCTGCGATATATATTCATAACTGAGCAAATACACGTGAAAATATATAGCGCAAAGTAATAACGAAGCTTACCCCCATATAATTTGCGAAATGTTTGCTCACGAGTTAAGTAGTTAGGAAAATACAATATTTTATTAGTTTACCAGTTAGTTGGATGGATGAACTGGTCACTGCTGCTGCCTATTAATTATTCATCGTAATGTACCTCGCACACAGAGAGAGAGAGGGAAAGGGGGCGAGGGTCGTATAATAATAAGCCTTATTTTTCTGGATGAGAACGTTTTTATCCGTTCGTGACACTTTTATCGAGATAAAATAGGATTCTTGTCATATTCCGTGCATCTCAGATATTTTATGACTTTTTACTCAACAAAAAACCAACAACCAACACAGGGCAGGGTGAAAGATAAGATTTTTTCCCATTGCTTAAAACAGCCACAACTTGGTGAACAGTGGCCGCGGAAGGGGGGGGGGCAGAGGGACAATGTCCCCACGGTTATTCGATGTCCCTATCATCTCCCCATGTTATATAAACCCCTCCCTTCCCCTATCCTACAATGTTAATGTCCCCACGGCTTCCTTCCGCGGCCACTGTTGGTGAGGCTGGTATCTGTATTTTTATTTCGCATAATTTTATTGTCAACTTTCTCCATTAAAAGGATCCATTACATACCGCCGCAAATTTATTGACATGAAATATGGACAATTTTATGCATGTCAGTTAAAATAATAATGTTTTCGTACTTCTCTTGTCATCATCTCATGCTAATAAATGGCTTATCCTTTTTCAGGGGTTGCAGATGGAATGGAGCAATTCTGGTGATTTTCTAGCCGTTGCGGGAAGTCGTCCTATCGAAGTTGTGACCGAGTCGGGTCTAAAGGTCAAAGAGTATGCCAACTATTTGCATATTTATAGTCCGGCTGGCGTCCGTGTTCTTAACTTGACTGTGCCACATACAAAAGTTAGTTGAATATATTTATCTTTCTTTCCCAAGAGATGAAGTGAAAGTGGGTGTTGAAAAGAAAATTATAATTTTATTCATATTTATGTATTTTTTTCTCTTTATTCTCCTCTAGTCGCCAGTTACTGCGATGACCTGGGGGCATAATGATAAAAGAATTTTTGTAGCTACGGGGAAAGTAAGTTTTTATCGGGCTAAAAAATAAGAGGTCTCACGACGAATGCTCACAGATTTTTAGCAAAATTGTGTCAATCGATCACACATTTAAGTAGTATGAAATTTGGAAAAGACAAAATCTGCCAATGGACACGTTTGCCAAAGATATTTGCATCCGAAGAGGAGAAAACACGCAGTAAATTTGGAAAGTGCAAAATTTGTCAACTTTAGAAAGCATTTTCTCCTCTTTGAATGCGAATATCTCGGCGAAACGTGCCCATTGGGGGATCGTGCCTTTTGCAAATTTCATAGTAATTAAGTTTCTGATCGACTGACACAAGTTTTTGCCCAAATCTGCGAGTATATGTTGGATAACCTCTATTGTAACTGAAAAACAAATTTTTTGTGCAGCGTCGTAATTTTGCTATTGTCAACTTGTCAGGTAATCCATGTTGGCTGGGTGTCGAAAAGAATCGCAACTTTACAACTTCTATGTCGTCTCGCAGTCTACAAAGCGTTAAGTGCGGAGACTTGTGTTTCCCATCTTCCAATCCCGATGCCAGTGCGGACTTTAATTTCATCCCTGCACACTCAAACGATTGTGGTGAGGAGAAAATGTGTTCTTTGAACTGTGTGCTCGTAGTAAATGTGTGTACTAGATTTAGATAACTTAACGATGTATGTGTGTCGCATTAGTGGAAGTAATTGTGGAGGAAAATGTGCTTTTCTATATCAAATCCTACTCTGGAAAGTTACTTGTGGGGGAAAAGTAATGGAGAAAGTTGGACCCAAATTCTCACTGTCGCGATTACTTCTCAGCCTTTATTGCACTTTCACTATGTTAATGTCACATTATAACCACTTTTATAACCACAACGAAAGGCATATGCTACAAAATAGGGACTTTGTACATGAGGCAATTTGAGACTCTGTGTAAAAGAGATCGTAGTACATACTTTCACTTTGTTAAAATGCGTCTCTTTCACTCCACGTTAATTTTTTTAGTCAAAATTTTTCAGTCAATCCTCCCAAATTTTCGGGAACTCTGAGAATTTGCATACATACTTTCATTTGTTGAAATTTTGAAATGTATCTCTCTTCCACTCCACGTTAACTTTTTTTTATAAATTCAAATTTTTCAGTCAATCCTCCCAAATTTTCGGGAACTTCGCGAATTCGTAAGTCACCCTCCCTCCGGCTCCCTTCGCCTCCACTGCACCATGATACGGCACGAGGAGGAAACGAATCAAAGTGCGGGGACGGTCTACACCCTCTACGTCGAATATTTGGGGGGCTTAGTCCCAATATTGTGAGTATTCGGATACGTTTTATACCTCCTAAAATATGGTAATTATATTAATCCTCATTCATTTTCAGGAAGGGGAAGCGGACGTCCAAAATCAGACCAGAATTTGTTATTTTTGATCCTCAAGCCATTTCTCCAGCCTCTCAGGGTGAGTGCAAGGCAGCTTTTTTCATTAATTGAACTAAATTACGAGCCTCTCTCTAATGGGGAAGGATGGCAATAAAGTCGGATTTCTCGACTTGAGTAATTCTTCTTAATTGCAACTTTCCCCAGGATTAAATCCCACCAGTATAAAAATCTAAGGAAAACCCACCTACAAAGTTTTCCACTCATTATTTCTGTGTGTATATATGCACAGGTGGAAATACTTTCAACGTTGCCGTCACCCTGTTCAACAACACGGCCTCGCTCGCACCTCCGCCAAACGAGAAAGTAAATATTCTTCAAGATGTTTACAATGCATCGACGTCATCACGAGGAAATGAAAGCGGTGGTGGAACTAGCACCAGTACGAGCACAAGTACGAGTACAAGCAGTGGAATGGGGGGGCTCAGATCCAGTGCGACCACTACGACGAACGGCGTCGGAGTGCAAGCAGGTGGTGGGGCAATGTCCAATCCGGGCTACAGCGATAGCTCAGAGTCTGACGATGTCGAACTCTGTGCAAGTCCAAGAATGCAGAGGAAACGGTATCGAAATCGGCAACGGGAGCGTGAGAGGATGTTAATGAGGGAGAGGGAGAGAGAATGGGAGAGAACGAGGTCTTCCGTCCATCTCATGCCGGAACCAACCACTCCGGAACAATTGCTTTACAACGATGTCCTTCCTGAGGTATGTCATCGTATCACAAAATTCTGCAGAATGTAGAGAAAAAAAGCCCAGTTTTATGTACATCCTGCTGAAAAGAAATGAAATCTTTAGAATTCATCCCACTACTTTCTCTCCGGAGAGTGATAAATGAACTGTCACTCAGGCAGAGACGTGTCCCGTCTTATAAATCTCTCCTTATATATATCTTTACCGCCTGCTGACTGTGCTCTGCTTTTACTTTGCCCACCACAGAACGTCCGGCTGGTCGAAGTGACTTCCAACATATTCGGGACAAAGTTCAAGATTCATGGACTCGCCTCCGCACTACCAGAAAATTTAGGGTCCGTCACCTACAAAACGTCGCTCCTCCATTTGCAACCCAGGCAGATGACGTTGTTGATCACGGAGCTGAGAGATGACATCTTCCTCTCCCCCGACAGGACCTACTCGCACGCGGATGAAGAGGACGAGGAAGATTTCTCCGTCATTGTGGGCAACGATTCCATCCATCACCATCAATATAGGTGGGTGACTGCTTTTTAGTACTCAAGAAAATAAGTAGTATGAATTTGTGCCTTAATAATTTTTATGCTTTCAGTGGAACTGGGAATGGAGGGAGCAGTGAAATTTTTCATGGGCATCACGTAATCTACCATCCACAGGGGGCCGGTTCACCAGTGGTTCCACCTAATCGGTGCTTTCTCCAGCCAAGAAGCAGCTCGACGAGGTCGCCTGCTTCCTCCTCGTCGGCTGGAAATAATCTCCAAATCTCTTCAAGTGAAGTTTCATCATCTTCAGGATATTTTGGGAGTACTAATCACAATCATAACAATAATACTGGAGCTTCTGTTGCTGCCCCAACATCTTCCTCGTCAACCGTATCTTATAATTCTGCAAATGCAATGGATCCAAGTAACGAAGAAGGGCAAACTTCCTCGGCCGGAGGATTGGTCAATAATCCGTGTGAAGTGTACTCTGATGATGAGCAGGATGATTTCACTTATGTGAATGGGGCCACCACCAACCCAGACATGGTTCATCTGAGGTGAGACACTAATACGTAAACTTGAACTAATCTCATTCATGCTTTCACTTCAACGTACAACCATTGACCTGCTTTTTTAGGGAGATTTTGAGACAAACCATCCAACAACAGTCTGGATCCGGTCCAAGTTCTACGCTAACATCCGTCCAACAAAATTCTACCGTCTGTCAGAGATGCGACTACGCCTCGCCGTCCTCGTCTCCCGGTATAATCCGTCGCCGAAGCAGTATTGATGCCTCGTCATCGTCAAGTTCCCACGTCGTCCCTGCAACACCGCAGAATCGAGGCGGCGTTGCTAATAAAAGTAATAATTTAGTCACTGCTCAAGTAGAAAATAGTATCGATGAGAACGCAGAAGTAGGCGGCGCAGGGTCGAGTCATCAACACCAGACTTCCGCACCTTTGCCATCCCTTCACCGAACTTCATCCTCGATCCGAAGTCCGACTCGAATTTGTTGGAATGCTGCGGGGGAAGATGGTAACGAAGAGATTTCCTCCCCACTCGTCATCCAACCGACGGCGACCCTCCCCATCCACGTGAGGAGAAGTATGAGCGCGTCCTTCCTGGACTCGGTGGATCGTCAAGGGCAGCTTTCTCTTGATATCGTGAGCAATGAGGGTGTCTCAAATTCCCCACCGAAAAGATTGATCCTGGTCAAGAGGAAGGATGATAACGGTCAGAAACAGTCTGGAGGACCATCCCCACACACAGAAAATACTGCGACAGGATCTACGAAAATGAGGTTAAGGGAATGTGGCAAGAGTAAAAGTTGGGATAGCTGTGATATCAGTTGGTGGAAAAGTGGGGGTATCGCGCAGCAAGGTAGTAGCAATGCTGCCTCTAGTTCTTCAACCCCCTGCCCAAACTGCAACTTCCCATCCACTTCGAAAAAACTGCTTCCACAACAAGCCAGCAGCAGCAGCGGTAGTAATAGTTGCACCACGTCGTTTGCCACACTGCCAAAAAATAGTAGAGCCGCACCCCCTCCCACACCGGCCAAAAGTTCTTTCAACAAAAATCTTACCGCGTCATTATGCTCAACAAGTTCCTCTATAGCGAGTAATTCTTCGTCTTCTTCCATTGCCAATGGTGGTAAGTCGTCAAGTCCTCTTCTGGGCAGTAGTAGAAGGATGACGCCACCAACGCCAGGGGGCCGATTTGCTCAGAGGAGTCGTTCCCAGTCGCAACATTCCCCACGGAGTAGTGAGGATGGGATTGAGCCGGTGCCCCCTTCGTCCCCCTTGTCCAGCCCGACCCCGACGCCTACCACGCACAGGAGGTCGCTCTCCTTACTGACGCCGCTCCTTCGAAGGAGGGACCTCAACAGCAGGTTGAATCACCAATCTCAACAGAGCGATAGCAACAAGCGACTTGTTCCTCCGACGACGACAAGCAGCACTTCCGGTTCCGGTGGAGGTGGAAATCCTGCCAGTTCTTCCTTCATTCCGCCTGGATCGCCGCAACACCAGCCGAGAAATTCGGCCCCTTCCACGCCGAGGGAACAGAGAAAGGCGAAAAGCAGGCCGAGCTACCTTTCCTCCGCGTCTTCCCCGTTTCGTCAACTTTTCGCCAATTCTCCGCTGTTAAGCAGGAGGAGGAACAAGAATCGGAATAATGATCGGTCAAACAGCAGCAGTAACAATAGTGGGGGAAGGACGATTATCGACTCTTCGGACGAGGAGGGGGCGGGTGGCTCGAGTGGGTCACTGCTTCTCGATGAGGGTCACCATATTAGAAATTTGTCGGGAAATAGGTCCTCCGTTGATAGTCCGACTCGTTCTCCAACGCCGAGTTCGAGAAGGACTTCGGTCACGTCGATTAATGCCCCGTTCAGAGATTTGGAAACTTTTCAGAAACAGCAGCTCCGTCAGAAGGTTAGAATCTAAGTAGATAAGCACTTACTTTGTTTGACAAGTTTTAAAATTTTATCCTACTTTTCCAGTTGAGAAATAAAAAGGTCCACAACGTCGAAAATTGTCCGTTCCCTCGACGAAGGGAGTTTGTTATGAATAACAAGGTAAGGATTAATCTCAAAGAATCGGGTCGGAGCTCGAAGCATCCCATTAAAAGGCATTTTATGTAAATTGATCTATTTTTATTAACAAGGCTCCAATGTGGAATGAAAATTCTCAAGTATACCAACTCGATTTTGGGGGTCGTGTGACGCAAGAGTCCGCAAAGAACTTCCAGATTGAGTTTCGAGGAAAACAGGTAAAAATCCATATAAATATGTTATGCATGGCATGATTCCATAAATTAACTAAATAACTCTAACTTTCTCCGTGTAGGTCATGCAATTTGGAAGAATCGACGGGAATGCTTACACTTTGGACTTTCAGTACCCGTTCTCGGCACTTCAAGCATTCGCCGTCTGCTTGGCCAACGTCACACAACGATTAAAATAAAAATTCAAGATTCATAAACGTAGAAATTTTATAGATTTTCGAAGTATAAATTATGTAAATACATATTTTTTTCTTGCAAAAAAATTAGCTTGATTTTTAATTACAAACTTTAAAAAAAGAACGTTTACTTCTTCCAATCCAATCTGACTTCCGAGCCGTCGTGTGAGTTTGTCTTCACTCACTAATTGTTAAATTAAATACAAATTGTGTAACGATTCCAGCCACGAAAACTTTTACATCACCCTCCTCCCATCGACGCCAACTAAACACGAGATCTTAACATGTACATACTTAAATTATCATTCCTTAAGTTTTATTGAAATTATGGAAAGAAAAAATAATTGTAAAATTTGTATTATATTTGCTCTACTGCTAAGTACTATATTTATGGGAAAATGTTATCAAATTATATTTTGTACTCGCTTCTTGTTCTGGTAAAATTGATGCTACAGAAAGATAATCAGTAATTCAATCAGCTTCGTTTGGTGCATTTCAGGAAATTGAGACAAATCGCTTGCTTATCATCATGGTCTGAGTCATTAAAGTCCAAAAATTACATAGTATTCGTAAAATATGTGTGCATGTATTTATGCTACCACCCAATCCTGCGTAGATAGAAATAGCTTACATAAATTGTGAATATATACGTTTTTAGTTGGTATGAATATTATTGTGCGGATTTAAAATTTGCTAAAATGCCGTCCGCTCCTGTTTTCAATTAATATTACATTCTTTTCACTTTGTAGAAATAAAGGAATATATTTCAATCTTACAAGTTCATATAATGAAATAAATCAATTCAAGTTTATTTCCGTATCAAGCACACAATGAAAATTTTTATAATTCATGAATGAATAAATACTGTTGGTAATAAAGCTAGAATTATTACTGGTATGATGTGTTGAGTTTGTATCACTAACGACTTCAAAAATCGTTGTAAAGGTACATTGACAATTCTCTTTTTGTCTTTAGAGACCAGAAATTCTGAACACAGCAGTTTTATATCAATACTTCATTATATTTAAGTAGCAAAAATTAATTAATGGATAGAAAAAATTAAGTATCTAAAATAAATGTAGATAAAAAAGCGAAAAATTGAGTTTCCATTTAAGAGAATATTGAGTCTCCTGGTTTTACTTAAGTAGAAGGAGTAGCAGGTTCGTCTTCAACCGCGACGGTCGAGTCCCCATTAGTTTGAGTAGCACCTTCTTCCCCAGAGGGGTGACCACTTTCTTCTTCTTCGGCATTTATGGCTGCTTCATCATCAATGAGATTCAGAGAATTTTTCAAAAGTAGGATTGCATTGCGTTTTGCAGAAGTAACGTTCTCGGGAAGCTCATCCACAGACGAGTATTTGAACTCAGTGACTGCAAATAACAGATTGATGGTGTTATTGATTAGATAAATAAGTGGATCGATCAAAGGCACATAAATACATACCAACAAAGTCAGTCATCATCACCACAGAGAAATACAATGGAATCTGTTTCTTCTCAAACCAAGCATCTGCTAATTTGATAATTTCAACAGCTTTGGCTATAGCACTTTCGTGGTCGTGAATTCCAATCATCATAAGGCTTAAATTTTTGGTGATGATTTGGTGAGCCTGTGTACAAGAAAATATTTGTAATAAAAATCAGTAAGGCCAATAATTAAGTTCGTCTTACATCTGCTTCACTTTGGGGGATTGAGACCAGAATGTTAGTGCAAATCTTTGTGATATCCAAATCCAAATCTTTCCCCTCAACTTCACCCATGTATCCTCGAATTTCGTCAATCAAATTGGCAAGAATCATCCTCCACATATCAAAATCTTTTTCAGTCTTGATACTCTTAGCGTACTTGGAAAATCCAGTCAAGCATTCATGAACCTTAACAATTGAAGTGAGCCACTGCAATAATAAAATAAATTATTGTAATACAATGCACATTAACTTAGAGTTTGCTAAATTAAGTACCTTCAAGGTGGGATGGTCCTCGATCAAGTTGAAACACTCATTATATGCTCCAGTAGTAATCGCGTCCAGGACAAATTTTGTTCCAAACATTTCCAACTTTTTATCGTCGCCCAACTTGGATGAAATGTAGCATCCAGCATGGAAAGCGTATGGAAGTGCACGCTTCTCAATGACCGCCAGTGCGTTTGAGTATTCCCCAGAGGAGAAGTAGATTTTTGTTGCCAATTCATAGTTTCCGTCATTGATTGCACGATAAGCCCATTTTACCAATACTTCATGGAGTAATTCCTTATTATCCGGTTGATTAGCCTTGAGCAGAGAGACGGCTTCACGGAATAAGGCATGGTCCACGAGAACTTTCACGGCAGTGTCAAGCTTGCCAACGAGCAGGAAGTACATGCTGGCTCGGACGTATTCTTCGCTGTCGACCAATTGCTCCGCAAATACGCTCACTGCCTCCAAGTATAATTTCTGTGAAAATGGAGATGCCATAATAATCATGGATTCCGTGACTTGACGATTCTTGATGGCTTTTTCAATCCATTTGCTGTCTCCCATCCAACCTGAGAGAATAACAGAGTGGTCAAATTGTTTTTTGGCGTCGTGACCTCGCCCTATAAATATTAACACAATTTATTATTTTTAATTCTTTTTTAGTAATAATAGAGTAACAAATTAAATTATAACTTACGCTCTACTTTAAGCATCTCTACACAATTCTCCGCACTTCCTAAAACTCCTAGATAGACGGATGGATGATCTGGATCCTGCCATGCTTGAGCAGCACTTCCTCCTTTGACTGGCTTTTTATCCGCGAGATAAGTCAATTCTTCAGTAATTGAGCATTTGCTGTTAATAAGGCTGTTTGATGTAAGTGGGAGAAGAGACTTGGGCTTTGTCGTCTTCTTGGTCGAACCACTGGCGACGACTTTCCCTGCACCAACGTGCTGAATCGACACCACTTGCTGGACTTCCTCAGTGGCACGAATTGTTTCATTGGTCGCTTTAACGGCTTGCACGGGTCTGCATCCAAGAATTTTTTTAGGCGCGGATCGTCGAAATGGGTGGGCTGGAATGAAATTAATTAGTTAAATTACTTTGCTCATTTACAACTGCGTATTAAATTGCATTCAACACTATTCACCTCGATAATCCCAGACATGGACGGAGAAGTCGCAGGATTGCTCGTCACTGACGGAAATCACTTTATATGGATCAGTTGGATGGAAACAGCAAGCCACTAGGCGATGCAAATGATTCATATAACGTGCCACGTGTGATCCATCTTCAATATTCCATATCTATAATTTCGCGAGGCGAATTCAGCAATTAGTCAATCAAGTCATAAAAATTTATCAATTTTATAAACGTTAGTATAACTTACAATCGCAGTACAATCATATGCCACAGTAACAAGCAAGTTCTTATTAAAGGGACTCCAGGCACAAGAAATAACCCGAACTCCGTGACCTTGCAATGTAGCCTCGCTACTGATCAGCATTAATGGTTCTTTTTCTATGACGGGATCACTTGCATTCGCCTTCAACTCGTTGTACAGTGTACCAAGATTATACAAACGGGTTGTGCCATCATTCGATGCAGAAGCCAGCCATCGGGTTTCACTTTCTTGCCCACTTTTGAAGTCGAAAGGCCTCCAAGTTAGAAACTGAACAGCACGCAAGTGACACTTTATCCAACAGACTACTTTCAAATTGGGTGGGGTATACAACTCTATACGCCTACACATTCAAAAAATGCAAGTTCTTATGTTCAGTGCCTCAAACATGATTTCCAACAGACAGACGGATAGTTATGCAAATAAATACTTACCCATCATGGTATCCAACGGCCAACAATGAAAAGTCTGGGGCCCATCGAACCTCCGTAGCTTTGTTGGTACATAGACTACTGCTCTTATTATTTTGATTACTTGCTTCAATAATCCTGCTCACGTTAATCAACGCATTTGTAGGTCTAGATGGGCTGATCATGTACACCGTATTTCCTCCACACGCGTACAGCATCATTTGATCCTTTTCCTTTTTGTTCTCAGGAGAACCCTCGCTTTCAGCAGGAAGGGCAGCGTCATCATCATAAGAAGCTCCAGCAGCATTTTCAGGTTCAGCAGTTTCGCGAGAAGGTCGTACATAACCTTCAGTATAGACTGAAGGGCCAAACATGACGGTATAAACCGTTCCGTTGACTCGACGCTCAAACTGTGTCGCGAATCGATTGTTTTCTTTCAACTCGTAAACGCCAAGGACGCCTTCATCAGTGCCGAATCCAATGAAGTTATCGCGGGTGGGGTGCCATGCCATCTATTATTATCATTGCATTATGCACTTTAAAATACGTAAGTATTATCGACTAAACTTGAAGTGAGTTTGTTATGTGCTGTGCGAATGGAGCTAAACTCACGAGAAACCCTAGTCTCAGCACAAGGTACTTCAGGAGGCCGTAGGTTTAAGCTCCACCCGCACAGTACATAACTCGTTCACTTTATGTATAGATAAAAATAAGTAGTCAGACTCTTACGGCAGTAACTTTCCCCTTCAATCGATGAGTGAGAATTGGAGCTCTATTGCAACCATCACCTTCATTCGGGTAGCCGGAGACGCATTTAAGGACACGAATAACAGAATCTGTTCCTCCAATTGCTAGTCGAGATGAATCCACGGGAGACGGAGAGAGGACACATATTCCTTTGAATGTGGGGATGACACATTCAACCTCCATCGTCCTCAAATTATAACCAACAATGACTGGTTCGTATGCCAGCGACCATACGATGTCCCCACATTGGACGATTGCAAAAATAGCATTGTGGGTGTGAGCCTAGTTTGGGAAACAATATGAAATTATTTATCAAATTAATCGTCTTGAATAAATTATCTACGAAAGATAAGATACGCACGTTGTGAAGCAATGTGGGAACAATATCGTTCGACCAGGCGTACACTTCTCCTCGTCGTCCGGTAGAAATCATTAGCAATTTCCCAGAATTAGGATCTCTAGCCCAACCCGCACTCCCAAACATTTTGAATGGTCTGACTCTGCCGTCCTTGTCCCAAACTTGCAACTTCCCAATGTCTGCCCCCATCTTGTCCCAAACCCGAATGGAGGGCATTTTCATGGAGTGAATGCTCGATGCGAGTAAAGGAAGCTTTGTCTTTGCTCCAGCATTGAAGTATTTCACGAGATCAAATTCTCCTTTAGGCATCCACGCTGTGGACACTACTTCCTCTTCGTGACGAACTTTTGCCAGGATTTTACCGCTATTTCCTGTTAAAAAATTATTAAATCAAATGACTTGAGAAATTAATTGATTTTTTAACAGTGAAAGTAGAGCTGAATAATACCGGTGACATCCACAATTAGCACGTTCCCACCTCTGGTACCAAAGCAAACTATATCTCTTTCATTTGGCGACGCGTTCAGACAAGTCGGATTGATTTTTCCAAAGTTCATGGTTCGAAGTGTGTTTTTCACAACGTCCCAGACGCTCATTGTTCCCTTATCGTCAATCGCGTAGATAACTGAATGATCGCATGGAGACCAGTCAAGACCCGTGATTGGATTTCCCTGCATATGATTTTTATTTCAAGTTAACAGATTAATTATTTAATTATTAATTACTTATCAAACTTACGGTGTGACTATCATGGAAAATCATTGTCGATTTATTATCCAAATTCCATATTCGAACAACCCCCCTTTCACATCCAGACACCAAGGGAGCGTTAGCCACAGGCAAATAGTCCCAGGAACTCTGGCAAAAGCTGATTGCATTATATTTTTCAAGTTGGGGTCCAACCAGCTCGAATCTCGGCCATCGTTTGTTAGAAGACGTATCACTGGCAACTTTCGGACTTGCACCATGTATTTGACCAATGTCTCCTGCTGCTTGTTGCTCCTCAGGATTTTTCTTCGCTTCGGGTGGAATGACCAGCTCTTCCGGCTTGGATGGATAAGAGATTGGTGGATAGACTAGGACGATAACTCCGGCGGCACAATACGCCCACATGTCGTCACGGGAGGCAGCAATAGAGCTCTTGTACCAAGAGCACGGTGGTGGAAATACGACCTTCTCCGCAATTACAGGAGGAGATGCTTCATTATTAGACGCCGAACACGACGCATTTTGTTCCGTCATTACGGTTGGCGATGGAGTTGCCTCGGCCGGTGTACTCGTACTTGGTCCAGCGACTTCATCCGTCAAATCAACTACTTCAACGTCTTGAACGATGGAACTGTGTTCGTGTACAATTGCCATTTTGGTGTCCCTGATTAAATACGTACAAACTATAAATTAATTCGTCCTTAAAATCTTACGTTCCTTCACTTTTATCTTTTACTTACCCCACAAAGAAACTGATCAACACGACTTGCTAGATCCTCTCTCCTACCTCATCTACCCTCCAACTTGACAAAATAACTTGGAAATATAAATTTTCGAATCAAATTTTGAATCAAACTTCAAAACCAATCCAAAAAATTCTACTTCATTTCTTTCCCTGCACTACTCGCTCGCTTCTTCGCTCACTCAGCACTTTCGGCGGAATGCTTCTGCTTGACGTTTTTGTCTTTTTGGTGGTTTTCCGATTTGTGCTTGCACGTGAGATTCAAACGTCCCGCTCCCTCTCAGCCAGCCTCTGCCAGGTTCAATTTGAATAAATGTCACATTCGCTCGCTCGCTTCTCTCCTCCTCTCTTCTTCTCAACCACAATTTAAATATTACTCTGACTTAATTGCTGCAACTTGACTTAATTAAAATTATTTATTCGAGCTATTACTCAAGTCGACATTACTACTTCCTCCCGAGCAACATATCCTATCCACGACGACTTCCTCCGTCCAGCCAGCAAAGAAGAGAGAAATTGCACGTAGTACGAATCTAAACAACAGGTTGATTTTGAACCGACGAGGATTTTTACTTGTCAGTCGGTTGTTTTTTAGTAATTTGTTGAATATTTGAGTTATCAAGTGATAAGGTGCAAAGTACGGACGGGGTTGAAAGGAAGGAGTGGTTTGGTTAAGGTTGGATCTTTATTCGTCCCTTTTTGTAAGGAAGATAGGCTGTCAAGATGCCGAAAGCGGTAAGTGAAATGTTCTAATTTAATTAGTTATTTTATTGTAGTTGATAAATTGGGGACAGGATTGGAATTTATTGGGCTTTAGTTGTTGGTTTATACATAAGAATCGGCATCATCCAATTTTCAGAATAATCATGAATCATAGCAATCGCAGCGTTACAGTTAAAATTAACAAGTATTTAATTGCCGTGTTTTGAATACATCATTTTAAACCAAAGTTAAAAACATTTTGTCAGATTTAATGAATTTAATGGGCGTTAAAGTACTCGGATTTAGAAGGACTTTATACTCTGAGTGGTTGGATTGATTTGAAAGCCATTTAAAATGATAAAATTCATTCATTCTTTCACAATCAGATCAGAACATGAAACCAAACCCAGTTTAAGTTACAATTTATTTATGGATGACTCGTTATCAAGTTGTGGTTATCTATCTCCCACAAACCCATGCAAAGCCTACATTTCTGACACAACTTGGTCTGACTGATAAAACAATAATAAAACAAAGCATTCTTCTGGACCAGGTCATCCATTTAGTATATTCAGGATATTATCATTTCAGTAAATATTGTCACTTATTTGAAATTAGAATTATGTTGTACGATTAAGTTGATTGATTGGCGTATACAATTTTCCAGGGCAAAATCGTACATGATTTTTTTTTACGGGACACATTTATTTTCAGCATGGATTTGTTTTTTCCAGATAATTTAGGTTATCTTCTGAATAAAATACTTTGAAATAGGACCATCCCATAAAATAATTAATAATAAATAACCCTAGTTTAGAAGGGATGATCTGCTCGATCAATGAATTACTACACGCTTTCATTTATTTTCTCTCGTCAATTAATCCGCCCGCATTCATCTTAACAAATCGATCTTTACTACTTAAACGGAAGTTGATTCATTCATTGTGCCCACCTCGATAAAAAACAATGGATGTGAGACACTAAAATAATATGGATAGTAGACAGCGTAACATCGTATCGTATTTACTGATTCTCCTCTCCTTTCTTCGTATTTATTATTAACAACAAGCGAAAACGGGGAACGAATTGTTCCCATTGTTTAAACTCTTCTGAAGATCTCCTACAACAGTTGAATCACATCACATCACGAATTGAATCTTCTTTTCGTCCTCTTCATCATCATCATCATCAGTTTGACTGAACTGTTAAATCTTTTCTGAGATTTATTATTTGCTTATCTCATCTCTTCTACACGTCCGTATTCATTCACCACATATGCATTCGACAATATATATTCTTTTACTACGACTACCTACCACATAACATAAAGATAAAAAGCCAGCCTCTCGGTTCTTCGTTCTTTCTTTTCTACCGGTATTGCCCGAGGCAGATTTCATTTCTCGTCTCATCTTCACTTCTTCTTGGGTTTATAAACTCTTAAAAACTTGGTGTTCTTACGAGTGCAACTAACACCACGACGGTTAGTTGTTGTTTGTTATATGTAGAATTATTTCTTCTTCCTTTCCATAGTAGATATTATTATACTACTGCTTACTTGCCACTTGTTGGAATTATCTGTGTATGAAAAGAAGGGTTAGGAAAACGAGGGGTGAGAAGGCTGATGATGATAATGGTAGTGTAGTGATGATGACGACGATTATACTTAAAAATGATGAATCAGACAGAAGCAGGTTGGTTATACCTGCAAATATTTTACACGAGTTTGTATTGCATTGCATGAATTAGATTTGGTACTCGTAGCAGCAGCCGGCTTTGAAAATATTGGTATTTGCATGAGGAGACCGGACATGAAGAATTTCTGCTGTAGGATTTGGTTAGATTGACAATAAAGCATTTAAGCTAAACTGGCATTACTATTCATTTGGATAGATGGTAACTAAATGTGTACAGCATAACTGGCCCTTATCATCAGATGATGAACGAAAAATACTTGACACGGTTTGGTCGAGTATGATAGAGAGAGAGTTGCAAATTTTTTGTCATTAAAAGTAGGTGTAATGCGAACTAAGGATAAGAATGCTGCTTAATTGACTTATTTACTTACACGGTAATAATATTGGTAGGATTACTATGTTCTCTGCTGAATGAGAAATCGCAAGAAAAAGCAAAGAAAGTAAGAATAATAAATGCTGAGCAAATGCATGCAACAGGTGTTTTAGTGCGAGTAATTCTAAAGGAGGAATTTTAATATTTGTTTGGTTTTGTCATAGATTGGATGGATAAGTGGTAAATTCTTTCTGGGTCTGGTGCACTGTGTCACGATTTGTCACAAAAATTTAAAGAAAGTTTAAAACCTAAAGAATGGCACCACTTACTTGTTAAATCAAACAATAGTTTCATTTTTCATGGTTTCTTGTCGTTTCTTTTTGTTTACTTTAAAAGCTTGACACATTAGACTCGCCTTGTCCATCGCGCAATTGACAAATTGCACACCTTCTTCTTCCTTGTGGTCTTACCTTCTTGAGGCTTCTTCTTGCCTACTTACTTACAAATTGTGTGTATCTACAAGGTGTTGAAGTGAAGTACCTGTTTTATGTGGCGTAAATGTAAATGTAAATTAACTCATCTGCGTCAGTTGTCAGTCAATCTTGTCTTGACTCGTGGTGGGTAAAATCAGTCTCAAAGCAGTCACGGGGTAAAACCCCATAGAAGAAGAGATTCTTAATAGTTTGAGATTTTCCATGTCATGTAAACTTTTGATATCGTCAAACTAATTTTTTGTCGTTAATTTTTACAAGAAATTCATTAATTGAATTCGCCATGATTTCAGTGTCAAACGAAACCTGAACATGATCTGCTGTTTGTTGGGATATGAATTTTTATGCGATTCTGAAATTCCCCTTTTTCAAACACAACCACTGCTGTACCATAAAGGTTGAAACAAAACGAATAACCTTGAGTTTTTTATAGTCTCGTTTCAATTTAACGAGAGAAGGAGTTTAGTTTATACGACGTGTATTTCGTAATTAAATAGAATTTATCCGAATGCCATCCGTAACATTCTCATTCACAGAGAGAGAGAGATGGATTACATTTATATGTGAATTGTTATCTCATACACAGCGAGTTGCATTAAAATGCATATCCGCCTGTCATAAACAGAGTGTGATGCGATATGACGACGAGGGGATGTTGTCTGGTTTCATTGAGATATGGAATTGATGAGATAGAGATAGAAATTTTATTCTACTTCAATTTACATTACAAAATATAATATTTTTAGCATGTAAATCGTAGTTAGAACATTGTTCTGAAATTTTGTTGTGAGCACATTTGTTGGATTGAGCATAATAAAAACTGGTTCTCATTAACAATTAATCATTTTAGTTTGATGAATCTTTCAAATAATGGACCAACCAAGTCTGGTGGTGGTAATTTGTTTGTTATTTTGGTGTCTACATTACATGAAATGAATGATGAATACCTGACTGAAGCAGCGTCAGACTTTGATCCGGTGCCGTCGGGGTGAATTAGTCTAAATTGTAAAAATACTCCCCCCACCATAGAAGAAGTTGGTCTTTGTAGATTACGAACCTTATATGACTTGATCGAATAATCTGTCTGCTGGAGGTGGATTTTCGTGTGGTTGTTGTGGAGGAATGGAAATTCCTAAGTTGAAGACTTTTTTGACCTCATCTTGCTGTTGATGAGTGACAGGAGATCGATGTTTTAAAGCTTGTTGTTCATTAATTGTTTGTGGCACAGGATTCTAATTCAAAGCGTCAGAGAGCAGAGAGAAAAACGCCCTCTTGGCTTTAAAATTATATGTTTTTGTAATTCGTTGCTTTAATTGAAGGTTATTGCATTTTAATTCTTGGTTTTTATAGAGCTGCTGGTAGTGCTGGTTGAAATAAGCTCGAGCATTTGAGCATAGCTGGCATATTATATTTGGTTTGTTGTTATTATGAGCATGCACAGTGTAAATTGATTGTTTCTATAATGGTCGTCATATATAAGTCAAGTTCAAAGTGTGACCATCACAGTGTTTATTTTTCCCTTGTTATGAATATCACGAGGAAGAGATGCAATGAGGGTGAATTTCATAATGTCCATCACAGAAATATGTATCCAGACTGTATCAATCATCACCATCAAGGGTTGTCAATTAGTTCTCCTCCTCTCTCTGTGTGGATTTAGGAAGTGATTTATGTAAGGAAGGAACCTAATATGCAAAACATTTCAGTTTGGTTAAACCCAATTCTCATCAAGTGTATTAAATACATGTCGGAGTAGCGTAGTGGGAGTAGGTTACTAAAAATGAGTTTTAATGGCTATGCAAACATATCATATTATGTATTTTACTCATTACTTCATGATAATGCTGACAACAAGGAAAAGTTAAAGTAGTAGTAAAAAAATTTATGTCGAGTTTTGTCTTTGCTGGATTTCCAAACAAATGAGGAGACCATTATACACCATAAAATTAGATGGGGCGGACGATGGGGGAATGCCAAGTGTAGAAATTAGGTACAATTTGTATTCGTTTACTTACTACATTCCATTAGCTGGGATTTGTAGGGTGTTGTTGTGGGTCATATTCATATTGTGTAATCATGAGCATAACAATGTTTTCTGGACATGTCAGATGCAACCATAAAATGTTTACTTGATACTTATTTCCTGCAATAAGTCAAGATTATGCAGCTCTGGAGAATAATAAGCGACTTGATCTATTGTAATGTGACTTTAAACCTAAATTATTCTGAGAATCTATTGCTTAAAATGTCTACTGGGTTCTCCAGAGATAAATCAATTATTGCCTATTTCCTATATTCTTAGCCAATCTAATGATGGCGATTGCACAAGAACGGAGAGTTGCAATTGTACTGTAACTAACTCATCCTCAGTAAGAAAATTGTTATAATAATCCCGTGAATTCCTCCTGTGAGTAGCTAAATTACGAATAGTAGTGCTGGAATAATACAATACAATGAATGAGGTGGTATAAGCAGGGTAGGATAAATGCTTAAAAATCATTTTTACCAACGAACCATGTCAGAAATACAAAAAGTAATGTACGCAATGTATTTCATATCATATTTAAGTGGTGTTTGACTACCTTTTATGCTTTGCTTTCAAGTTTCATGATGTTGAGTCAGCCCTTAGTTGATGGAAGTTAAGCAAGTTAACTTCAGTGCACATTTGCAGTTCCAACCTTACACGTATTATCGTGCGAGTAGGTTTGGTTTAGTTTGTGGTAGATATCAAGTAAGTTGGTGAGTCAGTTCACGGCAGAAAAGTTTCCAGTATTACGTTTTGTACATGATAATACTTATTACATACACGAGCAGGAGTAGTGTGATCGAGTGAGCAAGCTCATCCTATTTCATTGTGGAAGTGCTGCCGGCAAGTTTGTTCGTTAAGGATTTCTGTTACAGTAGAACGGCGAAGAGAATCTCTCTTGGTAAAAGTTTTACCAACTGTCACTCCATTATACTCACCTCATTTCATACCGGTAGAAAAACTCAAGAAGAACACGGTGGAAAAAGTGCATTGAAGAACAACGGAAGAAAATTATATTACCTCTGCTGGAGAATTAATTTGTTGAAAAGTGCAAAGTTTAACAAATAGCGAAACACATACACAGGCAAAATGGTTGCATCAAGTCGTTCGGTAAGTAAAAGAGACAAAGGTTTTCAGTAAATGAATAGTAAAACTTTCAGGGTCTGGAATTGAATTCATTAATTATATAATAATATCTTACTTCACTTCACTTTCTGCTGCTATGTTGAAATCAGCATGAAATTTGAGCACGCCTTGTCAAGTTTTTTTGTAAAAATGTGGAAAAAACACGGCATAGATAGGTAGATAAATCTCATCATCTGCTCATTGCTGACGTAGAGATGAGAAGGATCCATCTTTTACCGCAAGGCAGAGAAATAACTGATTGATGAGCATAAACTGATTGCATGATCTCAATTATTTTCCTTAATATTAAAAGTTAAGCAGACTAAAAGAAATGAACGGATATTGCTCACTACGAAGAGTGCAGGCAGGTAGAGTACATATAATAAGGTGAAGGTTTTATTTAGCACTGCTTATTCCAGACAACAGACACCTCATTCTGAATTCATTCTAGTAGTAGAATTGAATTGGGGATGATTAATAAATTGAAGAGAATAGAATGAAGGTGTCGATGAGTTTCGAAGCCGTTGGAAGAATTAATTAATGCTGGATCACGGACAGGAACTGGCGTAATCGTCACAAGGACTAAACACCTTTTTACCATAATATCTAATCATTTGTGACATTAGAATCAGCTTAGACTTTCAGTTATTCCATTATTCTATAGTTAGTTAGTACAAATAATGATATGTTTTTACTAAACATGGATTTTTCATTTGTGAAATTTGATTCATGTAAATTTACCTACTAATTTTTAGTCTTTGTTAAAAACTATGTGAGAATTTAGCTGTCTCATCCTCACGGTCATTAGGACTGTGCTTATTGTTGTACATACACATGTAAAAACAAAATGGGAAATTTGTGAATGAAATTCTAGACAAAAATCGCCTGTAATATTCAACTATTTATTTGGTCTCAACACATTCAATATCAAATTGGCAGATTTTGAATAGTACAGCCTGCAAAATAAACTAAACGATGTTGTTTTGCGGTTGACTCTGTTGCTTTTTAAAATTTTGACAAAGAGTAAACCAGAGGATGTTTTACTATGAATTGTGTGATCATTCACTATTATATTTTAACATCCTTCTCATCATCGTATCTCAGTGATTTTTTGCATAAATATGCATGCATACGACACCGACTGACACATTTGTACAGTTACTATTCACAAGTATGATAATTTGATTCTTCTTAGTGAATTATTCAAGGTGTTCAAATCCATTAGAAGTGAAATGAGGTTTTTAACTGTGTTAGACTAATAAACTTCCCAGATAATTTTGCAATACCGCACACCGTTCATGTCAGATTGCCTGCCTAATTTTAAGCTGACAAAAAAATGCAGGTGTTGTGGTGAAAGATTAGATTTTACTCATGTCTGTATGTACAGGGGAAGGAAGAATATTGCCGATTGGCAGACGGCACATTACTACGCTGATGATATTGAATGGAAAATATATATATTTTAAGAAATAAAACGGGAGGGAAGGTCAACTAAAAATAGTGATAATATATTTTGGCTCATTTTTACGACCCCTCTGTTGTCGGCTCAGCAGAGGGAAACACGTTTTGTTTTATTATTATTGCCACCAAAAAGTAATGATGACAAGGCAGTTCATAATTTCATGATTTTTTTATCCCGTGGTATTTACATTAAAATGAAGGACGCTGTATTATTTTGAATTTCGCCCAACTAGTTGAACTACATCACAATAATTTTCTTCTAGCAAACATTCATATCGTAGATGATTGCATTGTTGTTGTGAACTAGGTTTATAGGTGAAATGTGAAAATAATTTGGGTACTCGAGCAGATTAACTGCTCTGTTAATACAATAATTTGCTGTCATGCACTATAATTTGTTGTGTGAAAAAATTTGTCAATTGTAATCATGATTGGATTTGAGTAATTGGTTTGTGTTGCATATACATAAATATTTGGATTTATTTGCAAAAAAAGTGCAACATTTGCATGTGATGCATGCAACAAAAATTATTACGATGACTGAGGTCTTTATTGTTGTGTGAGTTGTGTAAATGTATCAATTTCCATCCACCCCTGTTGATTTAATCAAATAATGGAGTATAACAGAAAGTACGACGACGTAATTAGCAGAATGGACTTTAAACTACTCGCAACAATGATCGTGGCGAAAAAGATGATCGGATTTGTTGGAGTGGGTCATCGTCATCTTCTTCGATTTAATAGTAATAAAAATCGCGTCGAGTTGAATTCCCAGTTTTTACAAGGTTCTAAAAAGGTTCGACTCTTTAATGGACAAGTTATCTTACGTAATTATGTAGGGATTTCTATGATGCGATTATAAAAATGCGATGTTTGTAATATATATTTGATCAATGACTTTGACGAGTACGAGTTTTTGTTTGTTATCAAAACAAAGAGAAGCCAAACTAGCTCACATTGTTACACAGGCTTCAATTGCATATCATTCATTTCTGTGTGTGAACGTTGTTACAACAATTTTGCACAGTCACATGCAACACGCCGAGGTCAGTCTAATTATTATTTTATTAAAACCGGCCGGTAAATTCAGTATTTTTAGCTGAGAAAATATACATTGGACTCGACTGGAGTAGTACACGAGTACTTTATGTATGTTCGTTTAACTTTTTTCACACGGCACATTAAGAGTCCAACAATTATGCATTATGTATGTGTGTAAAGACTGAACTACAATTATTATTTTTTGCAATATGAAAACCCTTTCATAATGCAATGACGTAGACGTTGGTTGGTAAATACAGATATGTTAGATTGTAGAAAAAGAACCAAGTAAATTGCTCCTTGTAATGCCACTAGAAACATTACAGCATAAGCCAAAAGGGTAGAAATGAAGATTTTAATAACAATGGAAAATTTAACAGACAGTTGTCTGGAATCTCTGGAATTAAGTTGAAATAATTTCAATATAATTCACCAACCATTATCATTCTCCGTCCGTTCGTATAGTAGAAGCCAACTAATTATTATTATTATGGAGGTAACTTCCTCGTATTTTTCACTCGCACTGCATGTGCTACATTGATTCATGCATTTTGGTTCATTCTTTTAAACGAAATATTTGCCAGAGACCCACATGACCCATGATTCAATCTTTGCATAAAATAATTTTAGTTTACTAAGTTTTATTTAGTTTTGGCAGCTTTTCAGATTATTATTAGGTTGAACCAGAACCAACCACTTTTTGTTTTTCAACTATAAAACACTGGAGTAACAGTTCCAATTTTAGCCATTCTATTAGTATTAAGTACAGATAGATAAGCAGGAGGGAGAGAGGGTGGAAGAAAGGAAGGAAGGTTATTACTCAACCAAACAAATGTTAACCGTTATTAACATGAAAAAATTAGAGACAAAAAAGTGAACGAATATAATAATGCTGTTCACTTTCAGTATTCTCTCTCGGTGAGCAGATGTTTCTAATCTGTTTTCTCATTGCTGGATTGTGAGATGATGTCATCTCTTTTTGGTCGTCCTGACCAGAATCATTTAGAAAGAAAATGAAAAAATGAGCATTGGTGGATGTATGGAGACTTATTTCCGTTTTACTCATGTTTCGACTCGTTTCTTCCAGTAGCATGTGCGAAGTATGCCTTTCGCTTAGACGAAAATTAGACCAACGGTTGAAATATCCTTGACATGACTTTGCCGGAGCAGTTTATTTGTACCTTGCCATTGTTGATTTTAGAAAGAAGCGCATTTTCCAGTCTTTGAGTATGTTTGTCTTTGTTTTTTTTCACCTGGCAGAATTACATCATCGCTTTGCACTCACTTACCTTGTCTTTCATTCAATCATGGTTATGGTTATGATGATGGTTGGGATTATTTGCATTAGTTGGAAGGTGGAGTGGCTCGAGTATTTTCAGTCCATATCCGGTCATATTTGTTTTTGGCAGGGTTATGCTAATTGCTGAGAATTGCATCAGCACTAATTGTTCAAGAAAAACTGCATTGATATCGATGAGGTGGCCAGGCATGATGAGGCGAGATCGTAAAGATCACGAATAATGAATATTTTTAGAATGGGTGAACGTTGGATAAAACGATGACATAATTTGTTATGTGCAATTAATATGCAAATTGTGGAACATCTTGATTTTTAGTTGCGGTTACTTTTGTATTTCGTGGATTACATTGCATTGAAGAAACTTGTAGCCGTGTTTAATTTCGCATTAAAACAGAGAGAGTACTGCACTGTAACTGTGTCATTCCTGTTCATTAGTTGCACCAGGACATAATTTTGTGGATTAGCTCATTTCATTGTTTGTTTCACGCGAATGCAAGACTGAAAATGAAAGTTGTGTGTGGTAGATGGTGGAGTACCAGACTCTTGTATAATTAATCAGCCAGCTCGTGTATTCACAGAATTGTTATTGTGCAGGATGATGTTCTTCTTCTGTATAATGTCATACGTGACAAATGCATTTTTGTGTGATGTCACCAATTTATGTATTACTACGTATAATCACAAATCATTAAACCTTATGTAGACATTTGCATTATGTGATGCTTCGGTCGGTTACAAATACTCTTTTTTCTAACGGACATACGTAATTAATTTTTGGAAAAAATAACTCATTAAGAAAACTTTAAAAGTAGGAGCTTGATGATTTTTTGTTCCTAGGAAAATAAACTCATCCCCGTCAAAATATAAGACTTGCATTGTCAGCGTATCATTATGAAACGATGATGATCCCCAATTATACTAATTTGGATTTCATTGTAACATTTACAAAAGGCGTTAGGACATGGTTTTGACGAATTCATACCTTAATTGCGGGATGGTTTTTAGTTGTAGAGATTTCTAACATTTTTTATGTGAAAGCCCATGTCTCAAACTATAGGTAAGCATATCTGGCTTCCGATTTTGTGTACTCTGTGAAATGAGGCAAGGTCAAATTTGGAGAGGTGTCCTTTTTTAGTTTTCCAAATCAGTGTTCTAATAAAATGGCGTTGAACAAAATATTTTTTTCTGAGGTCCCGGTGCAAAAATCGTATTTGCGACTATTATCAAGGGACTTATCATGCTTTTCACTATATAAAACCACTTTTGTATCATGCTTATCTTTTAAGTCCCTTTTGTAGTCTAGCTTCATACTTGTCCTAATGGAATGCTCTCGTGAACGCAACTCCTCGACTTTTAAGGCCCCCACATTTTAGGACTTTGATGCTAAAAATCCCTAACGTGGTTTTTATCCAAGGTACATATAGTATATTGCACTGTAAGTACTTTTGATAAAATTTTGATAAGTGGTTACACCCCACGAAATGAGTTTTCATCAAATCCTACAAAATTTTTGGAAAAGTTTCCGTCATTATCGAGATCGAACTTCAAAAATAATTTAACTAGCCAAACCGCAGCAATTTTATTATTTTGTCACTTGTACCTTGTAGATAAAATAGTTCTGTAGCAGGGGACACAAAAAAGTTATTAAAATTTGTTTTCAACAAAATTTGACCATTATTTTCCCAAATTAGTTCACGAGGTTTTTACTATTCCCCGTCAGCTGATTAGCTAGGGTCGTTCTCCAAAACTGTTTACACAAAATCTTCACTGCTTAATTTAATATTATACTCTACTCAACTTATGTATGTACTGTGCGGGTGGAGCTTGTGAAAAGTGACGTCAGCTTCATCATCCAATCAAAGATTTTCTCCATATTATTTGAACTTAAGTGCGGAAAATAAGCTGTCAAAACAAAGTTTTTCATCAACACATCAATACTAATTGTTTGTTTTTAACAAATTGTAACTAAAATTCTTATGGTTGACACACGCATATCATTAAATTAATAATATCATAATGCTGCAGCCACAGTTACTACACAACCAAAAACCCTCAAGGGCCAAGCGAACTACAATTACTAGTGGAACTCGAAAGATCATTCGAAATGTGTACAATTATTTAAAAACTTCAGATGAACACGGACCAGATGAGAATCATCAACTTGCATTTTTATCCAATGGGAAACGAAACGTAAGTACTACAACTGGACGATACTTCTTCGACTAACCTTAATATAAGAATAGAAGGTTCAAAATCCAATTAATTGATTCGTACGTTTGCTTCAGATTCCAGGGATCGCAGCGTCTATGCTAGGAATCCATGAAAATTCTGTGAGAGGTTGTATTAAAAAACAACCTAATCTAAACACCCCGCCTCGAAAAAAACGAAAAACGAAATGGGAAATTGATGATTTCGATCAAACCGGGATACGAAATTTGGTTTATAGAAATTTCGAACAAGGTGCAAATATGCATGCATACATTTTAATAAATCACTTCATTAACGATTTATAATATAAATTTCAGGAGCACATATCACGCTACAAACGCTCTTAAACGAAATTAATGAGAAAATCGACACATTTATTGAATCACCCATTAAAATTAGTATTCTACGGATTATAATGCATCAAATTGGATTTGAGTATAAAATGATCGATCACAGATTACGATTAATGGAAAGACAAGATATTGTTGAACAACGTAAAAAGTATTTGAAGTAAGTTTTAATTATCGTGACTCATATAAAATCGATAGTTATTGAAAACGAACCGTCATATTGCATGCTTGAATAAAACATACTTAATTTGTACAACATGATCATACTCTTTGTCCGTGATATTAATTTAATTATTGATGAGCATTGCTGAACTAAATTCCTATTTGACTAGATTTTTAACAAAAATGCAAAAGATGATAAACTCAGTCAAGCGCAATTTATTGTGTTGTGTACAATTTGTTGTGTATTTTAGACGAAAGAAAGAAATTGATGCCACCAATAAAAATGTCGTGTTTTTGGACGAAACTTGGGTCAATAAAAATCACCAAAAGCAGAAGGTTTGGACCGACGGCACCGTCAAATCGAGACCAAATTGCAAAATCGGAAAGGGTGATCGTTTAATTATCACGCACGCTGGATCCAAGGACGGATTCGTGCCGAATGTTTTAAATATCTTTTGGTCAAATACCGGACAAGCGGATTACCATCAAGACATGAATGCAGAATATTTTGAAAAATGGTTTGTTGAGCAACTTTTAGTATCATTGGAAGAGCCAAGTGTCATAATTATTGATAATGCCAAATACCATTCAAGGAGGTACTATTTCTAACATTGAAACTGCATGATAATTATTAGCATGTAAGAGTTGCATATGTACGACTTACAAATATAAATTTTACAGACTCGATGCTGTACCTACGTCCAGTTCGAGAAAAGGCGTCATAATAGAATGGCTAACCAGCAAAAAAATCAAGTTCCCTCAAAATGCAACCAAAGTTCAACTATACGACATAGTTAAAGCTTTTAAGCCATTCAATGTCGAGTACTAAAATTGCAGAAGAGTATGGTCATGAAGTTCTAAGGCTCCCTCCTTATCATTGTATCTTTAGTCCAATCGAACTGATTTGGGCAAATACCAAAAATTATGTAGCTACACATAATGTGACCCAAAAACAAACAGATGTAAAACAATTATTTATAGATGCATGTAATAGAATAACCAGTGATAATTGGTGTAAAGCAGTAGAACATTGTAAGAAAGAGGAAAAAAAATATTGGAAAAAGGATGGCATTTCTGATAAGCCAATAACTCCCATAATTATCAATTTAAATGATTATACCGATAGTGAAAGCAGTGACACTGAATCTGAATAAATAAAATGTATTTTTTGATTGTATGATGGGTATATCATGGTGCCCCATTAAAAAGAGCGTGACGTCACTTTTCACAAGCTCCACCCGCACAGTACATACATAAGTTGAGTAGAGTATACTTAGGACACTTAGAGCTTTGCCCTCAATCTTCATTTGACCGAGTGGGTCCGCTTTCAAGGTCAGCAGGTCAATTTTCCTGTGCACGGTCCGATTGATCACTTTTCATGAAAAAGTATCAGCGACGATGAAGGCCCAACGTTAAGTAATTCATTGTGGATTCTTTTATTATTACATGCAATGATTATCTAGGGTTGTAATATTACCAATCATTCACCTATGACCTCTTAGGTTATCATGCTATATGAGTAATTCAGTTTGGAAAGTGTTTTTTTGGCTCCTTCCAACTCTGGGGGCATTTATAAAGCTATCGGCCTAAAATTTTAAATATATCTTTTTGAGAGTATTATCTTTCAACTGACCAAAAATCAGTTCAAAATTCAACTCCCCGCCAGAGATATTCACCCGCGAATTCGTCAAAACCATGTCCTAACGCCTTTTGTAGGTGTGAAAAATAAAAGGAGTAAATGACGTATTCATTCAAACTAATTCACACTTCCATAAATTAATCTAAAAAATTAAGGAAACGTGTGGTTTTCTTTGCTTCCAAATTGATGAGATTTCAATATTATTTTGCTATAGGGTTTATTGACTGGAAATTTTCATGACTATTTGCGAAACATCATCATTAGTAATGATTCATTACTCTTTTACGCTTTATGCATTCTCAATGAGCTCGTTCATATGTATGCATCATGAATAGCACGAGTTTGACCAATGAGCAAACTGTAAAAATAAATACTATCGATATGTCCCCATGCCGAATATTCAAAAGGTTGTAATGTAGATGGATATTATTATGTAAACAGCTAATGTTACCGCTCTGTTAGATATGTATCTACATCTACATTAGTTAAACGATCCAACTCTAAAGTTAAATGTTTTCTTAATATATTTCCAGGTCAATGTTCGTGTTACGACGATGGATGCGGAGCTGGAGTTCGCAATACAGCCGTCGACAACTGGGAAGCAGTTGTTCGACCAAGTGGTCAAAACCATCGGCCTGCGAGAAATTTGGTTCTTTGGACTTCAGTACGTTGACAGCAAAGGATATCAAACATGGCTCAAATTGAACAAAAAGGTATTTATTGATTCGGAAGTCCTTTGAATTTCCTGTCAATAAAAAAATACTGCTTTTCGTACAAATATTTAATCAATGTTCATGGTGTTTGTAATATGAATGGAACTCATGAGAATTGAACGCCTATACTTTTATGACGGGAAACAAACCCTGATGAAAAACATAACGATGAATTGAATGTGTAAATATGTACAATAAATGTTTTCTCTTTCTGTGATCTCTTTATAATAATGCTTGCTTATGGTGGGATATGGGAATCAATCAACAATCAATGATGATGTGCTGATGTGGTGATGGTGCCGAAATAATAATGAAATGACTAACAATTAAATCGGTGTTCCTCTTTACTCGTATGTACGTGTGCCGCTTTAAAAAAATCAGGAAGAATGGGAAAATTTTGCTGAACGGATTTCCAGAATTATAAAACTACGAAACCAGGAATTGGTTGGTATATATTTATGTACTATTTACTTATTTTACATTTTTGTCAAGTGGCTTGCATAGAATTAAATTAGCGCTGTCACATCATTTTCTATTCCGATCATCAATCAGAAAATAAAAATACAAGGTTTGTAATTTCAGGATGCAGGGCCTTGTAAAAAAACATCCTGAAGGTACTTTCACTTGAGAGTAGAATAGCAACGATAGGAATTGTATTTCATGCATTTTGATATCGATTACATTATTTTGGGGTTAATATTTTTTATGCAAGTTTTGAAATACAATTTTCGAATATACCCCTAGTTAGATTGACACACTGCTTGTAATAATTTCTCATTTGATACGAGTTCTCCCATGACTGTCTACCTTTGCTTGCTTATCACGTTTTACACACAGATATTGGTACTGTCGGTCGTAAAGATCCGATAAACAATGAGCACAATCTGAAATACTGAATGAGCTAATCTGATATAATTTTTGACGTTGATGTTGTTGCCAACATTGCATAAACACTGGTTTGTTTATATGTATGTAGCTTTGTGGAATGCAATAATATAGCATGTTGTTGGCTGGTAATCAATATGTTGTATGAATTTTTAATGGATGAGATCATTATTTTGGAATTCAATTTTGTCATCCATAATTTTAACGCTCGTGGAAAATTCTTTCCGGCTTAGTTTATTATCGTCATACTAGGTTGATGACTTGAGCCGATTACTAACACGGTGATAATGATGATGATTGTTCAAAGTAAATGTTGCACGTTTTAAGGATTACTTTTTATTATTAGTTTTGCTTGCTAATTTATGTTTAGTTTAACGCTGCTGTACAGACATACTTATGTTGATTATGTTTGTTGATGCCTGCTTGTATAACTTTTTGTAAAGAATGATTGATTGCTGGTACATTATTATCTTTTATTTTATTGAGGAAGAGGCGTGGCAAGTTTTACGTAAATGTGGAGAAAACAACTAATTTTTCTTGTAATTGTAAAAGGTACTGAGCCAGGATATCAAGAAGGAGTCGCCACTGCAGTTCCGTTTCCGAGCAAAGTTTTATCCTGAAGACGTTGCAGAAGAATTAATCCAAGATATCACAACGGTAAAATATTAATTTGAACAGATTATCCGATTCCAGAATTTTATATAATTTTAATTTTTTTTCGTTTTTCCAGAGGCTGTTCTACTTGCAAGTAAAGAATGCAATTTTGTCTGATGACATTTATTGTCCACCCGAGACCTCGGTTCTACTTGCTTCCTACGCTGTCCAGGCAAAGTATGGAGATTACAATAAAGAAATTCACACGAGTTTGGCAAATGACAGAATTCTTCCTCAGAGGTAACAAGAATTATTATTTAGCCTAAATATACGAGTTTTACAATATACCGAATTCTTATTATTAATTATAATTCCAGAGTTATGGATCAACACAACATGAGCCGAGAAGAATGGGAAGAGCGTATCGTAACTTGGTGGAAGGTATGCTGAACTAAATTTTTTAAAATCATATAATGTACCTCTATCTAGTCCTAAAGTCTATTTTTGTATCCCAAAAGGAACACAAGGGAATGATGCGCGAAGATGCAATGATGGAGTATCTCAAGATTGCTCAAGACCTTGAAATGTATGGTAAGTAAATCAGTTCTATTTTACCCCACACATATCTACGTCCACCACTCATCCACATCCTAAGCTGCCCTAAAATAAAATCATACATGATCATGAACTTACCTTTTCAAATCCACAGGAGTCAACTACTTTGAAATCAAGAACAAAAAAGGAACCGATTTGTGGCTCGGAGTTGACGCATTGGGACTTAACATTTATGAACGGGAAGATAAACTTACACCCAAAATTGGTTTCCCTTGGTATGAAAGTTGTTTTAGATGCAATAATTACGTTTCGTTCTATTTTATGTAACGTGTCATGACGAAAAATATTATTCTATGAAATAGGTCCGAAATTCGCAACATTTCATTCAACGATAGAAAATTCGTGATTAAACCAATTGATAAGAAAGCTCCCGATTTTGTTTTCTTTGCCCCTCGTCTTCGTATTAACAAGAGAATTCTTGCCCTCTGCATGGGTAATCATGAGCTGTACATGCGACGCAGGAAACCAGACACTATTGAAGTTCAGCAAATGAAGGCCCAAGCAAGGGAAGAAAAGTTGGCCAAACAACAAGAAAGGTAACTAAGAGATCTATACATATCTATCTTTCTATTCTTATACGATTTATTTGTAAATTTGTATTTGTTGCTAATTCAAGGGAGAAGCTTCAACGTGAAATTACTGCTCGAGAACAGGCCGAACGTAAGCAACAAGAGTACGAAGGACGTTTGAAGGCTATGCAAGAAGAAATGGAACGACGACAAGGCGAACTTCTTGAAGGTAAGTCTGCTATTAGCCCATGTACTATCAACTATTTCTGTTACTAGTTACTAATGTTTATGTATTGTTTTACAGCACAAGAGACAATCCGTCGTCTTGAAGAACAACTTCGAGCTCTCCAGAAGGCCAAAGAACACCTTGAGGAGCGTCAAAACGAGCTTCAGGAGATGATGGAACGTTTGGAGGCAAGCAAAGAGATGGAAGCTGCAGAGAAGCAAAAATTGGAAGATGAAATCAGGTGTGCATTAGGCGTTAACAACAAAATGATATTTGCGTCTCTTATTAACTGAACTAACGTTGTCTTTATTTTTTATATAGAATGAAACAAGAGGAAGTTATGCGAATCCAGGAAGAAGTGCAGGCCAAGGACGAGGAGACCCGAAGACTCCAAGAAGAGGTTGAGGCCGCACGCAAACGTCAGGAAGAAGTCGCGGTAAAGATTTATTAATTTTAATAGAATAACGTGAATGAAAGGCAGAGTCTCCTCCTTCTGAGAGATCAGACCTCAGTGCTTTCGTGTTAATGGCCTTCAACACGAATTAATATTTCTTTTTTTTCTCCGGGATAGAACGCTCTTATCAATGCTACCACCACCCCAGCAAACCACCACTTGACAGATCACGATGACGATGATGAGTTAGTGCCAAACGGACACTCGCAAGAATTGTATGGTGGCGATGGCGAATATGCTGACCCTGTTGATGGAATGCAGACCCAATCACAGAAGAATGAAAAATTGCAATCACAACTTAAGGTAACAAAACTTAGATTTTGAACTAGTGTTCAAGATGTGGGTGGTTGCTCATAATGTAACGTCTTCTTTGATATGCACAGATGTTGAAACAAGAGCTCATGGAAACTCGTGACGACAGCAAAGAGACCACCATGGACAAACTCCACAAAGAGAATGGTGAGGATTAGTACACTGACTGAAATGACATGAAAAATAACAAGTACTTAACATATTATTTTTCTCTTTCAGTTCGACAAGGGCGAGACAAGTACAAGACCTTAAGAGAAATCCGAAAAGGAAATACCAAGCGAAGAGTAGATCAATTTGAAAATATGTAATATGTAAACGTCGCCATCATCATTTCTACATACTATATTACTTACTTTATATACATTTATCACGTAATACCTGCCCAGTGCTTGGTTGAATCAGTTACGCCTACTATTATTAGATTTTCAATTATCCTGTTAAAAAATAGTTTACTTTTACACATCTGGCTGGTAAAATTCATTAACATAGATTAGGCACGCAAAGTTCACTACTATGCTACACTACTACAGCTCTGTTGCTGGTTGTTTGGTTTGTTACTGCATAATATTGTTTTTGGGAAGAGATTTTTGTCCATCTCTTTAAAAATTTAGTTATTATAGGATGTAGTCATAATATTTAGGCGTATTATTCAATAAATTGTTGTAGTAGCTGCTTTTGAGACGAGACGCGACCAGTCACGAAAAATTTTGTTATTTAGAATGTAGTATTGTTGACTATAAATGACTTTCAGCTCTGACCAAACATTTAGAAGAAGGGAAGCCTCTACTCTTATATACCGCCTTCTTAATTAATGTGAACAAATGATTTTTTGGTTAATTTTGTTTCTCTCTCTCTCCCTCCTCTCTCAGGCCATTTATTCTTGCAGTACTTACTTGTTTGTAAAAAAATGTGGTAGTTTCCAGTTTATCTACATTACTTTGTTCTGTTCCGTTCCAAAGTTAGTCTGATTATTTAACGAGATGATAATTATAATAGATTTGTCTTCTACTTCTTGGTATGACTGAACTTTCCGAGTTCATTATATTAGGTATAACTGTTATCCGAACCATTCCGGCATGCTGTGTTGATATGTTTTCGTTAAAACGTTATTCATACTTATTATTACATGTATTCCTCCTCCTTTTGAGAACATGAACTGAACTGAAATGACCAAAGCAAGTAAAGTATTCAAATTGGTGCCTATATAAAAATGTAATTCTACTTCAACTACTTTTTGACTTTGTACACGCATAACACTTATATTCACTATGTACTAGTACATAAATGTGCTACTGCCTTTCACTATGATACGTCAACTTGTGGCAAATGTAAGATGAACGAATGTAAAAATTCTATAATTTTGCATAATTATTGTTCTAATCTCATTGTTATTATTATTTAGATTTGGCATGCTTCGAGATTGCTCCTCTATTTCTTAAATTAAAAAAATAGTTTTCTCGCTTTTTGTAAAAGAAAACAAAAATTCAATCGCAAAAATTTTAAGTGAATACCTGAACCCCGTGTACCTCACCACAATCAGAAATTTATTGCTTATTATAATAAAAGACAGTAACAAGACGGAAAAGAATTTATAAAAAAATAGTTAAATGAATAGACGACTTGTATCCAATTATTCCAGACACACACACACATTGTATATTTTGCTGTTAAATTATTAGTCAGTAAATTCTTCGGGTATTGATTGATTATTAGAGTTTAGATATTTATATCTATGGAGCATTATTAGAATATGTTGTACATGAGGAGCCGAACGTGTCAAAAGATGTATTTCACTACAATCTCTACAAAATATTAGGCTTAATAATTCCGAATGCTGGAGAATGAGCGTTTAATATGCGGAAATAAATTATATATTATATTTAATCATGTGGTTGGTTGGTTGGTTCATAAAAGCAATTTATTTGTGGCAGTATTAACATCATATTGATAAGCGGTAGGCGAGAGTTTGTTTGAATCGAGTTGGAAATTATAAGGCCAATACGTATGGTGGCGGAAGTTGAGAAAGAAATTAGAAATTTTACCAATTTTTTTTAAACCAAAACTCGGAATAACTTTCTCACGCATAAACTCCTCTTGATTACAGTATTATTCGAACATGCACAGAAAAGTCATTTCGAGTTTGGAAAATATGTATACAACTTTTTTAATAAATTGTATTGTATGCATATCTTGATCTGGATCGACCCCTTTCCATACTTGACTCCCGTGTGCTCTCATAAATGGAGGACTCGACATCCCTCTCTTCCGACAATCGGTGTAACAACGTCCTCGTTTTCTTGTACACGGTTGGGTCATAAAGAACATCGAAGCCACCCAATGCGGCAGCATCCGTGAATTTGTTGCCAATCACGAATCGTCGATGGTGGACGGGGTCCGTGAAGAAGGGGCAGTTCTCGTTGCATACGAGGTGATGGCGTGGGTAGTCGTAGTCGGAAGCAAGACCGCTTGCATTCGAGGCGACGGATCCCTCCCTCGAATATCTCGCCTCAATGTCAGAAAGAACACTTTGTTCACGGCGACTACGTCGGACAGAGTCGAGCGCATCTGACCTCAGACGATCGTCTGATGCTCCGACGAGAGCGTACTGCTGAGCGTCCAATTCGGCACGTCGTAAGACTTCAAGTGATCTCGCTCGTCGCTGGCGGAGACGATCCTGGATGCAAAAATTAATATTTTAAAACTATGTATTTAAGAGTAAAAACGAAAACTTTTCATTACCTGAACTCCAGCGCTTTCTTCCTGCAGAGCGATTGAGGTAGCTCGCACGTTATTGATTTGTTGGAGGAGACTGTCGCTCGCATAGTTGGAATTTTCGGCAAGGCTCCTACTGTATTCGGACTGGGCACGACGGCTCCGCAACTCGGAGGATGCCCGGACCGTAGTAGAACGTTCCGTAGATTCAGCACGCGTCGATCTGTAAATGTGCATATATTTATGATAATCTGACTGCTTACAATTTTTTTAGAAAGGTAGCTTACCTATATTGAGACGATTCTCTCTGTGCCGATTCCGCTCGATAAACTGAGCTTTCCCTCTGGCTCGATTCCGCCCGATAAGCAGAACTTTCCCTCTGGCTGGACTCTGCACGGGAGGATGAGCGGAATCCACGTCCGTAAAAGGGATCGGCAGACCAACGCTCAATGAAACTCATGGCCTTTGGTGGCGAAACAGCGCGTCGTCGAGCAGCAAATGAGCTTCGCGAATCGGACAAAGAATAGCTCGAAGAGTAGGCGGATGAAGAACTCACATCCGATGAATACCTGGAGTTGGACGCGTACCGGACTTGGGGTCGGCTATGAACAAATAGACACAAAAATTAGTATGTGACTGTACTGGAAATTATCTAGTGACTATTTAGGGTGGACTTACTAGTAAGACTCTCCAAATTCATAGTTGTACGTGTACATCCGGATCCTACAACAAATTGACAATTATGTACATATGCAAATCTCGTCCCCCAAGAACATCCTTCTTCTTATTACATACCATTTTGGCCTGGCCCAGTGAGTGTACTGTCCAGCAGCCTTAGTTTTTGAACTATCACCCATTGTATCACCTACAAGAAATTGAATTTTAGACTAAAAACTATGCAAATTTAAACTGCATGGTTGCAAAAATCTTACCAAAAGTTTCACGAACTTTGTCCTCACAAAAAAAATCACCCGGCTTGAATCTGGAATCCTACCACTTCCGTCCAAGACTATCTGGGAAAGAGTAGCTCAGTCGAAGAACATGGATCTCTCTCCTAGGAAAAGAATTGGCAGAAAAAACGGGAAAGAATAGGAAACTAAAGAAGAAGATCACGGTTTGCATTCTTACTCTCCCAGATGAAAAAATAGAATAGGATGATCATGTAGCCATACATATCATTATCTCATCATCCATACGACTATATAGTGCATATCCGATAACCGTGAAGAAGAAAACTACTACTTGCCGATACTTGACTCTTGCTCTTCATTCAGTTGTGTCGTGTCAGTCAGTTCGTTAGTAAAGAAAAAAGTTCTCCATTTCAGAGCGTTTCGTACATATAAATAAAGAAAAGACTGGGTTTCCTACTACCCGACTTCTAGAAGTCAGTCAGTACATAATGGGACACAAGGATAACCAACCAACGCCATCAACCTCTTTGGCAAAGTGTTACAAAAAATGCTTAAATCTTGTCTAATTCAAGGTTACGGTTAATCCTCCTCCTCCGTAAAAAAATACAAGTCGAAACTAGGAGATGTATTATCGTGGATAGATATCTGCATACGGAAATGGTGGTGAAGACAAACGCTAGCCATGAACATGATGCCATCATCGTCATTTCCTAGTTAAAATAGGGAACAGGGACATAAAGTGTGTAATCGATGGTTGACTCTCGAGTACTGTTCGTTCCACACGGTTTTTAATTATCGAATTTATTTCCATGTTATAGAATATGTAGGGAATTAAACTTGTCATGTCTTACGTGGGTTGAGAAGGTATTTATTTCTTCATTAGAGAATTTCGTATAGACAAAAGCCAAGGAATTTGCAGCAATGTTTTTCGAATCCCCATTCTGTCTAGAGTATTTCGTTACGCGATGTGATCCTGGATTGTTCGAAAGGGGAGGATTAATTAATTATTTTCAATCTTATTTATTTGTATTGTATTGGAAGTTAGAGACACAAAAATAGCAGATTCATCTCAAACCGACCGAATCTTTGAGAATTAACGGGCCATGTAATGCATATTTTGTATGTAAAATGTAAAAGTTAACGTATTCGTGTAGTAATAAGAAAAGAATTGTATGGTATCACGTATCATGTTTTTTTATGTATTGTGCATGGGTAATATACGGGATAAGATCAGGTCATAATTTAGAGGAGACAAATAAATTAAGTCGAATGATGACAAAATACAGAAAAAATGCAAGTTCAAGGTCGATCAAACAATTCGAAAAATAGAAAATGCTTATGCAAGTACAAATTGACGTGACATTTATCATTAGCGTTGTTATTTATAAGCGAAATCAGAAACGTTTCCTTTGCCAAAACAAACTTTATGAATAATTGCCATGAATTAAAAGTATTTATAAATGGGTTGCACTTTCGCTCTTGTTATATGACCTGATTACTCTAAAATTAAATTTATATGTATTGCGCTTAATAAATAATTTAATTAACACAACACAGGATTCATTTTAGAAGAAAAAAATTCTTTTATTCAAAGCAAAAAGTAAAAACATAACAAAAAGAACTGCAACTATAAATAGTTGGTCAACGAATTTTAATAAGGAATGTTGAAATAATATGTATGGAAAATGGTGAGATTCTGATGAATAGAAAAATTAAATTGTAAGAATTGTCTCACGCATGTCCAAACAGATTCAATCCTTCTGGTTAGGGTTGAGTTGATTAGCGTGATTATCGAGATCCGCTTGATCTCCTTTCCCTTCGTACCCGGCGGCACGGCCTTCGCCCGTCGGCCCGTGGTTTGGATTACATTGATTTGCCTTGTTATCCAGAGCCGCCTTGACCGCAGCATCGGCCTCAGCAGCTTCGACCTCGGCAATGATCTCCGCGCCATCGACCTCAGCGAGGAGTTTCTCGGCATCGGCCTGAGCGACGAGCTTCACGGCATCCGCCTGAACGACGATCTTCTCCGCAGTGGCTTGATCTAAAAACGAGCAAAAATTATAACTCTACAATTTTAAAAACTTTCCCCAATTCCATAATCCAACCAAACATTTCCAGAGCGCACGTATCCTTAATATTATTACAAATATTTCAAAAAATCTCACCCATCTCAACTTTTGCGTCCATCTTGATGACTTGTCTGCTTCGTAAAACGGTCGTTTAGAGAGAGAAATCCTGTAAAAACGACAAATTCAAGCTATTAAGGTTAACAACTAGCATGTCAATCAACTCCTACTTTCAAAAAGTAGTGCAAAGAAAGTTTCCCAGAAATTTAAACTTACTGAGTATCCTTTGGAAAAATTGGAGAGAGAGGAACACGCACGTCCACACAAGAACAAAACTGACGAAGGAATGAAGGGACGCTGGAGCCACGCCGTCAATAAGTTTGATTTTGGTAAAATAAACTGCGTAGTTAGTTCCTGGCCGCCGCCGTCGCTATTTTGCATATTCTTCGCTGAAAATAAAAATTACTATGTCTAGTCGAGAAAATAAAATGAATGGCGTTCTTCTATCGCAAAAGACGATTTGCATCTTGTGATTTGAGACTTTTGCAAATTCCTGCGTATCAAATTACTTCTCTCTAAACGTCACATTTATTCCGCAGTAAAGAGAGCTTTATTATTGTTATAAACAAAACAGTAAAGATATTTATAACATAAATATTTATAATATAATGCGAATATTTCAACTCCGGATATATGTATTCCGGATATGCAGTCTAAAATATGACTCATAAAATAAGTATGTGAGATTCTTCTGACATCTCAAATTAATCTTGGAGTACATAAATACTTACGACGAATAAAGAACATAAAAACAATCAAGATAAATAATAGGTTTAAAAACTGTGAAGGATAATCATAGTTTTTAAAAGTCTGAAATCGTTCCATAAATATGTAGGCTGGCATCGTAATTTTTGAGCTTTAAATATTATTGCTAGTAAATGGTGGTCGTGGTTGGAATCGGGGATTGTTAGGATTTAACTGGTTGGCATGATTGTTCAGATCGGCAGCCGTTCCTGCGCCACGATATCCGGCCGGGCGTCCAGGTCCACTCGGGACATGGTTGGGATTTATCTGATTTGCCCGGTTGTTCAGGGCTGCCTTGTCCAGACCTAAAAAAAAGCATGCAAAAAATCATTGCTTATTATCAAATGACATGTTAAATACTTGCAAAAACGAGTAAGGCTTACCCATTCTACTCCCCCGAGCTACATTGTTATTCGCAGCATTATTAATTTTCGCCATGGTGGCGGCCCCTTCATCCCCCATGACCGTGACGACGGGACGATATCCTCCCCTGACCGGTGTGGGGATCGGTTTCCCTCCAGCAACATTCATTCCTAACGGTTTGGCTGCAATCCTCCCAGCCGAATAGCCCGCAAGACCGTCCGAAACTGGGACGAGCGCCATGTCGAAACCCTGCTCGACAGTGATCTTCCTCTCGCCGTCGACAGCACGGGCGATTTCTTGACCCATGGCGACATATCCGTGAGGTTTGGCTTCTTGTCCGTTGATGAGAATGTCGCTTCCTACGGGTTGATAAATAAGATGGGAAATAAATTGAGACGGAAAATTGAGATTTTCTCAGAATGCCCATGATGATCTACTCACCAGTGATAATGCCATCCATCGCGGCCCCACCAGCGATTCCGCCAGCCACCGCGCCCACTGGACCCCCCGCTGCAAAACCTCCAATTCCTCCCAGCACAACGCCTGTACTTCGAGAGGCAGATTTCATCGCTTCGTCCCCCCTCTTATTGTCCCCCATGGCGTAGTGGACGCCACCTTTGACGTGACCAGCGACGGGAATGGAATCGATCACGTTCTCCATGTCGTCAGCAAACTTTTTCTGAAGGTCGAGTGCCTTCTCGGGTTCGCCTCCGATGGCGTACCCTAAATTTGAGATTGGTTAATTAATAGTCTTTAAAATTAAAGTATCAAATTAAAAAATTAAAATCAAGTAGTACGCAAATTACCTGCAGACGCGATTTGCGAAATTATAGGGAACGTGTTGTTGTATGCAAAATTTTTCTGGGTGGCTAGTGCGCCCGGAGCGTCCCCACCGACCCATTGGACAAATGACTTGGTCTGCGAAACGACCGGGATGCTGTCCGTATTTCCCATTTTAAGATTTCAAAAATTTGGGAGCGTTCTCACTACAATTTACAAAAGAGAACATACACTTTATACCGAAGTCGTATTTATACAATTTTTATATTCAATTGTTTATGTAAACGTTTCACAAATATTCTTGGACAAGGCTACCAATTTTCATGTTTCGTTTTACCAATTAAAATGAATGGATATAAAACAAAAAATACTTACAAATGAATGAACTCTGATTCTGAGTCTCGGACTATCTCCAAATAAATTTATTTCTATGAACGATTCTTTTAGCCGAAGTAATTTACTTGCTGGTCAATCAGATGATATGAACTGATACAAGTGATGAACCTCTTCTTCAGATTTATGTACGTATGTTGAAAACTGCCCAGTATGTGAGGGTTACAGATTTCTATTCAACAAACCAACCAGTTTATTAAGCAGACTCCTTTTTCTAATCCTAAGTTGTTGAATGAAATGCTTACATATGTACAAAATGGAAGGCTACATGCAGAGGGCAAATGGTTGATTGTTGCTGGGTCTCTGTATGCATTTTGCTATGCATGTAAAAGTGTCTAATCCTAAGAAAAGCTTTGGTCCTCCTTCTCTTGTTACAATTTTTTAGCTGTCATGCGATATGTACGGTGAAACTAAACAATAACATAATTCCAGTCGAGTCATTGGTACCAAAACTTACGATTAAGCGTCATTAACGCCCCTGGAAAGCTACATAAGTAAAAATAGACGAGTCTTAAAATCGAAGACTGCAAATATTGCACATTTGTCATTTAGGATTGGTCACATGTAACATGACATCAAATCACAAGCGGTGATATGGGTCGTCGTCTCGTCGGTGGACAAAAAACATTGCATTTCAATTTTACAGAGAGCCAATTTGAAGATCAGCATGTACACCAATTTTTAATTTCATGGGATTTAACACAAATTCCACTTGACACAAATGACAAATGGAATGAAGATGCATTGGATTGAATTTGATTGTAATTTTACTCCTATAAAATTTACTCAGGATTTCCGAGTAAAAAGTTCTATTTTCACCCGGTTTGCAGGAATTATGTATTGTTTTTGTTTGTAATGTGACGCTATATACTACATAATATTTTCAAGTCCATGTCCATGAGTCATTTTTAAATGCAGATTTAATGCGTCTTGTGAGTTCATGCATCTAAATGTCAAAAACAATGTAAAAATATTATGCTGTATGAATATTTGTATTAAGGCAGGAATATGCCCTCAAATGGGTTGTGGTGCCACTCCACCTAAAATGCTTACATACAATTTTTGTAATTCGATATGATAAGCAGTAGAAAAGGACGCACTTGAGATGAATCATACATGTCTTGGGTAGATATGCTTTGAATGATCTTTCCAGGATTTATTTTCATACAGAAATAATTTAAAAGCAGCGACCTTGCATTCCTATCAAGTCTTTGACTCTTTGTGTCTGCGCAGGAAGTGAACAGATGACTTTTCACAAAGCTATAATTGATGCCAATGCTTTGACCCGACTAAACTAAACTATTTATTCATGAACGTGAAATAAAACACTTAAAACACAAGTTTCTTGTTGAGTTTTTGGGTTTTGTGTTTTTATTCTTTCTTTGCAAGACTAATTTACAATAGATTCATACTATACTAACTAGTTAATTAAGTAGCTTAATTAAGTTCTAAGTAGATAGGCATAATCAACTAACATTTATTTGAGTATAGTACAGAGAATAGGTGGTTTGTATTTGTATGTTATTCGCAGAATATTATCATTGTTTTACACACATCAATTTTGAAAAAGCTAAACGACCAGCGCCTTACAAAAGTGCCCTATCTGAATCTTTAAAACTGTAACTAACATATTATTGTCATACATATCTACATATGTACATACTAATCCTAAGACATACACCTATTTAATGTACGAAGATGATAACTATGAATATACAATATATACGCTAATTTAATGGCTTTTTACTTGGTTTTGTGTTATGTTATAAATCTACTTGATAAAAAAATTTAAAGGACATTTTACCCAATCTGATGAATAAAATATTACACACAAGCTTTCGGCAGAAAACACTTCCTTTATAAAGTGTAAGGTTGAAAAATAGTATCTACAAGAGTAGAAAGATCTCTCTAGAGAGATTTATTATTATGCATTAGTCTGCGGAAAGAAAGAAGGTCGAGACAAGTGATGAAAATGTAAAAAAAAATATAAATTTACCTATAAATCAGGAACAAATAATTCATAATAACTTTTATTTAGTCATACTTTTTCACATTGGCGAACACTTTGTGGCTACAGCGCACACGGTTTAGGAATATTCGAGTACATATATTCGAATATTAATGTTATCATAATTCATAGTAATTCATACTCATAAGTTCATAACCCTAATCCTAAGTCGTGGATATGTACATACATATATACATGGATATACTATCTAATATTCAGTACAAAACGGTATTAATCGCTACATTTCGAAACATGAGTAGCGAGAATCGATCTAAAATTATTTAGGCAGTTAATCAGTCAAGGAGATCAATGACACGAATCGGTGCTTGTGGGAGCATTGGAGGTGGATGGGTTTGGGGGTGTTGCTTCATGTCCTAAGGTCGCGTTGGATGACGACGACGACATGGATGAAATACCACTACCAGCTTGTTGCACTCTAAGGTCCACCCGAGTCATCCAACAGTATCGACCGGAAATATCCAGTCGTGCCATTGTTATTTGAAAAACCTCGTTGGGAAAGGTGACCGATATGTTTTGCAGCTCGCTGGCTTTCATCCGAATTGACCGTACTGGGATAGGAAGGATGCATTTCCGAATCTAAAAGAATAATTTGATACCATTTATTAAGTGGTTCTATGTATAAATGAAATGTAAAATAGGAAATATGTAGTGAAATAATTTCTTACATTCGGAGCACAGTCAACCCCCGTCTTGATGACTTGAATATCAGCAGCATACTTGGTTGCATCGGATTTTTCCCCAATGAGGAGCATATTTATGAAAAAGTGTGTCGTCGTAACGTACATGGTTTCAAGGAACGTTCTCCCGTCAAAGTCCCAACATGCCAATGGAATGTGGGTTCCTGGAAGTAGAACATTCACTTACATTTCATACTTACAGTTTTGAAATTTTGTAAATATATTCTAGTTTTAAAATCTACCAACCTGGAACCAACAATTCCGAGTGGGAACAATACTGACCGGAATTTAATCTGGGAGTTGAGTGGTCTTGTATAAAATGCAGATCAAGCTTGTTATCAATTGATCTCATCGTGCTCGTGGGGGTACACCGATGGTGGTCATTTCCAAATGTGCAGATAAACGCTCTAGTAGAACAAGGAATACATTTTTAATACAAGCGTAATTTTATGATATTGTACCTCTAAAATTACAGATAATATTCCTTATACATACCTTTTGGTACATTTGTCCACATGCTCTTGAAACTTGTCCCCCCGCACAGATTCCGCACATCCAAAATCTTTATATTTACAAGCAAACTTTGTCGCATTGTAAACACTCTCCAGCGCCCTGTTCCTCATCGTGGGAATGACTTGTTGGCGACACACTGGACAAATCCCATTAACTTTGGGCTTGCACTCGCAGCAAAGAATGTGTCCCTGTACACATTGTGAAATTGGGGGTCTGCACATCTCAAAGCAGACGGGACATGTCAGCAATTCCTCCAAGTCAAAGCTGGCGTCGATTTCTGCAACTTCGGTAGGAATTGGTGCTGGTGAAAAGACGGAACTTTGATGGCGAACATCGGCAAGAGTTTGTCCCCTTCCAATATTTTGGCCTGCTGGTCGTGAAATTGGGCTTATCGCCGGAGGAGGAGGCTGGGACAATGTCCCCATAACGAAGGGATGTAACCGATGCATATAACTTGCTGTAGGATTTGCTGCTGTAGGATTTGCTGCTGCAGGATTTGCGTATGGACTTCGACCAGCCGCACGAGCAGTTCGAAGTTCTCTTAATCGTTCCAGAATTCGGGCAGCTTGGGCTATTTCCGCCGGAGTGGAGGTGTTATATGGTCGACCCCCTGGGGGTGCTGGGGGCTGATTATTGTTCATAGTGATCTGAATTCTAGTAGGTGAGTTGCGTTGAATCCGCGCTGCAAAATTACGCGTTAGGGCCAGTAAAGCGATGTGTTGACGTTCAACAGAAGTCGCCCTGAAAATAAATTTTATATTTTAAAATGTATCATTAATAAACAATAAATGATCGAGACAAGTGATGAAAATGTAAAAAATATAAAGCTCTGTAATGCCCTGTTATGTAATAGTTGTCGATTAAACTTTGTGTGACCATTCTTACCTTCTAGAATTTATGTCGCCATTATTTGGCACTGGGGCCCTTCTAGGTCCTCCTGTAAATATGAAAAAAGTCACAACTTGAAACTTTTTTTTAAGAATTGGTCAAATAACCACTTCGTCCTATCACGCCAATAACAAGGTTTTGGACTATTTGAAATATAAGATAAAATCAGATTCACTATATAATGTCAACTATAATTATAAGTACACTTGTAACTCAGTAAAGTAAATTTTAATTACTTTTCGTTGGAATGCGAAAGTTGTTCATTTCAACCAGAATTATACCATCGAACACATTTACCTTTGCAAAAAACTGTGAAACTCTATCAAATCAATCGACAATAGGTAAATATTTGATCCCGTGGCGTACAGATAACAACAATGATGTCATATTATCATTATCTCTAACTAACTGCAATATTAAAAATCGGGTTTATATAGTGAAATGGAGAATGTAGAATTCCGAATCACCTCCATTTCTCCCTTATTCAAATAAATTTAGATAAAGTATCGCACATTTTATAATTTATTTCATGTGCTTGCTAAAACTTGCTAAAACTTGCTAAAATCTAAGAAATATTGTGTTCTATTTCTGTAATATTTCTGTACTATTTGTGCTTGTGTACATGTACATATACACTCATTGATTTTCCCATTCGCCTCATACGTACGATGGGGTATGTGAGTTAGTGAGTTCGAGTAAAAAGAGTCTCACTCAAGGACTTGGTAACAGAACCACACATGAATTTACATAGATAGGGACTTTTGGCTCTTATGTAAGGGCTGTTTTTGGAAATAGGGTACATAAAAACGCGTTGTTGAACCGTATTTCGATTCGGAATATGTATGCGTACTTACCAAAGCCGGAGGGTTCTGCTGCTGCTGGAGCTACAGGGACGCTCATACTGAGGGCTTCCTCTCGAACAAAAGACCAACAAATGTTCGCGTTCGGTTTGGAAAGGTTGGAAAAGGCAGTACGAATACAACTGCTTTAACGTTATTATTACGCTGGTGTTGAGTTTATCGAGAATTAGAGTTTTTTTTAGTATTTTGTAAAATATTTTTAGAGCAATTTCAAGAATATTTTTTATAGGATGTGTATTTTTTGCTTAGATATTTTTAGAATTTGTGAGAATTTTACAGCAGGATAGACTAAGACATTCAAGTATGAAATGAATATAAAATGTAAAAAAAAACGTTTATGATTATGGTATTCCAATTTAGACATGAATTCTCAAGTGGCATTGACAATCTTATGAATTATTATGAGCAGCAAGAGTGAATTTTCTCATGAGTGAATGTGACGTGATTCTTTTTATTAATCCAACTTGACAGATTTTTCCAATTACAGATACTTGATGAGAATGAGTACGACTGATGAAGGTGAGTGAGACGATCCCATGAATGAATCCAAACACTCGAATGGAATAATTAAAACTAAAATTTTATTTATTTATCAAATTATTTTCAAAATTGTATTTAAGAAAGTAAAAAAAAATGTATCCAACTTCTCGTTTTTACTTCGTAACAAAATAAATATCGAGACTGGTGAGACGAACAACGATTTTTCGACTTGTTTAACAGACGAGCTCAAAATCAAGACTGACAACTTTAAAAGCAACGTTGTGAATTTTCTCGGCCTTTATATAGGCGAGAACTTGCACATGAATCCACATGTTGGATTTTTTTATTAACTTGCACATAAGATACACACAGTAGTTTTTTATTACTTGCACATGAAGCTACATATTGCATTTTTTTTTATTAATTTGCACATGAAGCTACTTACATACCGTATTTTTTGTTAATTTGCACATGAAGCTACATACCATATTTTTTATTAATTTGCACATGAAGCTACATACCGTAATTTTTTATTAATTTGCACATGAAGCTAGGATTCGATCCAAAAGTAAAGAAACATTTGAAAAAGTATATTTATTTGTATGAAAGAAAAATTGTCACTGAGTTGGAACGTGGTAGTTTTGTAGTCCATGCGATTGGCTATCCAAATCAGAAAACCGGAAGTCGATATCTCGATTAGTTCAAAAATGAGAACAAAAAATTCAGAGGAACTCGCAAAAAAATTTTGCCACTACTACGAAAAAGTGTGCGAGCGCGTTCGGATAATGGTTAATAGCCACTTCGAAAAAGAAAAAAATCATAATGGGGCAATTTGCAGAGTTTTAGATATGTATGAGGGGAGGAGGAATGCTGAATTCAAAAAATTAAAAAATCGTCCTGCTCGTGTAGCGACCCCCAAACTGATACGTAGAGTTCAGAAGGAAAACAAAAATAACCTTGGGATATCAGATAGTAATTTGGGCTACAAATTGAAAATATCAAAATTAAGTTTACATGACATTAAACCTACGAAGTTGGGGGTCAAATCCTATAAGGCGACACCTGCACCAAAGTACAACCAAGGTCAGCAAAAAAGAGCAAAGCCCAACTCTCGGCAGATTGTTGAAAAACGAGGCAAGCAAAACATGCCCGTGGTTCTGGTCATGAATGATGAGACCAATTGCTCGAATGATCCAGATGAAGTCCCTGGGAGGAAGTACTACTCATGTACTAATAAGAAAACGTTTAAAGATTCCTTCAAATACACGCCGAAGTCAAAATTCCCCATAAAGCACATAATCGGGCAAGCATTGGACTCATTGGGGGACGTCTCAAAGCCGTTCATGACCACAGCCACCATGACCTCGGAGAGATATCTGAACGATTGTGTAAAGTAGATCTTGATCCCCTTTATCAATAATCGTAATGTACTTTTCTGACCGGACACAGCAACATGTCATTCTTCAAAAGTTGTTCTGGACTTGTTGCGGTCGAAAAAAATCGATTTTGTTGCAAAAAAGGAATATGCTCCCTACGTCCCTCGGGCAAGACCAATTGAACGATTTTGGGCATTATCCAAGAGAGAATATAGTCGTCGAACAAAACCACCCAAAAAGTTGGGAAGATTCCGTCACATTTGGACATACACCTCAAAAGTGGTAGCGAGAAAGAGTGGCAAAGCACTTTTGGAGACCGCGAGGTAAATAATTCGCCAGATAGGAAGGATGGGGGTCTATGGACCATATGAAGCAAAAAATTGAACAATAAGCACCTTGTTCTTAACCCTTAAAAGTGTCATTGGAATTAATTAAGTTTTCCGGATTTTACAGGCATTTTTCAAATGTTTCTTTACTTTTGGACCGAACCCTACATACCGTATTTTTTGGTTAATTTGCACATGAAGCTACATACCATATTTTTTTTATTAATTTGCACATGAAGCTACATACCGTATTTTTTTTATTAATTTGCAAATGAAGCTACATACCGTATTTTTTTGTTAATTTGCACATGAAGCTACATACCATATTTTTTATTAATTTGCACATGAAGCTACATACCGTATTTTTTTTATTAATTTGCAAATGAAGCCACATACCGTATTTTTTATAAACACTCATTTTCGTTCATCTGCAAAATGTTTGACTTCGACTCGCAGAAGATTTCTTTATCGCGATGCATCGCTGCTCTCGAGGAATGAGGAAGATTTTTGAAATTTTCAGTGAGTTTGGAATGTGGAAATTACGTAGTTATTATTTTCCACGAAATAAAATGAGTTAATTTTAATATTTGTAATGGAAGTTATGGAACGTACAGAGGAAACATACTCCTAAAACTTGTATAAACACACACCGATTTGGTCAAAGAATCCAATGCCAGTGGTTTAAAATGCATAAGGATGATAGATCGCTTAATCTCCGAGTAAATCACCCGAAGGGAATTTCCCTAATGTAATTCCAATGTAATTGTGTTATTCAACATTGTTTGTTGATCTGTTGAGAGTCTCATATTATATTTTGGGGAAAATGAGATGATACGAGGAAAATGAGACAGTGAGACGATGAGACGATGATATTCATTTTGCATGACAAAAATTATTGAGGGTATTCACGCACCCTTGGTAACTACGTAAACAGCGTAAAATCCGTAAACTTACAAACGTTTACAAACGGCTTCCCGTGAATTCACTTTTGCAATTATTTTCGTAAAAAACCTACAGTGCAGACTCCATATAGCCCGAGTCAGGGACATAGTCCCTGAATCAATAAGTCAGAGCCCACTTCTAATTTTTTTCCGACCGACATAATATCACCAACTTCCGTGTTGTGGATGGTTAAAAGTTTGTTAGATAGTTTCTACTATTTGGTACCAAATTTTTGAATTAGTTACAAATCATGTGCCTTGACCACCATGACCAGTGGGCTTCTTTAACATCATGAAGTTCTAAGCTGTATGCATGTACTATTCAGCCTCCTAATCAAATTTCAGCTCGATATAACGATTTTTAAAAATCAGTATGGGTCACCCGATAGGGTCACTCTGGTTGCACTTTGCTCACTTTTAACTTCATATTCTTTAATTAGAAGCCATTAAGTATCATTGTGCCGGATTCCATCTTTTTAAAGCAATTTCTAAAAATCGGTATGGGTCACCCCATAGGGTCGCTCAAGATGAAAATTTTTCCAACTTGAAGTCATTTTTATCTAGTAGGAGCCATTAGCAACCTCTGTGCCAAATTTCAGCTTTCTACGACAATTTTGAAATTTTGGTGCATAAGACCCCACCTACTCCGATGACCCCCACCGGTCAATCACTGGACCGATTTCGCCCATCTTCGAACTCGTTTCCTAATTTTGTCCAATATGCATGTGGTAAAAATTTCAAGTCAATCGGTTCAGCCGTTTTGGCTCTATCGTGCCGGACAGACAGACGGACAGACAGACAGACGGACGGACATGACGGTTCCATAAGCCCTGACTCGGGCTAAAAATTTATCTGATAATTGAAACAAAATGCTGATCATTTCCAGAAAACGGAAATTAATGGAAGAAATTTGTGGAGCTGCATTTATTGATATAATATATACCACGAACAGTGGAGGCTGTTCCTATAAAAATTTCAACCCTCCTAAATTCTAATCCTAAGTTATTTTTCGACTCCTCACTAAATCTTAGCTGAATATATAACTTCTTAGAAATAAGAATAGGTACCCCTTCCTTATTGTCCATCTGGTTATTTTTTGTTCATTTTTGACTTCATATTCTTTGATGAGAAGCTATTAAGTATCACCGTTCCGAATTTCAGCTTTTTGAGACAAGTTATGAAAATCGGTATGGGTCACCCCAACGGGTCCCGGATGTGAAAATTTTACCGATTTCACTTCATATTCTTCCATTAGGGGCCTTTAGCAGCTTCTATACGAAATTTCAGCTCGATTGGATGATTTTGAAAGTCCGGTATGGGTCACCCCCTCGGGTACCTCTGCTTGAAAAATTTTCCAATTTCACTCCGTATTCTTTGATTAGGAGTCACTAGCAACATATATTGCCAAGTTTCTGCATCGAACAATTTTTTTTCTTCCCCAAATTGAGTTTACAAAATACTTTACAAAATTAAAAGACGCCTGTGAGCTGCGTAAGTTTACAAAAGTTTGTAAACTGGTTTTCCTTGGCAATTTTTGTAAAAGTTTGTAAACGTTTGTAAGTTTACAGATTTTACGCTGTTTACGTAGTTACGAAGGAGGGCGTGAATTGCCTCATTATTAAACTTTAGTCACGAATAAGAATTTTATTAATCGGAATGAAAGAATTTATAACAATTTTCCAGTAAAATTTCTCCCCACCGAGTTGTAATATCGAGTTTGGGACGCTGAATAAATACTGAGAAACATTTTGTCCTGTTCTTCGATGCTAAGACTGTAAAAAGATTTCGAAGTGACGTTCATGCCCAGAATCTCGGCAGTGAGCAGGGTCCTATCCGTGTCCTCGGGATCTTCAGGGTCGTCAGGGTCATCGGGGTCATCTGGGGGCTGTGTGACCTCTGTGGGTGGACTGGGAGTGGTTGACCTTTTCAATAGTTCTTGTTCCAGTTGGGCCTGGGCTGCAACTTTTTTTGCCTCCTCTTCTGCCGCCTTGCGCCGAGCTTCCTCTTCTACTTGGCGACGAGCCTCCTCAATTGCAAGTCGTTCTTCTTCATAATCTTTGAGAATCATGTCAGCTCCCTTAATAGTTAATATTTCTTTAGAATATGAAGATTTCATAAAATTTATGGTTCTAACTTAAATTAGATCTATTCAATATAAACCTTTTCTCCAATCATAATCGTGGGAACGTTGGTATTTCCTAAAAAAAATTAATGGAAATCGTGAAAATTTCAGAATGTATATACAATTTTAATGTGTTGTTTAGCCAGATTTTGCTTACCCACGACTACGACAGGCATCACAGAAGCATCAATAACTCGTAAACGGTCCACGCCAATGACACGAAGCTGTGTGTCAACTACGGCATCGGGTGAGTTCACGGCACCCATGGAACAGGATCCAACAATCTGACATTAATAATTCAGTTCATGAATCAAAATATGCTGACTGCTGGGAAAGTTGAATTTTTTAATTAAAAATTTTGAGACATTTTTCATACGTGATGTAAAGTGACGGAAAAGTGTGTCACATAACTGCAAAGTAAAATAGAATAAGTGTAAAATTTTGACATTTCACGTAATAAATTTTGCACTAACCACTCATAATATGCATCACTCTTAAATGGAAGATGTTCACAGCCGGGCCACGCCTGGTCGGTAAATCTTCCATTGATACGTTTAAAAGTTTTAGTTTCCTCGACAAGTTCGACCCCTTTTTTCACAGCTTCCACCAAAATGTCCAAGTCATGTTTATTGTCCAGATATTTGGGATCGATCAGGGCTGGCGTGTAGGGGTCGATACTTTGAAGTCTGAAAAAAATAAACTTTACTATACCTTTAATTAAATTAAAGACTTTAATTTAAATGTACATATCAGAACAACCAATCTAAAAATCTTACGAAATTTGCACAATTACTTCAAAATCTATAAATCTATAAAATTTACTAACTATACAAAATATTTTTAACGGCTTTTTGGCGCATCATAACGCATAGATTAGTTGTTTTTAAACGTTTCATGTGATGAGGTATCAATTTGGTATGGACAATTTGATTTTTCTCATGCCTGACTTGTGCTATAATTAATTTGAATTGCCAATTATGTGTAAATTACTTGATATCCCCTCGAGCCTTGGGTCTAGAAAAATGCAATAAGAAATAAATATTATTAATTCTCAAATTGTTATTAATTTTAGGAAATTTTAAAATTCTGTGATGAAAAATATTTTATGCTATGCTAACGACCTACCTCCCGAGGGACACGATTTGCAGGAAGGAATCCGTTCCAACAGCGTGGTCCCAATATTTTTCAAGAAGCTTCTTTTTCACTCCGAAACCACGAGCAAAGTCGGTGGCAAAATTTTTACCGATTGCGACTCCTAAATGACGGATTTGAAAAAATAAATGGTCATTTTTGTTGAAAACACTCACTGATTTTTGTACCCAATAAATGAATTAAGATTCTTATTATGCAAAAAAATGAACTGTAATGAATGTAATGAGAATGAAGGTCAACCTGCCAAAATGAACTGAATGTCCGGCCAGTCTCCTTCACCCCTCTCTTTGGCATGTGTTGAAGAAAAGAATCCCATCGCTTGGGTCCCGGACGTCGTTAAAACGCCGGTGCCCTGCGCTGCAAAGTTGGCAACGTTGATGGAAGTCACGTCTCGTTCGATGGAAAATGAGATTGGTTGATCGACAAAGAATGGACCCAAATAGGCAGAAATGTGATCTAGAGGACAAGTACATATTTTTTAGAATGGTAAGATTTTTGCAAATGTTATGTGCGTATTACCTTGCAGATTTTTGCCGACAGGGCGATCAGATACTACGGGAATCTGGCAAATCAAGGATATTGCAAATTATATAGATAAAAAAAATATGTCTTTTTAGCAAAATAATTACCCCATAAAATTCGAGATGTTCTTTCGGACCAATTCCGGACAGCATGAGAAGCTGCGGTGACATCATTGCACCTATGACACAAATTAAAGTAGAAAAGTGCCATAAAATTAAATACTATGCATTTTTAGACGTCAATGAATAGACGATACCGGCCGAAATGATGACTTCTTTCGCCGAATAAGCAACCATTTGTGCTCCGTGCCAATCGTATTCGATGCCGTACGCGACGCCAAGTTCATTAATTAGAACCTGTGAATTGGATCATTTTATAAAATATTTAGTTCATGGAAATCTACGAAAATTAAATTTTTCCATTGTTCACCTTTTTCGCGTGAGCAAATCGCCTCACAGTTAATTTAGTGTCGGGCCGTTTTATTGCGCTTTCGATATATGCACCTAAAAATTTGCATTAATATTTCTAATCGATTTCTTTAATGTATTTTATGCGTAAGATTTTATTCTCACCGTAAACTCCGAATCGTCTTCCGTTCTTTATGGGGTAGAAAATTGTATCGAATCCTGTTAAATAAATATATGCGTATTTACACATTCATGTATTTTTAGCTATAATTACGTTGAAGTAAATACCTTCTGTATAATATCCGTTTAAATCTTGGCGTGGATAGCCAAGTTCTCCAGCAGCTTTTACGTACACATCAGCCATCCCTGTAATAGTACAATTTATGCAAATTACATTTTAATTACGTTATGCCCTTATAGGGATATCGGATCTAAGATACCTGTATATTCCGGAAGTGCAACCCTAATCGGGCCACCTTTTCCGTGCGTCCGTGCATTGTCCCAAGGCCCATGATAGTCTTCACTCATGCGAAAGTATGGCAATAGATTTTCATAACTCCAGGAAGTGTCACCTAATTTGCAAAATTTTTCAGTGAATTTGCACAACTTCCTCATTTCACCAATTTCATGATACCCGTTAAGTTGGCCCAATTATCAAAATCTTTTGGGTGACCTCTCGACTGGATGAGAAAATTGATGTTGCTAGTTCCTAATTATGATATGAAATTATCAATACGCAAGTCATCAAAAAAATATTTGCGTAACTTTACCTCCGAGACCTTTTCCTTGAGACCAATGTGATTTCTAGGAGGTTTATCAGATTGATTAAAAAATACATAATTAATAGCGTAGATTATTCAGCGAAATTTCTAGTTTCTCACATTATTTGGCAATCCAAAGCACGAATGTTTTTGTGGAACGGTTTTGTGTCTGCAAAAATTTAAACGTGTAGCCTTATGGTAAAAACAGTTTAGTTTATTCAGACAAAAAGGAATGTGTAAATTACTTCCAATCAATTTCTGGATAATTGAGCATCATCAAAGAGAAAGCTGGAATTGTTTGTAACGGATTAATCCTCCCACCAGCTTCAAGTAGTAAAACCTTAACAATTATTGCTAGTTAATTTAATTTCCTCCAATATTAATTAAATTACAATAAAATCTCACTCTATAATGAATCGATAACCGATTCGCTAAAACTCCTCCCGCTGACCCGCCCCCCACTAATGATAAAAATCAAGTTTTCAATCCCTTATTATTAAATTTATCGTATTTATTTTCTTGTCCAACCAACAATGAAGTCAAACTGCTCTCCTTCCTGGTCCCAAAATGTACTCACGCGATCCGTGAATTTGACATATTCTCCCCATCTGTGCAAATAGAGTGAAAGTGACGCCAAAACCGTGGCGACGACATGTGGCGTCGCGAATCCCAAAGGGTCAACCGGCATGGCAAGTGCAGACATGATGCAGCGACGTAATTATGGGTATACCACCTCTGCCTGGTGATATCCTATTTACTGTCCAATGACGTGGTCAACAAGCAAATAATGTGACGCTAGTGCAGCTCACTAGAAAAATGTCTATACATACATAATTACAGAAAAGCATTGGTTTATTTGCCCTTTTTATCACCTCTGTTTTGTGCAGAAAGTTAGACAGTGAAACTTATTACTTAATGGCATTCTTATTATTTATTATGAATGACACGGATAAATCTGTCGCAATCTGATGATGATGCAGATGAATAGCATTTTCACGTATGTACACGTACTGAATTATTTAAATGTGATTGTGTTGTTTATGAGGCTACACGTATAGTTATTTCTTCTTAATTGGTGGATTAATATTCATTATTTTATCCGCAATCCAATCCACCCACATTATGGATGTCTGTATGAGGTGACATTTGTGTAATAATGGCGTGACTTTCGCAATTTGGGGTAGGAAAAATACAGTATAAATTGAAATTGTACGAGTCATTGTGTCATCTTTAACGTTTATTTTACTCCAATTAACAGCCAATAACATAACATTGATGTATCTAAATAAATGCCTATTAACTAAACGTTCCAACTTATTCCGCTGGACGGCAGCGTTTCAGCACCGTATCCGGACTAACTCTGGTCAACGTACAGTGACGATTTTTTCTACCAACGTCTTGATATGGGGCTGGATTTTGTAAAACATTGTCTTCGTCATCTTCATACGCTCGCAGCAACTCGGGTGACACTTCTAAATTTTTGACGGGTTTGGGACTCGTATAATAATCTGCTGGTTCAGCCTCCGGAGTGGGTGCGGGTTTCTTATCGTAAGGATCATCGGGACCCATGATTCGATCCATCATGTTTTTTATGACGATGACTTGCGCACCGAGTTGAGTTGCTGGAAATGATTGAATTTTTAGAAAAATTGGAAAAATTATTAATCAAATAATTTGTACCGAAAAAGTCTCCCGTGTAACCGTACACGTCCCAACAGCGTAAAGTACTCAGGACAGATTGCCTCGTTTGAGGGAAAATCATAATGATACCGTTGGTCTCGGCTACCTCTAAGAATCCCGAATTAAGGACGTGATTAGGTCCAACGACGTCTCGAGAGGTCATGCACCCGTGAAAATAGAAATGGAGCAGACATTTATGCCCATAAATTCGACACGCCTTGGGAATGTAGTAATATCCTATCGAATCCATGACGGGATCGTCGTCGAACACGTTCTCCCCAAAACCGTAAAAGAATTCGGTTTGGTCAAATTCCAGAAGGGGTTGAAGTTTTAAGACTGAAATGGAAGTCAGTAAATTTAAAAAAATTCTAGCTTGGATAAATTGTGATAAATAAATATATTTTTGCACCTTTTGATGGGGGTCGAATATATTTCTTTCCAAGGATCCATTGTAACGATTCGAATGCTGCGGAAAATCCACAATTTGCAATTTGAAGTGCGTCCAGAGGACCGGAACAAGATGGAAGTCCGGGTTTATTGCTGGGCTGGGTTATCATTGCAAGAAAATTGATAATCATTACTTAACAGTTTATGATAAGAAGTTGAAAATTTCATAAAATTCACTAATTCTCACCAGTGTCAGATTTGCAGGGAACACAGCAATTTTGATCATGTCTTTATTCTTGATGAATGGTTGAAACACTTGGGCTGGTCCTAGGCCCATTTCTACATAATCATTTTTTTCTATTCTGAGCTAAAATTGTGAATTTTAAAAAGTTATCATTGAATTGATGTACTTACGAAGTGGGAAAAGATAGCTCATAGACCCAGAAAAAACGTAGAGCGGTTTGCCCTCCATGTTTTTAGGGTCGTCAATTAGTCCGAGTTGAAAATAGCTGAGAATGTCGGCAATCGCATCGTTTGGATCGTACAGTTCGCTCACGAGGGGGTTAAACAAATTGGTACAGGAGATATCGAAAAGGTCGTCAGGCTGTAGAGTAGAATTTGCATCTGGAAGTACTCCAGGTCCACAACGGTAGAAAGCTGGAGGAAGAAAAAATACATTTTCATCATTCCAACCACTCTTCAAATTAAATACTCTTTTCTTTACTGTGCGAAAGTGTAGCAATTCCTTTAATCCGTGAGGAATATGAGACAAACATGGTTTGCGCCATAGATCCGCCTGCAGAATGACCACTCATTGTGACAAGGTCCTTTTTCACGTTCATGCGATCTTCAGAAAATTTAATTTATGAAAATACGAAAGCACATTTTTGAAAAATTAGTTTTAATGAAATAAAGCTTACGAAGACTTGTAACAGCGACAGAGAACTTCGGTAAGCACAGCACAAGTAGACCCCATGTTACCACCGGAAGTTGCATGATTTCCTAAACTAAACCTGGACTAATTTCGAAGTTTAGGGCGTGGGAGTTTTTCTTGTGGAACCTCAACCACCTCCTTACACACTGACAGACTGGTTCGTTGAGACATACATTAAAATGCTTGCAACATGGAAAGGTATTTTCATGATTAAATAATTAAATTAATGTCTGGAACAATGCTCCCTAATCTCGAGAGGTCATTAGGTTTGAGTCAGACAAACTTTTATTTCTTCGTCCTTTTCCACAAGATTTACATTATTTTAGTCAAGTTTTATTGATGAGAGATGGCCAGACTTCCACATAGTCAACCATGGCTGCGATTTTACAGCCTAATTTCTCATGCAACTTGATTGACGGCGTGTTCCTCGGAACGACCGTTGTTGCCGGAATAATTCCGTTTTTCGCCAACTCCTTAAAAGCGTACTGCATCGTGAGGCTGGCGTAACCTTTCCTCTTGTGATTTTCTAATGTCGAAAGCGTCCCCAAAATTCCGAAGGATCGAGTAACCATTCCGCACACGGGGAGCCCATCAACATAAACTCCGGCGGACTCGTTCTTCTCAATAAATCGACTCCACACGGTCTCATTTCCATTCTTAATGAAGCAATTAACATTTGAGCCGTCAGTTTCGGAGAGTATGAATTTGAGCCCTTTGTCCTTATCCAGTGGCTTTATTTCTATGTGGGATGGGTCGGGTGATCTAAAAATTGCATGAAAAAACCTATATTCTCCGCAAACATAATTCTCTGAGAGATTGTTTAAATCTGCAGTTTACTTGATATCCAAACTTAGACATTCCTCAAGCTCCTTGTAAAACAAGTAGCACGGAATGGTCACGGTGAAATGTCCAATTCTACGAACGCTGACCTCTTGTACAATTTCTGATATCCAAATTTGTACACCAGAAAAGAAAAACGGTACGTCCCAATTGAAAAGTGGACAAGTTGCCAGAATTTGGACCGCTTCTGCATGAGAAATTTTTGACTTTTCTTTATCCGCCCAGATGTGATAACCTTGCCCGTCATCCTTATAAGTTAATTGCATTAGATCACTATTAAAGAAGGCCAGTAAAGATGAGTTTAAAATTTCAAACCTCTCTAAAATGAGTAGCCACGAACCACGATCCTTCGTCAATTTCTCCATTCAACGCGTAAAATGACCCTTGTTCCACAAATCGGGGATACATTTTGACAGAGTTGTACATCTTAAACGAAATTTAACAGTATTTATTAATTGATACTAAGTTTCAAGATTTGAAGGTTTGCATATTTTTTTGCGTATTTACCAGACAAGATTCCGGCAATCGTTTCTCCAAAAGTGGGAAGAGGATTGTGGGGTCCGATATTTTTTGGAAAGGAGCAGTCATTCCGTTCTCATTGTTGCTTCCCATTTTTTTAAAATAATCTCAATTTGCGTTTTTCACTTGATGAAAATATAATTGATGGGTATTTGTGAATGAGTGTCCACCCCACTACACGTGGAAGTTAAATACATGATGTACAAAAACTTAGGAGTTGCATAATAGTTAACTCATTCATAATCCGTCAAGTTAATCAAGTTGTGAGTAATAAATACAGTACGAATATGCATAATATGAATATACATATGTCTGGACATACTCGATTTTATACGTGTATCAAGAGATGATAAAATCATTTTATTTCTTTTCATTGGACATGAAATGCATTTTAAGAGATGTGGAGCGGGTTATATTTTCATCATCTGGCTGGTAAAAAAACATGCAAGTTTGTTAAAGGAATTTCTAACCTAACTTTTTTAGCAAGTCGTTTCGTGTTAAAATAAACTACAATACAACACCAAGTTCTAAATACTTTAAATAAGTATTGTCTTTGTGAAGAACTTCCTGTGATGTCGATCTGATTTTTTAAATAAATTCTCAAATATCTAACTTTACGATGGACGGACTCGTACTCTTACAAGAAAAGGTAAAATTTGCAACAATGTCAAATTTTGGTTCAAATTATAGTTTTCAAAAATATGGAATTAAATCACACTTCACATTTCATTTTTTATCTACAGTTGGAGGAAGTAATTCTCCTAATAAAAAGTTTTCGGCCGGAAGATTTAGTGAAAGCTGGGCGAGTTTGGAATACTTTCTCTCTCCAATTTCAGTCAATTATTAACCTCGATGTGGATGACACTATAACCAACCAATCATTAAGTACGAGGAAATACTCTAGTCCAGTTAAACCAAAGTTGAACTTATCAAAGAAGCAAGTAATAATTGCCACTAAAAGCAGTGTACATCAGAACGAAAACTTCATATCTACCTCTGAAAATGTTCCGGACAGTAGCGAATCACAACTTACGACGCTAGAATCTAGCAAAAATGACAAATTATTTGAAAATCTTTCAACAAATGACCAAAATTCCTCTAAATCCAACACAAGCCCAAGTTTTATACTGGACGAAGTGCAAACCTCTTCAATTCTTGAGGGTGAAGGTCAACAGCAACATGAAAATGGTAATTAAATTGAAATTTAAAGCCTTTCTACATTTCATAAATTGGTATCATCATATTAAAATTTTAATATCATTAGATGTAAGAGCACAAAACTCGTCGGAAGTGGAGGAGAAAGTGTCGGAGAAAGTGGCAACGGGTCGATTCAAGGGCAAACAATTTATTTGTGATGAATGCGGGGTGGCTTTTTCTACGAGGGGAAACTTCAATGGTACAATACATATTATTTGCAAATATTGCAATTTTCAAACTGATTTATTATAGAAATTTATTATAGAAATTTTCAAAATTACTTAATTCCAGTTCATTTACGGAAACATACCAGTGAGCGACCGTTTCCTTGTACAAAATGCAGTAAAAGATTTAATACTTCGTCTAATCTTCGACGACACTTGCTATCTTACCACCAAGGAGTGAAACCTTATCATTGCGCAATTCCTAATTGTGATGCGAGGTAGGTCAAAGCTGAGAAATTTAATTAAAAATCACTTTTCTGATCTTAAGTCTTTTAAATGTATATAGATTCACCGAGAGAAAAAGTTTAGTCATTCATGTTCGTCGTCATACTGGTGAAAAGCCGTTCGAGTGAGTAGTGCAATTATTCATGAAAAATAGTATAAATTTGAGACGATTTAAATGCATAGGTGTAACGTTTGTGGAAAAAGTTATATGAAACGATGGGTATTATCACAACATTTAAAAACGCATCAAGGGGATCAAGGAAAGTCGCATTTGTGTCATCAGTGTGGAAAGTAAGTGATTCATGAAAATGCAAAAATATGAATCATTTTATTAATACGAATTAAATATTTTTAGATCTTTCACACAAAAGTCGCAACTAAAACTACATGAAAAACGACACTCTGGTGTTAAAAGTAACGTTTGTTCTTATTGTGAAAGCGGTTTTACCACCAAAAGTAAGTAAAGAACATTATTATCTAAATTAATGCATGTATGCAAAATTGATTTCATATAAATAATCATTTTCGCTATATTTACTACGATTTGCAGGCGATTTACTTCGTCACGAGAAAACTCACAGTGGCAAAAAGGCCTTCGTGTGTCTTCGTGACCAGTGTGGAAAACCCTTTGCAAGATCTCACAGATTGAAAGATCACTTATTGAAACACGAGCAAGAACAAACGGCGGAAATGCAAGATGCTGGTGAATCAATCAAAATTTAAGTTCAATTATCGTTTTTTTATTAATCCGTGATAATTTTTTGAAACAATAAAATTCTCAAAATTAATATCCAGTCCAGAATTGTATCACTTTTTAGTAAAATTTTCATATTTTTATTGTCTCTGCAAACAACGAATTACAATACACACAGTACGTGTACAAAAATATAGCATAAAGTTATAAGCTAGCACAAACGAGACAAAAAGATATAAATATGTTATTCATAAAGATCTTTAAATTGGCATTGCTAAAGTTTTTGGTTGGTTTTTGGGTGTTGGTTGATTTTCGTGATAAATGTTACAACACATGATAAGAATATCTCATCTTATCTGTGCAGTCACATTTTTCTACAAAAGTTGTTCCGCTGGTGTCATTTGAATTTGTTGGTGTCTGAAATAAATTAAGGAAAATTTCACATGTAATTTTGCTTAATTAAAACGTTCGTTGCATCATAAATAAGTCATTTCTACTAAAAAATGCAGATATGTATGAATCACCGCTTTAGTCTCCATCGTCATCATCATCTCATTAAATTCAGCCTTAATTTGCCATGTGTGTGTTTACGAATAGTAATTGACATGACCTAGACTTACGTACCTACCTAAAACGTAAACCCACCATTATAATGTACTTAACTCTAAATTGAACTTGTCCATAAATGCTATAAAAACATAAACTTAAAGACTCCACCCTAATGAAATTGAGACTATGCGACGGTGTGGGAACAAAGAACTTAATTAATTTGCATGGCTAATTAAGTTTGGAATCAACTTGAATTAAATCTCGAGTGACATTTTTACACACTCGATGATTATTTAAGAATCAAGAACAAAGAAAGATAGCTAAAATGGTGTGACTCGCTATTTTGGAGATATCCCGATCACTTCCCAGGCTTATTCCCACGCACACGTGAATAGCACAAGTCATACAATCCCAGATAAAGAATTAATGAGTGGTAAATAAAAGTCAACAATGTAGAATAAATAATGAAAGGTCACGATTGTAATAAAATAATGTACAAGTTGCATGCGTGTAATTCAGTTGTACATGCATACAAATGTTAGTATATTAAGAAAATTAGTTTAAGCATTCGTGGGACAATGAGTAATAAGTGTGGTATTTAGTGACTATTTGTGAGATGCTATTATTATCCTAAATCTGCAGTCGTTAAGTAAGAGAGTCAATTTGCTACGTAATAATAATACTGACGGAAAAGTGCGATACGCACAATTACTTTGATATTTACGACGAGTTATTTTTAAGTTGCATAATTTAGGTCTAAATTTGAATAGAAATTTGCATACCTGGAAGTATGGCAGCAATCGCGACGAAATTTAGTAAAATCCTCCATGACCATAACCACCAAATCCACCATGACCAAACCCCCCGTGACCGTAACCTCCGACGTGACCATATCCATAACCAGTGGGGGCGACGGCAGATTGCACGTGGTAACGGTGACCGTGTGGGGAGTTTTCATGAACCTGTGGTAACAAAAAATGCATGTTCTCTACCTGAAAAGTCTCCACAATTTTATCCAATTTTTCCAAAAAATACTCACGCTGAATCCATAATCCAACCCGGTCTGGTGAGCATTGACCTTTGCAACGGACCCGTGACCTCCGTGAGGTCCATATCCAGCAGCCACGAATCCGTACCCGACCTTGTAGTGGGGGATTCCAGCGGAGCACACGGCGACAAGAGCGGCCAAAACGATCTAATTAATTAATTAATAGATTTTTTATGAAATTTGGAAAATATCAAAATTTGGAATTTGTAAAATAAAATCAAAATTTATTTTCCGAACAATTTCTCAAAAACCTGAACTTACAAGCTTAAACATTTTTGAGCTGTGTTTTCTTCCCTTTTGGAGAGGATAATGTAAAATGAGAATGATGATGCAAAAGCGACTTGAAGACTTAAACTGAAGGGGTGATGTATGAGATGGACACTTTTATACCTGTAATTACCTCAGCCTTTATTCTCACAGGCCATCTCATAAAGTAACAGATATGAAACGTCGTAAGTCTCGTAAGTCTGTCCAACGTGGTGCCATTCTCCGGTCGAATCTGCCAATCTTATCGTGAACATGACGCTTGGGAGCAAGACCTTTTTTGCTTGGGGTGCAAAAGGGACGTGTATGTATGTACATATTTTATATGAGATCGGATTTTATAAGAAATTTTATGCTATATGACGATACGATACGATATGACGACGCCGATATGAACAAAGACCTTTGCAAATGTCGACGAAATATTAGTATGCAAAAAAGATAAGGGTGCAACGTAACGCGAATTTATAGTGGCTAAAACTGTAACAGTGTTTATATGATATTTAAGTACATACAAACACTTGCTTGTGGTTAATGCGTTTTTTGTCTACCTTTATAAATAAGCATGTAGTGAGTAAGTAAGTGTGCGTAAATTATATAAATGGTTCGCGTTGTTATTATTTGCTGCAGATATTTTAATTCTATTATCAAGCCAAGAAATTTGCTCATTTATTATGTTATTAATATCCTTCGTGGTTGCATTTGTTGCGACATTTTACTTATAAACAATCTTGTCCGATACGTTTTTGCTGTCAATCAGCTTTTTTGTGTAACTAATTTGTAAATCTTTCTCAATTATTTTGTAAATAAAAAAGGTTAAAAACTTAGATTTTTTTCAGATTTCAGATTGTTCAGGACACTACCGTACCGATAATTCTATAATAAATTGAAGCCAGATCGATAAGGTCAAAAGGTTTTGGACGTAGGTTTAGCACAGAAAAAAATGTGCGTACAGTATGCAAAGTTAGTTGACTTGTAGGTTAAATTTACTTATTGTGACCATTGTTGCATAACAAACAAACAAACAAAGGTTTTGTTTCACATGTAATGTAAGTTCCTTCACTCACACTTTTCAGATATGGTGTGGTCCACCTACCTCTTAAACTTTTGCGAATAATTAAGAATGGTTAAGAGCCGACCACAACACAATTTTAACCTTAACCATTCATTTGACATTCATAATTATTGTTATAAAATCCAGTCCAGCTTATTATATTATCGAGTTTTGTTGTGTTTGTTTTCCACTGCACTTTCGTATGAATGGCTCAATTATTAAATTTATAACAAAATCTAGAACGAGGTTGGGTCTTGGTCGGACCACGGAACATAAGTACAAAGTGCATATGTGATTATATGCAACAATATATAAATATTCGTAATAGATAATTTGGGTTATGAATTTCATTTCATTGTTCATTCAAAATTTTTCTCATAAAATTTTACTGCTCAAAGACACGTCTCAATTTCTTTAATGCGTAGCATAAGGAAATTTCATACAAAAGTGTCGATAAATAAGAAATATATGGACTTTTAAAGACGGACATTATTCTGTTTAGTCCATTTGAAAAAAAATGTTTATGACGGAAGGAACCAAAACCTTCAAAATGCATCTATCTCAAGTCAATCTACGCAAGAAATAAGTCTAATCAATGTCAATTTACTTAGCAAAAAAGAAATAGATAAAATAATTTCGTGTTGCGTCCATAGTTTACAAATTGCAAACCCAACCTCTAAATGAGACTAATCCTAATGTGTATGAGTAACATGGTAAAATTGCTATATATAAAGGGAACCTGCCTCAATTTACTTGTCACCAACCGACACCAATTCATTCTTCAAAGTAATTGGTTCTCTCATGTAACCTACGTTTCGCTTAATTTGGCTTAAACTTGGTTTAAGTTGATGCATAATGTGGACCAGAAAATGATGCCATATTAAGCAATGAAGAAAATGTTAATTGTTGTTTAGAGGAAAGATATGGTTTATCCCTCCTACTTGTAAATGCGTAAATACGACACCTTGGACTTCAATTCAATGAAGCGTGGCAAAATGCATGATTATTAAGTAAGTGAAAATAAATAAGCACTTTATGGGAATGTTTTGTCCGTCCGTTGGATATTTCAACGCGACCGATGTAGCACTGTAGCAGTTGCCAGTCGCCCTTAATTTCTTCGTCTTATCGTAATTGTGGGCTCTGTTTGAGTCATATAATTTTAAAAACATTGAAAAACAATATTCGTGCATATCATCCAGAAAATTGTTTCTTCACTCAAACAAAAGAAAACAAATTTTTGCGTCCAGCATCCTATTTACAGTTTTGAAGTATAATTTTGAAACTTTATCGCCACTTTCTGACGTCTGTTTACTAAAACTTTATTCTGCTGAAATGTGGACAAAAATCTGACCAAACAAAATGCATTCCCTTCAGTAAGTAATTGTTACCTTATTACGCAAGCAATAGGGTATCACTCAAGTTTAAGTGCACTTGATTGATTGATTGATTTGAATCAATTTTTTGCTTTGTTTTTGATGGTGAGAAATTGGGTCTGTCATCTGTTAGTTACTTATGCACAACTTTGAGATAAAAGTCAAGGGTGCACTTCTTGTTCCGTTCCGCATGGCTAAAAGCTTAATAAAAATGTTAAGTCTAAATTTAGTTTGAAGGTAAATTAATAAATTGATTCTGATTATTATATTTGGTTGCTTTTTGCTTTGTTTAAAACAAAATGAGAAACTGAGAATAGATGTAAATTGACAAAAGAAGACAACAGGGCCAATGGCTGCCGGATGCAATGCATAATTAAAGAGATAATTACACATTCAAGTTTAATTTCTTAATTGGTTGCTGTAACAGGAAATCGTGGGAAAATTTGGTTAAATGCGTATATACACATACAATGATGTGCATGATTTTATCGTATCGTATCAATAATGCATGTTATTCAATAATTTGTCCAATTATGTATAAATATTTTGGAAAGTTTGTAGAAAAGACGATTTTTAAATTTTGTTTGAACCATTTTCAAAATACTGTAATTATATAATTCAAGTATGAAAGTTATTTTTTTTAGATTTTTGCACGAATTGTTGCACTATGACGCATGTCGAATGATAAATGAATAAATGCAAATTAAAAAATTACGATTGCTAAATTGACAAAATAATATGGAAAATCAACAAAATTTTTAACAAATACAAAATAGTTATGAAACACCATGAAAAGATCAAAATTGTAATGGTTAAGAGGACCGCCGTTAATTTTATTTTTATTGATTTTGGTTGTGAATTAGAAAATCTAATTTAGATTACTCATGAATGTAAATACTATAGTATTTACATTCATGAGATTACTAGATCTTAATTTGTAAACCAAAGTACTTAATTTTAAAATTTATAACCTGATTTAGATATGTATTAGCATAATTCGTTTTTAGCGTGTTTTTCCAATCACTTGTGATGATCTGTAGCGTTAATGGAGAACATGTAATTTATGTGCATATATTCATTTATGCATATTCGTATTACAGATATATTTATTACTCACCAATTGATTAAATTGACCGACTATGATAATGAATGAGAATTTGCAACTCCTAAGTTTTTGTACAACACATAACTTCCACATGTGGTGTACACTCATTCACAAATACGCATTACAAATACACATTTAAAATGGGAAGCAACAATGAGAAAGAAATGACTGCTCCTTTCCAAAAAATATTGGACCCCACAATCCTCCTCCCACTTTTGGAGAAACGATTACCTGAATCCTGTCTGGTAAATACCTACAAATTAATCAACAAAGAATATTCCATCTTAGTACTAACTTACTTATTAATAAATACTGTTAAATTTCGTTTAAGATGTACAACTCTGTCAAAATGTATCCCCGATTTGTGGAACAAGGTTCATTTTACGCGTTGAATGGGGAAATTGATGAAGGATCGTGGTTCGCTGTTACCCATTTTAGAGAGGTTAGAAATTTGAAACTTATTTCTATTGATTTTCTATAATAACGAAATTAATGATCCTCGTGTGCAATTAATTTGTAAGGATGACGGGCAAGGTTATCACATTTGGGCGGACAAAGAAAAGTCCAGAATTTCTCATGCAGAAGCAGTCCAAATTCTGACAACTTGTCCACTTTTCAATTGGGACGAACCATTTTCCTTTTCTGCTGTACAGATATGGATATCAGAAATTGTACAAGAAGTAAGCGTTCGTCGAATTGGACACTTCACAGTGATCACCCCGTGTCAATTGTTTTACAAGGAGCTTGACGAATGTCTAAGTTTGGACATCAAGTAACCTACAGGTTTAAACTATCGGAGAATCATGTTTGCGGAGAATATAATTTTTTCATGCAACTTTTAGATCACCCGACCCATCCCACATAGAAATTAAGCCGTTAGATAAGGACAAAGGACTGAAATTCTTACTCTCTGAAACTGGTGGGTCAAATGTCAATTGCGTCGTCAAGAATGGAAATGAGACCGTGTGGAGTCGATTTATCGAGAAGAACGAGTCCGCCGGAGTTTATGTCGATGGGCTCCCCGTTTGCGGAATAGTTACCCGATCATTCGGAATTTTGGGGCCACTTTCGACCTTAGAAAATCATAAGAGAAAAGGTTACGCCAGCCTCACGATGCAATACGTTTTTAAGGAGTTGGCGAAAAGTGGAATTATTCCAGCTACTCAGGTATTATCTAAAATATTTTGACAATTACCACGTAAATAAATTAAATAAATTACTCGTTTTGTCTTTTGCTCCCAGGTCGTCCCGAGAAATACGCCGTCAATTAAGTTGCATGAAAAATTAGGCTGTAAAAGGGCTGGCATGGTCGACTTTGTGGAAGTTTGGCCATCTCTCATTAATAAAACTTAACTAAAACAATGTAAATTTTATTAAAAAGTACACATATAAGTTTGTCTGGCCAAAGACTCATGATACCCTCTCGAGATTTATGCAGGAACATTGTTCCAGACAAGATATCTCAATTTAATTATTTATTTAATTATGGAAATACAAATACCTTCTCATGTATGTTACAAGCAATTTAACGTATGTCTCAACAAACCAGCGCTGTTACAAGTCTTCATAAGATTTATTTCACTGAAACTAATTTTGAAAAAAATAATATTTTCATAAAAATTTGCATGAATTTCATACATATTTTCAAAATATGTATGAAATTAAATTCATGCATATTTGTTGAGATTTACGCTATGGATCTACGTGATGTATCCCGTTTTCCCCAAGTTGGGAGCTCAGTTTAAACCAAGTCCACTCGCACGTGCAGATCAAATACCGATCCAACTTGAAGTTTGTTTTGCAAGTTTTCTGAAATTTTAAATTCAGATTACGAAGTTTTTTTTCATATTTTGAAAAGTACATACATTTCAGTTTGATGCAATGGGAGTTATTCAGCGAGTGGTGTAAGCTACTTATATAGTTAAATACTAAAATGGTTTGCTTATTTTTTCCAAAATACAAATACACATTGATTCATTCTACTTTTAAAATTATAGGAAACCTTCTACCCGGAAAGGGAAACGGAGTTTGATAAACAGACAGCCGAAACTGATTGAAAATACGAAGACGTCACTTTTCCTCAGAGGGAATAAGGCGAGCGAATTGTCGATCAAGTGTGCAAAAGATTTGGTATGAGAAAATTTTTAAGAAATAAGCTTGTTCAATCATTATTCATTACTATTTCATTATTATTCATTGATTCATTAATATTGATTATCATCTATTTGTGGGTCTAGTGCCGGATAAAGAAACCTCATTCTGTATTCTTTGGAAAAAAGAAGGATTTCCGACCCTTTGAAGCTGTGAATGAGATGGAGACCTTGTGCAAGAAATACGACGCTTCTCTCTTCTCATTTGTCTCACATAACAAGAAACGTCCTCATAATTTAGTTCTGGGTAAGTGTTATTTATGATTTTGTTGTTGAAGTTGTAAGAAGTTTTCATTAAAATTAAAATTATTTTTGTACAGGCCGCATGTTTGACAATCAGGTTCTGGACATGGTTGAATTTGGAATTGAGAAATTCAAGGGTCTTGACGATTTCAAAGTGCCAAAATTCGCCACAGGAAATAAACCATGTCTTCTTTTCTCTGGGGAACCGTGGCTCTCAGACACTTCAGATTTCTTCCGGATAAAAAATCTTTTGATAGATTTTTTTCATGGAGAGGAAATTACAAATATTCGACTCGAAGGGATTGAACATGTCTACTCTTTTGTGGCGGTGGAGAACAAGATATATTTGAGAGGGTATAAAATAGCATTGAAGAAGAGTGGGGAAAAGACGCCGTTTGTAGAATTGGAAGAAATGGGACCATCAGCAGATTTGGTTTTGCGCAGAGTCAAGCTTGCTTCAGCAGATTTGTTCAAGAGTGCTTGCAAAAGACCAAAGGAGTTGAAGGTAATTACATAATTTATTTACGTGATAATAGTCAAATTTATTCCAATAATTAATGGGAAATGTAATATCTTTTGCAGCCCAAGAAAGTAAAGAACATTTCAAAGGACTCCTTCGGCTCACAACTTGGCCAGGTGCACATTCCGCGACAAGATTTGTCCAAGCTGACTACAAGACGGATGAAAGGTCTCAAGAAATCCATGGCTGATAGAAAGATGGAGAAAGCAGGTCGTGTAAGGGAAAGCAACGCCGAAGGCGAACAAACCACCGCCACTGCACCATCGACGACCGTCTCCAGTAGTTCTGGTGCCTTCGTGAGCACGTCGAGAGGTCCCAAATCAAAATTAGAGTCTGTCGTTTCTTCCGGACCGGCTGCTACCAAGAAAGGGATGCAGCTTCACTTAAGTGGTTAATCTATAAGCGCGTATAGAGTACCTTATTTTACGTTTTTATCCTCGTTTATTTCTTAATATTGACGTAAACTTACAAGCGAATAAATTAGTATGACTTTCATATCCAATAATACATGCATACATACATTAGGCATTAACACAACTTCTTCCATTGAACCCGGATTCGGGTACGAACGGGAACTGTACTCTGAAACACCGGGAAATGGGTTTTTCCTTTTACCAGACAGACTGCAAAAAAATCTTGCAGTTTCACAAAGGGTGGCTCAACTGGTTCGCACAAAGAAAAAGTTAAAAGACACATTTTGCAGGCCTATACCACTGGCCTACAGAATTCGTACTTGTACATGCATACATTACATACATATAGAAAACGCAATTACGTAATTGAGATTAATTTTATTAGGAATCGTATTACATTACAAGATTATTATGTAACTATTAATGTCCGCAAGAAGACCTTTAAAATATGAGACTGGTTTAATTTTTTAGGAGTATTTATGTAATATAAACCCTTAATTTTTTTCAAACGCATACATAAAAATAACTCAATCTTTTATTTGATATCCCGAATGAATGAATGAAATGAGTCAGTAAAAGTGTCAGTGATAATGATTTACTTAGCGATTATTCCTGGTGTGAAAATGACTACGTGACACTTCATACTGCCGCAACGAGTAGTTAGTTTAATACAAGAGTTCATCAGTTAATAAACTTGGTTAATTTTGGATATCTACCAAATGAGATTAAAATGAATCAAGAGAAAGTGTACGACGTGATCATCGTTGGGGCTGGAATTGCGGGTTTGAGTGCGGCCAATTTTTTACACAAGCGAGGAATTAGTGATATTCTTATCTTAGAAGGTGAGATGAATACTTGAGAAAAATTATTCAAGATAACAGTACTAACTCGAATTTCTACTGAATTTCAGCCAAATCCAGACCTGGAGGAAGGATTGAGACGCTGACATTGCCTGGAGAAAAAATAGAACTTGGGGCCCAATGGATTCACGGAGAAGATAACAAGCTATGCAGACTGGTCAAGGCGTCAGGTCACCGACACCACACCACTTCATGGGAAGGGAGAGGTGACTTTCTCCTCCCCGATGGAACCAAAGTAGGGTCAGAAGCTGTTTCAGAAATCTTGGACTGGTTGGAAAACACGATCGGCTATGTGGAGGAGGCTTACTGCATAGAAGAGCTGCAAAGTAGTCCAGGCCAGTACTCCAAGTCGACGTTTGCCTCCATGGGAAAGTTTTTAAAGGACAGATTTCGGAAATATTTGCGAGATTCGGCCGGAGTTTGTACGGGTTCGGTAGAGTATGAGTTGAAGATGGCTCTCTTTCAATGGGGGATGAGGTATTAAATTCGAAATTACTATGCATATATTACATATATGTAAACTAATCATTGGCTTCTATTTAAATTGTCCAGTTTTCAACGAATCGACAACTCATGCAATCAAATGACAGGTTGGTTTCTATCTTAATAGTTTAAAGTTAATTTTTTGAGCGTAGAATGCCAATACTATTTCAACTTGGCTCCAATAGATCTGAGTCTGTTTCGCTGGTCAGAATTTCAAGTCAATCCTGGCGAACATTACAACAATTTTAAGTTTGGGGGGTCCAAGTTCGTGGAGGAGGTTTTAGTTGGACAACTTCCACATGGAGTGTTAAAGCTTAATTGTCCCGTGGGAAACATTGCGTGGGGAGAAAGTGGCAAAGATGCGAGTATTGTTCGACTTAGAAATGGTGAACGATTTCATGCAAAAATTGTTCTAGTAACTTGCTCTATCGGTGTCCTTCAATATAATCAGGTAATTGGCAACCTATAAATAAGAGCTATACGATTTCTTGATTAATTACAATCTTATTAATCTACAGGAAACATTGTTTACTCCACGACTCCCTCAAAATCTTCAAAATGCCATCAATGCCACCGGATTTGGTCCCATTGCCAAAATATTCCTGACTTGGTCCAAACCGTGGTGGCCCTCGAGTTGCGAGGGATTTCAATTTCTGTGGCCATCCCAGTTTGTAAACTGTTGTGACGACACTTATGGTGGAAAGAGCTTAACGGACCAAGCACTGAGGCAGCGATGGTTTAAATCCATTACAGGATTTGACCCTGTTTTGGACTCGCCCTGCACTCTGGTTGCATGGTTGGGTGGACCAGAGTCTGAGTTTGTGGAAAAGGGTATCACGGAGGGGGAAGTGGGGGTGGAATGTGCCAGAGTTTTGAAGGCGTTTACACGGTATGATGTACCAGCGCCGGAGAAAGTTGTGATGTAAGTGTAAAAAATTAAGTAATTAATCCTGATGACATATTAATGTCGGAATATTTATTTTGTTTTGCAGTACGAAATGGAATTCTGACGAGTTTGTCAGGGGTGCGTACTGTTATCGTTCCACCGAAGGAGATAAAGTTCATGGAGACATTACTGCAATCTTGTCCAGACCAGTGATGGTGAAAGTGGAAGGAAATGAAGTATAATTGCATATGAAAACTTGCCATGTAAATGATAATAATGAGATGGAATTATGTTAACTTTTTCTAGAAACCCGTCATTCTGCTGGCTGGCGAAGCCTTGAGTAAAACGCATTATTCTACAATTCATGGTGATTATTGAGACACGAAATTAGATATATCAAAATTTCAAAATAATGTATATAATTTTATTAAATTATGTAGGAGCGTATGAATCCGGAGAATCTCAAGCTATGAAAATAGTAGACTTTCTTCATTGTAGCAAGTCAACAGCCAAGAACAATTGTGCCATGTCCACTGCCAATACTCAAAAAATGCGGAATAGCAATAGTGGTACGTTGACTGAGATGATGGAAATTACTGAAATCGGCCAACTTGCAACTGAGCTTGCGTGCCAATTTTCTAATCAGGTCAATATTCAATCGTAAGAGTCGCAACTAGTATAAAACCAGACAACTTTTTATGATTATTGTGACCATATTTTTCCCTTTTAATAGAAGACAAGTATTTAAATGAAAATATAAATAAATTACGATTCAATATTACTACAAAATTAACTACAGCTTTATTTAATTTTTCTACTTGTGTATACAAGTTCTTGTCATATTATTATGTTTCCTTTCGATTATTACATAAAATTCATTTTTTTCGAGGTACAAAAGGTGTCAAAATCATAAAACATAAATAGACACATGCTTATAACCATTCTAAACACATTGCTAATAACAAATTTGAAAACATTGATGATTAAATATGTAACAAGTTACAACCTTACAGAGTTTTCATCATGATATGATTCGTCTTATACATTTTACTGTAAATTAGTGCATGAGTTCAAGTAATTATAGTTGTAGTAGTTTCGGAAAGAAGCGCACACAATTCATGAAATACAAGGTACAGTAATTATACACGTAGCAATATAATCAATCATATAACCATCTGATGAGTGAGCAGATCAGATACCCTTATTTTCAGTTACCACAGTCAAAGCCAAGACTACTATTTTTTTGCATTATCAATCAATCAGATACTTCATTTTCATTCAAGGCACCCTTTTGCAGAAAATATAAAAGTTTCCAATCTATCCCTAAATGCGGAACGGCTGAGACGGTCCCCTCCATTCTGGATGTTCAGGTTTTCGGTTAGCTTAGAGAATGCTAAACTTAATTTGTTCCTGGATTCTTCACTGCTGCGAGAAGACAGTAGTTGATTTACCAGCTCAGAGTAAGCGTCCTAAAAATATTAGTAACATATAGTTTCAATTCATTATTGAGTATTTTGAAATATCTAAATTTGGTGGACTTACTGGAAATGCAGTTATGAGAGCAAATAAGACGGTCGATATCGATGGAATGCTCTCCTTTGAAACACGTTGCGAAAGAATCATTTCAAGAAATATTTTCAAAAAGGGTTTACAGTATTCTGAAGTCTGTACGGATTGTTGTGAGTGGCGTGAAATGTGAATCGCCATGCACTAAAATGTTTAAAGATCGTTAAATTATGCAAATTATCAAAAACTAAATTAATAAAGGTTATTTTTACCGAAACAAATTCACAACAGCTTGCAAACGGATCTGCTGCACCGTTGCGAAGCCCAATTTCGACGGATTCGTAGACAGCTTGAATTGAAAAAGTCTCACATAAAATAAACTTCAAAATTTATTCAACAAAATAATCCAACAACTAACCTTGAAGCATGGGTGGAGGCAGTACCATCATTTTATCGGCATGTAGTTCACTCAAGAAAGCAACCTATGTGGACATAAAAATATTTACATATTACAAAGTAATATGCATACTTATGTAAAAATTAGCTATACCAAGCGAAAGTATTTGTTGCTGAGACTGGGAAACTGCAACAAATCTGCATTCATCAATGGTAACACGGTCCCAAGTCCTAGCAAGGAGACATCACTCGCGGAGACGGACGGTGGGGTATTATTCCCACTAATGGACTCTGGACTTAGGTCGAGAAAATCTTTGGACAGAAGGCAGGTCAGCATATCCATCAAAGTCACGAGATCATTGAAAGTATCTTCTTCTGCCGTCTTCTCATTTGAAACACGACCTTTTAGAAGCAATAGAAATAATTTGACATTGAGTACGGTTTATGATTCTGCAAAGCTTTTTTAGTCATACCACGAGCATGGGACGAGTAGGACTTTACAACCGACATTGCTGAATGGTATAGGGTGACGGAGTCTCCGGACGACAAGTATGAAAGAGATCGCTTAGCTAGTTCTATTACGAGCTCGATACAAAGCTCAACAATATCGACATAGTTATGATATGTAGCCAATATAGCTCCACATTCGGTAACGACAGGTCCAATCCTTTTGAATAGTGGAGTCGCTGTCTTCGAATGAGAACTCATTGCTGCACCTGATTATTAAATCATTATGAATTAGTTTATGTGCCATAATAAATAACAACCAATAATGTGTCCTCAGGGTCCTCACCAATAAATCCGCTGAGAACGCAAGAAATTTCCATTCGGATATCATCTCTGTGCTTTTCTGTGCTGATCAAGCCTGACAAGTTTTGGAATCTTGCAGCTAATGGAACTAGCACCTTTAGGAGTAATAGAAAATAAAATAAATACCAAAGTAGTAATTCCTTTCCAATTCATACAGTATATCGCTAATTGATCTTACCTGGTCCCAATATTGTTCACGACGGCTCTGTTCCTCACAGAAACTTCCGACAGAAATTACAGCTCGTACTAATTTTCTATATGCTTCATTCGGCATCTGATATTTCCCTGGCCCAACCCCATTCGCAATTTCGACAATTGCAGGCAATTCTGTGCTGTGAATTGCTAGTTCAGCCCTATCAAACATGGTGCATGAAATTAATTAAACTCAAAATAAATTTAAATGCAAAACACTATGGTCTACGTACTTCTTGTTAGAGTCCACCAGTGAGAGTAATAAATTTATGGCGTCTCGCATTACAGTAACTTCTCCGTTGTAGCGAATGAGATCTTCTTTTACTCTCTGAAGCAGAAATGTCTGTGAGATTTTGGTGACTTGACTAAGGGGTCCCCAAGCAGCCAGAAAGGATGGACTCACCTACAACATATAGATAGTAATTGATTTTAAATTATTTATAATTACAAATTGACAACAACAAGGTTTTATAAAAATTTCAAAGTATTCGTTCTTACATTTGTGTAATATTCTTCACTAATGACAAAGTAGGATTCACAAAATCGATGTAGAAACCACAGCACGTTGCTAGCTAATTCTGGACTAAGCAGATATCCCAATCCGGACGCATTTACCCTGCGTTCTGTTTCACTCAAAATTATCACGCAGGAGACTAACCTGAATTCAACAGCCATCATTGCATTTTAGTTACCATTTTGAAAAATTCCATCAGTTTAACTGTTATGTATCACAAACTAACCTAACGATCGGATCCACATTCTCCTCGACATTGACCATTTGAAATGACTTTTCAAACGCTGCAGCCGATAGGTCTGGATCTTTGTCCGCTGCAATTGAGTAGTCGTGGATTTCCGACGGTACAAGATTTGTTTCCCCTAGTCCATCAAACGCTAAAATGTGCCCCGCCATCAAAATTCCCCAGTGAATATCTTCATAAATGGGTTCCAAGCTTTCTCTGGGTGCTGCTTGGCTTGCAACTATTTCAATCTGTTTTTGGAGGGCTTGGCACTTGAAGATTAAAAGTTGTGTGATGATGGGGACCGAATGGGGAAGAATAAATCGACCAAAAACTCCGACAGCTTGTAGCTGGTCACGAAATTGATTCGTGTCCGACTCTTCGTCTTCTTCGCTCTCATCAGCAGTTGCGACAAGTTGTCTGAAACCTTCTGGCGGTGATAAATGAGCTTTGAGATAGCAGTTAAAAATATCTGTGACGATAGGCTGGACGATTTGTTTTGGAAAATTTTCCGTGTCTGTTAAAATGTTCATCCAAGCTTCCAACACTCGAGTGAGAGAATCCCGATAAAGTCGATCGTCAACTCCAGATTTCTAAATACGCAACAATTACGAAATTAAGAAAACAATTTCCACATAATAACCTGCAAAAAGCCAATAATAACACCGAAAACCAAACTCACACTTTCTTCGATAGCTGCCTGTTGAATGACATAACATGAAAAGATTCCAATCGCTTGGAAAAAATTCTCCAGTGTTTGAGTTTCAACGAGTGAGAGAAGGGCAGCACGATTAAAAAGGAGGATTTTCCTAATCAAATCACTCAATCCGTAGATTTCCATTGACAGTTTATCCGGTCTATTAAACAAAATATTATAATTGTTAAGAAATTCATTTTAAATTTAATTTTAAAAACATACAAATTGAGAAGCGTAGTAAAAGGTGGCAGAATTTTGGAAAGAAATTCGACGCGATTTTCACGATTCATCAAAACAGGTCGATGCATGGACACCAACTGGGCCAACAGATTAACCGTTCTAAGCACAAAATTGTCATCGTGGCGGACTTTGACATGAATCTGAAAATTATCAGTCAACAAAATAATTTAAATTTAGAAATCCTGCGAATAATGTATGTCTTTATGTCTCACATTAAAGAAAATGGGCATAAATGCACTGTCGTTGATTGTATCCAGCCATGACGATGGTGGCTTGAAAGTTGGCATTGCTTCCATTTCAATGACCCCAGCAACACGTTTGGGTAAGTTTTGTTTAGTAAAATTCCAGCAGAGTATTATTTCCAGGACTTTAAGAACGTGGTCAAGATCTCTTTGTTTCATGGGGGAATGTTCGTGCGTGGTTAGAAACTGGAGACAAAACTGGAATATCCGGAGAAGGTCGGAATTTTCAAAGTCTCTCTTGGCAGCAAAATGCATCTCATAAGTTAAACTAGCATCCTCTGCATTAACTACGTATTGGTGTTCGGCTAGCAAGGCGTCCAACATGCAACATGCGAGAACCTAAACAATGGAATATTACATAACAATGTCTCAGTTTAAAATTTTTTAAGTGGATCTAACTATAGATATATTTGTAAAAAATAATTATATACCAAATGATTGCCAGTGGTATTTAAGGCAGTACCAACAATGTGAGAAACCAATTCCGTCCTTTGCTTTCCTATCGCCCCATTTGTAAGGCTCTGATGTTTGACAATCAAAGCGATAACACCTGCCAATCTTCGTTTCATAGCGTATGAAAATTCGGTGTTGCCCAGTAGGATATTGAGAATGTGTTGATTCAACGTTTTAATATCCTCATCGGGGAGTTTGTTCCAATCTTGCATTAAGTTATTTCGAAGTACATCGGCAGTCTCGAAAATCACGAGTTCGGTTTGACTATTTTCTGTGATAAAATATAAAAAACCCATTACACATCTCATACGATAATTATTCAGTCAATACATATGATTATAGGGATGTATAACTACCTAAAATATATTTACAGAGTACAAACGCATTTCGCATCTTGCGAAAATTGATGATCATAGTTTCAGCAGCGAATCTCTCATCTTTCGATACAATGTCTGGAGGAGCCTGATAATAAACAACACAGAACAAGTTATAATTTGAATTATTAATAAAGCTAAATCAAAAATTGTGAATTACCATTAAAATTCTCGCAGCCGTTTCCAACTGCTCCAATGAGCCTCGAACGTCCATATTGTAAGTGGTTATCTTGCAAAATTATCTACTAGCTATTATATCAAAAAATTGACTCAAACTTGATTTGTCATTATTTATGTGCGAGTTTAGCAGAAAAATTAAAAGTCTAGCAAGTAGGTTTCATTCAAGATAATCTTCAAGCACATACCCTTCACGCCCCGATAACAAATCTTGTAGTTTAAATAAATAGTTACAAATTATATTTCGTCAGCAGAATCTTTTTTCCAAAAACCAAAATTCTGAAATTGTAAAAAATGAAAAACTTGACTAAAAGACATTGACAGATTGAGATAATTACTGTATCAGGTTGAATTTGGTTCCTTAAAGGTTCGCACGATTTAGTCACTCCATTCACCCCATTGGACTTTGCGTTATAAAAACTCTATGAAATTGGATTGCGAAATAATGCATTTTTTTCCTGACATTATGCTCAAATTAAATTCAATGCAATGCTGATCATTAGAAATAATTAATTGTGCCATTAAAGAGCATGTATGTGGGCAAAGTATTGTGTAAATTTCAATTATTCTACCCACCATGAAGCATTTATGAGTTTTGGTTTCTTGCTGGATTTGCGATTTACTCCAGTTCCGTGTGCAAAACCCGGCTACAGTTCCAGAAGAATTGTATTCCTTTGCTTTGATTCAGTCAGTTGTCGTCCTTGAATTTCGGAGAGTCATCCTCATCAATTTAATCGAAGAACATTCCCGAAACTTTTTCTCGAAAAATTAACAAACCAAGTAGAAACATGCCACAAAAAGCAGTATGCGTTCTCAAGGGAGATAAGGTTCAGGGAACCGTTTGGTTTAATCAGGAGGTGTGAAATAAATAATTGCAATTTTATTTCTATTTATATATATATTCATTCTTACAAATAATGAATGTCCTCCAAAAATAATGAATCCTTAATTTTAACAGGCTGAAGGGAAACCAGTCGCAGTGACTGGAGAAATCAAGGGGCTCGGCGCTGGTCTTCATGGATTTCATGTCCACGAATTTGGAGATACGACCGACGGTTTGAAAAGATTTAAATCAGATTTGATCATTAAGAACAATTGCTTATCCGTCACCAAACTCATTTGCAGGCTGCACCTCCGCCGGGCCACATTTCAACCCGAAGGGGAAAACCCACGGAGGTCCTGGCGATGCTGAGCGCCACGTTGGAGACTTGGGTAATGTGACCGCAGGGGGTGACGGAGTGGCCAAAATTGACGTTAAGGACAGTCTGATTTCGCTCTTTGGTGAAAACAATGTGGTCGGAAGGACAATGGTGGTAAGATTTTAAGGCAAAATGTAATTATATTGAAATTTTGAAACGTTTAAAGAGAACTAAATTTTGAAAATCAAATCTAGGTCCATGCTGACCCCGACGATTTGGGAAAAGGTGGTCACGAGTTGAGCAAGACAACTGGAAATGCTGGAGCTCGAGTGGCTTGTGGGGTTATCGGTTTAGCTAAAGCTTGAATTGATCATCATCAGCATCATCATCAGGGTTATCAGAAGTGTGACGAAAATATTAGCGTTTCAGATCAAAATAATTCGAAATTGGACCTAATTAGCAAGAGTAAAATTTAATACTTTCCTGATAAGAAAAATTGCTTTAATGTGTTCTATTCAACTATTTTTTGGTTAAGCCTTGAGATATTCTTTTAAAATTCTTTAATTGCCCAAAATATAGTTACATAATTACTATTAAAAAACCCAGCTAATGTAGCTTTATTTTTTGGAAAACATTCCTACATTTAAGAAGACCAAACAGTTTCAATTTATTTCTAGATATAAATAAATATTCAAATATGTGCTGAATTTGTCAAAGTTGAAATAAAACTGGAATTCGAAATAGTACATTTATTTCCGAAAAAGTTGTGACCTTTATTTTTGCAAAATATTTCATTTACACATTTCACGAAATTGGATCGTTCGATTGAAACAATTCTATTCTATAATACTCAGTAAACGAACCGTTTATAATGTAAACTACACAAGGAGATTTATACACAGCATTAAAAATAAAGTGTTTGATATATCGAGTTAGGTAAGTATTGCATCTTTCGGATTAAAATATTTGTACAAATATTTGTACCTCTTACATAATGTGCGTATGTCATACCGTAAATGTTATGTCAAGTGTTGTAACAGAAATACATATATAAACTGGCCAACTCGTCGCAGGAATAGTAATGCTATGAATATTTAACTACAAAGTCATGTCGTTTTTGTAGTAAAAAATAAAGGTAATAATTAATTTTATAATTTTTAAGTTGATATTTAGTAATCGTTAATTAAACTGATATTGTCACTATTGTCAGTTGAAATTTTGAAAGTCAAGTAAGAATGGAATACTCTATCGCTAATTAAAGAAATGAAAAAGTACTCTCCCCGTCCAAAACTGATTATTAGCCGTATAAAAATCCGTTCTCAAATCTGATAGATCTCTTCCTATTGGACTGTCGACGAGCGCTGTTGACGGAGGAGGTTCCAGGAGAACTATTATGTTCCCAATTCGCTTTAATGGGAGATGCCGTAGGATCATCAGGCGACTTATCATCACAAGATGATGAGTTGTTGCTTTTCAAATTGAACGGATGGACAAACCCATTCTTCCATTTTGAATCAGCAACGGCCTCAGTTACATGTTTTTTATTCCTGCGTGGAGTAGTCTTCTTGGATTTAGGGGTTGTTTCTGCTTTTTTAACAAAAGAAATATCAAACTGTTTAACCATTTTTAATGACATTTTTAATTCGCAATTGAAGAATTTAAAAACACACTTACGCTGCTTAGAAGATTCCACGATATCGCTCGACTCATCCGATACAGCTTCGATATCGACCTCAATGTCATCATTGTCCTCAGAACGTTTTTGAACCTTTCGGTTGCCCCTTCGTTTCTTAAGGTATTCTTCGAGTATGAATTCTGGAGTCTGTTTGAGAACTTTTTTGGGAAGTTCGTCTTCACTAAGGCGTTCAAGTTTAAGTACCAAGGTTCTTTTTCCCAAGATTGGCACACTAGCACCCGAGTTTCCATTTTTATTGGGAGAGGAAATGGGAGGTAACGGCGCTGACGCTGCTGGGGAGGAGGGTAACTTTTTATCTGTCTTCTTGGTTGGTGGTCTGCCTCGAGGTTTCTTCTTCTTTTGGGGAGTAGATTCAGACTCTTTATTTTGACCAGAAACAATTGTTGAAATAATCTCAGTATTTGATTGACAATTGGATAGCAGGTGTGTCGCAGATATTGATTCTTCTTCTGAAGTTGATTCAGCAGATTTTCTTTTAGTCTTTTGATCAATGTACGTTTGATCAAGCCTCGTCAGTTTTATGAAAGGCTGGGTCAAGTCTATATCAGCTTGATTACATGGTTTGGTTTGTTCGGAAGATTCAGCAAGGTTCACTTCTTCTTCTTTGACTGGCGCTGGCACCACTGGTTCGATAGGATCGATAGGATTTGCGATTAATGTAAGTACAGGAATTTGTGGTGGAGAAGAACATGGGGTAATTATTAGCTGGTCATTCAACGTTGTATCCGTGTTCAATGGCGCTACGTCGACTTCATCAACTTCAATCGGTGAATGCAAGAAAAGTAGCTCAATACAAAAATGTTCAGTCGGTTTAAGAATTGGAGATTGAATCTCTGTTGTTGTTGTCTCTGGTGGTGGTGGTAATGAGTCTTCAATTATCTCCTCCTCCTCCTTTTTGTTTAATGTTGTCAACTTCAACTTTTTCTTTGCGCTTTGGTCGGACTTGGCATTAGGTGTGGGCGTTGTTTTCAGCTCAATTTCTTCGTTTCCCTCCTCCTCCCGTGCTGGAGATTTTTCGACAGGAGAAGATTTCAGTGGTGTGGAGTAGCTTACTTTGTCATTGAGCGCCCTCTTTCTCGGAGTGAATCGCCTAACGTTAGACCGATAGTTTTGATAACTAACTGATGAAGATTTTTGTTTTACACTTTCAGTTGAAGATTGAGCCAGCAAAGCTCTGCGATTCCTCTCTATTTCTCTCCGAAGTGGTGCTGAAGTTGAAGGTTTGGGGTTCTCCATTTCCTCCAAAATATCTCGGTCTGCTTTGGATTGCTTTTTACGGAAGACTGGGGCGCGGGGGACTATTTTCTTCTTTTGCAAAGACTTCATCCTCTGACTTAATGGAACATTTGATAGTTCATTTTCCGATGAAGAATCAACATCTGGGGTTGATGGTGATGTGCAGTTTGTGGGCTTAAGAGGTGTGGCTGATGGTGGTGATGGGGAGTCTTCCCGTTTTGACATTGGGATTAGAACAGGGAAAGTTTTTCCTCTTCGTTTCTTTGATTCTGCACTCTTGGTCGTTTTTTCCTCAACACTTATTTCTTGCCCGGCATCGACCTCATCGCTGTCAGCTCCTCGTTCCGTTAAAGGGGAATTAGAGTCATCAGTTAAAGGGGACAGTGTGCAAGAATCATAGCCTGAAGAACCATGACTGCCCGTTTCCTATGAATAATAGCAGTAATAGCATCAATTAAATTGTAATTAGTGCAAAATAGAAATTTATTATTGATTTAATCATAAACAAACCTGTTGTTCGTCTAATTTAACATCAACAATGTTATTCTGAATCGGCAAAGAGTCGTCTTTTTCAATCATCGCTTTCTTGGGGTTATCACTTTTAAGTTGGGCTTCTTCCATCTTTATCCTTGTCCTGCTGGGCCGTCCTTTCCTACTTTTAACCTTTTCAATGCAGGCCACCTTAAAGAAAACATTGACCAAAAATTCTGTTAACACGCGCATATTATTAGCGAGTAATACGAATGCTCTTACGATGACTTTGGATTTGTAAAAATTTGCAAGTTTTATTATGGCACAATGCAATACTTTAATACTTCACAGAGCACTGAAATCAATGTCTAGCTGTTTTACTCACCAAAGTAATATTTGATCTTTTCTTCGGCTTCTTCTTGGTCCGTTTCCCTTATCTAATCATTATTTTTTATTATCAATTATTAAGTCAACAATCTTATCACCCCTTCAAAAACTTCTCCCCAAAATTCAATTGTTCTCCTTACAGGTTGCCTTCTTGTATTAATACGTCTGTTAAATCTTTTTCAGTATGGTATCTTACGAAGTTGTCAAAATCTCCGTCTTTGTTAGTTTAAAAAGATTTCAAGAATTGTAAATAAACAAGCCTCTCTTCATTCTCCCTGCCGAGTACAAATATTTGTGTACATATTAGAAGATTGTTTGAACAATTAATCAGTCATTTATTACGTATCCTCACCTTATCTTCCTTCGCTTGAGGGGAGGGCTTATCTGTCCGCAATATGTTGTTTTTATTCCGAGGGAAATAAATAACTGCGAACTGGAGCAGTTAAAAAAGTGGAATGGAATGGAGTGAAGCGAAAGTTGGTCCCGCGCGGAGAATTCACCGGCTACCTCGCACTCGCACCTTGCTTTTCTCAGAAGGTGGAATTGTCTCACCCTAATTTTAAGTTTATATTTATAGCCTTTAGTATTTAATTTAGGAAACTTTAACGGCCAATTATCCTACTAAATATAGATCGATCAAGTACCTGCCCGTTGTACCTGTCTGCCTTACCCTGCGATTAACTTGTACAGGATCCAGTACGTAAATGACAAATTTGAACAATTTTTGAGATTGCATTGCTCATTTTAGTTAAATATTTCAAAAACTTTATGACATGACTTACTAATTTTGCTACGTTATTTATTAGCGTAGATCCCGCAGAATCATGAGGATCTGGGCGTGGGGCGCAAATAGCAATGCTCAACTCGGTTTAGGATTTGACTCCGAGCAAGAATCAGTCCCCACAGAGGTCAAATTCGCCCTCTCTCAATATCATAATGAGCTCTTGAGAAATGGCGTGCTGAATTTAAGTCCGAGAGCGATATGTGGAGGAGCTTATCACACCCTTTGTCTCGTCATCGTTAGTCAAGCTAAAGATTCGGAGACGGAGACGGAGGCGGAACCAGAGTCACAGGAAAATGCGTTGGAGGATTCACCACCACCACCACCACAAGGAGGAACTTATCCTTTGGAAATTATCAAAGTTTCTGACACCTTTGAAATCCTATGCTTTCCTCTGGTTGAGGACCAACAGGAACATATCGCTGCGGGATTCAACACCAATTTCTACCTTTTTCGAGACGGGGAAATGAAATCATTCGGGGACAACAATTACAACCAATTAGGGCGAAAAATTAGCGCAGAAGAGATCAAACAACAGGAAAAGAAGGGAAGAGTTAAGAAGCCAAATTATACTGAATTATGGGGTCGGCTTAATTATGAAGAATATGCCTCACTCAACTTAGAGCTTCCATTTTTTGCAACAATTTCCGTTGGTTTGAGACATGTTGCAGCCATTAGTTTAGGCAAAGATGTATATATCTGGGGCGATAATTCCAAAAAGCAAACCGGAATTTATCGCGTCACACCCGCAGGATTGGAAGAATATCCCACTCGAGTCGAAATACCAACAAAAATTCAATTTCCGCCCGGTTTCTACTTCACCCACGTCGCTTGTGGGAAGGACTTTACAATCGTCGTGCACGAATCTGGATGTCTCTTTGGTTGTGGGCAAAACAAATATGGAGTTCTTCTGCATGCCCCACAGGATATTAAAGAATTTGGAAAATTCTCGCATATCTTTGACCGATTAGTAGCAGATCCAGACATTGACATTAGTGATATTCAGTGTGGGTGGCGACACGTCGTGGTGCTATTTACCGATGGGAAAGTAATATCTTGGGGGAGGAACAACTTTGGTCAACTGGGACGACCAAGCATCAATCCAGATTTTGATGTTGAGCCAGGTTTCGTTAATTTTCCTGAGAGGGTTATCTCCATCAAGTGCGGAAGTGAGCATAACCTTGCTCTTACAATCACTGGAAAGGTCTACGCGTGGGGTTGGAATGAACATGACAACTGTGGCGTCAAGATTTCTTCTAAACGAGCAGAAGAAGTAGAGGAACCACAAACAATGGAAACTTCTGGACGTGTTGGAGTCAAAGTTGAAGAAAAAGCAGCACATTCCTCGTCATCATCTTCGTTTGCTCCACTTCCGAAGAAAAAGGACTGCATTTTAGTTCCTACTTTGGTCCAATTTCCAGAGAATGTTCCCATTTCAGTGATTGGTTGTGGGTCGGGGAGCTCGTTTGCTATTTCTTTGTAAACTCATACTTGTCAATTTTTGTTGCCATGTCATTGGTCATACGTTCTTGCTATTTTTTGAGACTTTCTATTTTTCTAAGCATGCATAAAATACTATTTTTGATTTCGTCCAAATTCCAAAAGTGTTCGTTGTAAAAGGGTTGAATTACTTGTAATTGACGATCTGGACAACAAGGGCGAGCACGATGCCGGTTATTTTCAGTCCTGAAGGGATGGTGGAGCAAGTTTTGAAGAATCCAGCGACAGCGTTGAATAAAGAAATTTGCGCTTCTCACATGTGAGTTTATTTGAATCATGAATATCATCATCTTAATGATAATCTTAAAGTTTGATATATTTGCAATGTAATCATTTTAATTGCAGTATTAAAGTTTGGGAGGCCGTTTCTGGCTACATCATTCAACAGCTTTGCAAAGGTCGAGCAGTCCGAATCGACCGTAAGACACAATTATTTATTTTTCATGCCCGAACCTCTTGCTTATTTTTATGACACTATAACCGTTTCATTTATTTGTAGATCTAGCAATTATTACTTTCAAAGTGAAGACTGTTGAAATGTCGCAGCGAGAAGTCATGATTCAAAAGGTACCCCACATCCTCCTCTCTGCTGAAATTGAAAAGCGTCATGGACTCAAAATCAAGCGTCCCGTCTACAACTTGGATGTTCCTGAAGTTGACCTAAATCTGTCCACCATTGCTCTCTGCACCAACTTGACTCGAGGTAGACGTGTTCTTTACAGGAAGTATAACTACTTTACTCAAAACTTTAGTTCTAACCCATGTAATTTTATTTTCAGCCCATGTCGAATATTGCATCGACGAAATTATTTGTGTAAGCCCAAAAGCAATTATTCATTACATAGTAATGTAATGCATGAAAGCTTATGCTTACGGTCTCTAAATATCTTATTGTATAATTTTTTCAGGCATTTAATCGAGCTTTGATGTGCGATCCTCAGGTAAGTATTTATTATACTCGGTTTTTTATGAAAATTATATTTATTAACCATAAACATTTTATTTTAGGTCGAATTTTGGTTTCCAAAAATTGGAAGGTAATTAATTAACAATTGTTTAGTCACTCAAGCATTAGTACATGCTAACCGTGTAAATTTATATTTCTTCAGAGTGGTAATTCAATGCGCTGATGTTGACGTCGTTTTCGCTACATCATTCCTCAATCTTCTCGGCTACAGTGATGAATTCGTCCAAGACAAAGCATGTCCACTTCGTTAATCTACTTCTCAACTTGTAATCAAACCCAACCCGACGCCAAATGTGATATTTCTACATTCTACGGTGCTAATATATTTGTGCTTTATTTCGTCGTAATATAATTAGTTCTGCATTGTCAATGTCAAGATTCCGAGCAATAATATGAATAAACCTATATAACGAAATCATTTTGTGGTGCTGTTAGTTGTTATTGACAATTTATTGATCAAACCAGCCAGAAAGCGTCTTCGTACGCGTGCAATATTGACCAATCTGGATAGAGCAGAAGAGAAATAATAGAGTGTACAATAAACAGGCACTATTTTCCTATAATTTTCAGTAACTTTTAAAAAACTGAAACATTATGGAGGATTGGAAATCCGCACGCGAGGAGGACGACCTTGAAGACATCGTTCCCCCAATGAATCACCCCAATCACGGAAATACTGATCGCATCGATCAAAGTCAAGAACATGACAATGGCGTTCAACAAGAAGCACGCCGCTCATCAGGGACAGGACGGTCAAGGCGTGGTTCTTCCTCGAATCGACCCCGTCTTAGCATCGTTGAGACCGAGGATGACTGGGAGGAGCAGGATGCTGCCCTCAAGAATGCAAAGGAGACTGCCTACACCCTCCTTGAAGTAGTTATTGGACACATTTATCATATTGTTATCATTTTTCATGCCTATAAATACAAACTTCATATCTTATCCTAGAAAGAATGTGCGGCAGACGATGTCATCCGAGTGTGGGAATGTATTTCGAAATTCGTCACTTTTAAGCTGTTGGAAGGCCAAGCCGTCCGAATTGCTGGATTGGGGACTTTTACGTATCGGATCCATAAGACGCCAGTCAATCAGAAAACCGTGAAAGTGACGAAAGCTCCAATCTTTCAGGTGTCGCAATATGTGACGCAGATGTTCCGTTTACAACAGGATAAGATGATATCGTCCAATGTAAAATTCCGTTAAATATGTATAAATTTCTAAATTAATAAGAATTTTAATAGATTTCCCGTTAAAATAGGTCCCCGTAGTCCCTTTGAATCTATCCGTGATTGCGGTTGATACTAAAATGCCACGAGGTCTGGTGGAAGGGATTCTTACAGAAGTTTTACAAGTATGCAATTTGACATTATGACTTTAATGATAAGAACGGTTAAGTGAAAATATGTATTCTGTAGGCATTTGCACGCGCCATTGTTTGCAATAAATTGTTGGAATTCCCCTTTCCCTTCATTGGCAAGCTACAAATTCGTGACCAGAAAGTGACCATGCGATTCTATGACGAATTTTGCAAAAAGTTGGGATTTCACGTTGTTGAGACGGTTCGACTCCCAGAAATTCCTTAATTTTCATACCTTCTCCATCCACATTTCTTTTCCTTTTCATACAATATTTAGCCATCGGAAGCTAACCTCTTAGAAAACATGATTCCTGGACGAATGACACCGCTCCGATTACACATTCCTACAGAACCATTCCGTTCCGTTTTTCACCTGAGAGAAGTCCTATCCGTTCATGAATTTCCGCTAGTTGTTCCCTTAACTCAAATTGATCGGAAATTAGTCCCTGAAACTCTTGCAGCATCCGAAAGTGGAGAAAAATCTGGCAAAAACAAGCCATTGTACGAACCACAAAAAACCGGAGACTGTGTCCTTGACTTGATGAACGCTTGTCCCGAAGTAATGACACGGTGCCTTCGAGCCCACTTGTACAAGACATTTGTAGATACGCTGGGTGAGGAAGTGGTCAAGAGTCATTTTCGACGACGTGGAAACAAATGTCCATCTCGAGACTTTAGCTTTTATAATTTGGACATGAACATGTAAGTCTGGAACAAGTAAATAAAGTAAATGATGCAAAAAAACTTAGCGTAGATTTAAAATTTTATGATTTATCTCAATAACTGAGGACGCGACAACTAAATAGTTAACTAAATTTTAAGGAAAAGTCATCAACAGAAAAACATAAGATATTCATCAAAAATATTGTGTTATGATTGGAATTTGTCAAAACAATTTCATTTCCGCTATTTCCTTTGTAATATCAACCAGACGGGTCACAGCTTTTGGACTTTTTACCTAAATTAAAATTTTTGCAAATTAAATTCCTTTTTTTTTAGAAATCAATTACAATTTATACAAAATTTTACCATTTGCCCATAAAACATCCCACTCCTCGCCTCCAAACCTTTCATCATCATCTCCATCATTTGTTCAGGCGACATTTGCGACGGATCTGGGGGTGGAGCTCCTCCCCCGTTCATCATTTGCTGCTGCATCGCTTCTGCTTTCTCCTTGGGGTCGACCGGGTCAGCCAATTGCATGGGGATTGCAAACGCCATGTAAACATAGCCAGCCAGAATTCCTTCGTAAAATGTGTCAATCAACTTGCCACGAGAAAATCCAATCGGAATTTGAGCTCCTAGAGCGCCCAGAGTCTTGGCGAATGATTCATAATACGAGTTGAGCACTTGGACCAAATACTGTTTCCTAAATTCGGGCGTAGTACTCGTGAAGATGAAATAAATCAAATCCTCATAAATATTTCCACGCCGGGTTTGTTGAAAATCTACAAATTTGAGTGACACAGGTTTTCCCTTGGCGTCATACTTGAGGAGAATATTGTTTACCCACAGGTCTCCGTGGATTATGCAAGGAAAAGTGGCCACATCCGTGAGTTTGTTGCGCTGATTAAACATTTCGTAAATCTTGTCCTTTCCCTGATTCAACACGGCTGAGGTGACCCTGGACGCGAGATCCTTTTCACCAGCAAATTCCAGGACGGAGATGGAATCACGTAGGCTCAAGAAAAACATTTCAGTCCCCATGACTCGAAGCATTGGGTCACTTCCGGAAAATGGCGAATCTCTAATTCTTTTGAGACCCTCGTCATCATCAAATATTTTTTCTCCTTCATATCTACATACGTGCATTTTTATGGCAGATGCAATCAGAATTGCTAATTATATGTATATACTTGTTTTTATCAAGCTTACCGAATCCAGTAATACGTAGAAGCATGATATTTTGCCAACTCTTGCAAAACTAGCGTAGTTTCATCCAGATTAAAAGAGACAAACTTGTCCTTCATGGAATATCCGGCTGGTCGGACGTCCTCGAGACAGAGAAACTCCTCACCCTTGCTCATGTCCCCGTTCCCCCCATAAAATTTTGGAAACGGAAGGTCCGGATTTGTGACCCCTTTCGCCTTCATGAGTGCAGACACCCTCGGCCCCACGGTTTCGTAGAGCGTGTTCTCCGTCGTGAACAAGCCGAATTTCATGGCGTAGTCTTTGAATTCGGGGTCGTCCGAGTACCTGCAAAATTTGTAGTAGATTAACTGGATAATTTGTGAATTTGTGACCTATATTTTTCCAAAATATCAATTTTCATACGTTTTGTTAACCAGGTGGAGCGTCTCTCCCGACGCGACCTTGACCTTGATCGAGAGTAAACTACCAGCCACATTATCACCAGGCTTGGTCCCCTCTTCTGTACTGAACGAGGTAACTTTTTGTTTTAACAGCGTCTCCAAAAATTCCTTGGTGGGTGCCATCATGGAAATTTTTAGTAATCTGTAACAAAATATATTTTAAACTGATCCTGAGAACACAAAAATACTGATGCAAGCACATATATCACTGATAGTAATCGGCATGCAGTATGCTTTTCATGCTGATGGCCAAATTTCAAGGTCAAAGCATTTACTAATTTTGTGCAATTATAAAAATCTTTCTGCTGACTTACATATTGCTAAAGACAAGGATTGCTAATACTGAAGTTAAACAGGAAGCAAAACAATCGTTTAAAAATTAGTGAGATTGTACAACTTAAAACAATGAGCAAACTAAAGCACGACTCGAAACCGATTCCAGTATGCAAATGTACTGCAATTTGCGTAATGCTGTAGAATTTTACGGGTGAATGTTTAAGATTTGATCATATTTAACTGACCAACCAAACTGTACTGTACAATGGTACATGGATTACACACTTAAACTTTTTACCACTGTCTACATATACTCAGAAAAGGGTTTATATGTATATACCTACAATGAAATGCTTTACTGTACACATTTTCATGCCGAAATGAAGTCCTGTATTGTATGAAATGCTCTGCTGTTAATGCCGATTCATGCAATAAGCATCACAAAAAACGCATAAAACGCCACTGGCAGAAATAATATTTAATTATAATGCCCAAGCACGACGACTACCTATTTTTTTCCTGGAGAGTCAATATGCCAGTACGTATAGCAAAATAGCATGAAATTTTAACCAGTGTCAAAATAAACCTTACCAGAACTAAGTTATGTAAATAACAGTCAACCGGATTTTGCTCCTTCCTTAGAAGTTTCGACACTGAATTTTGTTCAAGAATTGAGACAATTTTGTATCGACTACTGAAAGTGGACTACGATTGAACTATGTGCTTTTGCCTCTGCATCGTGGGAGCTATTTAATCATGCATTTTTGTTTAAATATGATTATGAAGAGAGAGCACAACGCAGAAGTGAAAATATAAAACAAATAATCAACAACTAAATAGATAACTTGTTATCAAACGCTGGCATTAAACTCAACAAATGATTTCTTTTCATGAATCACGAGACTCATCATCACGGACAAAGAAAATCGTTATATATTGGATTTATTTATGCGTCTATGGTCGATTATTTAATCAACCGTTGTCTGATGATGGGTGTGAAACAAACGATTTTATGATAATCATGTTATTATCAACTAAATAAACCTCGTGCTACACACTCCAAAGTAAGCATGACTTATGTAATTTGATGTCATATTTCGTCACATGTATTGACGTCGATATCGGATTTTGTCAAAATTAGGGAAAAATTTCTAGCTGATAAACTCTCAAATTTTACCTGATACTGCCATAAAATGGTAAGTTTTTAATTTTATCGTAAAATTTAAAACTGGTTACAAATAAATAAATAAAATTTCACAGACAAAATTCAATTTAAATATTTATTTCTCGAAATTCCTTTTCTACTTTTATAATTTTGTGATTTTAATAATATTCATATACATATTTTTCGTTTACTTACAGTCAAAAATGACATTAGGTACCAAAAATTCCTAAATTTTGTTCATAAATATTGTCATCCCCACCCGTTCAACGCCACACACCTGGTCAAACTCCTTAATCTACACGCACGTAAATAACTTAACTTTCGAATGCCATCGAACTTAACTTTCGAACCTTAACCTTAACTTTCGAACGGTTAAAAATATTTATTGTTTGTTTACAATTATGCGTATACAGCGCGAGCGTAGTTTCGAAACGGGAAATTAAATATATTGCGATCCCGTATTTCATTTCTATTAATTACAAGTATACATGTTAACTATGCACCAAAAAATAAGTAGTAACAAGTAGTAACAACAAAGAAGGTAACAATTTCCTTTCCACTCCTCCCCTCGGACAAGAACTTTGAATGAGATTATGCAAAAATGACTCGTTGTTTGAATATACAAACAAACTTAACAAGCAGGAATTAAAGTAAATAGGAGATAATATGCACCATTATTATCATCTTGGCTAGTATTTTGCACTATGCAAACAAAATTGTGCTGAACACAAACATAAATATTGCAATATTTTAAAAACTAAATTGTACACAAATTCCAAACACAAAAAATAATTTACCAACTAACAAACGCACCACACGTACCTTATCCTAATGTAAATAAATTGTAATATAATGTAAACAAGTCGTGTATAAAACTTTTGGTAATACATCACGTATTTAGAATATGCATTCTTACTGAGATATTTGAATAGTATTAAGAAAACATTACTGGATTTTTTTTAAATACTTGCGATCGAGACACATATCAAATGATATCTTCTTATCTGACACAACTTTAGTTCATACTTTGCCCTGCGGAGTAAAAAATACGTCTCTTTCTTTACCCGTTGAAGGCCCCAACAATGCAATAAACGGTTTTCAAAATCTTTGAGATATGCGAAATTTCTTAGGCAGTTTTCCACTTTCTTATGGAATTCCAAACATGTACGTGATGCCAAAGTCTTCCTGGTCAACTTCGATAAAGAAGGCCCCCTTGGCTTCGCCTCGGCAGTGGAAACCCATTTCGACTTCGGGACCCTCATGCTTCACTTCTTCACTGATGTCCATGAATGTCGGTTCTTTGACGAGTTTCATATTTGTATAAAATCTTCCAGGCTTTGAGATCGATTCCGTGAAAAGTTCGAAGGAACGGTTGTGACTTCCGATTACAGAGAAATTGACACAGCCTGGCTGACTGTGACCAAAGTTGGGATAAAAGTCAACGGTTCCCCTGCAAATAGAGGAGAAATGTCAAGAATTAGATAAGTAATTAAATGATGAAAGGGTGTACATATTGCGTAATAATTAACTAAGTACTTACATTGGCACTAGAGTTCCAAAGTGGTTGGTGGGTGAAGTGAGGGCTTGAAGCGTCATGGGGGCTGCATAGCCGTCGGTGTGAATACAGTCAACTATCGGAGCGTCATTCGCTGTAAGGCGAACACAACCAAAGGATTCTCTTTCAAAGTTTGGACCGGCAGGATCCAGTCCAGTGATGCGGTCAAAAGAACGACTGCACTTTCCTGCGAATCCCATCTAAAAGCATAACGTCACCACGATTAATTAATTAATTAGTATGACTAATCGTCTAATCTCCTGAGACGAGTCTCATCATCCTGCGTCTCTTCGGTATTCATCATCTCATCACAAGACTAATAATTAATCTGGATTACTTACCAAGTGTGCTCCTAACGAGTGACCTATGCCCCATAGTTGAACCTCGGGATTTACACGTTTCATCTGTCGCAAGTAATTTCCCAGCCAGCATCCAACAACTTCAATATTTCTTGAGGCCAAGTCATATCTAAAATAATGCAAAATAATAATTAAAATATGCAAAATAATTGCACACATTTCCACCAAAATTTTCAAAAAAAAACTCACCGATCAACCCCAATATTGGATCCTCCTCCCCATCCCACCATCACGACGACCATATCTTCCTGCGCCAACATTTCGTTCTTCATATCCTTCAACCAGTAGATGTCAATGTCGTGGATGAATCCATGCGTCAAAAATGCAATCCTCCGATTTCCATCGAAGGCCCCAATCTCTCCGAAAATTCGGCACACTTCTTCAGGATCTGCGGTATGACGGATTTCCACTCGGGGACGATTCCTCTGATAAACGCGGAGCATAGGTTTAATCTTTGACAGACACCATGGCTCCATAAACGTGGACTGGAGCAACGTTTCGGCCAAAGTGGGATGAATTTTCTCGGCAAGAACGATAGGAACTGCGCGACCTGGAAATTAGAAAACGTTAATAATTAGTTAGTTATTATAGTTAAGTTTTTAAAAATTCATATTAATATTTAATTACCAAAGGCTTCACTTAAGGCTTGCGTTTCAGAATCGAGAAAGTTTGATCCGCGGAAAATGCTGATTGAAAGCGCTTGTCCGACGACATGACCGGTAACGAGTCCAGCGCCACGAACGAGGTCGCAGACGCGATCCACGGTAAAAATGCTCAAGGCATTCATTTCGTATATCACTAGTTTATTTTTGTCTCAAGTTTCCTCTCAATGTTAACTTGCTTTCAGTGTAAAATTTATATCTCAACTCTCAATTCACTCGTCACTATAGCGTACGTATGTATTGATATTTGCGTGATGAAGATCCCCACTTTTTGCTTGCTTATGTATGTTCTCCTCTTGAAATCTGGAACATAAATGACCCAACTTCTTTAAACACGTATTTATAAGAGTCACAAATAGCCTACTGGCCAACAACGTATTTATTTCTTATTGATGGCTGTTTGTCTTCTTCTTGAGTGGAAAGAATGTTATCAATTTTTCCCAATGAAAGAGAAGTATCAAGAACCACCCAGAATGAGAGACGCACAACAAATAAATTGTGTCTCATGGACGATGAAAAACCAATCAAAGTGTGGACAACCCAATCAAAAAGTGGGCCAGTCAATGTCAAATTGCAAAACATACTTAATTCATATCTATCTCTCGACTTATCTGCTGCGTTGTATGGAATAAAATAATTTTGAAATTACCCATTGATCACACATTTTGATAAGATAAGTTAAAAAATTGCGGAACGAAAAAAAAAATCCATGAGATTTGCTTGACTGGCTTGGCTTCTGTCGCGCAGTTCAGTCAGACAAACAGAGAAAAATGCTTCCTATATTGATTCATGATATTTTTAAATTAGGGTGAGAAGAGAGAATCCCTCATGTTGACTTATCAATCGTCATCGTCAATCGTGTCTCACGTATATACGTATTTAATATCTTGTCCAAGTGTTTGTGAAGGAGGGATGTGTCCAGCGCACATGACTTGTAAAGTAGGTATTCTATTCATCGGTATTTGTTTCAACATCGAATAATTTCTTATCAAAACATGGATAAGCTCACTTTATTTTATGACATAATTGGGCCAACAATAAAGTTAAATTCTAGCTCTCAGATTTCCTCTAATCTACGACTTACACTATTTATGTAATCAGATGCAAAAAAATAACGCGTGTCGCACAGGCACATGTGTCCATATCGTATTTATCAGCGATAAATACGTAAATATCGATACTTCGTATCACATCACCCTAAAACTAGGCTTATCTATAATGCAAAACACGTCACCGCCTAAAGGTCAAGAGTTGCGTTTAAATTGCAGCAATAATAATTATCGCGTGAAAAATCTGGGCTTGAAAGAATATTGCGACTTTTACAGAATGCAATGCAACCCAATGCACCCAAAAACAACAATAATTACCTTCCGTGCATGACTTCCTCACTACCAAATATTACCATAATGGTTAAGCATATTAGCGAGGAACTTATCTAAATATTATCAACATTTAGTTATTATTAAGAGTGAAATTTTCCCGTCTCATTATGCAATATACTAACAGTTAAATAAATGTCCTTGCTTCCAAAATATTCTTCCAGAAGAAATTAACGCCTTTGAATTTTAGGTATGTGCATATCTACTACGCCTCCAATAACTTTGACATTGTTGAACAACATACCAACCAAGGAATCGCCAAGAAGAATCTCGTGACCCAGAAAACTTTACTTGTTCAATTAAACGTATATACAACTTTATATTTAACCATGAAAAGAAATAACAAAGGAATCCATTCATTCAAATTGGTGTTGTTACAACGCGTGAATTTCGACCGAGGTCTTTAACGTTTGCTTTGGTAGGAGGTGTCCCTTTTACTTTTTTTAGTTAGTGGTACTTACTTTATTCATGTGTAGTGACGCAGGGTGGCAAGTCGTTCGTATGCATTTTCACACGTTGCATCTCACCAAACTTTGTTAAGGAACACTTCTTAATATATTTTGGTAGGTGTGTGTGTATTCACAAGAATGATGACCAGACCACAATCGCAATGCTTGATATGTAAGGTTAGCTCTTTACTTACGCACTTGGGAGACTACTAAATTTTGTTGTTACCCTTCCAATCACTGCGAATCGAATGGACCTCTTCGACTAGGACCAATTCAATAAATATCACCACCCCAGCCAAAATTTCACTTGGTTATAATTTGCATATGCAGAAAAATGAGGATGGTCAACTTTTTTTAGTGTAACAAGAACAAGAAATATGTATACGAGGGTGGGTCGTATCGTACGATATGAGTCAATTATGGACATATAATTTGTTTAGTATAAACAAAGAAGTTCTTCTTATTATTTAATAAATTATGTATATATGCATCGCGAATAAGACTGCGAGGAACTTTTTTTCTTGACGACTTGACACTACTAACTTTTTGCAACTTGTCTTATATTTAAGCCAACCAGAAAAATCAACTCTTCCTCATCATCAACCATCGTCTCATATCAATCCAACCAAACCACGCAATGCCTGCCTAGTAACAAGAAGAAGAATGAGAATGAAGAGAGTGCATTCACTTCTGCATACATATCTTTGTCATATAAAACTTCTCTTAATGTCCAACTTGCCAATGTGGATGGAATATGAAACGAGCTACAGTTATTTAACAAGGATCCAATAGCTAACTAACCAGCGAACTTGGTAACTTACCAACACTGAATTTGAATAAGACACGCACAACGCACTTTTTCAACTTGGCCAACTTTTTATTCCGCCATGTGCTTTGCTTTGCTTTGCTTCCTCTTGTCGTAAATTTTAAAGCAAACAAAACTGGTTTCACTCACTTTTTTTCCTGTGTCCCGAATGTCAGGTCTGAATTCTAAAACTGCGTATATTTGTTTACAAGGATGCTCTCGTTATGTATCTGCACTAAAAAAATTGCTTACGTGACGATTTTTGAGACGAATTTGTAACCGAGAATCGTCTGAACTGAACTTCTGCCTTGTTTTTAAATATCTACGTCTGCACTAATCGATTTATCGATTAAATAAAAAACTTTTATGTATACGATTGATTTTACTTATCGATTAATACGATCGAACTCTGCTCAATAATATTAACATGTCGTGCATCGATTCATAATTTCCCTCTGCATGAAATGAATACCAAGTCAAAGGTCACTATTCAAAAGTCTTTGTCGTCAGCAGAACAGAATCACTGTTTATTCACCACTATTTATGGGGATGATGTAAAAATGTGTGATTTGACTTCTAATCATCAATTCATCGTACACAATATCCATGCATTTGACAACTTTGGTGATGAATGACTGCATCATAACATACGTATCGAACATGCATAAATATTACATGTGACAATAATTTGCGATGTGAATGAATGCTAACTCTGTCTTTTTTGCTGAATTTGTAAAAGTAAGGTGATGACTGAATAAAATAAATGTTTTTTTTAACTTAACACTTTCGATCAATCAGGAAGAAAACACAATGTGTTTTGCAAGGCATGCACTTTTATCTGGTACGTGTCATTGCATTTACATATTTATGGGCAGACTAAAATTAAACAGTCTTTTTTATCCAAGTTGTGTAATCTTTGAGCTAATTATAAATTCTCTTAGAAAAAAGATACGAGTATTAATAAATAATACGGAATTTTATAACTGTTTGTTTGCTCACCTTGAAAGTCGAGATTGTGTTTAGTTGGAGATTTTCTGCTTACTATTTGTTTGTTTAAATTACTTCGTGTAATGTCCAACTTAATACTGAACAAAGAAATCTGTGATCTTCTGGAGGCAGATTTTTCCGTCGTTTGTTAAGAACATCTGCTCATATCGACCAGTACAAAGGCATATTTGCACATAAACGTACGCACAAAAACAACCCTCCTCGGATCTATTTCATCTTCATCCCACGCACATGCAGACGATGGATTTGGATAGAAGTGGTTTTTGGTGTAATGGAAAAACGAGGGTGGAAATTATGTAGAACTTCATAAACAAACGCACGATACTGGTCGAATACTTTCTAATCCTTCACTGGATTGGTTTACGATGGGGGCTCGACTCTTATGCATACCTTAATGGCAACACTAACGTTGTCCTTTTGGTTTTAAAACCAAATGGTGTAAATGCACAGAGATAGAGAGATGGTTCATTTCATAAATGCACATGGCAATGGACTTCCCGTGGTGAATAAATCGTCGTTTTTGCTACTGGATTTGGGATTTTGTATACAAAAGGGGTCCATTTTGAACTGCTGGTATGATGGTCTTAATGAATCCTTTATATTTATATTGTGTGCTTCCACCTTTTTTGGGTTGGCAAAGCAATGTTTCTTCTTCACGGCTTAATAGAGATGGGTTGAGGATAAAAACGATTACTGCTAGATACATATGCACTGCTGGATGATGACGTTGGACTGTTATGATGAATAATGTGAAATGCAACTCATCCTAAAGTAAAAAATTATCTACAGCAGCATTATCGCGTTCATTCCATAAATTAGAAGAGCAATGAAGTACCAGTATTATTGCTCGGCAGGAAAGAAGAAACCAAGTTATGGAGAAGAAATGAATGGCCAAGCCAAGCCATGAACCAGGTGCAACGATAATGAAGCAAGTCAAGACTCAAGATTCATTAAGACTCGTGGAGAAGGAATAAAGTGTGACGAAACGGAAACCCACCGGAAATTCGTATCCCTTTTCAGTCACTTCATGGACATGAGATGAGCCCACTGGATGCCCTTGACTATGTATTCATACCAAAAAGTGTACGTTTAGATTCTTAAAATAAATAAGTCACTTGCAAGACGTTGACATCACCTTATTTGTTGTGGCATTTGCTTTGCATTGCATGACCTTTTGCTGCGTAGAGAGAGAGAGAAGCAAAACGAGATAAAATATGTATATTTTTGCTGATAGTATATTCTACGTCGCATATTTTTTTAATATTTGTACTTAATGAGTTAATGAGCGTACTCACGTCAACCTTCGCATATCTCGCATATCTCGCAAATTGAGCATAGCAACATAACTTGCGAAGTTTTGCGAGATATGCGAGATTTCGCAAAAAAATTGCTGGAAAACCATGGGATTGTTTTTCGCAAATTTACCCAGCAATTGAGCATGTCCTTATTTCGCAAAATTATTTCGCAAAGTAATTCTGCAAGAGAAATTACAGAAATCCATGGAAACAATACCAAAATAGGTGCTTTTCTGTAGATTTGCGAGATAAGAGAGTTTTGCGAAGTCATATTTTGCGAATCCCCTCACGACAGAAATATTTTGATATTCGCAAGTTTGCTAAATGAGTTGCGATGCGAAATAAGAAGTTGTCGTGAGTACGCCCAATGTCTTTGGGTTAATGATATTTACTGCCTGACTTGAATGGAGGGTTTGTGCTGACGCTTACCAGTTAAAAATGTCGTTGTACAAATAAGTATGAAATATTTAATTTAAGAGCGTATATGCAAGTTTGGAAGGTTTAACTGACTTGTAAATGTTGAGTGACGCTGATTTTTTTAGATGGAGGTGTGGTACCTAATCCTAAGAATACATAAGTCTGGTCTTTCCGTGTGAGGTAATACTCTAGTAACATCGCCATCATCTTGGGGACAAAGGAAGATGACTCTAAATATTTTTTATGCGATGTGTGATTGGCATTTTACGAGGATGGTGCGATACAGACTTCTTTTGTTGTCTGAAATTTTTGCATGAAGGTATTCCCAGATTGAAGATAAAATGGTCAAGTGCTTCTGGCCATACGGTAGCCAGTGAAATCCAGCGTACATATTCTTAGTTTGTACAGACAGTTGATGACAGATTTATATCTAAGATTTGCATACAAACAAATAAATCTGACCTATGTTTCAAATAGACAAGATCTATACTTCTAGCCATGTCATCTTCCAAGGAATTGAGATTTTTTGTGATGAGTTGATGACGGACAGACGACGATAGTTAAATATTTATGAAGAATCGTGGACAAATATTTTTAATACTTATGAAAAACACTATAATATGGATTTTGAGGGATTTTAATTTTTTTAATTACCGAAATATTTCTATTTATGAAAACTTAAATTATTGACAACTATTGAAAATTTTTTTCAATAGTACAAAACTATGTTTGAAGTTCTCTTACTTTGTTCTTCACATATTTAGCATAAGACTGACGCCGATTTAGTGGATTCATTACTGTTAAGATATGATTTCTATATCTTTGTTAGATTGCATAAACAAGGTCCCTAAAAAGGGGAAATCTTAGTGAGGGAGTGCAATCACAACTAATAAATAAAATTAGATTGGAGAATTTTTGCATCACCGCTCTCGGTACCATTTTTACTGGATGCAGTATAAATTTTTCTTTGCATACGCATGAATTCTTAGTTTTATTGAATAAATTGAGGAAGGAATACATTTTTACTGTGTAGTGAACGAGAAGTGGGTTAAATTAACTGAGGTAGATATGTAAGATATAATGGCTAAATAATTCTGAGCTACGTATTTGTTTAAAAAAATATACAAATTTCAACTTCATATATTAATTTGGCTACTCTATGCAAAATCATCGAACCTTTTGAGGGAGCAAGTGTTCTATTTACACGATTCATGCTTCCAGTAATAAAAACGGTACCGAGAGCGGTGATGCAAAAATTCTCCAATCTAATTTTATTTATTAGTTGTGATTGCACTCCCTCACTAAGATTTCCCCTTTTTAGGGACCTTGTTTATTTATAACTTTTAATTGGGGAATTAGATTGTCCATTGGATGACTGCATTGCACTACCCCTTTTCAGTAGTTTGATCCGGAATAATTTTATTAAATTCTGGGTGTTTAAAATTGAATAAATCCGTTATTTCTTAACCGATTTATATCATTTTGGTCAAAATGTCCGGCCTAGATTACTAAATACCAAAAGACCTGATCTGGAGGTGCAAAACCAACAACAATTTCACGCAGTTTACCAAGCATGTTACAGAAACAATTAGTTATGCTGTTTACAGTTTTGAATGTAATTTGTTTTCAATTTATTAGTCTTGCGTCGTTGTCAATGGCAATGATTCGTAGCACGAGCAGGAATTTCTGAACTTCAAATTGGAATAACTAAGCCAATTCTTAACGGATTTTGATATATTTATACTTAAAATTTTCGGGATAAACTGCCCTACAATTCGTGGGTATCAAACTTTTGATAAAGTTTGTAAGAATAATTTTTTCGTTGTTAAGTGGTGTTTATGCTTCACGTAATCGTCACGTCCTCCTTCAAATCCGATTTTTTGATTGGCTGAACGAAATTATCACTACGACAATTAAAAATTTTAACCAATCAAAAAATCGGATTTGGAGGAGGACGTGACGATTACGTAAAGCATAAACGCACCTTTAGGTATTTGCCTCACTAAGAAAAAAGGACCTCGTCTGTGTACAGATAATATAATAAGAATTGGTCTATTGGCGTTCAATTTTTACAATAATTTTAATATTCATTCGTTAACAAGAATTAATGTACGTATGCAAATATAAAAATATACATTTCGATAACCAATTTGAAATTATTTGCAAATTATACTTGCCGAAATACTAATAATATTTAATTAGTAATAAAATAACCAACAAATCTTGGCTCTACTTATGCATTAAGTAATGGTAGACGAATGACTGGATCTGCGTCGTTTCAATATTTTTTATAACAGTTATTAAAGCAAAATAAGTATGACGGTTATCAATAAATACAGCAAAATATTAGTTCATCACCTGCATACAATTACTAATTAATTAGTTGAAAACCCTAGCTTTCACCAACCGTTTAACAACTCCCAAAATACTTTCCTTTAATTTATCACTGTTCAAACACTCCTTCGCCAACTGCGTAAACTTTTCTGGTTTTTGTAATGAATCCAACACACTCGAACTTCCAGAAGTCGGCGTTCCCCCACCGTTGCCAGTTCCGTTCTCTAAATAAACTTCTCCAAGATTTTCCAATATTCCTGAAAATCCGGTGTAAATTAGGGGAAGTGCCGTGACACAGGCGTAAAATCCAAATTCCAGCATTCGTTTATATTGATCCTCAACTTTTCGGTGAAAGTCTTCAATGTCGAAATCTTCATCTTTAAGTTGGATGCCTTCTTGTTTGTATCTGAAAATTTTACCAAAAAATTAATTTAACTTTCGGATTTTAAATATCTGAAAATTTTGTCCAAAAAATAATAATTTAAATTTCCTTATTTGCTGATTTTAACTGTACAAAAATCTGTAATTTCTACCTGAGTCTTAACTGAGCCTCAAAACTGTCGCAATAAAACGCAATCAATTTCTCCTCAAAGTCATCCCTCATCTTCGGAGAAAGTGAAGTAAACATGAAAAACGTCAAATCTGACGCTAACGGAGCCAATCTGACATTTTTCAAGTCCACCATTCGACACTCGACCGGCTCCTCGCCCACAATGCTTCCATCATACTTAAAAAGTAAATGGTCCACTCTGTAGTCGCCGTGACAGATGACGTAAAAATCGTCATTCTCATATTTTTCCTTCTCCAAAAATTCCCCCATTTTTCGAAACAGTGCTTCCGGATCTTGCACCTTTCTCCTCAGTTTAAAAGCCAGCGAAGGATGTTCCGCTTCCACGACGGGGAGAATGATTTGCTCGAAAAAGGAGGCATAAACTTGTGCCAATTTTCCACTCTTATCAACATTTTTAACATTGTCGGATGCAGAAAGGAGTGGAAATTTGTTAACCAGAGCCATCCGACCTTTCGCCTTGCCACCGAGCTGCCTTAACATAAAGTATGACTGGGCATGAAACCTTGCCAGAGTTTCCACCCCGAGAAGAGCATGATTAAAGTCAAAATCATCCTCGTCCGGGTCACAACTTCGGAATCTGGAAACTTTCAAGTTTTCCAGAAATAGTAGTGCTTTACCCGACTTGGTTTCATGGGTGAGAAAGCAATGTGCCAAAGTGGGTAGCAAGTCAGGTGCTGTCCTCGCCTTTGTTTTGGCTGGGTACAATTCTGGAACTATTTTTTCATAGACGGCAAGTTCTCTCAGCGCTCGGGGGGCGATTCCCGTCGTGGGGATGGATTTCACGAAGAAACTCGTGGCGCAGTGGGTCGGGGAACTTGCTCCTTCTTTATCGAGGTCAATTTCTATCACGACCTTTCTCGTTTGTCCGGTGTGATGGGTTGGCTTGGTTTTAATGCTGTGCGTCGTGATACCATTGTTGGACTGGGGTTGTAAGTGGAGGTCCACAAAAGAAGAGATCAGCGCAGACTCGGCAGCTTTTTGTAAAATTTCTTTCGGAATTTCCATCCCATTCGTGGTGGGGGATGAATTGTTGTTGTTGTTTCGAGTCCCTCCAGTGGTGGAGTTGGAGCGTAGGAATGTCGTCATCCTGGCAGCGTTACTTCAACCTAATTAGTAAATATTTTTGTTTATTATTACACAATTCTAATGAAGAATGTAAACATTCTGAAATGTTTTCACTTTATGACAAGTACAAATTTTGTATTCAAACTTTGCTCATTTAGATGAGCCTGCTTTTGTAATAATACTGCGTCCACTTGCTACCCACGCCGAAACCGTTTTTGGATGCCACAGCAGGAGCAAACTTTTCTTGTAAAATGCACCAATTGCAATGAAACGTAAGGGATGAGACGGTTGCGTTTAAATTGTTTCGAATTGCAGACAGGCAGACGAATAACTAAGAGATGCACCGAACCGAAGTAAACTTTTTGTTGATTTCATCCATTGAGGAAGACGAGATTCGTTTCAAATTACGGAAAAAAACTGGTACACAAAAATCATCACGGGTGTGTGTATACTGTATTTATTTACAGCATTAAATTATTATGCTCTTTGCCTACATTTTCACTTAAAATTGAATCCTTACGAAATGCATGGCGTTCTAGGCTTTATTATTGTTATGATCAGCTTCCTTCCTTGATGAATTTACCAAATAAAATATTTTGCCAAGTGTACCGTGAATAAGGTTGAATAGGGAAAATGAAAATGCTGCCAAATGTCTCAACTGTATTCATACATAATCTTTACATGGTCATGTCTTTTCTAAATAAAAAAAATGTACAGTACAGCGATGCAAATGTCACAAAACTCTCTTAAACTCATGATCTTCTCTGTCTGTCGGTCTCTGTTGTTACCATTTGTTTGGCGTAAACCGTAACGATAGTCGATCATTGAAAGTAATAAGAAATCTGATTCTTTTTAATTTGTGAGCCTTCACCTTCACCATTTTTTCAGATCTCGTGTTTGCCAAACAAATTATAAAACGAAACAATTGTTGTATTCACAAAACTCGCAAATTAACTCGGAATGCATGCAGAACTGCATTTCCACAATTACAAATGTGCGCACTATGTACAATAAACATGCAATTAATGCAACTTGGCAAACCATACTACTTAATAAATGCTATTATGTATTTATGTACCTCATAATTTTTAACCAATTAAACTGTTAAACCAAATAGTTCACTGACATTAACTAAAATATTTCTCTACATATCTAAATTACCTGGCAAAAATATGCACCAAAATTCGCTCGAGATCCTAGTTGGCCTTACAACTGCAGAAAAACACTGCACTACAGATCGGCGGAATAACAAAAACAGCTCCACAATATTTTTACCTGTGTGTCCTCGGAGATTTATTGATTATCGAGTAGCAGATAACGTGTTATAGTCCAGTCGTGTCGTTTACACTTTATTACTGCCACACGAACGGTTACAAACAAATATGCAGGAACGGAAAACGTACAGCAGGAAAGTACAATTGGCGATAAATCAATAAATTGCGTATTTAATGTGTTAGTTTGAGCAAACATACACGCTAAGTCAATGCCAAACTGCCTTATATGCCAGCCACACACAGAGATTACAGGGTAGTGCAAATTTTTGCACTGCAAAAGCGGAGAGAAAATCCAAATTGTTCGCAATTGTATGCACTTGTTGGCTGCATGTATTATTTAGCGAACGTTGGTCGTGCCATAATAAACCTGTCAGGGTTTAAACATGTACATAAAAGTCAAAGTCATCAAAAGTTGGGTGAAATTGATGATATGAAAATAACTCTTATCTCATCGTACTTATGCTGAGTGAAGCCCCTCATTAACTATCAAGTCCACTAACTAACTAACTAGCTAACTAATAAAGTTAAGCTGCGAGTCTTAGCAGAGGAATTTAGCATATGTATGTCGGTCGGATAGATTAGATTCTTAATATAATAATATTCACACATAAAACCCATCCGTCATACATCTGGTATGCACATATGAAGTGAAGTGGAGTGGTTAGCAGTAATTTGCATAGCTCTGCATTATAATGTCAATTCAATGAAAATCGTAACGCACAACAGGCAGATCCTGTGTGTCCATGTGCATATGTACCAGAAGTAAAGTAATCACTATTTATAATCTAAAGGCATATTTCGTACAATGCAAAAATTGTAAATTCTGCGATAGCATTATAAGCGAGAATATGTACATACATACACACGTGTAATTACGATACTAAAAAGTATTACTCGAAATCCTATGATATAAAAGATGACGGTGTTTTGGACTAGTTCGTTTAGACGGTTCGTAGCATGTACATACACGTAGAACAATCCGTTTATAATAGCAAATTTAATTAGATAAGCGGTTAATTAAGTTAATTATGCTATCCACAAACAAACTACATTTTTACATTGCATTCAAGAGAAGGAAGATAATTTGGACATGAGAAAATTACTATTTCGAGAAGCAGAGAAAAGTAATTCGATCTCTCATGACTCATGTTTCAAAAAATGAAATCGGAAATTTTGGAAATTTTGGAAATTTTCAAGAACTTTTAGAAACATTTCAAGTGTTTCAAAAATGAATGAAACTACGAATATTTGTGTCCAGAAAAGAAAAATCTATTAATTCATATAGGAAGTAAATACTTGTTTCAATAATAATCCTATTTTAGGAGCGGAAGTACACCTAAATTGAGAACTCCTCTGAATAAATCCTCCACCAAACAGTGATACATAATAAATAAATAACTACATAGATCAAACACTTTTCAATAATAATATTGAATTGACTACAATAACGTACTAATTTGAGCATATGTACGTACGCACAAAGCACATATTTAACTACAGGGTTAACCATAAAGGAATTGGCGAAAACCAGTGAATCGAAAATTATGGGGCAAAACGTGTATCGGAAGTGGAAACTATAATCCGACATGTTCGTACGTACGTTATCATAGCACGCGCATCGCAATAATTATTTACCAAATGTAGGGAAACGGTCTGATTCTGCTTTTCATACGTGAGAATAATCGTTTCTGAATTAAAATCTCACTCACATGATCACAAGTTAAATTCAAACACTTCAAATAAACAATGCGGTCGTAAAGAGTGGTGGAAACGCTAAATTCACAATATTTGAGGCGAATCACTCCCTGTGACGCTGACTGTTCGTATTATTATTCTCGTTCGTCTAACAATTTTGCACGGTAGACTAATTTTATTGTGTTGTAGAGTTTATGGTTTGGCCGAATAAGTTGGTTTGGTGCGTAAGCGTGTAATTGCTTCAATTGTTCTCAGGATTTTATTAGTATTTAAATATCCGATGTTTTTTTCACATATTTTCTATAAAAAAGTATGAATAGTAATTTTATTTTTAAGTTTAAACTAGAAATTTTAAGGAAAAAAATTATTAGAAAAAAAATTCGCAAATTGTCATCTCCAGAAGTCGATTGTAGTTTTTACAATTCAAAATCAATTGCATATATTTGGAGATCTGATTTGTATTATTGTGTCAGTTTATTCAATCTGCCGATTAAATCGAGATTATGCTAACAAGACTTCCGATCTTAATTTGAGTAATTATCACTATTTATTTTCTTGTTTTCTTTTTCACCTAAATTGTTACATTAGACGTCTTATTACATTTATTTTGTATCTTATCGCTTGATTCGCTTATCCAAAAAAATCTGCTGCTTAAATTTCTCGCCATACTACATACAAAAATTAGTTAATTAATCCGTCTAGTAGTTCTTGACCGCTCTATATTTTATTTAATTAAGATACTGTTATACTTAAAGGTATTTAGATAGGAAAAATATTGATCTCGGAAATTGTTAAAATAAACGGCATCATTTTTATGATTCCCTTCAGTAATTTTGTACTCATTTGAGAAACATTCTTAATTGTGTAGGTATGGCACACAAAAATCTGTTAAATGACTTCCCTCGTAGACAAACATACACAATTTTTAATTATGGTTTGCATGCATCTTAAGCTTAAAGCCGTACCGTTTTAGCTTTAGACGTTTATGATTGTACATAACAACAATTGTTATTATTATTTTGTGCATGCATGTCTTGATTATTTTGAGGATTAAGACTTTGCTACAATTAAAGCAACGGAACGAAACGGAACGATGCACTAATATATTTTACCCCATATTGTATAATAATGACCATACTACTTATTTGCACAGATAGAGATTTGCTTTACATAACGACTAATGATAATCTTATGAACATACACCGCAAACTCTGCATTTGAGGAGACGTCGACTGCATCTTTGGTATAAAAATGGTTCGCACTCTCAATTTCAGCATCATTCAGCAATTCCATTTCCTTTCTTCAGTTTCAGTTCTCAAAAGAAAGAAAGACTTTTTTGGAAGTTATCATGTCTTCAAAAATCGCCTTAGCATTGGTGAGTCAAGGATTTGAATAAGTTTCTGAAACAATAATTTAATTAAGAATTCGGTGCTTTAGTTGGTGGTGATGACTGTGACGGTTGTATATGCTGGACACGTCCATCATGACGAGGGATGGGGTTGGGTGAGTTGATAAGTGGTCAATTTTATTGAAGAGTTACGACTAGAATTTTTAAATTTGTTTTTGATTGATGGCACAGAGTCATCCCAAATACAAATATTCTTATGGAGTCAAGGACAGCCACACCCATGATGAAAAACATGCTTCCGAGTGGAGGGATGGAGGCAATGTTGGTAAGAGTGCAAAATATTTAATTATTTTCATGACAATTTAGTAGCTCAAAAGTATCGATGACATTATGAGCTGATGAGTTTTTCATGCCTAATTAATTTTTAGTAGATATTATTTAGTACTTTTCTGACAACTTGGTTCTTGAAAATTTAGGTGGTCACTACGCTTTGAGAGAGCCCGATGGCACATGGCGAACGGTGAGTAGAAGTTTAAGCTGTTTTGAAATTTTGAGGTCTAAAGGACGGATTATGCATATGCAGGTCACCTACTGGGCTGACAAGGGAGGGTTCCGTGCTAAGGTTGACCGATCCCACCACCACCACGGATGGTCCGGTTAAGAAATGAATAACATCATGAATAACAAAGAAAGCTTACAAATCTGCACGACTTGCCAAGTTTTAGCTTTAATTCCATTGTTAACTGCCAATATCCTCGATCTTTTTTAACTCAACCTTGTAGTTCCAACTTAATTTCCCTTTCCATTTTTCCCCTACCTTTCACTTCCTGTCGACCTTTTCCATGTTATCCTGATTCTTATCGTGTCCCTCTAACCACTCCCATCCAATTCCCATTCATCCTAAGTAATCCCTCTGAATATCATTCCTCGCCTAATTTTTCATCCATTTCCACCCGGAAATACTTTCTCGCCTCCTTCCTCCTGATTTTTGTATAACTTTCCCTTTCAGCCGAGTACACATCAAAGACATGCAACAAGTCTAACGTGTACGTTCTAGTCATCTTCGTTAAGTTTAAAGTCTTCTGAATGTTTAAAAATGCTCAACTCATGTACAATTTTTCGATTTATGAAATAAAAGTTAAGGACGAAAAATGCAAAATATGTTTCAAAGTTATTGTGTTTATCTATTGCAATTTAGCAAAATTCAGCAAATTTAAGTTTCATTTTGCAAAATTGAGCAAATTTTTCATATTAAAATCACAAAAAAAATCAAAATCTGCGCTTATCTTATTGATATTACAAAAGATGTGTCATCGACCCGCCGTTATCAACATTTATTCACAAAAGTGGATACAAATACAGATTTGACATGATTTTGCCTGCGTCTCACGAATTGGAGGCAGTCTCGCCTTTGTTCCTCACTCCTGCCTGCCACCTACCCCGACTTGGCGAAAACTGCCGGTGGTGGCAGTCCGTCTTTGAGTGAGGCATGCTTTTCTGCTTACTCCTTCTTTCCTTTCAGTAGATTCAGCAGATTGCTGTCCGGCGAATTATTTTTCGGTGAAAAGTTACACCCCAAAAAAGAATACGGATTTGGGTAAGTGCACCTTATCTTTGTTTTCCATCTTGTCGGGGATACCGTGGTGGGTGTGGTGGTGGAAATTTGATTTGTGTCCAACAAGTTTTTAATCTTTTCTCTTTTGTGTAATTGTGTGCAAATTGTAGATACGCTGTGAAGATGCAAATCTTCGTGAAAACCCTCACGGGCAAGACCATCACTCTTGAGGTCGAGCCTAGTGACACGATCGAGAATGTCAAGGCAAAAATCCAGGACAAGGAAGGAATCCCCCCAGATCAGCAGAGGCTTATCTTTGCCGGAAAGCAGCTCGAGGATGGGAGGACGTTGAGCGATTATAACATCCAAAAAGAGTCCACCCTTCATCTCGTCCTCCGCCTCAGAGGGGGGGCGAAGAAAAGGAAGAAGAAAAATTACACGACTCCTAAGAAAATTAAACATAAGAAGAAGAAGGTTAAGTTGCCCGTTCTTAAGTACTACAAGGTAATTATGCATATTTTGTATTTATTCGAGGTTAGTCAATTGGTTTAAGGAGGGGGATTGGAGTTTAATTGTATTAATTGTGTCAGGTTGACGAAAACGGAAAGATCCACCGTTTGAGAAGAGAGTGCCCTAGCGAATCCTGTGGAGCTGGAATTTTTATGGCTTCAATGGAAGACCGACATTATTGTGGGAAATGCGGGGCGACTTATGTTTATAACGCATAAAAGGTGTAGTTAAACTTTTTGAGAAACTTTCAAAATAAATCTTGAGTAAGTTCTATTCGAGGAATTGTTGTGTTGGTTTGTATTTTTTTCTTTGGCAGATAACTTTTATATCTCGTAGGTATCATCATCAATTAGAACGGATTATATTGTTTGTTCATTACTTTAAGAAGGAGGAGATTTGACCTTATTATCAAGAAAGAAAGTTTAGCAGTGGTCGATGTTGCATATTGCGGAAGATCAAATTATTATTGCTCTACAATTCGTGACAATTGTATTTAGCGTTAGCTTCAATTTTGTCACAATCAAATTGCATCATTCAGTTCTTGGGAGTAGCTTTACCTGTTGCATATCCGCTGTAATGTGACTCATCCTCATTTATGGTTTCGGATCGTTACTACCGAAAAGCGGACATGACCTTGGGTGCAATTTCGGACTTGGAAATATGTAGCAGGTTGAATTAAAAATTTACGTTTGCCAAAAATTTATATCAGGAAGGCCAAGTGTTGAAGACCAATAATGTTTTATGCGGGGGTGGGTGACTATAACATATCTGGTTTCGATAAGTCTGCACTTTGTTCTAAGTTCTATATATATACAAAAGCACACCATCGCCATTTGTCTGTCAATGCAGTAGCTATTTAGTAAGTTACATTTACAATAATCAATCCATGAGACGCAATTGTGCTGAAATTAGTTGATATTTTTATTATAACTCCAATTAAACGTCGATATTATGCATCATTTAATATTGACTTATGGGAATTGCAAACAATTGGTTCTTATATATCATGAAGCGAAACCTTCGTTCTGCAAAAATTAATGCCAATCTACAATAAATTTTGTTTCGACTTTCTAGTTAACCAACTTAATAACTTTAATTAATTATTACTGACTATCAGTCTATAATAGCAAGTAAAAAAACTTGGGTTGAAAACATAATACATTTTTCAACTAAAATTACATACCAACTAAATATTCTATGTTTAATCTCGTGTAATCAGGTTGCATTATTAGTTCGTTTTTAATTACACTCCAATATCTATCACTAATCAGATCTCTTAAAACAGTGAATTATTAACTACTTTATTACAGTACTACTTGACATTTTTTCTAAACGCGACATCCGACGTGACCCTGGAAGGGCAATATACGCTCGCCCTGTTGAAATGTCCCCTCCCACTCCCATAACCATTCGCTATTCCACATCCGTTCCCAATCCCAACTATTTGTGGGGCTCCATTACTCGTCGTTGTTGGAACTTGTTGGCGAACATTGTCCCGAGGATTCATCCATTGTGACGGGACCAGACTGGCTGTCCTGTAAAATATGGTGGGTTGCGGTGTCCAAGATTCCGGCCTGACTCTGGCGTCATGAGGAGTTGCATACCCATTATTATTACCCGAGGTATTTTGCGTCTTAATTTTAATGCTGTTATTTATCCCATTATTTCCATTCATAATTCCGTGAAGTTTTTGTTCAGTCGTGTTTATGTGATGGTCATCAAATTTTTCGGGTGGTTGTGAAAGTGAGAGTCGCCAAGATGTCGGAAGACCACCATTGACACCGCCTCCGCCGTTATTATTATTGAGTTCTCCTCGCCTTCGTCTCAGCGTCACTTTAAACTCGTCTTCTGCACTCTTTTCTCCAATGTTAGTATTTATTCCAATATTTCTCGAAGTCGTTGTAGGATTTGCGTGGGATGACCTTGACCGGATTTGATTTACCAGACCTGGAGTTTCATAATCGTCGTCGTCATCGTCATCATCATCGTCGACGAAAGGACTATATTTTCCGGGTCCATGTTCAGTAGTCTGAGCTCGGAGAAAACTTCTCGGACTGGGACTAGAACCACCACTGATTTTCCGGAGAGAAAGAAGTCCACTTCCAGATCGACTAATAGAATTTGAAACTTTTCGCCGGAGCGATTTATTATTGACGTCTTCGCCTCCAAGGCCACCCATCCTGTCCAGGTCAGAGTTTGATGCGGACTTGGAGTTGTTGGAGGTAGAGGAGGATGACTTTGTGGATGACGAGTTGGGAGAAGCAGACCCCGTGGATTTGCTAGCGTTAGGATTATAGGATGTCGTTGAGCGGAGCATGGAACCATGTTGATTTCTGAGGGCTTGGCGTCTCTCTTTGCTCATATAAATGCATTCCTGGGATTAAAAAATATACATATTTTAATATATTTATGACTTAATGAGCCAAAATTTTAAGAGATAAAAGACTTGCCTGCAGCAACGTGTACCATTGATGAAGCCTGAAATAAACATATATTTATGTATTTACGAATTTGTACTTAAAAGTAAGTATGTAGGACATACGCTTCATAATTTTCCCCTGGAACTCTCAACAAGATTCTTGGTTCTGTGGGTAGCACCAAAGCAATCATAGATCCACTTTTTCTAGTTTCCCATTCTACACCATCAACTTCGGCGAGTCGTAGCTAAATAAAATTTAAAATGTAGTACATACATGTCACAATTTCATTATTATGTAGAAATTACTTACTTTATAAATAAAAGATCCCATTTCGGACAACCGCACTCCTGACCGGTGAACACTTGTCGTCCGTCTGAAGCAGTTGAGGTAATCTCTCGTCAAAATAAAGTAACGCTGAAATTTTTTTTTCATAATTATAAAACACCATCAAAATACGAATACTTTGTCCATTATTTCATGTATTCATCACCTCCTTCCAACGTGACCACATTTTGTCCCTTTGTTGAATAAGGATACCCTTCTTAACTGCTGGAGGATCACCCCAAATGTCTACAGACTCCGTTACGGGACGACCCCCTCTCTCCGTCGTGCCCCACACGGATCGCATACTGTTTTGCCCAAGTTCCCAGCCACTCGCAAAATGTGCCAACTATAGAGTATTTTTAAGTAGAATTTAGATAATTTTAAAGTAGTTAGCAAATTAAAATATTTACGTCTGGGTGTCCATTCCAAAAAGACGAAGTCGCAATCGAAATCCTTTTCGGATTTAGGGTCGAAGATTCTCTCGGTTTTGGAATTCTAAGCAATGTGAGCGTCGTAGCACCTCCACCAGCCCCACCACCGCCAAAAAGTGACGTTGATCTCCTCGGCGGAAGTGGTGGGGGTTCCGTGGGTGGCATATTTTGATGATTTTCACTTATCAGATGAGCACGTGGCAAATTATCGTACAATAATTCATTCCTGGAATTTCTGAGGTGCGAATTTTTATCCAGGCCTCCAAACGCGGATGATGCCGACGCTTGACTGAGCGTCCCTCGAACTGTTCCCCCACCATTTTGACTCTGCAATTAAAATGACATAAACCATTACAAATCGTGATTAAAGATTTCGAAATTTTTCTATATACGACATTATCTGTATTAATTATCATTCACTTAAAAAATATATTATTATTTAATAGCCCATTACAGTTATTAAGTTTATTGCGCTACAGGGGGCTCAATTTTCATATCGGTTTCTCCACGGTTTATGCATTTATTTGGAATTTTTAATTTGCCAATTGTCTAAATTTTCATAATTCGTTTCATCCATCTGTCCGTTATTGTCATGCAATCGCAATGATAATAATCCCCACGAGGTCCCCCATGGCGGTATAATTAGCTTATTAACTCGTTCAACGTGTTTCGCACTTGGTGCATGTTAATTCAAATGTAAAAGTTTGTATTTCATTGTTTTACAACATTCTAACTGTGTGTTTTCTTGCGTTACGTACCGAAACCAGATTATCTTGTATTATTCGTCGTCTCTCCATTTTCTTATTGCACATTATAATTGTCATAATCTTGGTCTGGTCATCATCTCTGAGAATAAAAACCACCCTACAAATCACGTTCTTAAATATATTCATGCAACCAAAATGTGCCATGTTACAGGACAGAAGTCAATGCCTTTAACAACAAAATTCACTTATGCATGAATGCATTAGCACTTAACCTTTAAAAAATATGTAGCATTCTCATATCTATCACGGCAAACAATATGATTAGCAACTTTGACAAATCTGAACATATTTGGAAATTCAATTAGCTTTTTTCACCAACAATATCACCACCACTGACCTTTTTACAGAGAACAATATCGTTACAAAATTAGCATGAGCTAAATTATTATTTATGCTAATCTCAATGATTTTTAATGACTTTATATTCAATTTTTGTAAATGAATAATGCTTCTGTTGAGAAGCACAAGTATTTCTACATACAAAATTGCAGCATAGCAAAACATGCCTACCTGCATTTCCTTCTCACATTTCATTTACTCCCAAACTGTGTAAAATTTTTAATTTGCTTTGAATCGTAACGGTTGTAGGGGTGTCTAAATTATACAACAATAAATTACTGACACGGGTGAAGGCTACTCCCATTTCCAATTCTTTTTGAAAAAAATAAACACACTGCAGAAAAGTCAACTTACTCAATAGCGGAACAACTTGAGAGACCTTATCTAACATGTCAAGTAGGTAAAGATTGTTTGTGTGATGACCGAATCATTACCGTGTCTTATGCGATTACAAAACTTCGCTGTCCGTCACCAGTTGCCAGTCAAGCAGATTTTAAAAAAGTAAGCTAAATGCTATAATAAAGGGTAAATTGACGTGTCAAAAAACAACATAAAACACACGCCGGCAGTGTCGACTTTTAAATTACAATTGGTCTGAGTAACTATCTCATACTTGTCTCCGCCTCAAAAGAGAGAAAAAATATGTGGATTTTGTTAATAATATTATGACTCAGAAGATTTATCTCCATTCAAACTTATTTACGTTGCATAAAAAATAATGCAAAACTTGCTGAACCAAGTCAATATTTCATTATGTGAGGTATGAAATGGGAGGAAGTTTTTCTTACCTAATTAAATTGTCTACTTGTTAAAATATGCGAGAGGGTTTCATTCATCGTTTAGATAACTAAATGGCTGAAAAACTTTCACTATTGTCTCACATGTAAAAGATGCAGGTAAATGTGTACGACTCGATCTTTGGATGGATGAGAATAATAAATAATTTAAAGCCGAAAGTCATCGTGTTGAACGAGAATGAATGAATCAATTTTTTGATAAGTACTTACCTTACCCTATCTGCATAAGGTGTAAATAAGTGAGAGAGACAGGTGGACAAAGGGTAAAGTATTTCATAATTGGCTAGAATTGGAAATCTGTTCCTTTTTTTAACTGAACAATTAACAAGTTCCTCACGGATAGATGAGAAAAGGAGGATGTAAAATAAATTTCTTTAAAAATATGTAAATATATTATATGTAAATAGCAATGGCTGCGGAACCGTTGGGACAAAAGAGGGACAATGTCCCCACGGTTATTAGATGTCCCCATCATCTCCCCATGTTATGCAAACCCCTCCCTTCCTATCCCACAATGTTAATGTCCCCACAGCGTCCGTCCGCGGCCACTGGTAAATAGCTATGCGGTTCTCATAAATCTTGTCACTTGGTGGCACAAGCATTCCTTCGTATCGAATAATTTTGAATTTGTTTTACTAATTATTATCGTTCCAAATTCCGTTAAGTGAAGTGTATAACGGAAGCTTTTATCTTGACTGACAAAGTTTAGGACATCATTATTTTATGGACATGTTGGCATTTGCGTGAGGAATTTGCATTATTGTCAGAGATGGATTGCAGCATGCATGTTATGTTACTGCAAAATCCAACATGTACAAATGCCATCTCATCTTTCTCTATTTAATGAGGAGAAGAGTTTGCAGAGTTGTTGTTCTCTCCATTAATTATCAGTTTATTACTTACTCTAGGCAAGTCAAGAAGTGAAGCAAGTCATAAAATGAGACAAAGGGACACAAGAAGACAACAAACGCTAATGGATGGATGGAAAGTGAAACTGCGCTTATTTACAGTTTACAGTTACTCACTTAGATATTACGGCCACAAGAAGAATGACGCACAACTACTTTTAGATTGGTTACATGCAATTATAATGGCAGCATGAAAAGGGTTGATGGATAACGTAACGTAACAGGATGAATTGATGATGGATGGGTAATAAATAATATTTCATGAATAGTTGAAGAATGTCATTTTGATCTCGTTTAAATCAAATCCGGAATGAATTTTCAAAAGACAGATTTGTTACACGATATTTCGTCAATTGTATTGAGAATTCCTCGTGTAATGCACACAAATTCCAGAATTTTACAAAAAAACTTTAGTATGTTGAACTTGAATTGTAAAATAATTTGAAAACTTTTTCCACCTCATAATATTTTATTTTATTTACACGAGAAAAGAAGAAGGAAGCCGTTCTTTTCAGTAATTCAGATAATAGGCAACTTCAATTCAGTGAGTTTACGTAGCAGATCCGACTGAACATAATAGTGGAAAATACTGCATTAGCTTTTTTCAACTTTTTTTTGTTACGTGTACAGAAATTTACTGAATTCAGCAAAACACAATAATATCTGTATCAAGGAATGCAATGCAATAACGTTTTTGTGATCAATACGCGGCGGTGATTTACATGAGCGAATTTGCAATTTTAATGGTCGTTTGCGAAATTGTCTTTTTTTATGCAGAGAAATCATAAAATGCGTTCATCCATCCATCTTCAATCACATTGAAATTCCAGGTTATAAAGTCACGATAGAAAGCTAAGCTACGAAAAACTATATGAATCTCACTCGATCAGAAAATGAAATAAGACTTTTGCTCGCCAAGAAATTTTAGGTATATTGATAAGCTTTCTAGCATCGGTAAGTGATGAATGATTGTGATTCATGGTTCTTGTAATCGACACAGAATCAAATTCCAATTTTCATTTAAAACATGAAGATGTTTGGTAAAAAGTTCACCTTTTCCAAACATTAAATTTACGTCACTTGCCATTTTTACTCGTACACATGCGGTGTACGTATGTTACATACATACTTCGCCTCTTAAATTAGACAGGTACGCAACTTTGGTAAGCAAGCAAGGTTGATTATTAGAGCAAATCGTCCAAGTCCAAGTCATACCAAGCAACAAAAATGAGATACAAAGTAAAGTACACATTCCATATTCACCACATTTCTCTTTACATTTACATTTTTGTAAATTCACGGTCTATGCATCCACGCTTTTATAAAAGACCACCCTCCCCTCATCTCACCAGCGCTGCGCTGCACTGACAATTGCACTTTTTAAATTCATCATCATCATGATAACACAAACTTTAGTTGCGCTGCATGCAGGTCTGCTGCGATACTTTTGCAAATCAATTTCTTTGAGCAGAGCACAATTCGAATTAAATTAAAAGTAACCAAACCGAATTAACTCACAGCTAGATGTTGACGAGTATATTATTATATCGCATCTTTTTTTTCGTCGGTCAGACCACGGGAATCTGAAGAGTAACGCACAATGAGATGAGAACACACTGAAATGAGTTTAGTTTAACTGTACATTTATTTTTATTTTGGTCGCTGGTTTTCATGGCTTAACCAAGCGGATTTTCATGCTATCTTGTCTTCTCGAGTTTTGAGATGATGAGAAAATTATTTTGATGCTCAAAATACGGAATTAAACTGCCGGGTTGGATTACACGGTGGATACATATCGTTTGTAATAATAACACAGTAAACCGCATCGTACCGCTATTTGTATGTGTGTATTTATAAAGAAGAGTAAAATTGAAATGGTGATCTCTCAAGTGAATTTATAGTAGGTTTAATTAGTGTAAAAACCACGGTTCAAATGTAACCTGAGAATGAAGTGGTTGGAGGTGTTTGAGACGAAAAAAAGCTGATTTGTATTCTGAAAAGTGTAATAAAATGGATGAAGTTCTCTTAAAAGAATGGAATTTTTTTCTTGCCAAGTGAACTTTTATTGCCCAATATAACCAACCAATTCCTTATTGTTTTGGAAGAATAAGTAATTTTAGGCGAAGAACAATGAAGTTTTTTTAAGTAAGGTCGCCGACAGCGTGAGTTGTTCCTCTTAATAATTTTTTGACTTGAGATGAAAATGAGACACTTATTTTATTTTACCATGTCGTGCTCCCATTCATTTATTTGGCGTCGTAAAAAGATTGCTTATTAATTGGAGACTGTGCGCAGGAAGGGTGCAAAAAAGTTGGGATCATGTCATTATATTCGATGATGATACATGAATAACGAAAAGATAATCAAAATTTGGTCCGCTATATTTTTGAAGATATCGCTTATCGATTTGTGATAAAATAATAATATTTAAAAGTTAACCACAACCTGAAAAAAACTTTTTTGATAACTCTGACCTAACTCTATTAAATATTTGTAGCTTAATTTTAAAGCGTAGTTTTTAAAAGTCGTGCACATTTAATGTTCTTAAAAGCCGCAAAACCCACGAGTTGTGTAACACAACGCAGTAATTTCATCTCTCGTGGTTTTTTAATGCTTTTACATGCAAGCAAAACAACTTATTGTTCCGTAAATGAAGTCAACGGTACAGTTGAGAAATGAGAATTACGCGTGTATAATAAAGAACCGGCCGGTGCGTTACACATACGAGCACGAAACTATTGTGATTCGAATCATTGAATTAAAAAAACAAAAGATTTTTTTTTAAAAAACGCAACTTGTTCCTAAATATTTTCTAGATTTTTGCAGCAAAAATTAAATAGTCCAAATAATACATCTATTCGTATGGTGCAATTTATTAAAATGTATCAATTATTTTTGTTATTGGCGCATCTGTCTAACAAACAACTTAATAATTTTCTTCATTGAATTAAAAAAAAGATTTTTTTTTGAAAACACAACTTGTTCATAAATATTTCTAGATTTTGCAAAAATTAAACAATCCAAATGACACATCTATTCTCATGTTTCTTTTATTAAATTTATCGATTATTTTTGTTATTGGCGCATCTGTCTAACAAAAAAAAATTTAATAAGTTTCCTGATTCAGCATAAAAATAAAATGCTATCTTTTTTATTCAACGACAAATAATGAAAAAAAATGTAAATAACAAGAACTTCATTATTTGCAGATGTTGAAATTGCACACATTCCTCCTCTGCCGCACTTATCCACAGTTGTGTATTATTATCATTTTCCACTAATTTCTGTAATGTCACTGCCATCCAAGAAATTAGGCTGAATTACGACAAGAACTAAATAAAAATTTCTGAAAAGAATGTAAGTAATCATCATCATTTCCACATTTTACCAACCACCTTCTGGCTTACTTCGAAGTATTCACTATGAAGACAAGAGGACGGTTTTGTCTTGGTGAATCCTAATTGCGACGAGTTAAGAAAATGTGTCACCCTCATCAACTCAACCGAATAGCTGCACATTTAACGAATTTTGTCCCATTTTCCAAATTCTTTTCTCTCCCTTCTTTATTATCTGCCTGCCTGGCGATTGTTGTGTGTAAGTATTTATCATGAAAAATAATGCGTCTTTTAAATTTTGGTTGGTCTTCTTCAACCATAAACACACACACACAAAAGTCAACTGCATGCACTTCATCAAAGGAATAATAAATAATGGAGGAGAGTCCTTCTTCTGAACAATTTGTGACTCCTTTCCTTGGCTTAATTTTTAAATCACATTATTTTCATATTATTATTATAAATTCTCTCGACAAACGTGGTGCAGTCTGACTGAGAGAATCCCGTTCTAATTTTATTTTGGTGGCCTTCTTCTCGGAATTAAAGATGCAGCAGCAGAGATCTGAATTGATGAGATACAGATAAAAATAAATGGACTATATGCTGCCGTGCTTTTAATTTCTGCAATAATTACGGCGACAAAGCAATTAACGGGAACGTGCTAAAATGAGGAATTCATTCTTATTCCATGTCATCCGTGTCAACTAAACAAAACTTGTGTAATAATAATAATAATAATAAGGAAGACTTGAGGCATTATTATTATTATTATTATTATTATGCGGCATTGAAACCCACGTTGATTTATGTAGAAATTAATGCATAATAATATTTTAGCTCATGCATGGTAAAAAATCTTGAGCTGAATATGAATGAAATTACTTTCGTAACAGGAGTCAAAAGTCAGGGTGATAGAAAGAAATTCATGAATTTTACTAGGTGAGCGAATTAAAATTGTTTACATTTAAGGTTAAAACTGTTCAGCTAATTGTTTTTGGGTGCTATTCATAAATTTCACAACAAGTTAGTTGGATGATAAGCAGAACAGATAATTTTTGTTCGTTCTGCATAATCACACAATGTAAATAAGTATCATCGACGAGTCCTCGAAACAATACGAAATGTTGACTTTTTTAATGGCCATAGTAAGTTTATTGTCAATTAAATTCATCGTCAGGATTGAATTTCACTATTTATTTACAGCACAAAACCTACCACATCATCCAACCCAACTTCACTACTTAACTATCAAGTACTTGGAAAAGAAATTAATGAGCTCCGTCACAGTCAAAGTCGTCCAATACGTAAGATGTCTAACGAATAAATGAGACAATTTAGCAGCAACCAGCTAACTGAGTGAGTGACACTTGACTTGAACTGCCATTGTGATTTGTGATCCATCGTCAACTTATCATGTGTCGTTAATGGTGACCTTCTCAATTATTTTATGACTTATCTACACAGAAACTCGCCCTTTCTCCTACTCACTCACCCAGAAGAAGAATGAATACATGTGCCTACGATGAATGTGCAATGTGCTCTTCGAATTTTTGTACCATTTGCAAACAAAAACTAATGGAACAATTAACAATGAAACTTCAACTACTTAATAACTAATGAGAAAATAATGCTCGATTCATAAAACAGGAAAAGAAATGATTTTGTGAAGAAAAAAAATACACACACTTTTAACAATGAAGGAAGACGTTAAAGAAGAAATCTCATGCTACTGTAATACATAAAGATTGCTAAATTTCCTCAAAACCACGCCCATCCGTCCCACTTGAGGAAGATAATTCTTCCTTTCTGCTCCGTCTCATTAAAGATGAAATTGAAGAAACCAGATTTATAAAATAAGTACGTGCTTTTTTCGGGATTTAATTGCACTATCCTCAATTTGCAACGGGGAAAATCAAGTTCACTTGCACATAAATGCGAAAATTTTGCAATTGTAAATCCAACATATTTAGTTAGTTATAGGTCAGTTAAATAGTTTGGCAAATTATTTCTCATTCTGATTTATGTTAAGCAAAGTTTAGCTTATTTAATTCAATATTTGGTCAAAATTATTGCACAATGGTCACGCAATACATAGGACCACACACACCACCAAAGCCCTAAAGTTTGTCCATGTGTCACAAACCATCCATACATGCAAATGCTGATCTCCGTTCCAATTGTACATTGATTTTATTGGCAACACTTCCCATTGTGTGAGATCATTTCATTTCATTCATAGCTATTCACCATTGAACAAACAGACCAGACTTACATAGATATGTACTTATCTGTATGTATGTTAGTAAGTAAGTAGTTGGATTGGATAATAAATAGGTGGTCAATCTCTCCTTAAAGACAATGGGAGCTGATTGGGGTATTAATTAGGACTGGTTTTGGCATGCGTCTGTCCCTGTGTACTTGAATTATAAATTATTTTATTACCAATATTGCCAATATTGGGTTTCATTTTCGTTTCATAATGTCACCCAAGAAAGAAGAGATGGATGTAGCCTTAATCCTACATAAAACACAATGCATAATTATTATGACAACTCTCAATTTCCATCCATTCCACCAGACCAGGTTATACTATTATTATTGCATTCATTTTCCATTCATTTCATATGCAGCTCAAGATTTAAATTAGAATTGAAATTGAATTTTTTCCCCTATGCAAATGAAACTGTCAATTTCTTCGTGTGTGTCCATTTTTGAAGGATTATATGAATCCAATCCAAAATTTTATGCTAACCTGAAAGAGAGAGAAACTATTGCATAATGGGAGAAGATTAACACCTATACGTAGAAGATTTTTAAATATTAAAGAGGTTGAGGAAGAACGAGAAAATATTTTTTAAAGATTTGGATAAGATAACCATAATTTAATTTTTACGAGGAAATGTTTAGCCCCAAAAATTGAATTTATTTTAATCCAAATCCAAAAAAATAGTGTTATCTAATTAAATATGCCAGGTATTTTGCAATGGCGAATCGCCGCATATTTAGTGGTGTCCATATTCTTTTGTTTATAATTGCCCAAATTGTACTACATACATGCTTTTGTTTTACTTTTAAATGAGGAGAGCACAGTCAAAATATTGACATATTTGACAACCCTTCAATACCATAATTAGGCCGACGATGTAGTATTTTTTAGTGCATACATAATGCATCTCCATCAATTCATCCCTCCACCATATCCATTAAAAATCCATTCACCTATAAAAATGTGGCTGAGTAAGTAGATAAGTAAGTACATAAGTGGGTAACCAGTATTATGATACAAAAATCAACCAAACCTGTCACCCTCCCTGCCACATGTCCTCCCCAAATTTGGCAATTTAGGTAGGCAACTCAGGTTACAAGTTAAATACATAGTTGCTAGAAAATTTGGCTTGGAAAACAATAAAAATTATCGTCATTACTGCCAAGATAAGGTAGTTCATTGGGTCGTTAACGTTATAACATGGCTTAAAATTAAAAGAAGCACCACCCTTCAATACATATACAAAATATGTCTGGTGGGTGGTTTTGGTTTGTCATAAGTTAAGGTAAATTTGCAACCCTGTAATGATTGGAGAGAGAGCACGATAATATATCTTATCCGGTGTTTGAAGACTTTTCTTGGATGACATCACGTTATGTTTTGCATATTATAACATTAATTCAGTTCAGATGGGTTTGGCGTTGGGTGTTCCGTGAAATAGAAATTATCAATGTGTGTGCATACATATCTAACAAGTGGCGTGGCCCACTCCACATTCATCACAAAGTTTGCACATTCAAGGAGCAGATCGTGGTACTAAAATAAATATATTGAGTCATTAATATTCTCACTAACACACGTTCTCTCATAAGAAATGAAGTACAGTTAATATTAATTAATTAATATGCACGAGACATGTCCAGCCTGATAAATATGTTGATATTGCCTGATAACTCAGGAAATCTGCATTTCTCTCCCATTTCCTTAAATCCTAATCTCTGTTCTTATTCATTTAATGACTAATTTAAACCTGGGACGACCTAAATTCCATGAATTTCTAATTAAATTATGATTAAATTACCTGGTGACTCATTCGGTTCAGATAACTCCTATTGTTAACAGCAGCAGAAGTCGGGTTGCTGGTACTGTTTGACGACGAGGTGGGATCATGATACTCCTTAAAAGGATAACAATACCGTGTCCTCTCATCCTCCGCAGATTCACGGATCATCCTCAGCGTGCCCAACCCTCCAGGGGGACATCGGCTTTCCAGCTCGAGCACCATTTCTAGACGACTTTTTACTCACTACTTCCTTTTAAAGGTTTATTATTTTACACGACGAGATTGGATTTGAGTTTGACTTAATTTTATAACGTGTGTCACACATATAATAAATTAGTGAGAATCCGGTAATTCAGTCACATTTCTTAAAAAAGAAGTTCACTATTTTTTCCCACTAATTTTTCCACCACCACGAACGACCACTGGAATTAAATCATAGTTATGTCACCCACTTCCATTTACGCTGGACTCTGGATCGAGTTATTATATTTTATTTAATGGTTTTAGTCACACACTTCATTGCGTAAGTTGAGTTGGAGGAAAACAGGAAGGAGCATCATCAACTCTCATCCATGGATTGGATTAATGTTTAATAAGTACGTACATATTTTGTACTGATGATGGTTCGGTTTTCAATGTGTGTAGTAGAATAAAAATGAGAATGAGACTTCCTTCCTGGAATTGTGACTATGTTTGGTCATAGGCTTCGTCACATCCAGTCACATCCAACCGAGGAGATAATTTCCCCTAGAATTTATTTCCCTCTCTCAAGATTAGGTAAGTATTAAGGCAGCGGAGCTGTTGCAATAAAATAGTCTTTTCTCGTCACTTTAACGATAATCTGTGACACAGAAAGGAATCCAAAGTGCCATTCAAGCTGTCGGCCAAGTATAAGTTAGTTTGTAAAAAAAAAAGTGCAATAAAATGTCACCCCACTCGTGTTACGCACGCAGCAGTGTCGATACATACAAAAAATAACAAATACAATGTTATAATAAACACAATTATTGAGTAGCAAAAGCAAAGTACAAAGTGCCAGCCTCCATCCGTCTCAAAAAAAGTTTGCTTGGATATGTATTGGCTGGGTTGAAACTAAACTTGTCCTTCTAAAGCAATTAACACCGAACTGAAACTGAATACACTTTAGCGAAATAATATCAACCCAAGTTAAAATTCTGCTTCGTCTTTTACTGACTGATACACGCGACTGGGTTGTGATAAATATGTAGGTTTGGTTTTGGGCGTGTGAGGTCCTTGAGCTACGGTTTGGTTTGTCTGGTTTCTTCAAAGTCCTTGGTTTGGTTTTCTGGAAAGTCAACAATATTCAGTGATTATTAGAGAGAAGTTGTAAAGTCACTGAAACTTAGGAGTTGATAGATTTTGGGTCGTTTTGTTTTATGAAAAAATGAAAATTTTGGGTTGTTGTTTTTTTCACGGGAAAATGAGATTTTTGTATTCAAACAGTTATCATTTATTTATCGATTTATGGGAATGATAACCCTCCAAGATTAGGAGATAAGTAAATAATGTTAGATTTAGGTCGTTTATCCCCAAATTAACCTGAACCAAGGAACAATTGGGATTTAAAAAATTCTTGTCTGTATAGCAATTCACTTTAATTTGTGGTTGACTGACGGAACAAGGAAAAAACTTGGAAACGTCATGTTTCCTCTGAAGAATTTGCAGAAAAAAAGTTCTTTCTGGTCGTAACCACTAAATCATAAAAAACCATTAACTGCAAGTTTTAGTGTACAAAGTGAAAATAAAGCTGGCAAAATGTTTACCAGCTTAAAAATGCTTTATTATGGTGTAAAAATCTCTATGTATATCACAGACAGCAAAGAGTCACGTCACGCAAAATATAGCACATGTTATGTCAACAACATTTTTGACGGTTCGTGTATGCATGCATGCATATGGATTAAAATTGCATGGAATTGATATGTTATGTTAGCCCAGAAATGGTATCTGCCTGGTTATCGATGTGCTCAATAAAAATCGTTTCGTTTTTCATACACATTAAACCACAAATATTAACATCTGATTTCCCCAATTTTGCAACTCAATCATCTCATCACATCAAAAAAGAATTCCCACGATTAAATTTAATCTCAACGCGTAACTTACATATTAGATTTTATTATTATTGAGGTTAGAGATTCATAAACAACAATGAAATTCCTTGAAAATTTGTGTCTGATCGCCGGTTATCAACAAAGAATCTCGCACAACACGAAATTCCATTTGTTTGTTACACGTTGTTTTCGCTTTCCTTATAAACTCTCAAATTTACGAATAACACACTTAACAAAAGAGTTGTGAATTATATTTTCATTTTCTAAAAATTAGTATCCCTTCCTCCCCTTTGTTATTATTTTCACGAGGCACGACATGATTTTATCATTTATTTTGTAAAACAAAACCTTAGTTTGGACGACTTGGCAGAAAATCTTCTGATCAATCAGCAATCAGGAGAGATCATTAGCGAAATGTGTAGTTGTTGGAGCCAATAAATAAATAATAATATAAATACTGATTCGTCGTACTTTGCAACAAATTAAGATCAAAATCTTGCATGTAGATGGTTCTTGCCAACTTTGTTTTGAATGCGTAATGAGTTTTTAAATTAAGATGCATTTTATGTCCTAATTGCTTTGTTTTGTTTTTTCCAATTGGAAAATTTATCTTATTTCTTGGCAAATTATTCTAAAAATTGCATCATTGCTTAAATAGAATACGAGCTTTTTGGTTGATACCTTATGGCATATTTTTCTGTCCAGGATTCCAGTCCAGGTAGTAAAAAGATGTGATCTTTTCACGTCACCGTGTATATTTTCATACAATGATTTCCACACTTACTTTACGTCAATGTCATTAGAGACACGCCATGCCATCACAGAACCTCAAGAAATGAACACGGTAATAACAATAACAATTTACGGTACGTACATTCTCTACCACCACGATTATTTCTGTAATGGAATGGAATTTCTTGGGCTGGAGATAAGTGAAACTGAGTTCTCAAACTTGCACTTTTAAAACAAAAACTAATATTTTGACAGCTTGTTTCTTCTCCAAGTCACGAAAGACGAGACAAGAGTTACGGAATGGAGGCAGTTTGAGACGAAATTGAGACAACACAACTCCTGAGACGTGGTGTGAATCCTCGTAAAGGCGAGCGAGGAATGATTCACTTCTCTCTCAGCGTTCACTCACCACACAGTTTTCCTTCTTGTAAACGCAGGTATGTAAGAGATGACGACTCTCTAGTGAGAATCACTAAAGTAAGAAGTGGTGAGACGAAAATACGAAGAAAATTCAGTCATTCATGAATTTTCGTGAAGAAAAGTTGGGAACATTCATAAATTGGTTCATAAACTAATTTTCATGGACAATTTTCAATGTATGATAATCTTATAAAAATGGAGTCATCTTATTTTGGCATGATCAGAGCAAAATAAAATATTAAAGTTATTTATTCTGCTATATAAACCGTACCACTTATCTGACATGATATCATGTTCATCAAATTCTTAAATTTTCCAATAATGTCGTGAAACCATTACATTTTTCTTCTCCTATGTATCACTCTTTACACAACAATGCAAACTTATGAAATTGTGCACGTATGAGACTCACGTTCACTTCCACATCAGGTTTTCTTCCTTAATGGTGGCGTAAGTTGTAGTTTAGCACACATTTTTGGCTTTAAATGGCAAGTTGCATGCACCCCACGTCTCCTTTTGGATGGGGGTCTCTCCACTTTTGGCGTGTTTATGTTTGTACCCGGTGTGCCTGTGATGCAATATTTATCCGATTCAGGATATACAAACTGCTTGCCCTTTATTACCCACTGTCCAGTATCTCACCCGCAGATAGGCAGATCACCGTCCTAGTTTAATCTAAAGGAAATTTCTAATTCATTTCTCCTCCCGACAGCAAACGGTTATTTTCATTTGCTAGTTTCTACCATTTCCAACATGATTTTTAGTTATTTTTCTCTGATTTGAAACGGCTATATACAAAAATTCGTGAAGGTCACACAATTTTTTTATGGAGACAGCAGCAGGTAACCAGCTTTAGAATTACGGACATACATACATGGAGTTTGGGAGAGATGTTTCATTTCATTCGTCCAGCTTAAACTGTTTTTGACCGTGTTTGGCGAAATTTAGTTGGACCACGACGAGAGAAAAAAAGGGGAATAAAATTCAATTCAATATTCAATTGTGTGTTCTGTTCTCCTTTCTTTCTGCCCAATTTCACATTCTCAACTTGCCATGAATCACTCGCAACGTCGGATTTACGGCTTCATCTCGTTGCATATTTGATTCGCAGTTTGCTGGTGGTTTGGTTCTGGGATGGATAAGCTGAAGTGGGTGGTGGTATATTACAAACTTGGGGAATGAATGTGTGGTACTGGTACATTTTACGAGAGAAAATGCTAAACCATTTTCCAGCAGGTTGGTCGTTGGATTGGATGTGGAACAAATTACAAATATTTTTCTGTCTGGTGTACAAAATTAATAGTTTACACCGACCGAGCTTATTTTAAAGAAAGTGCGTCTAATGACATTATCCGCAAAAAATTGCACTAACCAAGATTATCAATCATTTCTATATTTCAATTTCAAATTTTAAAATTCTTCATTAAGAAGCTTCCTGAGTGAGTGAAATAAATGGAAAAATTTAGTTCGCACGGGAAACAAAAGCACCCCCCACGCACTTAATTTGGATTAGTTGTCAACGAACGATGTCAAGTCAAGAAATTCAGAAAACTGCACTGCGGAAATACTCACCGTGAGGCAGCGAGCTAGTTTTATTATCTGGTGTGGTTTTGTATGCAGCACTTTTATTCAATGAACAAAGGAACTCTGCACCACTCAGCAATTGAACCTCGTCTCATCTCAGTTCTCATTTTTTCTCGCAAATCGCACAAGCAAATTGAATGTATTTAATTCTTTGTGAGCGACAATGAAGCGAATAATCGACAAATCGAGGCTAATCGCCTACTTCTCTATATTTCAAATTGTTTAAGTATAAAACGGTGGCCAAGTATGAGAAGAAGAGAGTAAAAAACGAGAATAGCAATATGAATCCGACGACATTGATGCGATTCATGATTCATTCTCACACCCACACTGACGATATACGAACAACCTGAACATACACATTTTGTACGCGAAGAAGGAGATGCAGTACAGATGCATTTTTCTTCGAAAAAAATGCACATTTCTTCATGCAAATGTGTCATCACGATGACAAAAAGATCAACATTCTCACTCATACAATCTACATATTTCAAACAGTCATCTCCTTTACATATGTATGTACACATCCATTTTTCATTTCTTTACCGGCGTGGTAGCATTTCTAACCATGCAAAATATTTAAGAAGTCACCGAGTCATTATTACAATACAATTTTTCATAAAGGGTTGTTCAAATAAGAAGATGCAATTAAGTGGGAGTGCATATCTCCGTCTCGCATCTTACGACACACATATAATTAAAGTACGCATGTAGCGGGGGGTTGGTTGGATTATTTAGTAAAGTAAATTCATTTTTCACACGAGTCAAGATTCGAGATTGACGTTTGACTCTTGGTGAGCCTGGCCTTCTTGAAAAAAAAATCGACTTGACAATTGATGCTAATAAAATGGCTGAGAGTAAAAAGTATTCATTGGAACGTGAATCTTCTTCTTCTCTTGAAGCAATTGATTGACGATCGACCGCTCGCACCCTCCCGCAGCGAGTGGAACAATGTAAATTGCTTGATTACTAGAGAGTGAGTTTTCAATCTTTTAATCAATGCCGATCTGTCAATTTGATTAGGTTCATATTGGTATTTGAAATTCAATAGGGTGCACCGGGGATGAATTAGAGATAAGAAAGAATGTGGAATTTGTGATTGGGTGGCTAAGTCATCTTATCATGTCCCACTTATTTTCGTTAATCCTTTATAAATGTTTGCTTTATTCGAGCCAGGATAGATTTTGTGGTGGCTCAGGCTTGATCTTTGAAAAATAAGTGACGACGACATTTATAAAGAATTTACAAAGAATGGTATCTTTTCTTTCTATAAAAATCTATCAAGTTGAGGAAATGCTGGTCTTGTTAGATATTTACACATGTGTAGTAATGATTATACGAATTAACTGACTAGTACAAAACGATTCACCACCACTTTCTCTCTGTAAATCAATCAATCATTCCCATTATAATCTAAATTTTAATCATTAGTTGGTACGTGATTTGTGAGTGTGTGTACATTTTTAAAATTGAAAATTTTTACAACTTTTCGAAAAATTGGAACAATTACAACTCCATTTATTATAAATTAAATGAGCAGTAGGCCAGGCCACTCGTGAGTATATTGAAACTTTGTATCTTATTTTCTTTTCTTTTATTAAAAATTACTTGTTATGTTGCAAAATTTTTTAATTTATTGCAAATTGTAGGTTTCGTTTACCTCTTAGGAAAACATGATATGCATTTATTGATGCATCTCTGCTAATAAGTGAGTAACTGTTGCTTCGTATTTTTTGATTGAAGTCGTGGCCGTTGTCGTGACTTTGTGTCGTCGTCGTCGGTTTTTGGAGTCGTGAGATATGCAATCCAATATCCAAATATTCATATTTAAGCAGTGGCCGCGGAAGGGTGGGGACCGAGGGACAATGTCCCCACGGTTATTCGATGTCCCCATCATCTCCCCATGTTATATAGACGCCTCCCTCCCCCATCCTACAATGTTAATGTCCCCACATGTCCCCACGGCTTCCGCGGCCACTGTATTTAATGGCAACAAAATGCATGAGTAAATAAACTGTAGGAATATTTCCTAAATAAACTTGATTTCGAATTCGGGATGGTGGCTGAGTGATAATTCTTCTTATTGCAAAAATATTATTGCAAATTTGTAAATTATAAGGTGTGAGTAGATATTCCTACTCCTATACAACACGTAAAGCTATGAATGAAGTCATCTTTTGAAAGTTGCGAAACACGAAAAATATATAAATTCTTGTTTTTAAATTTGATTAATGTTGTTTGCTTAATGATTTCGGTTATGCTCGTGTCAACATTTTGCAAAACTTGTGTTTTAAAAAGTTACCTTGCCAAAGTCTTAACAATGACACATACACGAGTTGCCTGTCTTACTTGTGTCTTTGTGTATAATATGGAGTGAAAAATTGAGGGTTGTTGAAATGATAATGTTTATGCTGTGACGACGATGATGATGACCATTTATTTTAACCACAACGACCGCTTATGTGATGCACCTTGCATAATGATGAGTAGGCCAAAGTCCTCGTAACCCAGTCAGAGTCAGTCAGTCGCATTTGCTTATAATACAAAGTCCTAATTTGTTAATTACAAATTTTTATCCTTGACTAACAGTTTTTGGATTGGATTATCAAGCAATGGATGACATCGGTTGGTGTCTTGTCAACACAACACTTGTTGCTTGCTACCAAGTAAATAAATCTGCACCCATGCAAGCAATCATTACTTGATTGACCCAGAGGAAATATTTGCGAATACACATTTAACACAATTAAGGGAGTGGTGACCTGCTTTTCATTTCGTTTAGCAATTTGTCCAGCAATTAAATATTTGGTGTGAATAAGACAAGTTGTTGATATTGGAGAGATAAATTGTGGTGGTGGTAATTTTGGTCTTGGTCAATGTCGTTGATTGGTTGACTTATAAATTCTTTTCAAGATTTGATTGAGGTATGGATTGCATTTAATTTTGGATTGATTGGACAGTTGGTCGAGAAAATATAAAGCGTTAGTCATGAAATTTTATCCTAAGACAAAAATGGACTTGAGTGAGTTGTGAGTATGTACTTTTAATAATAGTGGCGTGGTTGGAGACCTTTATAGATTTGCGGCCTAATGAGGGCTAATCGATGTTGATGATGCGGAAGATTACATTGACAGAAAAATGAACAGTTTTGCAATGCTGATTAAGCGAAACATTGCATTTATTATGCAGCTGTAGTAAACTGATTTGTATTTTGTTGAGGACATATTTTATATTGGCTGCAATAAATAGCTTGCAGTTGCAACAGCCGAACAGAATTCTATCATCTATCTATTTCGTAACCAGAATGAATGAATTACTGTGCAGTTGCAGCTGCAGCGAGGCCTTTGAGAATATCACAATGCTTGTTCGTATAATCTGTGTTTACAATTTCGCATAGGAATTCGAATTTGCATTGCGACACGTCTCCGGTGGATGGACAGTCAGTGTCAAACTCTTCTTTTCCAGAGTCCTTGTACCAGTACCTGTGATTTGTGTGTATTTATCATAGATTTGCATCTAATATTTACTCAGAATCTTGTTATTGGCATGTCATTGTTGTATTATATTTACCTGTAATAAGTGCGGAATAATGCATCATCCACTGCCATCCGTTTAACAAATTCCCACAAATTGGCAGGTGTAAATCCTTCAACAGCGTACGCTTCCTTTGCAGAGTATTCTTTGTAAAAGGCTGGAAGGACAGAGGACCCAGCTTCGTTTGCAGCAGCCAAATCGTAGACATAAGTTTCATGATCGGTAATTTGCCAGGTTGCATTTTCTCGGACACCGTCAGCATAAAATACTTTGTATCCAGGATTCAAGTCTAAACGAAGTAACATTTTCATCAAATTATTTGAATTAAAATGACTACAACTACGAGTATATACGTATGCACATACCAGTGTAAGGTGTGACACTGGCCCCAATCCATAGAGATCCTGTTGGTTGAGGTGGGTCCCTCGAGTCATCGAAAAAGATTTTGAATTCGTCATTATGCGTGTGTCCGTAAAATTGGGCCAGAATTATGTTTTGATATCGGTTGATAACTCGGAGGAATTGGGAACTCCATTTACTCCAGCAATCCTTGCCGCCTGGAGGAACATGTCCTACAATCCAAACTTTTTCGTTTGACCGTTCAGCAGCATACATTGTGTTTGAGAACCACTGCAAGTGTTCTTCAGGATCAGCAGCGTTCCAAAGAATCCAAAAATTGTTGGTGTAACAAAAGTTTGTATTTAAGGTCACAATTCGGAAACCTGAAAACAAATAATTTTCATGAAAATTGCGCATAATTTTGTCTACGCATTTTTTCAATCAACCTGGTTTGTGTATCTGTGTGTAATATCCTCCTCGGCGAAAAGTAGCTAATGCCGCCGCAGTAAGCTGAGTTTGGTACAAATCGCCATGAAAGTTGTACATCCAAGCGAGGTCATAGTCAGCCCAAACGTCTGAAGGTGGGAACATGTTACATGGATGTGGCTCATGATTTCCGAGAGCTGGATAAATCTGCGTGTTGGGGAAAGCTTCCATTAATGCGTTGATGAAAGCCACGTAATGGGACATGTTGTCTTCAACGGTTGTATTCCAGATTTGATGATGAACTAAATCTCCTGTCATGAGCACAAAGTCGGCATCCGGATGTGTTGTGGCAGCCTCAATGAACACGTTCCGAGTACTTGTCATGGGAAAATCGCAGAGAAAGTCGCCCCAGGGTCCTGCAGCGATGGAACTGTTGGTGGGATCATCACGAGGGTCAGGTCGGCAGCATAAAGGTTTACCACAATCATTTAGTGATCCTTCTACGTAATGAAGATCTGGATGGATATCGGTGAGTTGGATAACTTTGACGGTTGGGACAGCCTATATATTTGGACAACAATATACATAAGTTGCATTGCGCTGATACTGCGTATCTTATCATATGAACTCACCGGGACAAGTGGATGCTCAATCACTGGAGGCCTCATCTCATAATCCAAGTCGATGACCCAATCTTGAAATATAAATATGAAATGAATGTTAAGTATGTATAGTAATGATGATGCAACAGGTCTTAAATTCTAAATAAGTCTTAAATTTATACCCGTCATAGTATGGTTCATGTTAAAACATCCCGGAAGTAAATCTCCTCCTAGAACAATTCCACATGCATCAAATACGGTGATCCAACTGTGGCGAGTAACCATGTAGTACAATGGATCCTAGGTAATCATTCAGATTAAATCGCGTTATTAAAAATATACATGCATAGACGAGGCTTCTCGCTAACCGCATAGATGGGGACGACCATATCACAAATATCTTCCGTAACAATATTCAAGGATTTGCAGAGTTCGATGGTTTTGGTGGTAACTTGCTCTAGCGGCTCTCCATTTCGAATCCAGCCGATTATAACTGACAGAGCAGTTTCACATAGGGCGCATGTGATGGGATTTCGCGTTTGTCCTCGTCGACCATAAAATCCTTGGAGGAACCAGTCTTGAAATTCGAATCTTTGAAAGAATAAATGTGATTTTTTATGGGTAAAAAATTATAATTTGGCAAAGAACTGGATGACACGTACCTGTGCTCGTATAATTCTTGATACCGTGGGTCACTCCAGTCTAGTTCAAACCCTTGCGATACCGTTGTTGTCCCTAAAATCAGGGTAATAACGCTCAAACAAGCCAACCCTAATTTCATTATGGTGCTGTTTTCCTGACCCCGAATAATCAAGGACTAAATGCATGCCCAGTTAATCTCCGCTATTTATGAAAGGTGCGCAAATCCCCGATTAATTAAATTTTGACTTGACCCATGCCCACTTTTCAGATAATAATAATTGATCTTATCGGACCGCATTGTTGCATTGAAGTATCGCGTGCAAATACGCTGGCTAACTAAAAATGTCAATTGTGGTTACATAATAGCTATAATTTCGCAATTTTAACGGATTATCAGAGAATTTTTGTTCGCAAAACGGTTTTGCAATCAACAGGCAAGATTATTTTATTATTGTCATTGAGTAAACTGTAGATGATAAACAGGATTAAACTAGGGGATTAAAGCTTTAATTTTAAAGAAGTCCATGTAATTCTACGTGGCACTGCTTACAGATTTTTTAACTTTTCTCTTTTGTTGAGACAACCAAGAAAGTTGTGGCGAGATCCCAACATTGTAACATGCTTTGTCCCACGTTGGTTGCCCAATTTCAGTCGCCTTTTCAGCTCCCAATTGTAACACACTGAGTAAATATCCTCTGTCCTCCATTAGGTCAAGGAGTCGTTCCCTTATTGGCTTCAAATATTCGACCAATGCTTCCGCCACGACTAGTTTGTACTTCCCCGTGTCCAACCCTCGAGCTTGAGCTTGAGAACAAATTTCCTCTGGACTTTCTCCAGTACACAACGAATGGATTGTAATTAGATTTGCAACCCCAGGTCTTTTCTCTGGATCGAATGTGACTTCAGATGTAAAATCGGTCACAGCTTTCTTCACTTTACTAACTATTTCATCAGGGGATTCCATAAGACTGATCCTGCTTCTTGCATCCGGTTCCGATTTTGACATTTTATTTTCAGGCTTTCTCAGACTTCTTAACCGACTCCACATTCCGGCTGTATGCATAAAAATACAAAACTAAGTAAATACTTGGAAAATATAATTGCATTCTTCAACTCACTTTCCATAATAGCTTTCGGCATTGTAAACGTATCTCCGTAGATTCGGTTGAAGCGATGTGCTGTATGCTGTGCAAGTTGAACATGTTGGAAATTATCTTCACCAATTGGAATATGAGTTGACCTACGATAAAGTCGCATTAAATTTATGGGTAATATATCAATTTTGCTTTTTATATAAGACACTCACTTGTACAACAAAATATCTGCAGACTGCAACACCGGATACGTGAAAAGACCTAGTGGGACTTCTGCCAGAGTTTTGCTCTTTTCCTTGAATTGTGGCAACTGACCTAACCTCGGCATCGTTGTCGTACATCCCAATACCCAAGATAGTTGAGAATGTAGTGCTACCTGAATTAATGCATCAGTCCTAATAAGTCTATTGTGCCATGTATTATTAAAATTCAATTTCAAATAACTTACATGAGACTGTAAAAACAGAATGCTTTTGTTCGGATCGATCCCACACGCCAGGAGTGTTGCTACACATTCGAAGGTGGACTTCTCCAGAGAGTCACGTTCCTAAGAACATCAACATTTTAATAATATTTACGTTACGCAATATGAACAATTCACGTCATACCTGCGGCATCGTGATAGCATGGAGGTCCACCACGCTATAAATGCACTCGCCATACTTTCCCTCAACCTTTTCTTCTTGAAATTTAACCCATTGCTTAATAGCTGCGTGAAATAAGAAACATAACAATATAGCAAATGTGGTAATGCAGACGAAGTAGTTTATTAATTTACCTCCAAAGTAATTCCCCAAATGGATTTGCCCAGTGGGTTGAATTCCAGAAAAGATTCTCTTATCTTCCGGTCTCACTTCTTTGATATCTCCAATCTTTTCCTCTCCAGCTCCAACTCCATCATATGATGAAGAATAATTTCTCTGAAAAGGGTGAGAAACTGTGGACACGACTGGATTATTCAGATTCAAGAAATTATAATTGCAAATACTTTGCGTTGTTTTGCAAGAAAATAGATCCAAATTGATAAGATGTCGAGATCTTCGTATCATTTCGTTTCTGTGCTCTGACGTGAGATCGACGTACGTACGTAGTAGCATTCGTTCGACAATAACTGGATAATTTAGAGTCTTTAACGTTGGGGAATAATTTGTCGAAATTTGGACGTATTTTTCTTTCAGCACATTGCCAATCTCAGCCGAAAGTGCACTCCCGCTTTTGTGCAACTTGAGCGATGTTACTCACTTTTTGAGAGAGATCAAATATATTTTTGTAAAAGTTTTATTTACTTTCGTTCAAAATGCGAATTTACGGAAATTTATTAAAAAAGTTATTCTATACTTATCAAAATAATAATTTAGCACGAGTTTCAAGTGCGATAAGTGGTGGTTATCATATAAATAGAAGATTATTAGTGACAACGCCGGTGGCAAAGACTGATGTTGAAATGTGAGTATGAATTACATCAAATCGTAATTTACGATTCGTTATATCGTTATCAATTATATTTGGACTAATTTCGTTAAAACCCGTTGTGGAGATAATTGTTAATCATGGTATAATTTATTTACTTAGGGTGGATATAACCTTCGTGAGGTCGGATGGTTCAAAAATTGCGACGAAAGGAAAAATAGGAGATAATTTGTTGGACGTTGTCGTAAATAATAACGTGGACCTGGATGGATTTGGTAATTAATTTGGAGTTATGCATAAGCATTTCAAGTTAAAAAGGTGGATATCCATTGAACTATACTATTAGGTGCTTGCGAAGGAACTTTGGCGTGCTCAACGTGTCATGTTATCTTTAAGCAGAAGGATTTTGACATCATCAAGGAAAAATTGACAGATGAAGAACTGGATATGCTGGATATGGCATTTGGACTTTGTGATACGTACGTAAACGCGCACAGTAACCTTAACCTTTAATAGTTTAGTAGATGACTAAGTGATGAATGATGAATATATGAATTTCAATTCAGGTCCAGGCTAGGATGTCAGGTGTGCTTGACGAAAGAATTGGCTGGAGTGGAAGTTAAAGTACCTGAAGGGGTCAATGACGCTAGGAGCAGCTAATAAGAAAGATATTTTAAATCTAGAAATTGTGTGACAAGTATAAAGTGCCATAGAATTGCCGTTGAGTAAAGGAATTAAGACTTCAAACGAATCTTTTGACACTAATCGGATATAAGGTCGAGATTTTATATTTTTATCTTGTGTTTTAGCTTGACAATCTCATATCTTTAGCCGAAATAAATTACGATCTTATAAATCTAAAAATACCTTTATAAAAGCTGATATATATAATTATGTAAGTAGCTGTAATATCTAGATTACTAAGGTTTGCCTCCTTCTGAGGACAAATTGTAGTCAACTTGCGATTTGGAATTTGTCTTTACCTTTGACTTTGATTTATTAGCCAGTTGACTTTGAGCCTGTGACGATCTCACGTTCACTCCTGACGAAGGTTCTCGAGAATGGCCACCACTTCCGGTCGTAGAGGACCTTCGTCTCTGGCCTTGAGGACCGATATTCGTATTTGTAGACCCTCGTCCGGTTGCTGCTGCTGCTGCAGTTCCGCCAATCTTTTTGTTCCTTGAATGTGTTATATGATGAGTAGTCTTTTTAGACTCGCGATGATGTGCTGGTGGGGTTGTTGGGTCAGCGTCACTGTCAACAGGGTTATTGGCAGTTTCCGGTTCTGCTCCTGCAGTGGACAAATCCAACTCTGCTAGCGTAGCTACGACAGCACTTTTCCGTTCTGGGGTCGTGAGAATGTCTTCCGTATCGGTGGGTGGTCCTGCAGTGGTTATTGGTAGCTCAGATTCAGCCGTTTCCGGGACACCAGCTTGACCCTCTTTCTGCACACTGGGCACGGACTGTCTGAGTTTATCACGTAATGCGTTTTCACGTTCGGTATTGTCAAAGCGTTTCCGTCCCATGGCTGGAGTCTCGTGGAGTAGAGCGTCCCGATAAATGTCGAACGGTTTTTGTCGGCCGAGGCGTCGTACATAATAATCATGAGGGATGCAGGTTGGTATCCGGGGAAAACTCGGGTCTCCGAATCCCTTCTCGATTTGTAATTTTCGAATCTCTTCGAGTACTTTTCCTTTCTTTAAGCCAAACTGAGGAGAGATTTTAATTTGTATTTAACTTAATTTTTGTCTGAACTAAACAATTATTGAGTTGTTACCCTCATCGCCCATTTATATGACTGTTCAGCCAACGCTTGGCGATCACATGCTAAATTAATAAGAGCCAAATGCGCCCAAGTTATAGGATTGGTGTTGTCCAAACGGTTCGCCTCGGCAAATGCGGCTTCGGCCTCGTCATAATTTCCCATCTACACATTAAACAATAATTGAGAATCTTAAGTAATTTTTTGTTTTCAGTAAATTTATTGGCCTTACTGTGTAGCACGTATTTCCAATTGCTAGCCACAAGTATGGCGTTGGATATTTTTGAATCCCATAGAGGAAGACTCTCTTCGCAGTATCGTAGTTGTTGCTGTCCAAAGCCAAGGAGCCAAATCTGAGGTAGAGCAGGTGACGATTTTCTTTTCCAACTGGCATACGTAGTGCAGTCTCGTAATTGGTGAGAGCATCTGTAATCTCTTGAAGTTCATAAAAACAGTGACCTCGTAGAATCCAGAGAACAGGGTTCTAATACATGCACACATTTATGTATTTTTGCACCACGCAACAATGCTTAAGACTGATAACAAGAAAGTAACCTCAGGATCCAAGGCAAGAGCTTCGTCAATTACGGGAATTGCTTCTCGTTGACATCTTCGCAGGTAGAATGACATGGCTCGAAGGTACAAGAACTGGATAGACCGTTTTCCTGTTATGTACAATTCTCGGGTCAAAACTCCATCCAACATCTAGTTCAAAAACATGCACATAATTTTCCATTTCAGAACGTCGCCTATTTTTACGTGAGTATACATAATTAGATCTCACATCAAACATTCTCAACTGGAGGAGCAATTGTCCAGCCCAAATCAATTCAGATCCTAAACGGTTCACGAAAACTGGAGGCGAGTCACCACTTCCTCCCACACCGTCCTCCACAACTGACTGCGATGGTGGCAATATCCCGTCCTGCTTCTGAGCAAGGAATAATTCGTTGACTACTATATCTTGACCATCCTTCTTGTTGTTGTCGACATGTTTTATCTCCAAAATTTCATATTCTGACTTTTTCCCCATGGTGGTTGTAGTAGATGACGACTTGTGGCGTAGTTCACTTTTGGATGCTTGCGAACCAACAATGTCATTCTCAGAACCATGAAGCTTTTTCTTGGACCCATTAGAAGTCAATTTTGTCGACGAGGGTGTCGATTCCATATTGTCTTTGACAAGTTGGTCATATTCGGCCTTGATCACGTTTAAGGGTGCAACTCCAGCAACACTTTCTTCTTCTTCGTCAACTAAATCCTCAGCCAGATCGGCCTTGTCCTTATCATCTGCACCACTCTGGGAAATTAGGTCCCTCAATCTGTTCGAATATTCGGTCACATTCCACGGGACAAAAATTGAGGGTCGGAGAGGAGGAAGAATCGAGTCATCAACAATAAGGTCGGACAGGTCGGGGATAAAATCAAACTTTGGTTGTTTTGGGTGTGGCAGAGGTTCAGCTTTTGGGGGCTCTTCCCTCGAAAGTGAAACTTTCCGGGTGTAAAATTCTTCCTCAACTTTCGCCACTTCAATAATTCCTGGTTCGTCAACTTGCTCCACAATTTCCGGTATGATAACTTCTGGGATAGTTGAATTTTTTGTGGCTTTCTCCAAGATGGATTTCTTTTGCATATCTGAAGACCTCCTCTTCTCTGATGTTCTGGCGGAGGGTGGATCAATAACGATTTCAAAATCGCCAGCGTCCGTTGGTGCAATGGACATTCTGGGAAGTAGTGATTTCTTCTTGGATGGAGCAATGGATTTCCTCTCGTTAGCGATGGGAGGCGAGTTGGGGTCACGGATAGAAAATCTGGCACTTGGGCGAACAGGAATAGGAACAGGTTCGGGTTCTGGTTGGTACAATTCCTCTTGTACTTCAATCTCTTCCAATTCTTGTTTTTTGGGTGGGTACAACATTTCCGCTCGCAATATATCCGTTACAGATTCGACTAACCCCACAGATTTAGACAATTTCGTGAGCAGCTCGTCCAACCCTTGAGTCGATTGTCCGGTCAACGTGCGATGCAGGTAAGCAGCCTTTCTGAAAAAGTAGTCACTGTCTTCCTCCGCGCCAATGGCAATGTGTGCCAATGCAAGAATCACGAGAAGTTCGGGACTCAAAGGTTTCATTTCAAGGGCAGCAGCAAGGACGGCAACTCCTCTGCAAAAATAATTTCCCAATTAATTTCACTACATCAAAGCCCCATGCATACAAATAAAGCGGACGTGTCTACCTTGTGTCCTTGTGCCGAGCCGCAATAATTCCCCCAATGACGAGAGCAAATATTGATGTCGGATCCCGTCGCAAGGCTTCTCTCACCGCAATCTCCGCCATCCTATCGTCCCCTCGAGTCAGCCACATCAGAGCAAAGTCTAACCAACAATTCGAATCTTCCCGACTTCGACAGATCCTTGAGAGGTGAATTTTGTGGCAGTTGTCGAAATCTCCTTGAACAAAGGATTCCTCCGCGTAGAAAAGGAGTTGACGAAGAAGCGTCTAAATTACATAGATGTGAGACTCTTGCGTTATTGATTTTAACACATAAATGTTGTAAATAGCATACTTTTGTGCCCAATTCCTTCTGCGAGGAAGGTGGTTCTGCTGATGGGTTGCAGGTTAGCTTGGGTGGAGCAGGTTCAAGTGGGTCGCCTTCTTGAAGTTGTGTCCTGTTCAGGGTCTCATGCACTTCGTCGATGAGGTAATTGTACATGTCGTGCAGAAGGGTCTGCAAATATTTAGGGATGAATTTAGGAATTATGTATGCACCTTTTTTGGCCTTTTTTTGACGAAATCCAACTCGCCTGAAAATCCCGATGCGATTGAAAACCGGAAGGTCTTAGATTGAGGCATCTTTGCTGCACAATGTGAGACACTGCTCGACGCAAATGCTCCCTCAGAACCAAATATCGTCCGCTGGCATTCAGGTAAAATACAAATCTTTGTTTCAGCGATTGATTCGAAGAAGGTGGAGGAAGTGGGGTGGGTTGACCTCGCTCAGCCTTGTTCTTATTTACAATGTCTTTCCAATAGTGTTCCTAAATGCCACGCAATAAATAAAGTAAAAACGTGTGCAAACGATGCGTTAGTAGTAAAGTTTCTACCGAGAACTCTGCAGATATTTCTGCCGCCGCTTCCAGTACTGCCCGACGAAATTTTTGTTGCGCAATTCCGCTGTGGATGAGTCGTCGCCGGGGTATTTCCCTGGGAGGGATGAAATCTTCGATTGGATTGGTAAAACTGTCCATGGTCAAGCAGTGTCTACCTCGAAGTCAGTTGCAATAGATGGACAATTTTTCTTAACAAATCGCTAGTGAATTTTAGGGCAAGATTATTTGACACTTTATCAGTCTATAAGGTTACGACAAATGGCCGAGTTACAAAATAAATTTACATTTTTATTAGCCCGAGGCAGGGCTTATGGAAACGTCATGTCCGTCCGTCCGTCTGTCTTTCGATAACTCTTTAACGAGTTAAATTTTTACCATGTGTGTACATATTGGACAAGTTAGGAAACGAGTTCGAAGACGGACGAAATCGGTCAAGTGGTTGACCGGTGAGGGTCATGTGAGTAGGTGGGGTAAAATTTCGAAATTTCAAACTTGTCGTAGAAAACCGAAATTTGGTACAGAGGTAGCTAATGACTTCTAATAGAAAAAAATGAATTTAAGTTGGAAAAATTTTCATCTTGAGGGACCCTATAGAGTGACCCATACTGGTTTTTCAAAATGGTCATATCGGGCTGAAATTTGGTAGACATGTTGCTTTTGCTTATTTGTCCTAATGGAAGAATATGAAATGACATTGGTAGAATTTTTATCTTGAGGGACCCTATGAGGTGACCCACGCCGACTAGAAATTGCTTTAAAAACATGAAATCCGGCACGGTGATGCTTTATGGCTTCTCATTAAAGAATATGAAGTTATATAGAATACCAAATAATAGAAAATATCTAATAAACATTTAACCATCCGCACCACAGAGGTTGGTAATATTATTATGTCGGTGAATTCGAAGAAAATAGAAGTGAGCTCGGACTCACCGAGTCAGGGACAGAATCCCTGACTCGGACCAATGGAGTCTGCACCAGCCTTCACTCTCTGCTCGGACTTCTCAACCTGCTGGTCCGATCAGAGGTTCAGCAGTCCGGGCAGAGAGTGAACACTGGTCTGCACTGCAGATTTCAAAAAATAAAAGTTGCTAAAATATATGTAATACATGGGTTATATTACAATGGGAAATCTAATTTTTAGGCCTTTTCAGATGGGCTTATATATTTTTCAAGATGCCTGTCTGTGTGCACGATAACTCTCTTTAAGCACAAGATAGCGCCCGAAATTTTGCGAAGTTCATCTTCGGGTCAAAAGTAAGGATGAGTTCAAAGATGGGCATGATCGGTTAGGTCGGTGGGGGTCTTTTAAGTGGTTAGGGACTGAAAAAATTTCAAATGTCATAGAAAAGTCCCAAATTTGTCGTAGGAAATTGAAATTTTGACAACGGGTGAGACCGTAGGGACTAATCCATACAGATTTTTCAAAAATATGCCACTCCACCAGTCAATGGTCGTTTTGACCGACAACCGCAACGCCTGACTCGGGCTAAATAAAGGCTGCACATTGGAAATTTCAAGTTTACTATTAGACATAATACCCTCGAGATTTTTAGCTTAAAAAATCAATCAAAAAATTACGATGATTTCATCTTTCAGAATTAAATCTCTATGTTTGCCCATTCAAAAGTTATTAAAGGTCAAAGTAGTTGGTGTCTGTGCGATGGACTTCAGACACCAATGATTTTAAAAATAATTATTTTATTTGCAACTCGACCATTTGTCGCAACCGTTAAGGGAGACGCGTTACCTAGATACTTAAGGTCAAGCAATCGTGATTTTAGGGGCACAATTTTTGTAACTGTTAGATACTCAAGTCAAGCGATTGTGATTTCTCAGATTTCTGAGTAACTCAAGTAAACTGCGATTTTATGCGGCTTTATTTTTCGTTCTGAACACGATTTACAAAATGCACAACTCTGGCGAATTATGTACATATAGTATACAACTGAGATAGAAAGTATTGCTTATACAACCAATAATCATTAAATTTTAAAATTAAATATTACAACAATAAATAAATCAAAAATAAATTGCACATATACTTATTACAAATTTGGATTTATTTACATATACTTAGATGATTAAAACCACTTAAAAATGCTTGCATCTTTACTAGAATCGTCCATGTTGCTGAAAGATCGATCCATCTTGACAAATTTCTTAGGTTGCGTTCCCTGACTGTGTGCTGGACGCTTGGCAGCCTGCAACAAATGTTTGATTATTTGAAAATTCATAAATACGGACAATGGAAAAGCACAATCACCTTATTGTTCTGTTTTGAAGCCTGATCCGGAGGGGTTATAACGGAAAAGACGAAATTTCTAGAGTTATTTTTGACATTACTTGTTACATCGTTAGCTTTAGGAACATTTAATTTCGTAATTTCAGCGAGACGTGTCAACGATGGAGAACCTCGGGACAAGAAGGAGCCTCGTTTCATCTAATAATAATTCATAGCAAATTAGTAATATATGTACAAGCTCCATTATTTCTTGACATACTTGTTTATGTAGTTGTTGAAATGAAAGTGATAAAATTATAGAAATTATTCTTACCTTGGAGCACGGATCATCTGGTGAAGCAAACAGGGGCTGCGACTTTGACGACAATTTTACCGAGTCTTCTTCATCTTTAGATATGTCATTGTTAGGGAGTTTTGATGCAGAGAGAAAACTATTCGGGTTTCCAGTAATTTTCGATTTAATCAAGGCAGAAAAAGATGAATCTTGCTGAACGCTGTTACTTGACTCGTTCATCATCATGAAACTTGATGAAGAATTTTCTACAAAACTTTCAATTTTCTTTTTTGTAGTGCGGCCCAATTTTAAGAATTTGCTGTTTTCAAACATGCTTCTCTGAGATTCTTCTTCTGTGGCTTCTAGCATCTGAGAGTTTTCATTTATCCATTTTCGACGTTCTATTTCTGCAATTCTTTGCTTCGCGTCTTCTTCTGTTTCCTCCTCTCCAACGCCATCACCATCGAAATCTCCCATCATGGCGTGGTCATCGCCCCAAGCGTCTAAAAAATAAATTAATTCAGCTTTATGACAATTCATAAAATGTCGAGTCATGAATTGATGGTTGATTAGGGTTATTAACGCTTGCATACCATCGACATCAGTCCATCTGAATTTTCTCTCTCGTTGCTTTCCATCTTCCAAATCCCCCTTCTCTAAAAATTCGTACTGTAAATCTCGAATCTCCATGTCATCCTTGTCCAGCAAGTGTTTCAAATGAGCTCTCTCAATTTCAGTCCGTACTGCATCTTCATCCAACTCCTCTTCGTCTCCATCTTCTTGTTCGTAAAAATTCAACCCTTGCTCGTCCTCGTCCCCCGAACCATCGTCACTCCCAGACAGTTCAGCCTCATGCTCGACAAACTTTTTCCTTAATAGTCCATTTGCACCAAAGAGACCTTTGGGCTTTGCTTTTTGCTGTTCTTTTTGACGAATTAGTTGTCTTTCAAATTCTGCTTCCTCGTCGTCGTCCTCATCATCATAGTTAGGTATTTCGTCAGGTACGTCGTTAGTCTCGTTTTCGTCATGTGACGACATAGCAGAGGTTTCGATTTCGTTCTTATCGTCGTTTTCTTCTTCATCGTCTGAAAAGTGGAGGCGTTTTGGTTTGATTTTTTTGGGTTGTTGTACAATGTCGTCGTTATCTGAGGCATTGTCTATATCTTCTTCAAATATGCTATTATGATTTCGTTTGGGTGTTTCATCACTTTTCTTCTCAGTGGCAGATTTAGATTTATTTAAATCAATCTCTCCTTCTTCGGTATCATCTACAATTGGGGCTGAAATGATAGAAGTATCATTATTGATATTAGAAGCTCCTGTCCCAGGTGTGGTTGCATATGAGGTAAGGGACATGTTCCCCAATTCTTCGTCATCGTCCTCATCAAATCCAAAGCAATCTTGAGCTTGACTCTCGAACGGGGTGAGTGGTACTTCTTGACTAGGAAATTTGCCCGAGCAGAGATTGGACAAGTCGAGATCTTTGGCATCAATTTCATGGCCCGTCTTTGACAAAAGTTGGGCAATTTGATCCACGGGTTGAGATTGTGAGACCAAGTCGGACACTACTGTTTTCGGAATCTGTGAAATAAACTAAATTATAGCTAACTGCACAAAACATGTGTAATCGAAAAAATAGTATACATACGTAACTGTACTCACTTGCGATTTAAAATCAGTTGTATCTTCACTATTTTCTACTTTTGAGCTCTGTGACTGAGAATTTTCAGCATCTTCCAATTCCCCATCACCTTCATCTTCCCCATCAATATCATCGTCGTCGTCGTCACTGGAGGACATCTGGTCACCATCTTCATCCTCGGCTTCATCATCAACGTACAACAACCTCTTTCGTTTCTTCTTTGTTCCAGACACAACTTCTACATCTTCTTCTTCTTCCTCCTCCTCTTCCTCGTCAAACTCTTCGTCATCTTCTTCATCCTCTTCAGAAGACACACCACCTTCGCCCTCTTCGTCATCAAGGATGATCTCATCATCGGGAAGATCATCCTTGAACTCCAACTCGTCATTGTACATGGAGTGCAGCTTAATTCTCTCTTCATACTCTTTCGCCTTTTTGGCACGAATGCTGTCTTTGAGAGCTTTCTTGAGACGAAACATTTTCTCACCAGGCACTTGTTCACGAGGGGAGGATCCAGTAGTTCGGGTTATTTTGGTAATAATGTCGAGGTCGTCGTCCGCAGGTGTAGAAACATAGTCAATATCGTCTACAACGGAGTGAAGCATTCCTTGAGAATCCTTCTCAATTTTATTGACACTGAAATAAATCGAAATACTTAATTTGCATTCAAATAATTAGTAAAAAATTTAATTATTTCAATAAATAACTCACTGAAGCTTATAATGTTGTGGTTTGGAATCTTCCACATTTGCAGACGCACCAGCACATGCATGTTTGGCAAAACGACTTATCAAAGTATCCATCGCTTTTGCATTCTTGTTCGGTTTGTTCTTATCCATGTCATCCCTGAGATCAATTATCTCGTTTGGGTTGACCCTGAATCCCTTTCGAACTCCGCCAATGACTGGTTTCATTTGTGCAATCTTGTCATAACCGGGCATCCTCATTATCATTTCTTTTATTGTTAGCTTCTTCGGTTTGGGTTTGTTCTCGGAAAGGAATGCGTTTAAGGCAGCCTCGTCCTGGACAAATGTGGACGTGGGATCTTCTAAAGTGGTGGTGATATTAGGGGTTGGATCGTCTTCTTGGTTCTTGATTGGTGAAGAGGGGATGACAACAGTTTGGTTTTCCGGTTCGACAATGACGAGAGGCTCGTCAAAGGTTGAAGGATTATCATTATCTTTAGTCTTCTTATCCGTATTAATAGCGTCATCCTGCGCAAATGTTATTACTGGTTCTTCTACTAATTGTTTAACTTCATCCGTGATGATATCATCATTGTCAATTTTGGATGGAATTTGTTTTGCACCATTATCAACGTCGTCTTTCTCTTCTGTGACAATAGCTGCACTGCCCAAATCTACCCCCTCTTCTTCCTGGTGATAATCTTCCGACAGGATTACTTGTTTCTCCTCATCGTTCACTTCCATCTCCATCTCGACGCTATCCCCCAATGGAGACATTGGCAGTGTCTCCAGTACTACTACAGGTTCAACCTTCTCCAGCATATCTGCCAACTCCTTGTTCCTTCTGATTTCCTCGTCGTCTTTCTCGACCTCTGCCAGAATGGGGAGAACATCTTCCTCCATACTTATCCCATTCCGAGCCCCACACCCTAAATTTTCCCCAGATTGAACTAAACTCTCCAAAAGTGGGGCTCTCGCTCGGTTCCTCCTTTTCAAAAACTCGTCCAGCGTCAACTGCTTGGGTTTGTGATAGGGAAGTTCAATTCTGGATTCTCGAACCATTTTCTGCGTCTTGGACGCCAACTCTTTCATCATAGTTTCTCTCGCCTTCTCACTAGCTTTTCGCTTAGGAAGTGGTTCTTTCCTCTTCTTCTTGGCTTTACCAGTCTTTTTGTTATTCTGGTCATTCTCGTTGTCGTCATTTTCACGGTGGTGGTCAGAGTCTGAGGAATTTCCTCCATGATAGCTATGCAAACTACGTACTTCTTCTTCAGAATCGTCCCCATAAATGTCAGGGTCAAGCGTTTTGAGAGAAAATGCAGACCGTTCTTGCGACTGAATTGGAGACGATGGAGTTGGTGACGACACTTGCCTTCTACTTTTAGATGAAGATATTCTGCCATACGTCGTGGGAGGAATATCGAGAAGCTGTTCGTCATCAGCAGAATCATCAACATTTGACGGTGGGGATGGAGACCATGGACTTGGGGACCGAGACTTTTCTGGAGATTTGTGCCGAGAATTTGAGTCTTCATCATCGCTGGTGATAAACCTTGTCTTCTTCTTTGAACGGAAAGATAGATTCATGTCGTCGTCATCGTCATCACTCTTTTCTTCTGCAATGACCATGTTTTCGTTGTCACTCTCGTCAGTCCTCAGGCCTTGGTTATCTTCTCCTGCTGGTGGTAGTGGACTTGGGCTTTTCGTAAGCCTAATATCCTCCACCTCAACTTCCGGTTCCGGTGCATCTTGAAAATTGGAAATACTTTCCATTTCGCTCAGTATTGACAGCTCCATTTTAATTCAATGTGAAATTATCAGTCTGTAAATGCAATTCATCAATTAATATTATTATTCATTTAGAGAAACAAGCATACATAAACATAAATCGAAACTGTGTTTATGCAAAATGAATATGAATGACATATGAATGAATATCAAACCTGCAGTTTTCATGAACGAGTAGATTAACTCTAGGATTCCGTCGGATGACAAATTGTCATAGACAATTAGCTGCAATGTTGGAGCAACCTCCGCCACCGTTACTCTTACACATTTTAAACGAAATTAGTGAAAATTTAAAATATCTGTGAAACAAAACTAAAAACATGAAAACAAGACCAGATTGAGGTGAAGAACCGCTTTTTTTTTTGGATCCCGGCATCGCACTCCAGCAGCAAATGTGTCTCACCTTTGTTTTCATGAGAGTTGCTTCCTGTCGCATTTTTTGGGTACAAATTAATTGCATGCGACACTATTATTACCATAAATTAAATGTATAATTCGATTTTATAATTTAATAGGGCAAGCGAATTGAAGGCAACATTTTACATCGCGCTTTGGTTTTGAAAAATCTTGATTTATGATTTTTACGGGACCCAGGATACCAAAAATCAAGATGTTGTGCTGAGAAAATACGTCAAAAATAATCAACGCAAGCAATCGTGCGTGTCTACGTGTGGGTAAAGCGGTTATTTTTTGACGACAGTGTTTCAAAGGAAATCAAGTTACATAATATTAATTCTTCAGAAACAATAATGAACCCATACCCAAGGGCAGGATTGGCTCTTGTGATCTTGCTGCTTTGGATCATCATCTATCGAAATGTTCGAACAAAGTCATCTCCCGAGGAGTCGCAAACTGTGTCTGAAGGTCAGGATGAGCAGCTTGAAGAGAAATCTGAACTTCCTACTCAAGGAAATCTAATATCTCTAGAAAATCCCACTGAAGAGAACTATTATCACAATTTTCTTCGGGTACAGTTGTCCAATTCAGAAAAAAGCTATCAGGTTTGTATTTAGTATGTTATACATTCATATCGGGTTACCTGCGTATGCATGTATTTTGACGACTACTTAATTTGCTGTAGGAGTATCGTCGTCGTCGAAGAGAATTTGTAGGATCTGATCTCACAAAAGTGAACCCGTGGTCACATGAAAAGGTCATGTTTTTCTGGGACTACTTTCTGCCACAGTTTTCCTGTCCGTACACGGTCCAGAGGATTGGAACCCTGGGCGATGGGGGTAAATGGGTTTGCGGAATGGAACTCTTTGACACCGTGAAACCAATTGATGCACTTTTTTGCAAATAATAATTTTCAGTGATGAAGTGATAAATCATATAAAAATACCTTTCGTTCCTTCACTAATTTAGGGAAATTCAGAAGAACTTTTCTCAAACCAAGATCGTCCTTGCATCATTTATTCCTTTGGCGTGGGCAAAGAATCAAGTTTCGAAGCAGAATTTTTGAACAGGACAAACTGTGAGATTTGGGCGTATGACGCGTCTGTGAATAGGATGGGAGGTCATGTGATCACTCCCCACCCACGGGTTCACTTTAATAAAGTGTTCATACAACCCAGAGGAAATGCTACGTTGGGTTCTCTCATGAAACAGGTTGCGTTTACTTACATAACTACCTATTTCATTTTCACAGCGATAAGTAACACTAAATGCAACTAAAAGAGCGACTTCTTTAACCAATTAAAACGATAAGTCTACCTGTTTCAGAAATAGTTATTAAAATGAGTCAGAATGTGGGCAAATTTTCTCTATACCACATGTGCAAAGTCACTATTTATTGAAAGATAATAATTCAAATCTAGCAAGTTTATTATATACAAATTACGTTTTCGTTTACACAAAATGCCTGGAATTATTTTTTTTTCTGTTAGTTGGGCCCACGGTGAAGAAAAGTTACTAAATATTAACCGATATTGTAACATTTTGTAATGCTTCTTGTTTTAATATTTTAAGCGCGTCCTTCACCTAAGTTTGTTTTTTAAAATGTATTTATTTAATTATTTTTAGTGAAGTGTGAACTTAAATGTATAAAATCATAATATCAATTCTTAAACGTTGTGAACTTTCCTATAGGTATGGATACGTGGCATACTAAATTAATCCCGACTGGGTGGATTAGTTACACTGTATTTCATGGAATTTGATCAATGTTTAATTTTTCAGAATTTTAAGGAATGTTACATATGTTGAAATAGTAATGCTAATAAATAATAAACCTGACATTATTAGCATACGTTAGCAACCAGTAACCTAACACCACGTAAATAGGTTGCTTAATGACAATATTTCAAAACGCTCTAATTCCATGAGTTTTCATCCGATTAAGTCGAACAAAGGCTTAAAATGTGCGTATTATCCAGGAGAATAGTAAAAATGGCAAGCCCCCGGTCGGAAACATTTCCTTGGTGCCAAGAAATAGATTTGAAAATTTAGGCATCGGACTTTCTACCTGAAGGAATTAGAATTTTGGAAAAATAAGAAAAATGTCTCTGTAAAACAGAATTCTCTAGTTTTTTTGTTTCAACATGTTTTCGATGCAATGAACGGTTCGGGCGAAATCTCAGTGGGAGTTTTTCAAAGTTGCAGCTGAATGCATACTTAGGCTTCGCCGTAACCATGGTGATCTTTTAACATGATCACTTTATGGTTACTTTTCCTTCACCTAAGAAAAATAAGTACTTTATTTTTTAAATTGTTAATTGTCGTAGTGATCATTTCGTTCAGCCAATCAAAAAATCGGATTTGAAGGAGTACGTGACGATGACGTGAAGCATAAACACCACTTAAGAATAAAGCACACTGATGACACAATTCCAGCCTATTTTAAGTAGTCATAGCGCTGTCGCTCCTCATAAGTAGACTTTAAACGCGCATATATTTATGTAAATATGAATTCAATTTATGCCTATCACATTTAAGTCGCAATGATTCTTCTATCAACTCCCATCTTCATAATTGTTCTCACATTTGCACTTGTTGGGCTGTCCACTGCATGCTTAAGTATGCTCAAATTAATTTCCAATGAATTAACCTGCATGCAAAATGATCTAAAATTTATTGTATGAATTTTATATAGAATACGTCCCAGATTTTAAAGATGACGACTATTTAGAACTAGCCTGGGAACTAGGTTCAAAAAAGGACTGGAATCGTAAAATTCTAACGGAATGCTGTCAGTTAAAAATAAAATCTCCATTAAATATTTCAACGATAATTAAGTATGTAAAAAGCCTAAAATATTTACTCCATTTAAATAATTGAAGCTTGCGGAATATCAAATGAGGCAAATCATGCAAACACTTGGGATGCCTTAATCCGTGTCGTCGAAAAGAACAAGAAAGAACGCTACTGTGGAGGGACGTTGATAAATTCATTTTTTGTCCTCACTTCTCACTCCTGCCTGATTCATGGAAATCTTAATCCGAAGGATTTTTTACAGAAGGATGGGTCATTTACGCCGTCCGACGTCACGGTGTGGTTGAATGTTAAGTCGAACCCTTTCGACGTCACGGATTACGGGCAGAATAAACCTCGTGCCGTCCAACAAGTCGTCACCAATGCAAAGTACATTGTCAACAAAGTTATGGAACGGTGCGGCATAAAATAATTTAGTAACTTTTGGCAGATTTGTATTATTTTTGGTGGTTGTATTACTGATTTGCATGCAATAGATCTGTAACTGATAACGTGGCTCTGTTGAAACTAAAGAATGAAATAGATTTCCGAGACCCACAAAGTCCTAAACCAATTTGCATCTTCCCCCTGCTAAAACCGGATCTGGATAAGTTCCATTTGAAAGTTAACGTGACGGGGTGGGTCAACAGTTTGCAAGGTCACTGCAACGATTCACGTGCCTCCAAATTCTTATTAGGGATTGAAAATGAACACTACAAAGATTCAACTCTGAAATGTTTTGAGAAGAGCGGATTGATAGATTTGAAGGATTTACAAATTTGCAAAAAAGAGTCGAAGGGAAACGTAAAAGATGATCAGTTTTGTACGAGCAATTTGCAAATTAACGGAATGGTGAGTATTTTTAAATTGTCGTATGAAAGATATTGAATAATTTTATCAGCAATATTTTTTTGGAGGCTAGACAAGTGACGGATGGCCTTTAATTGTCAAGGCCCAATCTGGAGAAATAATGCAACTAGGAATTTCATCGTGGGTTGATGCCGAATTTCAGACCGGAAACGAGGCATCCGCCCATCGTTTCTTTACTGATATTTCATGTAGTACACATTTAATGAAATAAATTTATGGGTTTTTGCTTAGAATTGTAAGAGTATTAACGTCTGACTTGTAGACATCGCCCCCTTCACTAATTATTACTCCGACAAAGTGGGTGCAACCTGGTGTCAAGAACCGAAGCATGCACAAATTAGTCGATCTCAACTATCGGACAAAAACAGTCTGCCTTGGGAAGGCTTTACAAGTTCTCAACGGATACTGCGAAATGATTCCTGTGGTAATTGAGATAAATACATAAATAAATATGAACCGTAACTTTTCTATTCATTTTGAATTATTAAGTTGTGTTTTTAAATTTATTTCCAGTGTGCGGAGAAAAAATGTTATCTCCTGGACGAATTGCTGGAGGCAGTGATGCCAAGCCTCATGAGTTCAAGTGGCAAGTTTTACTTCGGATGAGAATATCTAGCCATGGAGGTTCGTCCACTGCACTTTGTGGAGGCAGCTTAATTAATGACAAGTAAAATAGTTACATACATTTATTTTCTGTGCTTTTGTGATTATGTGTACATAACTTTCACATCTTTTATAGAATGATCCTCACCGCGTAAGTTACCACAAAAATAGCAATACGACCCCGATGTACAATTGAACTCTGAATCTATTCACACAGAGTTATCCATACGGATAACCTAAACCGCTGATAACTTCTTATTGCGCTAATTTTTCAGGGCGCACTGTGTCGTCCTAGACTCACTTATGTTTGCAAATAACCCACTGCCTGGTATTAAACCGGAAGACATTAAAGCCTATCTTGGCGCTCATACGAAAAACGGTCACGATACGGATGGGAGATTGGTGAAAGTAAAGGCAGTATATTTTCACCCGTGGTACATCCCAGCAGCGAAAGAACGTCCGTAAGAGAAAAATCCTCATACATAATTATTTCCATTTTGGGATATAGTAAAGTTTCCGACATTTTTTTATTTGTGCCAGACGAATTTTTGACTGGGACGTCGCCTTACTTGAACTCGAAGACAAAGTGGTTTTCGACAAAGAGAAAGAAATGCCCATTTGTCTCCCGACATCTGAAGAAATTCCTGACCTTAATCCGGTCGGAGAGCAGGGCTGGGTTACCGGGTGGGGTTTGACTAATCCGACGGATGGTGGTTCTACTGCTACGATTCTTCAAAAAATAAAATTGCCGATTCAACCGTTGGAATATTGCAGCAGAATTATTTCTGTAGAAGGTGGAAAACCGAGGGATCGGGTTCTCTGTGCAGGAACTTTAACACAATGGCGTGATTCGGCAGGAGGAGATTCCGGAGGTGGGTCTGTTTTGCATATTTAAATGTATATATGCACAGAATAAAATTTTTAATTTGCAGGACCAATGTCCATTTTACGAAATAATACATTTCTACAAGTTGGACTCGTGTCATACGGTCACAATTCTAAGAATCAGACTGCCGGATTTTATACAGATCTTAGAAGTATGATAATTAACAGTAGGATAACAATTAACATTTCTTAAACAACATTTATTTGCAGAAGTGATGTCATTCATTGATTTTTTCTCGGCAAACGCTGCAGCTGAATGGTGTCCTTCTAAAATTGGTCAATCAGTCGAAACTGCAGAAAAATAAGGGTTCACGATTATGCATGCGAATTATAATCCACTGACAGAACTTAATATTCATTCAGAAATTTTGTCAAACTCAGAATGCATCTATTATTTGAAACGTAGAACGAAATAAAAGCACAACTAAAAATAATTTCATACTTATAATATCCTTTTTTTGCTAATTTTAATGAAACACTCAATTCATACATTCAGAAAAAACCGTACTAATTTTACAACGGTCGGTTTTGGAAGAAGGTGGAGAGGACCATTCCAAAGAAATATTTGTAGGCGCACAACGCCAACTGAAAAGCAGTCATATACTTTAAAATATTATAGCGATATCGTTCACGCCGCGTGTCCTTGATGATAACGTTGGTGAAGGCACCCCTCACGGCGAGCAATTCGCTCATGTGGAATACACGGTCCATATCCTCATCGCTCAGAAAGTCCAGGTTTCGATATTGCGAAATGGGATCACCCATTACAAACTTGACATATTTCTGGAGTAGGACCACGTTGACGATCCCGGCAAATGTCATGGCAGGGTCCGACATTCGGGACGACAAGGTTGCAGCAACAGAAACGGAAAGATAGCAGCCAAACACGTTCCAAACCAGGGTCATGATGTTGATCCACTGATGTGTCCTCTGAGTGAGGTCGAACGGCTCAATGACCACGGCATCGAACCCTTCGAGCATGGCATAGTCTAAGGCTGCAATGTATCTGGATTGGCTGTCCTGGTCTGGGGGGGACTGGGAGGAGAGGATGCACCACGTCATGCCTTCAACTCCAGGAACAGGATGCGTCTCCACTTTCTGGACGGTCACAAAATCCTCCAAAGTCTGCTGGCTGACCGACGGCTTCACGTCCGAGTCGTGATATCGGAGTTCAATTATCGGCCTGGTCGCCTCATGAGCACTTTCTCCGCATATTTCCATGCTTGGAAATTCAGATTGGGTGACATTCTGGCACGATTTGGGTTGGACAGCTGAACGATTGTCATGTGTGCCACGGTCAGTGCCTTGAGCAGTTGGAATGTAGTAGGCAGTCACAGGGTCGGAAAATAATATCGACATGGTTCGAAAAGTTGAGGGAGAGAGAATAAAATTGGATTGTCAAAAGTCTGTAATAAGTCTTTGGAATCAATAATATCCTGAAACTTTGTTTCAAATCCATGGAAGTTTCGAAGGTGTATGTTTTAGTCTAGCTCCAGGAAATACGAGTATTTTTCAATTCTTCATCACCTGGTTGACATCTTTCTCTTAAAGATTACCACGCTTCGACTTTATAAAATGCCGTCCCCCGACGAATCCCAAGAAGGAAAGGTGATTGTCCTTCGACGACCTGTTAATTCGCCAAAACCAACAATACATAAATCGGTTAGTGCTCACTTTCCCGATTGGGACAAACCTCTCAAAAGATGGGAACCCTTGGACACATCTACAACAAATCGTACCCCGGACGCCAAAGACATTTCTGACACTAGCAAGTTCCCCGCCAAAGGGGACCACACCCATTCGGTGACACAACATCCTGAACCAATCCCCATCGAAGAATTGTTAGCACCAAGTAAAGAACAACAATGGCAGCCTTCTCAAAAAATTTACCGGCCTCCTCCTAAAATTGACCGACCCCCACCACCAAAACCACCACCAAAACCACAACCGGCATCGGTTAGACGATTTTCGGAAGGGATCGAATTGTAAGTGCATCAGCGCGTCGAAAGAATTTTTATTAAACATAATGCATATTAAATATTTTAAGAGGTGAATTTTTCGTAAATTGCAAAATAATCAAGCCCACGCCTTGAATTTACGTGATTCTAAAACATTTCTGGACAAAAGGCTAAATACATTCGAATAATCCAAAAAATTAATTCAAGTACATATGTAAATACTACATAATCAGTCGCATAATCTTCGTAAAATGGGCCTGGTCATAAAACTAGTTACACAAAATGTAGCAAGTTGCAAATGTCCTTGTCAAATGCTGACTATTAGTGAGGGATAGATTTAATAGATTTAGCATTGTCAATACAACAAGGTGTTAGGTATTATATAATTAATCGAGCATTTATTTAGCCCTACCTTGAGCAATTTGAAGCAACGTCAATCAAGGATTGTCTGTCATTCTCTCGTGATGTGTAAATTATTTAGCAGTGTTTACTTACTCTTACATACTTGTTTCTTGACCATTTACGTAGGTGGCTAGAGAGGTTTATTTTTAAATACCTACTCATTTAATGATGGGACAAAGTAATGTGCGATTTGCAATTTATTACATTGTGTACAATGATGAGGATCTCTCAACAAGGAATAAAGACGGATATTTAATTCCTCTCTGTAGTTTTCCTTTATACAGATAAAACAAAAAAGTGAGATTTTCCAATCAACTTGTTTACTGAAATTCCAGTATTTTAAGTAATTGTTTACCTTCATCCCAGTGGATGAAATCTTAAATGTAGTTCATTTATTCCTTTTTGATTGAGAATCTCAAAACTTGAGACGTTGAGACAATATTGATTTCTTACAAATCTGGGTTGCTTATTGGGTGTGACTGAAACATATCTGAAAATCGAAACCAGGCTAATTTTGTCTGATTTGCGAAGAAGGAAGTCACATTAAATTACAGTACAGACTGCTCTAAAATTTTTGGTAGGTGCAGAAAAGCAATAAATAAAATGATAGCAAAACCGGATTTGTTTTTAATAAAATGAGTTCAGATCAGTCAGATCATGCTGATGACATCATACAAACAAATTGTGCAGGTGTTGAGGGTCATCATTCCATCCATCCAAACGTTAATAAATGTTAATCATTATTGATCCTCACATTGAGGGATTTATCCTCATTGAATGAACTGAGCCCCACTAATTATGCTCGTTAAGCCTAAACAAGGGGCGTTTTACTAATTTGTATGTACATGTTAAACGGACGACGGCGAAAGGTTCACATCACAGAAAATATTTTGAATATCAAACTTTGTAAAAGATAAGTAACATGTATGTAAATATTACAAGCTTGCCGTGGTTTAGTACTTTTTCTATGAATCTGACCGATGTCGTTGACAGGCAAATGATTTATAGTCATGGCTTGTTTATCCTTCATTTCATCACAAATGAGAATTAATGCATCATTCATAGTGTATTTTTTAGATAGTGGTTGGTTATTAGACTGGTTGTCGTGTGACAGGAAACTGAGCCGAGTGGTAGCTTTTGGAATCATTACAATTTGTTGTTTTAAACACAATAAGCACCAACTTAATGACTTTCCATTGTGTCAGGAAATTGGAAAACGGATCATCACATCGCATCTTCCTCCGGGAATTTGGTCGAGCAATAACTAGGTCGATGAAATGAAATTCGAGCGGAAATTGTTCCCTGAAGAATTTATTTCATCATTTCATCTCTCTCACATAGCGTAATAAAAAACAACTCGTGGCACATGACCTTGGTTTGATGCTCTATGTATTTGCCATTAGAATCCTAGTGACTAGAAACTAGAATAGAATAGAATAGGTCGGCTCGACTGAGAAACACAGATATTGAGGAAATCCATCCTTTTCTTCTTTCCTTTACGCATCAATCGATCAGGAGATAACAGGCAACACGATGGAATTGTGCTTAGCACATTTCTCTACAGGAATCAGCATCAGTAAGCCAAATGTTTAGTACGTACTACTCTTTTGGCTTTTATGTTTCCTCGCTGTCTTGAATGGATGGATATTAGCATTTCAAACGTGTGGATGTATTTTCGGATGGTTTGGCGATAAGAGAAGTTTCTGAGGTTTGAAAAAGTCACAGAGTTCGCCAGTTTCCATACGTTATTTCCATATTTCATGTACAGTAAGAAGAAGGATGGGTTTATTAACACATTTCATATTCACTTGACGTCAGATATCGCTCTTGAACTTGACTTTTTCACAAGGTGATGATAATACAAGATATCTACCAAGTTAGAGTTGGAGCTTCTAGTAGGATGATGCATAAAACATAAAACTATAACTGCTCAGAGTGCTCAGACAGTAGTACATACATAAATATGGCATGTTTTCTACTCCATGTGGCATGATCAATACAATTCCAGTAGTATAGCCTTGGTTTTCCATGGTTTGTGGTAGTGGTGCCATTACATCACGGCTGGGTAATAACCCAGTTTTTATTAAGTTGTTGAACAAAATAATTAAATACGACGAGTCAGACAAGATAAGTAAGTAACCTTCCTTTGCTGACCAATTCACCCTTTTTTCATCCTTCGGACACGAACATTACACGACACAGCTTTACATACTGCACATCGGATCGATGGATGGATGGATTCTTGGTGCAAATTCGAATTCATGAGCATCACGCTATTTGTATAATGTTATTTATGCATCGTGCAATTCATGCTACTCCCGAATGTCTCGTGCAATATGCATTTTGATGAACGTTCCAAGATTGCTTGCCGTCTGACTCACTCACTCATGAGCTTGTCATTTGCGATAAATGAAAATAGAAAATGTAATTTAACACGAAGGACGTATGAAAGCATGCATTTGGTAAATTGCTTCACCAAATTCTGGAGGAATCAGCAGTACGACTTCTTTAACGCTTTTGTATTTGTCCCCATTCAATAAGGTTTTCCGAGGCAAGGAAACAATACAAAAGGCTGAATGAAAACCTTGAAGGGATCGAGTTATTCGTCGTCTTTGAGCACAAAAAAGAAATGTTTTAGTCATTCACTTCACGGCAAATCGGATCCTTACACTTTGAGGGAAGTAAATTTCATGCTGTTGTAACAGCCATTATTACAGTATTATCATCCCATCGACTTATGTACATGACGGTATGCCTTCGTCACTGTATGCGCTTGTGGTTTGGTTTTAAATGATGAATTTGACTTTATTCAAGTTATAACCACGTTTTGGTTTTAACGTTGTGATGGACAAGTTGGCAAAGTGAGTTTTTCTGTTCCCTGTCCATCCATATGAACTATGTATGAAGGCAGAAATGCACGCTATACCATCCACTTTCATCAAATACTTAAACCCTTTACACCCGAGCCAAGAACTCAGACGAGCACCAACTTCTGTAGGAATCGCACACGCGAAAAGTTTTTGCACAAACTCAGATCGTTCTCCACTGTCGACTGTGTCACCGAAATTTTACAAGGTTTCGCTTCATTCCATTTTATATAATACGTATTCACTGGATTCTGCAGCAGTGCGGTTATCTGCAGGTTAAGTGCGGTTTCTTATCTGGCATATTTCTTTTTACGGAAAAAAAAGTGTCATTAAAAAGCTTCCTTGCGCAATACGGAGCAGGATAAAGAAGGAGTAATTCAATTCACTCAAAGTTGTATAATAACTGATATGCCAGCCGGTTTAAACGGAGCAGAAATGGCAGTGTGAGTAGTCCAATACGGTTTTCTCCAGTCATTTTTTCGCACACATTGCGAAATTGAGATTTCGCCTTAAACAGAACAAAAAATATAATAAAGAGACAGAATTTATTTACTGTTTTGTATAAGCAGTAATCAAAACGGGAAGGAAGGTGCGTATAAAATGGACCCAAGACGAGATCGAATTGGCCAACGGCCCCATGAAGACGGTGGCGACGGCGTTTGCCACAACATGATGCGTGGCATTGACTACATGCGAGACCCAAAGTTGAACAAGGTGCGAATTCCATTGATTTTTTGTACGGATTTATTGGAAATCTGCCCCTTAGGGCTTTATTATTAGTTATTTATTATTCTACCCATGACTTTCAGGGAATGGCTTTTACTCTGGAGGAGCGACAAGCTCTCGGAATTCATGGCCTGTTACCACCACGGTTCAAGACGCAAGAAGAACAAGTTCGTCTGTGCAAGGATAACGTCGCAAGATACACGGAGGATTTGAATAAGCACATTTATCTCGTGGGACTTCAGGTAAAAAAATTATGAGAACGAGATGATTACATGTTATTTGGATTTCTGCATAGAATTTATTTAAATTCGAATGCATATTCTTGCACGAATTTAACCAACATTTGAAGCAATCGAGTTTGCAAAATTGCGATAGAGAACGTATCTACTTATTATTATTGCATGCTTTGATGAGCGAATTTTGCGTGGCGTGATCATTTCGTGTGGTAACGATGGCATGATGTTATTATTGTTAACACGTTGCAACATTCTCAGAATTGTGTGTTCAACTCGGCTCAACTCATGCAGGAAGAGATGCAGAATGCAGATCAAGAGAACTCTGCACTTTGTTCCACTACTGTCAATTTATAACTTCGTTTCATTCAATGTTTCACGCAAAGTCCAATTTTTGTCAAGTTGTGTTGTTTATTTCTGCTACGCAAAATTGTAACAACGTGACGAAACAAGGGATGAACTTGAGTTTAGAGGTTAAAATAATAATGGAAACTGTAGTTCAGTAGGTTAGAAATTTACTTATTTAATTGAACGTTAAATAATAGTGTAACAGCGGGATTGACAGCCTTCAATTTCTACTTGGTTGTTATTTCAAGTAATGTGCTATCATGTTTCCCTATTCTTATTTTATGTATGCTAAATGTGCTTTTAGGATCGAAATGAACGCTTGTTTTATCGACTTCTTGCCGAAAACGTGGAGGAAATGATGCCCCTCGTGTACACGCCCACGGTCGGCTTAGCTTGTCAAAAATTCGGTCAGTTCTCTATTTTAATTTAAATTTAAACCATATTTTTAAAACTTGTTTATCAAATAATTAATTAGGTCTTATCTTCCGTCGACCGAGAGGTCTCTTTATCACGATACATGACAAAGGACATGTTTACGACATTATGAAAAACTGGTAACCAACTTTCTACAAAACTTTTCATCATCATAAATTCATCAACTTACGAAAATAATTTAGGCCTGAAAATGACGTCCGCGCAATCGTGGTCACTGACGGCGAACGAATTTTAGGACTTGGCGACCTGGGCGCGTACGGGATGGGAATTCCGGTCGGAAAATTGAGTTTGTACACCGCCCTGGCTGGAATTAAACCAAGTCAATGTCTCCCAATTATGTTGGACGTGGGCACAAATACTCAATCCCTGCTCGATGACCCCTATTACATTGGATTGAACCATAAACGGGTCACGGGTCAGGAATATGACGACTTTATTGACGAGTTTATGCAAGCCGTGGTGCGAAGATATGGGCAAAATACACTCATTCAGGTACATAATCATAACATGATATTTATGTTGATTGATTTTTAAAAAGGGTCAATCTCGTCTTGTTTTTTTTATTAGTTTGAAGATTTCGCCAATCACAACGCCTTCCGGCTTCTTGAAAAGTATAGAAACAAATATTGTACATTCAATGACGACATTCAAGGCACGGCGAGTGTAGCGCTGGCAGGTGTGCTGGCCTCGCTACGAGTGACCAAGAAGAAATTGATTGAACACAAGTTTCTATTCCTCGGGGCAGGGGAGGTAAGTAATAATCGCTACTTTGCAGATAATAATGTACACGTTTTTTGTTTGGATTTCGTGATTAATCCACTAGTAGATGCACACAGAGAGAGAGACTACTGTGTCATTAGGATGATTACATATGAGTTATAAAATTCAGTCGAGATTTAATCCCATTGTTTTCTACAGGCTGCTTGTGGTATTGCGGAGCTGATATGTCATAAGATGATGAAGGAAGGTGCTTCACATGAAGCGGCGGCGGCTCGGATTTTCATGGTGGTGCGTGATTTACTTCCTTTATAATTATTCAAAATTCTGAAAATAAATTCTGAAAATTTCTAATTTCTTCAGAATTCCAAAGGTTTACTTTCCAAAGCATCTCCTGAAGTCTTGGCGAAGGAGAAGGAACTCTTCGCCAAGGATCTGCCCCACATTAAGGATCTTGCCGAAATTGTCCGAACGGTTCAACCCACCACGTTAATCGGTGCTGCGGCTCAGAGGGGAGCATTTACGACAGAAATTTTAAAACTGATGGGAGACTATAACGAACGACCGGTCATTTTTGCCCTGAGCAATCCCACCTCAAAGGCTGAGTGTACGGCGGAGGAAGCGTACGACGCCACGGAGGGCAGAGCAGTATTCGCGAGTGGAAGTCCATTCCCAACTTATGAGAAAAATGGGCTCCGATTTGAACCTGGTCAGGGGAATAATGCCTACATTTTCCCAGGAGTCGCATTAGCCACCATTACGGCTGGAATTCATCACATTAGCGAAGAAGTTTTCATCATTGCGGCACAGGTTCGATTTGTTGCACGATTTGGAATTTTGAACTGGGAATTTATAACATTTTGAAATATTAGAAACTCGCTGAAACCGTTTCCGAATCGGATCTTAAAGTTGGGAGGTAATAAAATTACACATTGCAAATTATTCAAATTAGTACATATTCTAACGAGTTATTTTAAATTCTTCAGACTGTATCCACCGCTTCAAGACATTCAAAACGTTTCCATCCAGATCGCAACTGCCATCGTGGAAGATGCGTACGCAAACGGTAAGTTTTTTTCTGGCAAGTTCTGCTCATGGGATAACTACTTATCGCATACAAATTATTGGGATTATCATGTCTTGATAACTAAATATCTATATTCTAAATAATAACTTTCGCTTGCACTAACAACTCTTCTCAGGCGAGGCGACGACGTATCCAGAACCTGCGAATAAGAAAGATTTCATCCGCGCGCAGATTTATAGCTTTACCTACAACCGAGCGGTCCCACCTTTTTATCCGTTCCCCAAAACTACTTAAACTATTTATTAATTCGTCAAAAGTGACCATTTTATGTAGAGAGACGAACAATATAACTTATTATTTTATACATTTTTGCTTTTATAAATTTTAATTACGTGCTACATTTCCTCTAAAAAATTACTAACCTCAGTCGCAGGCTTGAAATTTGCTATTGGCCTTGATTTTACAAATTTTGTAAATATTTATATTTTATGTGCGTGCATTTGCATTTGCATTTATTTTCCTTTAACTAACAACTTTCCTTATCATAAATCTTGCTCCAATTAAAAAATAAATAAATACCTCTGCCGACTTCTTCTTCTGCGGCTGCTGACGCTGTGCTCGTATCAATGCTTTTGAGCTGGTCGAGGTAATTTACATATGTATGTCCAGTTAAGGTCAAATACAGGTTTAATTAAGTGGGATTAATTGCTCCATAAAATTTTCAGGGTACGCGTTCACCTATCCCGAGCCCAAGGATAAAATGACATTCATAAAGGAAGAAATTTATGACTATCATAACCGACCGTCACTCCCAGTTCAGTGGAAATTTCCGGATTCTGTTACCGAAAGTCGGCACTGATTAAAAAAACGAATGAAGACATCATGAACTCGAATTGCATTCTTATCAAATTATAGTAATCAATTCTTTGTTTAATTTCCAATCGATATCTACTACATTACATTCTGACTGTGTACATTTACCTGACACCTGTGGTTGTGTAATTGAAACGTGTATTTTCTCGTATCGAATTGACATTTTATTCTGCACTGTGTATTTAATAATTAGTAATTATTAATTACCACTTATCATAAATAATAATGATATCTCTGATTCCCGGTTTATTTTTAACTTTCCAAGACCAATTTATTAATTTTAATATTTACGTGTTTGGATCAAGGATTTAGCATCATTATCTATTTTTTCACCAGTTTTGTTCCTCCTCCTCCACTTTGGTGGTCATCTACCGTACAAAAAAACACCCAAAATGAAACTTGGATGTATGGAACATAGGTCCATCCTATCCATGGAGGCATATTGCATGTTGTACAGATATTTGTTGTTGTTATTAAAGGACAAACCGGCAACAAGGTTATCTTGCTCTATATACTTGTACACATATCTAATTTCCAAATTGTTAACCTTATCTGATATAATTTTTTGCGTGAAATCAAGATAAGTTTTGTTTATCTGCAGTTTATGTATGTATTTACTTCCATGTTGATCCAGAGAACAGACTTGTTAAAACTGGTGCTTGACGGATGCTGTCGATTCTGCAGATGTTGTCGGACGTATTACACATGGGTCCACCTGCTCCAAGTAACTTGTGGTCATCCATGCCCAGTAGGAAATAGAATTATAATTTTAGTTTTTCAATAGAGTATGATAACTTTTCCAAAAATTTATGAAAATTGAATCTGGCATCGAAAAAGATGAGTATGTATAACTCTCCCCAATAACAATGCATACCATTATCCATCCCATCATTTCTACCGTGGTTATTGGAATCATTTATCACATGGTCATCCTGTATGTACGTCTGTCTGTATGTGTGCACTTGTCATAACCAAACAAACCCTCCATTTATCTGGCTGCCTGCCCTACATGTTCACATTTCCAATAAATTCATCGCCCTTATTCCGATGCTATTTTCACCACCACGACCACCACTTAATGCAAATGAATACACGTTGCGGTGCGGCCGACGAGGAGAGGATGATGATAATGATGTCTATGTAACAATAAGTTTCTCTGAACACAAGGACCGAGTTCTTAGTGGTGAACAATGGATGATGACGAAGGGGTCTGGTTTTGTCATTTCATTTTCTCCCTGATTGAACTCAGAGGAGAGCCGGCATGATGACAGAGAAGGAACGAGGTGGGTGAAAGCGAAAATGGGAACGAAAGCCTCCCTATTTAGCCAGCAATTGTCCTTTCGAACCTTTCGTGGTGTGTGTGCAGAGCTATGAATGAAGAAAATGAGTGAATAGCGTAATTAATTCGTTTGCAATTATTCATCAAGCCCAACAAATTTAGCAGGCTGCCTGCCTTTTTCTGCCAGGTTTGCAAAGATTCAAGCTCGGATACCCATGTAGGCCATGGCGAGAAGAACGTCATAATTCACCTTAAAATTGCACAGCCCGCAGTGGTGGAAAAATACTTTTATGTGGAACGGAAGTGCGAGAATACATAGGTCATAAATTCGGTTTCTTCTTCTCTTTCTGGGTAGCATGTGACATAAAGATTTTCCACAATTTTTAGGCCATTGTGCTCTGAAATGATGTAGTGGTACCGTTTTACCTACTATTTGAATGGCATGGCTGGATTATAATTTTGTTTTTGGTGACAGAAGTAATAACGTAAAGAGACATTCATATTTTTTATGTCAGTCCTTCTTTTACTACTTACGTAATTAGCCGAAATTGCAAAAATGTGGATTTTTTTATGGCAGCAGCAGCAGGAGAAAGTAGTATCCTTAATTATTTAAACATCGACAAGCCCAGTGAACTCCAAGACTTGGAACATGTATATATTTCAATACTTTTGAAACAACTTTCTCATTTTGGACACTTTGTATATTTTATGAAGCTTTAAATAATTATTGCTTTCTATAAAGCCGACAATTTTAAGTTTGTCTTGTAGTTTCGAAACCATTTTAATACGAAAACTTTCTCTTCTTCGTGGTTTTATAATTGTTCGTAACAGTGTAGCTGGAGTTATACTTGGCTACTAAAATAATCCACTTTACTCTTGTAGCCTGCGTCATGGAGAAGGGTTGTAAATAATGGGAAAGATTTTCTTATATGAGATGAGATGAGAGGATGATTACATAATAAATTATATTCCGCTCTTCCGTTCTGCATGCGATGACTAAATATTGGAGGCCAAGAAATACGTAGACCATTCGTGCAGTCGTAGTTGTGGGTGGAATCTCGAAACTTGGAGTGTGGGTGGGTTTCCTTCGTGTGGTTTCTTAATGAAGATAAATTTCCGCTTAATTAAGATCATTTCACATCTTGCTGAATTAATGGGGAGAAAGCTGCTTCAACATTATGAGGAGGCAACTTCTGTTTCGTTTGACGGGGGTGATACGAAGAGTACAAGCCTAATACTCAGGACGGATGTTCAAAATTTTCGAAATTCACGCGGAACGACAGGTTCTTCGCTTTGTATTAAATTATAAATTCACTGGAATTATTTGAATTTCACTACAAAATTGTACCGAATGGGAGTGTCTCTTTAAATAAATTGCAAAATGTTACCCAACCCAAGTTTCATATTATCATTTTATCTCATATTATTTATTTCATATTATCATATTATCATTTTTTCATAAACTTTTTCAAGTGAAAACACAGTCCTAGGCTTAAAGTTGAACAAATAATGATTTTGGTAGAAAATAAAATAAAAAAACTTTTGCAAAGTCAACAAATAAATCGGGATTTCGAAAAAAATGTGGGCAAAAAGCTATTTTACAATTTTCTGGACTGGAATACATACCACTTGCTTGAATTTGAATTTGTACTGTTTCACATGTCCTTTAGAAAACTGTCCTAATTTGTCCCCGCCGAGTGAAAGTAATCGACTATAGAATCTCCAACATCGTAAAAATTAAGTCTTCAACTACTCGGAAACTTTCCTCGTTATACGTTTCCTCACAAAATAATCCCCCGACTTTCACCGGCTTTTCGATATTCAATCTTTTTTAAATTCACATCTTCTTCACATTTCATCCCGGGTGAGTTTGCTCATTTGCTATTTTGTTAACTGTTTTACTTCGTCTTGGCTCCTTTTATGCCGCAATCGTCATTTGTTTCGTACCCACGACACGACACTAAACTAAACGTAGCAGAACCAGATTGGATATTACGGGAAATGTGCAAAGTTTTTGAGTAGACGGGAAATAGGAGTTAAGCTCCGTTAACATTTACTTTATTTTGCATCCAAACACAATATTCAAAGAAAAACAGGGCGAATTGTGTGCAGATTCTCGACGAGAGAACATCAATAATTCAAAAATAACTTGACAAAACAAGGAAACGCAGACAAACAAGGGTTCCCCCGCTCGAGCTGCTCGTTCCTTGGAACAAAGTCCAAGTGAAAGTTTATCCATTTGTATAATTTCCTAATTAATTTCTTAACCCGAACGCTTTAATTTGCATTGTTTGCCGTACTTTTGAAGAGAAGAAAGGAACGAGGAGAGAAAAGAAAGGAGAGATCGACGAACTACAGTTTTGAGGAAGATTAAGTCGGTTGGTGGCAAGTCGTCGTCGTCGGTTGATTTTATTGAATTGAATGCGAAAATATCAATTTCAAGGGATTTTACTGGGAAAATAGGGCATTAAAGACGTAGATATACTCGCCAGAATAATATGTTCAATTTCTAAATATCACTCTGATATGCGAATTTGTTGACATTTATCATTTTATAATTCTGGCACACGTTATAAGATTTTATGGTTTTCGGAGTGAAAAGTATTTTCCAGTGGATCCAGTACATCGGAAATGGAGTTCGGGATTATTGCTTTCTCCTGAATGACCAGTTATACGAGACACATAGCCTCGACTCGATCACGATATGATGATCATGATGATGATGCAATAGAGAAGAAGAGAATTCCTTTAGTCCTCTCTTTATTACTTCATCGATCCCATAATTCCTACACCATCCGTCGAATCGACCCAATCATGATCCAATTCTCAACATACTATTTGTTCTTATCTCGGTATATGTATCGCATCGTGGTTGGTTATCATCATGATTCCTTTATGGCGCATTATTCCTCTACGAGACTCTGTACACTAAATAACAATGAATTGTTGCATTGGCAGGGTTTTTACACTGGGGATAAATTTACTGTCCAGTCTTTAATAATTCAGCCGGAGTATGTAACAGAGGTGAAAAAAGGGAAAAAGTAAATGGCATTCATGACGTTTCGCAATAACCAAAGAAAGAAAACCATCTCTCGCTTATGGTCGTGAAGGGAAAAGTGAAAGTGAGAGGATTGCCATGTTATTCGCTCACAGAGGAGTCGTTACTGCTAATATCTTTCTCCGAGGAGAAATGAAAGCGAAAACTGAGAGAAAAATGGGGCGAATTTGTAAGTTTGGTGGTTGGTTGGTAGTGGTTCATCAGGTATCGAAATGTGGGTCAGATTTGTGGTGGAAACGCGTTTGGGGGGAAAGTTTCTGGGAAATTTCAAATATTTTTAGGAAATTTTGAAAGTTTCCTGGAATTTTCGAGCATTTTTAGACAATTTTCGAATATTCCTCGATAATTGTGAAAGGTTCTGGAAATTTTCGAGCATTTTTAGGAAATTTTCGAACATTTCGCGGAAATTTTGAAAGTTTCCGGGAATTTTCGAACATTGTTAAAGTCCGTTTTTACAGGACGTGGGAATTTTCTGGGATTTTCTTCCCCCGTTCTCCGAGAATAAAGCAGAAGTCGAACCCACCCATCGAAATGTATATCCACAATTTATGGCGTATTTTATGACAAACATTTTTTCTAAAATTTGTATAGGTGTTAAAAACAAATTTTCATTTTATTCTGTAAAAATTTTACTTTTCATAAAAACATCTAAGATGCTTATAAATACTTATGCAGTTTAAAAATTCATCACAAAATCATTATTACAAATTACATACAACAGTTTTTATGTGAGAGAGATCTTTTCGGTGTGGATCCCATTGTTGTGAAATATTTTAATATTTATGTAAATATGGTAATTACTTACAATCACTGGTATAATTATGTATTGGCACATGATTTAAGATCAAATATCTCGTGTCAACGACGAGTTTTTTCAACAGAGTGTGGACACTTATGAATGAACAAACTCTCCACTTTTGTGATGATTGATTGAACACTTATGAATTGTATGAAATTTCCATGATTAATTTGAGATTTGATAATTTCTTGATTTGAAATAACTTATCTTACGTATACGTACATACATATGCTTATCGACGACTAAAACATGAACAACAATGTGGATAAGGTACTTCATTGTCCTATTCGCACCGAATCATCGTATTTAAGATGTTGTTATAATTAACACAATTATTACTATTTAAGTAAGTAGATGTGCAAATTAACATATTTTCAGAAATAAGCACCATAAATTGCATTATTAAAATGAACGAAATTGATTCTTACTGAAAATCTATTCAAGAAAGGAACCAATTTTTTTTGTAATCAATCAAAAAATAATCGATTGATTATAAGATATTTAAACATTAAACCGAGGTGGTTATTGCTTCAAGTTGATCTCTGTGATGATGCCACGTGTTCCTCCTGCGTAAAAATCTGGGTGGCTGCTGCTGCTGTTGCGGTTGACCAGTCGCCCCATACCCGTAATGACACATGTAGTGGGGGTCGGACTGCTGCAGCGTGGGGACACTGAGGCTCAACGGGGGTGGAGGGGCTCCACCCCTCGGATCACAATATGGACAATCTTCCCTCGGAGGATTGGAATTTCTAGAATTACGACCACTCCCCCCGCTCAAATTGATATTATCGTTTAAATTACCCTGTCGTCTTCGATGCATGATTAGATCTTGGTGTTGACGTTGTTGGTGAGGAGGTGGGAAGTACGGGTAGTTGGGGAACTGATAATTTCCTCCTAGATAAGCACAAAAAATTGGCATGATCTCGGTGCAAACATTGCGTAATGAAAAAGATTGCACCATTTAAAACTTGCCCTGCATTTGAAACTGGTGTTGAAATTGGGGAGGTAATTGGTGCTGTTGTTGAGAAAATCCAGAATGGGGATGATGATGATGGTGTTGGTGAACTGGGGTCGGTGTCACGGAATAATTAAGTTGACTACTCATGCTGGAATTTTGCCCACTTCTACTTAAAGATTTTCTCAGACTGTTAAACTTTGGTTGTTCTATGTCAAACTCATTTCCAGAAACTTTGGCCATGCTTCGGCTAGATTGCTGATGGTGGGCATGGGAAATTCCTCCTCCTGCGGTGGCTGGGTAGTAGGGCGGGTCTGGATCGTCCTCGAAGGGATTACTTGTTGAAGCTGATTGTCTTTGAATACTTCTCCAATCAAATTCTTCTTGCTGTTGTTGCTGCTGCTGCTGCTGCTGTCTCTGATATTGTTGAAGTTTTGCATTAACTGCAGACACGGAAATTGGCAGTGATGGTTGTTGTTGACTTTGTCTGAGCTGTTGTTGCTGTTGTGCGTTTGTGGGGGTTTGTTGAAACGGTATAAAAAATTGACCACCTTGTGCAGTGGTGCTTACACTACTACTAATAACGTTGACATTGGTGCTGGTCGTGGTGGTGGGGGTGTGGTGGTGGTGCTGGTGGGGTCCTTTGGTGGTAGGGGCGTTGGTACCGCTAGTGCTGGGACCACTGGTACCACCACCTCCACCTCCATTGCTGCTAAATATGTTGGTAGCATTACTTCGGGCAGCGGATCCCTTCTGGATCTTTGAAGAGTCAAAGTAATGCCGGGTGAAAGCGGGTTGTTGCTTTTCATTGATGCTGCTGACCACTGCTGGTTTTTCTGGTTTTTTGTGCGTCTCTACCGTCGTGGTCATGGTTGTTTGAGGTGCGTAGAATCTTTGTTGCTGCTGCTGCTGAAATGGCTGCGATTGTTGTTTCTGTCCTTGATCAACAATGGGGCCTTTATGCCCTCGAATGAAGTTGGCTCGCCGCTCTTCCCTCTGTGGATAATAGTGTCGGGGGGATTGTCTGCTGTTGGGGGAAGAGTCGCGGTCAGCTTCTTGCTGCTGCTGGATGCCGTTGCTCGGATGGCGGTGATTATGCTGGGTGTGAGTGTGGGGATGATTATGGGAGTGAAAGTGGTGATTGTTCCCATTATTCCCCTTACCGTTCCCTGCATAGGACGTGGTAGGTGTCCCACTTTGATCGGTCGTAGACGTGGCGGAAGATTGGGTAGCTGATGCCGGAAAAAGTTGTGGGTTCGAGGCAAACATGACCGTATTCTTGGCCGTCATTTCACGAAATGTCGTCGTCGTGGGTGGACCTCGTTGTTGCTGCGAGGCCGTGGATGACTTCAACTTTGAGTCGCCATCTCTAATGACGCGATCCGGTGGGAGGAAAGATCCCGGCAGTGTGGGCAATCTGTCATAGCTTCCGGGATATATGGAAATCTGGAGGGGAAAGTATGTTTGCATGAGAAAGAGAGAAAGTCAACAGGAGAATGATTGATGATTATTATGCGAATGGATTATGTAGGCAGTGTGTGTTTAATAATTTAGTGAAAAGCGTCACCCACCTGACCATTGGTCCCTCTGCTGCACGTTCTTACCGGAGAGTTGGGATTTGTCTGTGTCCCTGTTGACTTTAAGCTGTGGTGGGAACCTGTAATTGCAGGAATTGGGGCCGTTTGTGGGAGCGAGTATGATCTTATCATCGACCCGGTGGGCGTGGGTTGGTAATACATTCCCCACGCGGGGGGCAATGGACTTCCGGAGAGGACACATTCTCGGCAATAGGGTGAATATCCGGGGGGATAACCACCCAAACCGTAGCCAAGTCCCATTCCCATACCGCCCATCGCTCCGACCTCGGGACAACATGGGTACACAGGTTGTTGTAGACTTATCGACCTTCGGAGTGGGTATAAACCTGAGGGATTGTTTAATAGTAATAATTTGCAACAGTTCTTACAAATAGGCACAATGGAACCTTTTTTCAAGCTACACTCGAATTGTGTGTCGAGTTATATCAAAAAATCAAGCCAAAAATTAGGAATCATATGACACTTGTCTTAATATTGGAGGTCAAAGTTCACACTCCGCCCTTATTTCCGCCCACTGGATGAAAAAGTGAGTGAAAATTTTCGGACTTTGACCCCCTAAATTCTTCATTCAACGATAAGATAAGTGTCATCTAATTCCTATTTTTTAACTTGATTTTTTGATATAACTCGCTACAAAATTCCGGTGCAACTTGAAAAAAAGGTTCCATTATTAATTAAATCCTGAAATCTAACCTGTTGCCGACTCGGGCGCAAGAACCCCACCGCTTAAAAGTGGTGTGGCCTGATGTCCATACTTTGCCAGGGAGATGGGAGGAGGTGCCGGCGGGATGGGTGAGTCGGTATCCGCAGAGGACGAAAGTTGTGGGGATGAGCACTTTGTCATGTCAATCAGTTGAAAACCCACCAATCCTGCTCCAATAAAGACGGCCGTTGCGCAGGCATAAAACCCTGATTTTCCAGCGTAAGAAGTTAATCCCGAGCCGAGAAGGATACCCGGGGACATGAGGGATTGAACTGAAATGATATGTACGAGTTAATAATTTAATTTATTTAGAGTGGTGGTACTACATGCATAAACTTACCACATGACCAAATCCGACCCCAATGCTTCGTACGGGTCAGCTCCATCGTGAGCACTGGCAAAATTTGACATATTAATACGATAAAAAATATTTAGGACTAATTTTCTCTATAAATAAAATATCCAGCATTTTGCACATTCAACTTTCTCTATTAATGGATCATTACCTTTCAAAGTGTACAAGTGCGACCCTGTGAATAACAAAATAGAAAAGTTTGATTAGAAATATAGCCATTAAATCATCAATTATAACCTCAATGAAATGCATTTCCTTTATTCATGCAAGTTTTACGCCCTGCATTAAACATTTCTAATTTTCCAAATTTCTCAAAACTTTGTCAATTAATGAATCGTGCCGGATCGCAAGTTTTCCTTCTTTTGTATCATCTCCACTCCTTAATATGAAGTAAGCAATCGATGCGAAACAAGAACTCCTCAGCCGATACCCTGCTGGTGTGGTCTGGTGTGGCAAAGAATTTCATTAAGAACCGGATTATATGAGGTAATTAATGGAACTTTAACTGACATTTGGTCAGGTGAGCCATTCATTAGTGTCAAAAAGTCTCAAAAGGGATTATCTTAAAGGTTCCCGAAGAACCAACCAAATTAAATGAAATAAGCAACTTGCAACATCCTGGATCTTACTCAATCTCTAATGCTGCAACTTTCCCCACTATCCACCCGATAAGCCAGTCAGATAACATACCCAACTTCACCACCACGATACCATGCATTGCATAAGAATGAAAACCTCCCCAGGGGTATTTACGTCTAGATTTTTGGACGAGTGTATAAAAAGCCCGAATGTGGCGGCATGTCCGTCCACTTTCTCTCTCCGGGGACCACTCTCATAAACACCCAACCAACCAACCAGCTACCAATGTATGACTCCCGGCTACCATCAAACTAATAAAGCAACTGCCCAAAAATAAGTTAAATGGCAAGAGTGAAAGTTGGACTGCAAGGCGGACGCGGACGCGGACGCGGACGCGGAGGTGGTAATGTTGACAGAGAAGACGAACAGAGAAAAGCGCAAGAAAAAGAAGAATAATTCGCCATTCTTTCCCAACAAAGCAAAACTTTCTCCTTCTTTTTTCCTGGAGAAAGCTTTCTCTCCCATTCTTCCCACATTTCTTCGCAGAGTTGCAGTGAATCAAGCAAGTCGTTGGTTGGCGTGTGCCCTGTCAGCTTGGAGAAGGTGGAGGTGGAGGAGGAAAATAATGTGTGAATATAATATAATGCGTGAATTCTCTCATTCACGCCTCAATTTTCGAGGGCACGCACGTTTCGATGAAATTGTATCTTAACCTTGGAGAGCTTTCTTCGCGTGATGTGATCAATTCTATTTGTTTGTTTATTTATGGGAAGGAAAAAAATATCGGATTTCTGTCGGATGCAGGTATTGATTGATTTTTGAACATGGTTCGTAGTGGAAAAAGTAGTTAGTTAATCAGAATTAGTATTTTGACAGAGTTACATACATAATTTACTGCAATTAACTTCATTATGTGAAAACATACATGTTGAAACTTGTGTGTACTGCTATAAAATACAAGATCTGCCCATACGCTAGAACTTTTTTTGCTTCATCATCATCTAACAGTCATGGCTGGGATGGGACTCGTCTCAAAAATAATTGCAACTCATCTCTAGAATTTTGAGTAATAAGTAATATTGTTTTATGCCGTGTTTCATATCACGACCATGACGGATGGACACTGATAAAACTGGACAACCTTCAGTAAAATAACGTGGTTCATTGAGTATATGTAGGTAATAGTATGCTCAGCACATTCAACCAACCCACGACATTCTTTGCGAATTAAAATATCGGATCTTGCAAAAAATCAAATAAAAGTGGACAAAAATTACGCTAATTGAGCTTAATAAATATAAATTGCTTTACAAGTTTGGAAATTTAAGTTATACATTGGTGGACAGTAATGCCATTAATTACTTTTAAAAAATGTGTATGTATAACATATCGCTATAAATTCTTATTTCGCGAACGAAAATATTTATGTATGCAAAATTGGATTACATAAATAAATACATTTTTTATTTTTTATTATTTTTTTTTAGAGATTTGAGCAATTTCGATCAAGGTTTTTGCGTTGAATTTCTGCACCTTAATTCCAAAATTTAATAGGTTGGGAATTGCATGCAATTTTGTGATGGAAAATTATTTCAGCGATACGAAAGTCTACAATATGCAAAATATCTATGAAATATCTGGATGATAAGTACAAATTTTTGCACACATGAAACGGTTAATGCATATTTTAGTTGTCCATGTTTTTCACATACTTTACTCAATTATGCCAAGTCACTTGACAAACACGGTTATCCGATCTGGGAATAAAATGCAAGTCATGATGAGTCATAACATAAAATGTTTTTGTGTGACAAGATCCTCAATGTCTCCTCAAAAATTTTGCAAAAATGCTTACTTCATGAGGTTAACCCTACAAAACCGGAATTCAATTTTTTAAATAAAATTCCGGAGAAATTGGATGACTCAGAACAAGAAATATATATATCGATTATTTCAAGGCAATTGTAAAGCAAGTTCCAGTTTTGTTGTTATATTCTTATAGCCTGTACTTTGGTCACTCAGTATCGACCAGACCACAAAAATCTGCCATTCATGCACACAAACACCTCACTTATTGCAGTTCGCATATAACCTTCATTTTTTGTGGCTATTTGTTTGGGTTTGTACATAAACATGGCTTGGTATTGCGAAAACTGGTTTGTTCCCATCGGCAATGGTTAAATTATAATGGGGCACAATATGAGACGGTATGTAGGTAACTTCTCATGTATTATGGAACTGGTTGTACCGTGACACAACACAAAACCATAATTGGTCGATATAAATGCAGCAATCACCCTGAAAACCTGGACACAACAAGTTCGCACTCTGTCCTAAGAACATTGAAGGTTTTTGAAGGTAAAATATAAACTTTTTGGCAAAAATACCACGCAAAATCCTCCTCCAGCAAATTTCGCCAAAATGCCCAAGGAACCAAAGTGGACCACGGCCGATATCCCTCCTCAGGACGGAAAATTAGTCGTGGTTACCGGCGCTACGGGCGGACTTGGGTAATTTTTTGTATTTATCTACAATGTAACATTTGTCTTCATATTATTAAACATTATTAATTGTTTTATTTATTTATCAGATATGAAACCGCCCTTGCCCTCGCAGCAGCCGGTGCCACGGTCATTCTCGCCGGTCGGAATGAAACTAAGGGAAAAGAAGCCATGGAGAAAATCTATGCGGCTGTTCCCAACGCTAAAATTGCCTTTGGTTTAGTCGACCTAGGAAGTCTGGCTTCCGTTCGTTCGTTTGCCACCAAATTTCTCTCCCACCACCAAGTGCTGGACCTACTCGTGAACAACGCTGGGATCATGACGCCTCCAAAGCGGGTGACGACAAGTGACGGATTCGAGATGCAATTTGGAACGAACCACTTGTCTCATTTCGCTTTAACGGCTCTTCTCCTGCCGGCCTTGAAGAGAAGCGCGGCGCCACGCGTGGTCACCGTGTCCAGTGGGGCGGCCCAAACGGGGAAGATCCACTTTGACGATTTGCAATGGGACAAGCAGAAATATTGCGCCTGGTTGTCCTACTCCCAGTCGAAACTGGCAAATCTTCTGTTCACCTTTGAACTCCAGAGGAAAAGCGACATGGCCGGATGGGGCATTCTCTCCACAGCGGCACACCCAGGATATGCACGAACCGACCTGATCGCCAATGGACCCGGAGAACCAAACCGGATCATGAAGGCGTTGCAACCTTTGGTGTCCCAATCAGCGGCGGAGGGGGCGCTCCCCACCTTGTTTGCGGCAGTGTCACCGGAAGCTAAACCTGCGGGATTTTACAGTCCGCAAGGCACGTTGGAAATGAAGGGACCACCAGGACCGGCAAATGTACCAAGTGCTGCAAAAGATGTCGAGGTTGCGAAAAAATTGTGGGATGTTTCTTGCGAGTTGACGGGAGTAACGTGGGAGTAAAGGTTTTGGGGTGGGCTTTTTTAATTATATTGGCAAATAATTTGGTAATTTGACCGTATTTCATGTTAGTTTATGAACACACGTGTGTATCACATTGATCTGTGTAGAATGCACTAAAGTTGAATAAACTGTTCATTTACTTTCCAAATTACACCACTTTTTACCAACTTTTTCACATTATTGCTGCATGATACATATCAAAACTTTATATTTCATACTATATCAAATACTTGTGTATTTCTTTAAAAGAAAACGGAAGGTGCTTTCCACTATACTTTATTTTACTCCGCTCTTCCACTTTTTATCCTCATCTCAATTTTGATCGTATCTGGATGTTGTTGATCATGTTCATTTCATTTTGATGATGATGGACAAATACCGGAAGACACGGGATAAAAGAGATCTCGAGTAGAGTAAAAGGCAAACTCTACATCCATCCAAAATATTACATACCTTAACCTTTCTAGAAAGTTATTTGTAGACAAGAAGAAAACTACAACAACATTCAAGTAATGGTAAAAATCGATTCATCATTTCATCCAAAAAGTTGTATGAAATTTTCCTAGATCACTAACCACCCACCCACTTTCTTTTTGACTGAACGATCAAGAGAAAAACGAGATGTCTATATGCTCACCCCTTAAAATAATGATTTCTTCATTTATGAGTAGTCCTGCTCGGTTCCATTGTGCCATTAAATTTTTGAGGATGGTGTAATAACTCGCTTTTTCCCCATCTGGCCGACACTGGAATGGGTTTCAGGAAGAAGAAGGAGAAGAAAATAAGTGAAGGTGTGGCAGGATAGGGATGGATAACGACGATGATGAGCTTCTTCTTCTGTCGGGGAGAAAGAAAGCACGCCTTGTATTCCACGCCGTTATTGGTCCTGCTTGGTCCTCATTTTATGGGTGTCTTGTGTCTTATAACTCTTGTTTTAAGTTTTTACTCGAGAAACATGCCACAAAAGTCTGTTGTACGCAATCTATGTCGTCCTCCTCCTCTGACTCTGTACAACAATAGCGAATACGGTTTTCTACCAGATGAATCTTCCCCGTCATGCCGTTTTTTTCATATAAAAGAGAATCCTTCCAAGCAACCCAACATTTATTGTGTATTGATCTTTGTCCCGGTTTTTGTCAGTTTACCAGCCAGCCATCAACCCAACTTTGCGAATTTGGAGAGAAAGACAGACCAGCAGATGAACACGGGTCAATCCTCATCAGAGAAAATGTCCTGGTGACAAAGTCTCCTCGTCGGCTCGGAATTATTATGGACATGAAAGTTTCATGGCTTAACTTGCTCTAAGGAACATGACAGGATGGAATTAAGTCATGCCTAGCATCTCACAATTTTATTGGCATTTTAGCGATTTCAGAAATTATTTAAACTTATCTACAAAACAGGGAAGAAGTGGACGAATAAATATTTATGTAGGTGTTCAGATTGACAGGCCTACCTACCCAAATGAGATCATTGTAATGCTTCTGACACAAATTGTGACTTTGAGACAGAGAAATCTACTTATTCGAAAATTCTTAGAGTGCATAGTGTCGTATCTCATTCTCTTACGGATAAAGCACTCTGTAAATAAGGAGACAAGATCGTAACATAAATAACAATTGGATTGGGAGTTGGATTGAGAATCTCAATTCGAGATTTGGATCCTTTTCCTCCTTCACAACCCGACTGATTGGATGCGGAACGCATTTCAAATTGTGTATAATAGTCTCAGCCTAGATCCTACATCTTTACCTTGTACCACTTAAACTAAACATCGATTACACCGTCCGACCAAATTTTGCTTGGAAATTTTATCTATTTCCGAAAAAAAATCATCACCATTTCGCTACCGTGTATTTAAATCCAATCCACTATTCTTCAAGTAGAAAAATTTGCAAAACTTATTCATTCCACTGCATAAACTCACCCTTGGAGAGAATATCTAGGAGAAGAAAATTGTTTCGGTAACGAAAGATGAGCCGACCATCACGATAACGATTGCAGTCCGTGAACCAAACAAAAGTAGGAGAATGTTACGTAACGAAAAGGAAACATTTCGAGAATTTTAAGATAGTTGGTTGGACGGTCTTCCTCCTGCAAAACCGTCTGGATCAACATCTTCTTCTTCTCCTAAACAGTGGCCTCGGAAGCGGGTTAATGTCCCCACGGTTGTTCGATGTCCGCATCATCATGTTATACAAACCCCTCCCTCCCCTATCCTGCAATGTTAACGTCCTCACATGTCCCCACGCCTTCCGCGGCCACTGGTCCTATTCCGAGCCGAAAAAACCGTTTCTCTTTCAAAGATCGTTTTCTTTTAGTTGGTGGGAGAGACAACAATTGGAAATCCGATTTAGTTTATTGCCTTGTTGGGGAGATCCAAGAACAATTCTTGAACGGAATTGGGATGCGATGTGAATTCTATTCCATTCCCTTCACTTCAATTTCAAACAACCAAATCCTTAACTGAAGGCGAAACGAAGCAATGCGGGAGGACATGACTGATTTACAACTTTTTACACACACCACTACTCAGCCTGGATCTTTATTGAAACGATTGATATGCATTCTCAGTCGGTTGTATTTATTTACATTCGGGAATATTTCTCTTACTGTTTTTTTTGCTTAGATTTGTGGAAACTTATCTATACTGCACGATTCCGAAATCAGGGCGCATAAAAATGTAGGTCGGATCGTATAATAATGGGACTGTGAATTTAGAAATATGTACATCGAGCTGAGAAAATGACGGTATAAATAAATTGAAGGAGAACGAGATGAAATATTTTTGTGTTTGGTGCTGTTTCTCCTGTTTTTTATTACATTGCTTTCTTTCCTCTCTTTTGTTTACGTAACTGACTGAATAACTACGTTATTCAATCTCGATGTCCGATTGAATTACAATTTATTCTTGAAGTAGACAACGTAATGTGAAGGAAATAAGAGATATGAATCATTTATTGGATCTGTCAAGGTGACGTTACGTAATGGACCACTTTTGTCGTTTATATGTATGACTTATTTAGAAGCCAATAGCGATATTTATATGGAAAAAATATACGAATGTTTTATAACAGATTTGATCCAGGTTTGTGGACGAGTAAAAATCTCACTTATGTCACTCTTCATATAAAAAATTTGTTTAATATGCCTTACAATGCACATGTCAGACATGTTTCGCACGGATCTTGTTGAAACTAGCACTAAAATCTCAAGGAACTAAACACAAACAATAGTTAGTATGAAATTTGAGCACTTCTGCAGAATTCGCGAAATGGCGAACGTTTTAAGTTGGCGAAAATGCGTATTTTCACCATGCGAAACTATATGGAGTTCACCTCTCCGCTTTTCTCCTGCGCTTCTCTTCGCGAGGTCATCCGTTTTCGCTCAAAATTGAATTAATTAATTTCCTAACCAAGTTCTCATCCGATTTTTTATATTTGGACTTTACATAATTTTTGAGCACTTTTTAATATTTAAAATGGATTCAACTAACTTATAAGTGGATATTATTTTTCAAAATTGTTTCAGAATAATACATTCGATGTTTCTATTTATTCCCTTGGCGTGCTTTAAAGATTTTGATGACAAAAATCTTATGACTTTGTGTAATGTTAGCCCTTATCACACATAGGGAACTAGGTATATTTGGTTTTTTATGGTCTAATATATAAATAAGTTTACAAATATAAATATGCAATGTGAAAAAAGGAAAATCGAATCCACTATTCTGAAATCTCAACAAATTCTTAAAAAATTCCAATGATAGCAACTTAATTTTTATGTTAAATATTAAAAAGGTTCAAAAATTGTGTCAAATCCAAATATAAAAAATCGGATGAGAACTTGGTTAGGAAATTAATTAATTCAATTTTGAGTGAAAACGGATGACCTGGCGAAGAGAAGCGCAGGGGAAAATCGGAAAGCGGCCGTATAGTTTCGCATGGTGAAAATACGCGTGTTCTCCAACTTAAAACCTTCGCCATTTCACGAATTCTGCAGAAGTGCTCAAATGTCATACTAACTATTGTTTGTGTTTAGTTCCTTGATATTTTAGTGCTGGTTTCAACAAGATCCGTGCGAAACATGTCTGACATGTGCATTGTTAGTTAGAAGCCAATAGCGATATTAGAGACTTAGAGATTTTTTGTATTTTTACTTGTACTGTACTGTGACTACAGTACAATACAAAACCTACAGTGCAGACTCCATATAGCCCGAGTCAGGGACATACTCCCTGACTCAATAAGTCAGAGCCTTCTAAAATTTTTTCCGAATTGAGCGACATAATATCACCAACTTCCGTGTTGTGGATGGTTAAAAGTTTGTTAGATAGTTTCTATTATTTGGTACCAAATTTTTGAATTATTTACAAATCATGTGCCTTGACCACCATGACCAGTGGGCTTCTTTAACATCCTGAAGTTCTAAGATGTAATGTATGTGCTATCCAGCTATTCAGCCTCCATACCAAATTTCTGCTCGATATAACGATTTTGAAAAATCAGTATAGGTCGCCCCATAGGGTCACTCTGGTTGCACTTTGCTCACTTTTAACTTCATATTCTTTAATTAGAAGCCATTAAGTATCATTGTGCCGGATTTCATCTTTTTAAAGTAATTTCTAAAAATCGGTATGGGTTACGCCATAGGGTCGCTCCGGATAAAAATTTTACCAATATCACATCGTATTCTTTCATTAAGACCCATAAGCAACCTCTCCACCAAACTTCAGTTCGATATGATGGTTTTGAAAAATCGGTATGGGTCACCCCATAGGGTCACTCAAGATGAAAATTTTTCCAACTTGAAGTCATTTTTATCTCGTAGGAGCCATTATCAACCTCGGCACCAAATTTCAGCTTTCTACGGCAATTTTGAAATTTTGATGCATAATACCCCTCCCACCTATATGACCCCCACCGGTCAACCACTTGACCGATTTCGCCCATCTTCGAACTTAACTCCTCATTTGACCCATACTACATGTGTACCAAATCTCAAGTCGATCGGACTAGTTTTACGGCAGTTATCGCAAACCAGACAGACGGACATGACGGGTACATAAGCCCTGACTCGGGCTAAAAACTATTACGAATGTTCTATAAGATTGTTTGACGATATGGAGGAAAAATCTGTCACTCTTCATGTAAAAAATTCGTTTATTTTTTTTTAACCAGTGTCAACTTTGGTTATCAGAGCACCAGTTATGATTTTTTTTCTTCGAAATTTCACCTTCTGAAGCTGTATGAGCGTTATTTGACGCAATTAATTCGTTATTGCCAAAAGTGCAAATGCATAACAAATATGTCTTCCGCCATTCTGAATAATAATTCGTAATTTGTGAGCTAGAAATGCATGCAAAAATTAATAGTTTGCAACAACGATTATCAAAAGATACTTAATTATTGGACAAGATTTTGATCTGCATCCTTACAAAGTTAATTAATTGCAACACTATTAACGGCGTCTTAATTACAATATGTTAGTAAATACGAAAATTGATTTATTGCTTTCACTCAAAATTATATAGGAGATTCTTTGAGTTTCTTTGAACCAGTGCAAACAAAATTAACACGATGTCGCAAATTTAAATTTCTGTCATACTTATTCCCCATTTCGTAACTTATATTGTGTAAAAAATACAATGGCGACACACGACTCTTAATAGAGTCATCTTCTTCAAAGCCATATGTACAAGTATTCTAAAAAAACAGATACTTATACCCCAAGTACTGATGACATTTTCGCGTCCTCCACATATATAAATTGTACTCCACAAAGGGTATAAAGTAACCCGAGAAAATTACACGGTATCCACACTCCTCTCATTTTTTGACGTTTGACTTTGATTCCGTGGATGGTTTCAAATTTGACATTGCTTCCAAGAAGTGTACGTATAAAAGAATTTCGTTTTACTTTCAACTTGATACGTTTTCCAGAATCTCACTCACTGAGTGAGTGAAAGAATAAGTAAAAGTAGGCGCATAAGTGGGATTGAAGTAGATGAAGATGGAAATTGAGATGCATGAAATAAAACCTTAAAACTCACTCAAGTGTCAAATAACCTGGCTCCCCTTTCACGTCTCGCGTCATCTCAGACGTTCGTAACGTAACCACAAAGTAAGTATGACATCGGATAAAAAATCACACATAATATTTACACCCACACCCACCCCACAAAGAGATTTCTTCACTAAGAAAAAAATGCAGGAAACTTTACTCCCAAAAAACTGCGAAGAATTAAAGGGAATGCCAAAGTGTAAGCAAATATACAATATTAAACTCTTACTTACCTAACGCAACGCCGTAAACCCAAGCAGACAGGGAGTACCCGTAGTACCCTTTCACCGAGGAAATGGCAATCATCGAGGCTCCTGCGAAGTCAACATTCACATGCAAATTTGAATCACGTTGGGCCAAATCCAGATTGAAATTCATCGATTCATTCCATGTTCACGGGACGTTCATAAATAAAAAAATCAAGAAGGAGAGAAAGTCAGTAAGTGAGGTTTTTTTAAAGATTTATCATTTCATACAGGAAAAGTGTGTAGATTCCTGCGTGCAAGGTTTTTTTACCATGAATGATATTATATTTCGTAAGAGGCCGATGATAATGGAGGAGAAAGTAAAATATTTTAAGAATGGAAGAACAAATTCCTCTGCACATGTTTAACCCGTGCTTACACGAGGTACAAATACTCGTATATCTCCCAAAAAAGAGGACAAGTCGATAAATCTTTAATAAAAATGGATCGACTTTCTCCAATGTTTATTGATCAATAACTTTCTCCAATGCTCGGAGGAATTTATTTAACCAGTCTTTATACTTTGGTAATAAATACTTTCACCGTATTCAATTTATTGATGAGAAGGATTAGAATGTTGGGATACTTTTCTGCTCCTGGTCACACACGTAGAGCTATAAAGAAGAATAAATATATCTTCGCCCTTACCTGTAAGACAAGCCGTTCCCGTACACAGGACACGTGGAGAAAGTCGGCAAGACTTGAACTTTTTCAGCGTAAGTATAGCTCCGAGGATGACTCCGAGCGAGAGTCCAAGGCCTAAATGCGTCTGCAGCAGCAACAACGACCCTCCCGAGAGCCCTTCACTCCTCCCAAAGTCGGACTTTAAGGAAAAAACACAAATAATCAACGACACGCGATATAAAAAAATAAATCGATTTCCACATTTTAAAACGATGACGAACGAACTTTCTCTTAAAAAAAGGACATCTTTATGCCGAGAAAGAAGTTCAATTGCGTGGGAGAAAGTCGATTTGAGACTTGCCCACATGAAAAATGGGGCACGACATGGAAATACTTTCGCCCAGTTTCTTCTCCTCTTCCTCGGAGCGACTAACTATTCGTGTGGTTGCTGTCCATCAATCATGCTAAGTCGTTCGGGTGACGTCTCTTTCCACGCTTTCTCTCCTTTCCTCAAGTGGGGAGGAAGTGTCTACTTAACTCTCGAGATGCATATGCAGCAGTCACTTTCTTTTCAAAAAAACGTTCAAAATCAGGGTAAACAAACTTTAAAAGAGAAACACCTTGACATTTTTGTTAGAGAAAGTCTCCGCTAAAAGGAGTTTGACTCAATTGAGATGCTTATTTTTAGGAGAAGAACAGTGTGCTTAATTCGAAACGAAACTTGATCCCGTTATTACGATATTTTCCTTTGTTTACTTCTCTTCCCAAGTAGTTGAGACATGTCGAAAGAACGGTGTAAATAATGAGGTCGACAGGCAATTTACTCCCTCCCTGTTGTCCCGACGTATTACATAATGTCGTAAAATGAGATGACAAAAAGCCGTCAACCACGTCACGTCCAGGATTCAGTGTTTTCTAGGAAATGAGAAATGATCACGACACGCTGGGTATAAGGTTGAGAGGACAAATGTGTCAAGGGTTATGTATCTTTTGCAACGTGCACCTTCGATGACTTGGTGTAGCAAAAATCAGACAAAAATCAAACTTTTTTTCAGGAAACAATCTGTTATTCATTCATGCTGCATGTTCTGCTGCTTTATTTTATGGATTGGTCCTTATCAAAAGGTTTGGATGAAAAGGAGGGAGCACTAGAAACCCAAGGAAGGAACATGAGCCAAATTGGACTCATTTTTTACTGCCTTCAGTCCGGCAAAGATGTAACGTATCAGAGGCTGGCTAAATAGCCGAGGAAAAAATTTTCTATCTAAAAAGAAACATGGTGAAAGTGAATGCGGACGAGAAACCCATAGCCGTAAAGTAAGATTGTGTATGTAGGTGAATACTAAACTTCCCAATTTTTGGACATTGCACTTTTCACGGGCCATATCTTTTATGATCCAATTCACAAATAAAATAAAGTAAAACAACTCCAAATAGTGGATGATAAGGCGAAAAACAATATTGCTTTCTCCAGATTCTGCAGCAGCAATACCGATTTATGCCCGAATTTGAACCCGAACTTATTGCACGAATAAAATAAAATAAAACAAATTGCATGAAATTGAGATAATTTGCTTCAATTTTACACACGCAGAGCAATTCCACCTCCTTTCCCCGAAAACAAATAAGAGAATTGCCTTAACTTGTCGGAGAAGTGAGTAATAAGTGGATTGTTCCGGGAGTAGTTTTAACCTAAATGTGAATTTATGGGGTTAATTTGTTTCCATATAGCTCACCATGAGAAAGACGGGGGCATAAAGGCCAAACGAGGAGATGGCTGAAGACCACAGCAACGGCTGGAAAAAGAAGAAGGATACAGGTTCAACCGTCGTACTGATTTTCGCCCAAATACCGCCGCAAATACCTTTAATGACGGCACGCAGAAGAGGTGCAGACTCCGACAAATGTCACCACCCAGCGGGACTACCATGGAACTCGGACTCTTGGGTGATTCCACGCGTTGATGCTGAAATTCCAAAAAGTTGAATGAATGAAATAACCTGTAGATTGATTGCAGGAAAAGGAAGTCGTATCATCATTTGAATAATTTACTGGTCACTAAAGTATCCCGTAATCGGCCCCTTTTAAAGTGGTTGGTCATTTCGGAACAATAATGGAATTGATATTGGTTGTAAGGTGGCGATCTCATTGAAACTCCAATTGTGGAAAGTGGATAATAAATGTGACTCGATAAATGTGCGGCTTAATGGGTGCGGGTCTCCTACCAAATTCTCTCTTTGTATGGTGCGGAATGTGTCGTGTGGCTTCAAATGGCGGAAGGAAGTCTATTCTCAATTGTCCCTTTTATTTCTTTGTCTATTGACTTTCTCCACCGAAGAAGGAAGACAAGGGCGACTTTCTCTTTCCCCACCGCACTTTTTTTTCTTTGTGATCATCAACCCAACCTTGAACGGACGGGGTCAATTATTGTGTTACTGTAATATCGACCATGATTTTTAGGGTGTGTATTGTATGATAATCTCATTAATTTTATGTGATTCGGTGCCCTAATACGTTTCCAATTGGGAAAGAATTTTCCGGAAAAGTATGTCAATCTGCACCCGCCCAATTTATAACTGTATCTAGTACCCCGCTGATAAGGAGAGGTACGTCGTATTTGTGGTTTGGTTTTATTTTGTCTGGTCGGGAGATTAAGATAAGACCAACACGACACACTTTTCCCGTCGTCTTCTTCTTCTCAAAAGGAGAAAGTGAAAGTGTTTGTGGAGGATTTGGATCTGCAGTTTACTTTATGAAGACATTCACAGCTCACTCTTTTCAGGGTGGTCTGGTCAGGTCATAAACCTATCCACCAGCCACATTAAAACGGGCTAAAGTATCAGAAGATGAGCACAAGTAACAAGTAAAGTAACCAGTCGGATATGCTTATAAGCCGCACTTTCTCCTCAAATAGAGGAGCAAACTATTGCTTTACTTATCGTCCTCTCATCTTATCTCATCTTCCTACAAATCCTAACCTAACCACCAACCCACCCACTAAATGGAATCCCTACGTATCTATGTACCTTATTAGAATATGTATGTATGTACGTGTGCCGAGAAATGTATGAGCCACGGCTGCTGCCCTATCTTGTTGTAGCTATCATAAGGATTAGCAAAACTTGTGCAATAAAAGTTACCAACTTTATTGCTTTTCTACGCACGAAATAAAATAAAACATTGAGCCGATCGTAATGGCGGGGATGATGTTGCTTTACTTGGCACAACATTTCTCTAAATAATTTATACAAGAACTTGTGATGTGATGAGAGGTTTTTTCTCCACCACCAACTTTGTCATCCCCATTTAATTAAACAGCCATCCACTTTTTAATATATCGTAAACTCGCCGAGCAGATTTGACACGGAGTGTAAAAGATTTATTATCATGGAGAAAGTGGGAGATTTTGCTTCATTCATCCATTCCTCGTCAGGCAGCTAGGCCTTGGTCCAGTCCACTTCCTGCTTTGTGGACGCGTCGGAGCGGAAAATAACTTGTAAGGAGGAAGGGACAGAATTGATATTGATGTAGTACGACGGGGGACACGAGGGTGGGACTGACTGAGCGAGAAGTAATAATGTAATAGTGCTAATACAAGCCACGTTTTCTTCCACTGCAGTGCAGATGATGTATAAGGACCTTGCTTTCTTTGTGTAAAAAAATGATTTATCGATGGGGACAACACGGTGTCCGGTTTGTGTGTACAAGGGATTTGAGGCAACTGGTTCTTTAGTTTTTTTTTGTCTGTCCGGCTGGTAGTGATGAGGTTTATGTATTTCATGGTGGATCATAAATTGAGGCGAGTTTGCTTTCACTTTATTCAATTATGTGAGCAAATGTTAAATTAAGGTTGATCTAGATAAGCATATTTTTTGAGTGGTTGGAATTAAGTTGGGTGTCAATTGTGCTGAACAATATCACTGTTTTTCATAAACGAGAATTTTTGAGTCATTGGAAATAAGTTTGGGTCACTTTTTTTAATAAAAAATAAGTGACTTGAACTGCATAACTTTTCATAGAATAATACATGAATTTTTTGAGTGCTTGGAATTAAGTTGGGTCATTTCTTTTTATAAAAGTAGAATACGTGACATTATCAAAAATAAATACGGTATCTCTCCCCACTTTTTTCTTTTTGCGGTGAAAGTGGGACCTAATCCACTACGAAATGCTTATGTCATCGCTTTTCTCTCTCATCCATTGATCCCGTGTCCCACCTTGCTCACTAATTTCAATTTACAAATCCTTTCATCCCACCACCACGCCACGCCACCACAAAACTATGGATGGATGTGTGTCGCCACTAAAATACAAGCGAAATCCTCTTCCCGTCCAAATTCTGTCGTGCCCTGCTTTCACTTCAGGAAGAGAGCCACATCCAACTCAAACAAGCAAACAGACTACTTTACACACAGTTGTGTTCACCCACAAATTTTCAGTTTGTGGGTTTGTAAAAGTAGCATGAAACAAAGTTGGGTTGGTCGGATTTGGGAGAAAAAGTTTGAACGTACATAGGTAGGTATATACATATATTTGCTTTAATTTGCGCATTTCAGGCTCACCAAATCTTTTACGGGGTGAAACTTTGAATTAGGAAGAAGACGACACATGTAGTGGATATTTGCTACAAATTCTTTTTTGTTCTCACCTTTCCACCACTTCCCCCCAAGGACCCGCTTCGCTCTCGGGGCTGGTACTTTGACGCGGTGCGGTAAAAGGCGGGGAGTAGAACACAGATGGTGGCAAAAGCCGCGCCCACTCGGAAACCCGCGCCCCACTCGAGGTGTCGGGTGAAGGAGAGGTACAGCAGGGAAAAGAGGGTGACACCCACACCCGTCCCAGCCATGACCACCTGCTCCACGAATTGGCGACGTTTTCGGAAAAATTCGCCCAGAACGACCCCGCTGCTCTCGCGTACCTAAAATTTTAAAATTATTAAATTATTTAGTTTTCAACTTTTTTTGGAATTTTGAATTAAAATTTTCAGTTCAAAATTTCATTTTAAAGAATGTACAAATTCTTACGCACCATGCAAGATCCGATCCCACCAAACAGTCCGAAACTGTAAAAAAAGTATAATTCATATAAATATTTTTGCTTCAGATTCAATCATCATTTCTGAAATTGTTGGTTTCCGAAACTCAATTTTTCCCGAAGACCAGCAAGATTCACAAATTCAATCATATCTCATGTAATCAGATCTTGGAAAACGTAGCCATCGGAAGTTTCATCTCGGATCAAATTCATCCCGGTTAGGTAACCCTGTCAATAATCGGTCTCCTATTTCTCCCCAGTAAGTAAAAGTTGAAGCCTTGTAAATAGATTTCTTGGTGGAATGCTAAAGTGCGTATCAACTTCTATGTACCTACATACTTCGACATGATAACAGCTTGCACGTGTTTTCCCTAAATAAATTTCTTCACCACAAATTCCGTGAAACACACAACTCGTGCTACTGCCACCAGGGTTTGGAAAACCCCGGGGTTTTTGTAGAAAAACCCAACCCCTGGGGTTTTTCCGGGGTTTTTGGGGTTTTTGTGGGTTTTTGGGTTTTTGTGGGTTTTTGTGGGTTTTTGTAGATTTTGGGGCAGGTTGAACCAGAATTCCTAAAATTATATATTAGAGATAAACTAATTTTATATACAATTTTAACATGCAATTTTAACCGTTATCATTGATTTGAACTGTTACATCGAAAATTTATGTTTGACATGTAAATCTGGATATATGCAATGATATTTGGAAATTCAAGTCGCAAATGAAGATTCTCAAAATTTCAAGATGAAGTAGAAAAGTTAATTAGCATTGATCTACGTTGTAGTTTAAGGGATGTTGTTTCAATCTACCTCAAAATCCTACAAAAACCCCGGAAAAACCCACAAAAACCCGCAAAAACCCCAACCCACAAAAACCCGGGGTAGCGAACCCTGACTGCCACTCATCAGGAGAAAGTAGGCTTCCTAATAGAGGGTGTTCCGGAAGTAATGCAACTTTGGTAAAATGCATATATGCAAGGGTATCAATTTGCCCCAAATTCGAAATTGGGTGAATATTGTAGTCCACACATTTATCTAGTAGAATCCGAAAACCAGAAGTCGATATCTCTATCCGTTCCAAAATGAGGTCAAATACCACCAAGCAACTCGCAACCATCGTCTGCCACTACCTCGAAAAAGTGGTTACGCGCTCCAAGAAATTGAGCTGTGTTCACTTTAAAAAATAAGAAATTCCAAAAGTGACGATTTGTTGTGTTATACTAAGGTATGAGCTGCAAAAAACGACTAATCGCAAAAACTATCTGGTCGGTACATTCGTGTGGCAGCCCCGAAAGTAATAAACTTCGTGTAGATAGAAATTTGTTATGTCGGAGCGAAATTCGCTGAAGTACTTGAAGTTCTCACCGAACACCATACATTATTTGAAAGCTTAGAAGTTGGACATCAAATCCTAGAAGGTTCTAGAAGCTTATAAATATAGTCAAGAGTAAAATAAAAGTAGCAAGCAGGAGGGCAGAAAAAATCCTTGACCTGAAGTAATTAAAATTAACCAAAATTGATCGTCCTGTACAAGACGATGTACTGCTCAGATTATCAAAATGCTTTTATTTGCACATAGTACAACTCTCCCACCTTCAAGAAAACCATTTATGCAAAACTGGAAATTAAATATAGGCCAAAGTATCACGCTCCGCCTTAAAACGGATCAAATGCAATTAACATGGGAGAGTTGAACAACGTTCCCAAATTTGCCAAATACAAGACCTATTGAAAAATTTTAGTTCCTATCCTAGAAAAAATATTGTAATCGAAAAACTTCAGTCAAAAATTTGAACTTATTTCAACACATGTGGTCAAAAATCTCAAAAAAGGTGACCAAAAACAGTGGCGAAGCACTAATTGTGAGCGCCCAACAAAAACGTCTCCAAATTTGGCGGATGGGGTGTACGGACCATTGGAAGCAAAACTTAATTAGCTTTAACCTTTGTCCCTTTTTATCCAAAATTTCGCTTTAAAAAATTCATTCGTTGAGTTTATATGTGCATTTGACCAAAGTTGCATTACTTCCGGAACACCCTCTAATTGCACGCTCCGTAATTTAGCGGAGAAAGGGAGGGAACCACAACGTCAGAGACAGACGGTTTAAATTTGCTCATATTTTGGTTTTGGAGAAAGCAGCCTAAGTGAAAGTGAGCATAGTCGAGTTCAGTCCAAAATCCTCCATACACTTTTCTTATAAGGAAATAGCATTGGATGGGCTATAAGCTTCTTCATATACGGGCGATGATGACGGATGGTGAGAATTCTCCGGTTCACACTTGTCTGAACTTTTGGCTCCTCTTATTGAATTCCTCGCTTCTTCTGCATCCCATCCCGGAAGCAAAAGTAGTGCTTTCCCTGCCCTGCCTTTCACTCAGTTTCACATACTTTCACTTTCTTCACCATCACCCATCGGCCCCTCGATCCACTCAACTTTTCCCTGTAAAGTCAGCCTGTCCAGCATTTATAGCTCTACATTTCGCCTATAGCGCGTGTTGTGGTGGATTGTGGATCACACAAAATATGGGCCGATGAGACCTTCCTCGTCGTCAACTAGACTCCTTGGACATTTGCACATTTACCAGAATTTCAGGTCGGATGGATAGCATCTGGACGGATGAGTGAGTGAAAGTCGGGTGATGTGTGATGATGGGATGTGAGAACGAGGGTAATGGATTGGTATGCATGTTGTCGGGTGATGTGCGTGAGTAACAAGTGGTGCAAAGCAATGTGCCAGCCAAGTGAATATTTTAGACACATTTTTTACAGTGTCATATTCTTGTCGATTGTTTTTTCTGTGCAAAGTCGTGCGTATTTTTTGCAACTGTGTCACTTTTTAGTATCAACCACCTGGCAAATGCGTGTAATGGTTTTGTATGTAGGATCGACCTCTGCGACATGTTCAGTTCACACAGCATGACGACGGCATGTCCGCTTAGCTATATTATTATATTTATTATTGCCTCACGTTTCACAAAATTTCCAATTTGGAAACGGTCGCGGCGAGACGTGATCATTGGGCGTCGCGTCGTTATTACAATAATTTTAGTGTCGTCGTCGTCGCTTCTCATATATTTCGATAAGTTGCAGTAGTCGGGCGGGCAGCCAGTCATCCAGGACGAGCGAATTTCATACTAATGGCATAATGCGATTTGAGCTATTTTCACCACCCACAAAGAAGAATACGGCACGAGAAGAGGCAGCAGCACAACAATCGTCGCTCGTGCATGGCACTCCTCCTGATCCAGACTAAAGCACATCCCACAACCATTCCGAATTTGAGATGATAGGCCAAAGTTCCACTTTCACTGGGTACTTTGTATGTATTATGGGAAATTTGAGGCGAAAATTACAACTGTGACGTTTCGCACTACAGTTTTGTTGTAACTGGAGAAGAAAGAGTGTGGCTAAATCGGTTGAAAAAAATGGCGGAATTTTCAAGCAGAAAAGAGAAGAGTTGGTCGTTTCATACGTACATAGCTTTCACTGCCAACCAACGAAATGTATTACGTAATGCTATGCAGTTGTTGTGTTGGAATGCGTGCCAAGAATATTTTTCAGAAATGCATGCACCTACAGAAATGACTATTTTGCTAAAGCTGCACTCCAAACAATTATTTTTCAATGTACATATTTAATTTTAAGTTGCAGATTTGTGTGAGATCTTGCATACCAGATAAATATATGTTGAATCTCCGTCGCAAATGATGTCCCAAGGAGTGAAAGTGGAAATAGAATCCCTGCAAAAAATGACATGACATTTTTAGCCAGATTCAAAAAGCCACAACTTTCTCTTTTAAAATATTTTATATATATTTCAATATTTTTTCTCTTTTAAAATTCCATAATTAAATTTCATACGAAATTCATAAAAATTATTTCGCATTGATTTTATCGTTACTATCCAACTTTAAAAGTTATTTATGACGACACTGAATTAAAAAGTTTCCAGATTATTACCTCCCACGAGAGAAAGCACACGCACATTCTTCCTCCGGCATAGATTCACCACCAATGGTGAAAACACTGAAGACACCGACCAGGATAGTGGCCCCAACCAATCTGCAACAAATTATGTACAAGTTTTAGTTCATTAAAAAAGACACATTACTTTCCCCTTTCCTGATTATCATCCAACCCCAATCAGCAAAAAAGATGCAACCCGATCAAAAATAAATTGCCACTGTGTCCTCAATCGCTGATAAATAACGTACAAATTACGCTCCCACAAATTACAACGGCAATAAATAAATGATGTGTTTACGCCTATACGCATTACGTTTCCTGCTCGATCGTAGATAACTAATTTATAATGTCAGCAGAATCCTCACATTACGACACATTCCATCCTCCCAAACCCACAAATTACCACCAACGACGAGGTCCACCACGACGACATGGCGTTAAATGGTCGTCGTCTACTTTCTCCAAATAAAATATGAGGTGGGTAGCTTGCACGCCGTTAAATTAATTTTGTTACAAGTCTAACTCGACACGTAGCAATTACTCCGATGACAATTGAATGATTCCTTCATTTTTTCACGAGGATGCCACTGCTCAAGCAGGGATAAAAGTTGTTATCCGGCTTAAGTGGCTCCTCCGAGTAAAAGTTTAATTAAATTAAATTAAATTGCATCATTCCACTCTGAAAAGTGTAAAAGTTTTTCCCATGTACCCATCATTAGACTGATAGATAAATGGTTAATGGGGAAATACACAGAACAAATTGGTGCCTAAAAATTTTAGCCCAGAAAATACATAGATTCTGAAAGTGAAAGTAGATAAATAAAAAAGTTCGAAAAAATTCTAGGTATCGAAAACTACCCAAAATCACGTGCGTGATGATGATAAATGTCCCACTTTCTCTTTTACAATTTGAATTCGCGAGCCGACTTTGGGACCAATTTAATTTGATTGGGATGTCGATAGTTGGTCGTCGGTGTTACTTTTCCAGCTAAGCTAGTTAGTCTCCGCTCTCCTCACTTTGTCGGCTCGCTTACTCCCAGAGATTGTAACTTTATTTAGCCACATTACTACTACTTCACTCCTTCCTTCCTCCCCAACTAACTGGCAGCTTCATCATCAAGTCTCTATATCCTACTGACTTTCCTTCATTTCTTATCAGGCCGGAGACAGCCTGCCTGCCTGCCAGCAAGCGAGAGGAAGAGTTGTGGATGGAGGAGGAGAGAAAGTAGAATTAAGCAATTAGGCTAATAGCTCAATAAAGTTGGAAATGTATTCAATCTGCAAGCAATTGATGAAGATTCACCATTTTCCGTCTAGACGGGGGTGGAGAAGAGGAATATATAAATCTTGAGCTTTCCTTCATTTAATTAACTTAACGTAACGCAACGTAACGTAATGCTGCCGACGTTATGGTTTGATCTCCATCTCGCATACAGTGGCCGCGGAAGCTTGGGGACACTGCCCCACAGTTATTCGATGTCCCCATCATCTCTCTATCTTATATAAACCCCTCCCTCCCCTATCCTACCATGTTAATGTCCCCACAACTTCCGCGGCCACTGTATATCGCGTCCGATTGAGGAACCAGATTATAAAAAAATATGAGCAGCAGCCCTGACGGAAAGCCGTCCCCTAAATCAACACGATTTGATTGGATTGGCCTGTCGAATTTTGTATCGGTTCATCCATTTATCATCACAGATGAGCAACTCATTCAACGAGAGCTAATTGAATTTCAGCCTGCGAGAATGAACCCAATTAGGTTGTTGTCCGTGCCGTGGTGGTTGATGGAGAGATGTGGGTTACAGCTTGTTACGAGGGTCATGCCCTCGTATTTACTTTAATAATTGGGCAGCCCAATAAGTAATAATTACAATCAGGACGCCACCACAGCTGGATTTTGATTGCTACTAAAATCATCACACCACAAAAGTGCAGAAAAGCAGAAAAAAGTAGTTGGGTAAAAAAAATTGTCACATAAATTCTTCTTACGATGAGCAGTAGAGTCTTGGAACTTATTGGCGAGAACGATGTGAAGGGCTCCGGCAGATAGTTGAGCCCCTGAAGTCGTAACGTGAGCAAGAAACGCGCAGGCACATACGATCCAACCCTGGAACGAAAGAAAAAAATTATTAAAAATTTATTACCCAAATCGAACGGCATATTATAAAATTCTGAATTTAGAAGAACGTGTTTCCTGATGCGTGCAAGTTTTATTGCGAGCAAGGAAACACTTAAAAAAAGGAACCTTATACTTACCCAACCGCCTTCCGGGTAGAAATGGGTCCTTATTGTACCCGTCTCCAACCGACGCAATCCTCCCATCTGAAATTTAAACAAGAAGAAATCGTCACTAATTTATACTTGATATTTTATAATTAGTCCCTTTTTGTGTAAGAAATACATATAAAAATTGTATAATTTTAATGCACAGACCATAATATATCATATTTTACCAGATTTTCAATTAAATTTCACACACATGCGTCAGTATAAAATCGGTCCCACCAATAAAAATTGAGTATCTATTCCTGCCTTCCAATTAGCATAGCTTTATCCCCTGGATTTCGCAATATTTACATTGCTTTACTCACGAGGAAATCACTATCGTGCTTTGAATGTAAATATTCCAAAATTTCCACGAAACTCAACCCACTTTCACCACCCAACCTATCATCATCCCCTCCCCACCGCAAAATTGTTTAGTGTAGAAAGATCATGAATAAATAAAGCTGAATATTTACCCAGCATATTTATTTATTGTTATTTCGGATTTTGCAAAGTATTGCAAAATACAAATACAAACACGAAACCAAACCAGTCATGCGAACCTGAAGCTGGTGGTTCTGATCAGAATAAATGATTCCATACTCTGACGGCAACTTTACTTTACTTTATATAAACAAATTCTATAGTTCAATTTCAAAATCACTGTTAGTGCCGATTCCTTGAGTTTGAATGAAACAAAGGGAGAAATTCAATATGTGGATTGGATTTCCATGTGTGTGCAAATGATAAGCACATTTCTCCATGAAATGAAAGGACGGAAATTGAAATGGAAATAAAATAAAGCACGTTTCTCATGGATTTCACTGCTGTTTTCATGTCTAACTTATTTCCTCACGGGTGAATTCCCACAATAACGGAGATGTATTGTTCTCCCTGTTTTAATCGAGGACGACAAGAAGACTGTTGGACTGTGACGGAATTTATTACATCCATTACACCAGCTTGGCAGGAGAATAAGCGCAACTAATTAATAAGCATTATATACGGGGAAAAAAATCCCATTAAAAACTCGCATTACTCCGCGTCACAATTGGTGAATATAATTTGTATTTCAGACAGTCATCGCATCACCTTTCTCTCCGAATCGTAGAAATTTATTCTGATTGTGACATGATTGCATGTGAATGAATTTCCTGCCTCTATTTTATCTACGTATCCATCTATCCATCCGTCCGCCATGTACCATTATCATTTGTATGTGACACAATAACGTTGAATAATTCAGTGTAGCATGGCAGTCAGCCAAAAGGGACCACCAAAAACCACAGTAGGACTACTACTTGCAACACAACAAAATGAAGTAGTTGACCCGCCAGCAGTGGAGCGTCTTCGTCATTCATTCCCTACTTTCTCTGTAAAGTTGGTGAAAGCTGACATGGTGAAAGCGAGCGGTGAGAGAGCACTGCATATCTACCGAGACGAGATAATTGATCGGGGCGGTCTGGTCTGGTCTTCTGGTTTAGCTACCACCACGTCGAGCAAATGACAAAATGACGACGACGGCACAATCAGTCTGAGTGAAGTGAGATGAGACGAAATGAAGAGTGGTAGATGGATGTCTTTATTGTACCCGGGCTGCTGGGGTCCCATTGTGCTCTCAACAAGGCTGTTTTGTCATGAATGTAATTCACCACTGGGTGTGTGTTGTGACTTGATGAAAATTTTGAGAAAATACATAGCATACCAGCCTGTTCTCCCACTAGAGAGAAGAGGAGAAAGTGGATGCGGTTGAGAAATAGGAAAAAAGTAATCAACTGGAAATCACGGGACATACATACACATTCTTCTCTCCGAAACTAAGCATACATGTATGGCGTGCATACCATAACTAGGCAGATTTACGTCCAGTGCCCGCGGAAGCTTGAGGGGACAGTGGGACAATGTCCCCATCATCTGCCCATCTTATATAAACCACTCCCTCCCTTATCCTACAATGTTATTGTCCCCACGGCTTCCGCGGCCACTGCGTACATCACACCACACCCAGACCACATCCACCTTAACTCAACTATGGAAATCAGCGTCAGTCAGCACGTATGTAAGTAAAAAAAGAGGGGCGGTGAAAGCAGGAGAGAAAGGACGCGTCTTCTTGTCATGTCACATGCATCTCAATCATAATTTACAGATTGTCTCCACTCCACTGAATTCGTGACATTTTCGCCGTGAATACGTAACGAATAAATACCTTTACATGTATATTTCTGATAAGCAGTTTCCCATAATTTGTACATGTTTCGTAACTACTTGAGATTTTTATTTCGGAATAAATGTCTGTCTTCATTTCCGCCCGAGTCAGATGCAAATTCCTTGCTTATTTTAATCTCTATTTGGTAAAGTACTTGTGTAGAATTAATGTGAAGACTAAATTGAAATAAATTTAGGCATGGGTTGACTGGTGGAAATCTAGTCTGGCCATTCATCTTATTTACAGATCTCACAAAAACATGCAATCCAGCCTCAACGGAAGGGAACCACCACACGACAAATTTGCAAAACCTCCTCCTCCTCCACACAATAAATCTGCTGCTGGTACAGAATACACGTACGTTTGTTTGTGTAGAGAAGAAAGATAAATCCAAATCTGGGGAAATCTTGTCCAATCTCATATCGTCGACGGGGAAGAAGAAATGTGCGGCCGTGGTTTGGTTAGTGGTGAAATCCGACCCGAAAAATAAGCACCCAAAAAACGTATGACACATTGCATGGGATAGTTTGCTTGGTTATAATATGAATAAACTTCTGGCTCAAGTTTGTTCCAAATTCTGGAGAGGAAAAAATGGGGTAAACCGGGAGGAGTGGCTGGATAGCTGTGTGAGGAGGGGATATGTCTCAAATTCTTAGAATGGGGATGCAAACCGTGTTCAACCCAGATTATTTTTCGACCATATTAGTTTGAAAGAGACACTTTCAAACTAAACTGTTGTTTAGAAACAACATTTAGTGTGGCACTTGCGCAGATATGGAAAATTCAGCAAGTTTTTAGGGCCGCAAATTCGCGAAAAAGCTAGACTTTCCAGCGGAATCTGTGCCGTGCGACAGCGCGTTTCCGCGAACTAGAGCGCACAAAACTTGCTGAATTTTTCGCATCTGTGCAAGTGCAGCCCTAAAAGAGTTGCCCTTTCATACTAACCTGGTCGAAAAATAATCTAGGTTGAACATGGTTTGCGTCCCCATTCTTAGTAGAAGATTCACGAAAAATGCAGTAGTCGTTTTTTGTTCTTTTAGATTTTTCCTGAATAGATGGATGGATGGATCAACGGAATTCTTTGAAACTCGACATATTTTGTATTTTTATAAAAAAGCAATATCGCGAACCTTAGAATGGTATGCGCACGTATGGAACCTTAAGCCTTTGTAAATTGTTGCGTTTATGCTCCTATTGTGAGCAAATAAAAATCGAGTGAATGCTCATACTTTACAAAAAAGAAAGGCTGAACCAGTTTTGATCTTTTATAAGGAATTTACCTCGCAAACAAAAAACTAATAAAACAATGACACTCAACAATTTAAAGGGAAACTTTCTTTTCCAAAAAATTTCATAAAAATCTGCCATGATTTACATCAATCCTGATCTCACGGGAAGACCGACTTTCTCCATTAAAAAAATGATAAATGATCAATTGTCGATATTATTGTTGCCTTTACTGCTCCCTGTGATAAATAGGGGGCAATTCCAATCGGTAATAAATCTCGGCTAAATTTTAACATTGGCAGCACAATCAAATTGATAAATCGATCGGGTGAGGAGTTGTTTGAAAGCTGAGAAAATAATAAAGATTTCCAGCCAGTGAAAGCGGATATCTTGGAATCTCGAATTTACGACGGTGCGGTATTTAAGGGTAACGATCCGTCTTGGGAATTTTGCCTCAAAATTAATGGCACGTCACATCCATGTCGAAAATGCACTTTGCTTTCTCCCCCTTATTTTAAACTTATTAGAAAGTATTTAATTTCACCAGACTTAAATTTTTCATGGTGAAAGTTTTAAACATTTTTGCCCTTCCAAAGTAATCTAATCGATTCAAAAATGCTTTCCCGAAAGGAGAAAGCATTCTCCCCAAGAGTGTCATATTTCTTGTTGAATATTTCAATATTTCTTCAATTCTCAATCTCCCCTTCGTCACAGAGAAAAATATCACTTTGCCTAAAATTCCTCTCTTGTATGTATGAAGACGAACTATTATTATATCGGTCCATCCTCGTCTAACATGGTTTCAGATAGAAATATGTAGCAAGTTGATACTCGAATCGTATGGCGTCGTAAAAATGTAAAGTACTCTCCAAATAAAGGGGGAAGAAGACCTAGAACCAAGATTTAGGATGGATTTTTTCCCTTTTTTTTCGCTATTTATGGATCATTCATGACTACGTGGAGCTAAAATGTGCTGAAAGTACTCGATTCATTTAATTTTAATAATTTACCACTTCACTTCAGCAATGATTGTACCAATAATATCTACCCGAACCTCCTCCACATGGTTTGAATTTGTAAACGTACATAGATATCCGAATAAAAATTGTAAATGGCTTTTATTCCGTCCCTTGTGGGACATCAGGTCGGATTTATTTCTACTTTTGTGACAATCCGAGAGAACCTCGGCCTGCTGTTGCCTGCACATATTTCAAGTTCAAGGAGCTGCTGCAGCAAGGACCGTGAAATCAAATATCCGGGTGTGATGGCGAAGCTTTATCGAATTTAACATAAAACTCTACATTTCTCCAAATTATGCCCAACTCGATGGGATAATAGACACACATGGTCGACGTGTGTGGGGGACGGCAGTGGCGTCGGAAGTTGGGAGAGGGATAAGAGGGGAATTAGCATTGTGGGATTGGAGGAGGACTAACTTATCAACTTGGACAACCTGTTCAAGAATTAAGTTTTTATTCAAAAATCAGTCATCCCGATTTCTGACTGAAGATTTTCATTCACATTCAGCAATTGTTTTTCAAATTCATTTCGCTTCATCAGACTTCATTTCTTCGCCCCATATGTTAAGCACAGGGTGAAAAATGCTTCATTCATAGTTATTCAT